AAAAAAAAAAAAAAAAAAAAAAAAAAAAAATAAAAAAATTGAAAAAAAAAAAAAAAAAAAAAAAAAAAAAAAAAAATGAATCCCCAAAGAGGTTGCTCTTGTTAAGACAATTCAGGGAAAAAAAAAAAAAAAAAAAAAAAAAAAAAAGTGAGTGAGTGAGAGAGAAGGGCGGAAAAAAAAGCAGAGAAGCGTAGTGAAAAGGAAACCAAACAAAACTAAGGCGACATAAGGTAACATGTAACCCCTTATGGGAAAAAAATAAAACATAATAATAAAACAAAAAAAAAAAAAAAAAATTAATAAAATGAAATAAAAAAAAAAAAATTTAGTTGGAGACCCACTTTAACATATGCTTATGAGCATACCTATATAATATATAGTTCCCCATGTGTGGTTTATTGAACACACGTATACATGCACTATTACTACTATTGCTACTATTACTACTATTACTACTATTGCTACTATTACTACTAGGCTACTATTGCTACTATAACTACTATTGCTACTATTACTACTATTACTACTATTGCTACTATTACTACTATTACTACTATTGCTACTATTACTACTAGGCTACTATTGCTACTATTACTACTAGGCTACTATTGCTTATATTACTACTAGTCCTACTATTGCTTCTCTCACACACCCCTTCAAGGCACAAACTTAATGGCATTTTGAATAGTTACTTCTAACCCTCAATCGCATTTTCTCCCACATTCGCCCCCACATTGTGTATCCATAAAACTTCTAAGGCACCACCCATTTTGCACTTAGCAAACATACAGTTGACACCTTGGGCAAATTGGTAAGTGCCACGCAAGGTTAATCATCTGTGCGTGTATATAGAGAAATGCAACTGTACCTTATAACTATGCGATGCATATGTGTAAACGTGTTCACACAAGTATGGCAATGACTGAACCATTTGTCCGTCAACCCGTTAACCAATGAGGCAACAAAATTTGGCTTTTATTTTACATTTTTTGTTTTTTTCTTTTTTCCACAAATCTCTCAAATGCTCATTTGTATTCTTTTTCATTTTCTTCTATTCACATATTTGAAAAAGAAAAATTTTCCCCTTTTTTTCCCTTTTTTCCTCTTTTTTCATGTTTCTTTTCCATTTTTTACTTTTTTTTTTTTTTTTTTTTTTCTCCCCCAAAAGCATTAAATCGATTCACCATTTTGAATTGCCACCCTCTGTATTTTTTTTTTTTTTGCGAACGAATGACGAAAATCACACTTCATGAATCGTTGAGTATGTTTTATCCCTCAAATGTTTAAGGCAAAGGGTAGAAACAGTTGAAAGAGAGAAAAGGTGAAACAAAATAGAAAGAACTGAAATTTTCCCATTTTGTCAAATGTGACAAAAAAAATTGGCCCATAATTCTGTCCACTGCTGATAGCATTAAAAAAAAAAAAAAAAAAATATATATATATATATATATACTCAAACTAGGTTAGTTTTTTTTTTTTTTTTTTTTTTTTTTTTTTCACATGCCCACACCTGGCAAAGGTTCATATGCATATAGTCATTTTTGAAGAAAATTTCATTAATAACATTTAGTGAATCCCATCATCTCTTAAAAAGAAGTGAGGGAGAAAGCACAGTTCCTCGTGGGAAGAAAAGAGGGACTGGTTGATTACCCGTTCAACAGAGGTTCACATGTGAGATATTGTAATTAGGAGAAATACACACACACACACACAAGCAAGCACAAGCAAACACAAACACAAACACTCATTTGCATATTCACAAATATATACATAACTACAGATAAGGTTGCATACAGAAAAGAACCACATTTTGCGATTATCTGGAAGGGAAAATAACGATAAGAGAATAACTCCCATAAACTAGTTAGAGAATTTGGATTAAAGCCTCTCCGAATCTCAGTCATAATCATCTCGTTAAAGTGTCAAAAAAAGAGATTACACTTTCACCTCCATCAAAGGATACACATATATATATACACAAGAAATCCGAAACAATGAGCGAATCATTAGACATTGATAATGCAAAGGCAAAGCTGAAACTGATGTTCTCATTCTGGGAGAATGCAGAAAATAAGAATTTTCGTTTAAGTAATGCATTTTGTGTATTGTCTGGAAAATCGAGCAAAGAAGAAAATGCAACGATACAGGAACAGTTCCAGATGTGGCTGATGGGATATCAATTGACTGAAACATTTTTTCTTTTTCTAAAAAAGGAAAAATTAATCATCCTTACAAGTGATAAAAAGAAGAAATTTTTGCAACCACTATTGGATAGCATGGACAGTATAGAAGTGATGGAAAGGAGTAATGATAATACAGAAAATTTTAATAAGATAAAAAAGATGATAGATAGTACAAATACAGATGAAATAGCGATATTGAAAGATAAAGATGCAACGGGGAATTTTTTTGAAAATTGTTTTGATTTTATTAAAAAGTTAAACAAATCTCATATTGATGTAAATAATGATTTGAAATTGTTATTAAATTTCCGTTCTGAGTCAGATATGAAGATACAGAAAAGTGGAAGTGATATTGCTTGTATTATTTTAAAGAATATTCTGATAACTACTATTGAAAATGCTTTAGATAGTGAAGAATTTCAAAGTCACGACAAAATAAAAGACAAAGCATTAAAATTTCATGAAAATAAAAAATGTGTTCTAAAACTGAAAGAAAAATTAAAAGTAGATATTGATGATATAGATGTTATATACAGCAATGTCCAAAGTGGAAATCAGTTCACGTTAAATTACAAAAATAGTAATAATAAAAATTATTTGTCACAGAATGAAGGCACTATACTCGTTGGTGTAGGTATCAAATACAAAGAATTATGTTCGAATGTAAACAGAACTTTGTTACTCAATGCAAAAACACAACATAAAGAATTGTATAATCTGACCTTGGCCATCGAAAAATATATCATCAAGGAATGTCTTATTGTTAACACTACCTATGCAGATGTTTATAAGAAAGCCTTAAATTTTATAAAAAAAAATAAAAACGATTATAATACTTTGAATTCTATCCATATTGAAGATTACTTTGTGAAATGCTTAGGACACGTAATTGGAATTGAATTTATGGAAAAAGAATTCCTAATAACAGAAAATAATACAACTGGATTGATACAGAAAAATACATCATATAATTTATCAGTTGGATTTGAAAATGTACCAGGGAATGATAAAAATAATTTTGCCATATGGATTAGCGACACTGTATGCATTAATGATGAAGAGGAAGTAAATATCTTTACAGATTCTATTAGTAAAGAAATTAACACAATATCATACGAATTAGAAGACAGTAAGAGTGACGAGGAGCAAGAGAATAATGTTAAAAGTGAAAAAAAAGAATCAAGTGGAGATTTAAGTAAAAAAAAAACAGGAATTTCAGCAAGTATTTTAAATAACGCTGCTAGTGTAATCGTGTCAGATCGATTAAGAAGAAGAAATAAAAATTCGATAGCTCATAATAATGAACAAGAAATGGAAGAATTAAACAAAAGACAAAATGAGTTAAAAGAAGAAAAAATTAATGAAATCAAATTCCGATTTTCAAAAGGAACTAGTGATTATAAAGATCCAAATAAAAAAAATATCAAAAAGTTAGAAGACTTAAAGGCATATAACGACGCTGATTTGTTACCTAGAGATCTAAGGCCAAATATCATATGTGTAGATAATAAACATGAGTGTATATTACTACCAATCAATGGGGCTCACATTCCATTCCATGTATCTACTATTAAAAATTTAAGTTCTAATTATGAAGACAATAATGACATTTTTGTTCTGCGTATAAATTTCCTAGTGCCAGGAAATCAAGGAGTTTTAAAAGGAGATTTTAACACATTCCCCACTTTGCAAGATAAAGAAATATACATAAAAGAATTAATGTTCAAATCAAATGATGAAAAACATTTTCAAACAATCGTTAAACAAGTTAAGGAATTAATAAAGCATGTCAAACAGAAAGAAGTTGAAGCAGATGTAAATGATCCAAAAAATGCACAAGAAAAATTAGTTTTAAATAAAAGTGGAAGAAGAATAATTCTCAGAGATCTTATGACAAGACCAAATATATTCACAGGAAGAAAAATATTAGGAACATTAGAATTACACACAAATGGGGTTAGATATTCAGCTAATTCACGTGGAACTACAGAATATATAGATATACTTTTTGATGATATTAAATATGCTTTTTATCAACCCTCAGATGGACAACTCATCATATTAATTCATTTTCATTTAAAAAGATATATTATGGTTGGAAAAAAAAAAACATTGGATGTTCAATTTTATTGTGAAGCAGGTACACAAATTGATGATCTAGATCGAGCTAAAGCAAGAAATGTATACGATCCAGATGAAATGCATGACGAAATGAAAGAAAGAGAACAAAAAAATAGATTAAATTTAATATTCAAAAATTTCGTAGAACAAATGCAAGATATTTCCAAAATCGAATTCGAAATCCCATACCCAGAACTTACATTTTCAGGTGTTCCAAATAAAAGTAATGTTGAAATATTTGTAACAGCTAACACAATTAATCATCTCGTAGAATGGCCACCATTTATTTTATCAGTTGAAGATATAGAAATCGCCTCACTTGAAAGAATACATCATGGACTCAGAAATTTCGATATGATATTTGTCTTCAAAGATTACACCAAACCAGTTAAAAGGATAGATGTAATACCAACTGAATACATTGATACTATCAAAAAATGGCTAACTAGGATTGATATTGTATACTATGAGGGAAAGAATAACCTACAGTGGGGAAATATTTTGAAGACCATTTTAGCTGATATCGATTCGTTTGTCAACTCCAAGGGATTCGATGGATTTCTTGGTGACGATGAGGAAGAGGAGGAACAATCCGCTGAAGATGAAGATGAGGATGACGAATATGAAGTGGATGAATCAGAGCTGGTGAGTAAAACCATTCCCCCCGCGATTCATCTGATATGAACCCATATGTGTTTCTCCATCGAGTGTGTCTAATAGAACTCGCTTCCACACAGCCGTGCTTTCCGCGTGTGCAGCCACCTGAACCCAACTTCAAGTTCGACCAGAAGTTCGACCAGAAGTTCGACATGATCTTCAACATGATCTTCAACATGATCTTCAACATGATCTTCAACATGATGGTTCAACATGATGGTTCAACATGAAGCGTAATCATACCTTCTCCCGTTTTCCCCATTTTTTTGCAGAGTGCTGAAGATGACAGCGATTATGACGACAGTGAAGATGAAAGCTTGGCCACTGAAAGTGATGGCGAAGGAGAAGTTGAAGAAGATTCTGAGGATGAAGGTCTCTCATGGGATGAACTAGAAGAAAGGGCTAAAAAGGGTAACGTCAAAAGGAGACGAATCGAAAGAGAGACAAATCGAAAGAGAGAGAATGAAAAAAGAAAAAGGGTGTATACACAGGGGATTCTTCTGCTCATCACTCTTTTTTTGCACTTACCCCATTGAAAAAAAATATAACAACACGCACCACTACCATAATCACCGTACCACCTCTCGCAGACGATAAAAAACGATACGCCTACAAAAGTGATGACGATGAAGGATACAATAAGAGAAAGAAGAAGAAGAAGAATTAATTTCAAATTTTTATTTCACAAAATATTTTATTAACAATTATAAGCATGTTTTTTTTTTTTTTTTTTTTTTTTTTTTTTTTTTTTTTTTTTTCGCCCCTTTTGGCAGATTATACTACAATTCTATATGTTGGTTTTACTTTTTGAGCCATTCCTTTCCTCCTCCCCCCCCCCTGTACTTTCATAAATGTACAATAAATGTCATACTTCTTTGTTGTTATTTACACTGCTCCTTCCAGTAAGAAAACGGATGATAAAATAATCATGGAATCCTGACGTGTTTTCGGCACGTTTGACCCGTATGACACTTCTTACCCCTTTATCTTTGATTTTTTCATCCACATACTTGCGAAGAAGAATTTTATTTTTTCCTTGCACCTATTTTAGCCATTTAGCTATTACCAGCGAAAATGTGTTATGTCCCACTTTTTATATTTCCCACCCGAAGGGTGTTTGGGCAGTCCCAAATTTCGGCACTTTTTTCCCCCTCGCAAAGATATAGTGTAAATGTTGTGGCATTTGGCATTGTCACCCAATGGTGATAGCACAGCATTTCCTATTTCTCTCTTCTTATGTTCGTAATTCTGTCTATTCTGTCTGTTCTGTCTATTCTGTCTGTTCTGTCTATTCTGTCTGTTCTGTCTATTCTGTCTGTTCTGTCTATTCTGTCTGTTCTGTCTATTCTGTCTGTTCTGTCTGTTCTGTCTGTTCTGTCTGTTCTGTCTGTTCTGTCTGTTCTGTCTGTTCTGTCTGTTCTGTCTATTCTGTCTGTTCTGTCTGTTCTGTCTATTCTGTCTGTTCTGTCTGTTCTGTCTATTCTGTCTGTTCTGTCTATTCTGTTTATTCTGTCCATTTTTTTTTTTTTCTTCTTCTTTTTCTCTTCCCGTATTTTTCTTCTTTTTTTTCTCATCTTTCTTCTCCCGTACCACATTGTCCCATGAGTGTGTCCTTTCCCATAAATTGCAATTCTTTGATCTATCAATGACAAAAAGGATATATCTACGCGAATGCATATGCTTTTTGTGTCTCTTCTTGAAAGAGCAAGTTTACGAAGGTGCACAAGCTAGGGACCAGTGCCACGAACAGAGAAGATAATGCTTTACCATATTTTAAAATTTATTCTTCCTTTTTTCCCAACACTTTTCCCATTTTTAACCGTATATATATATATATATATATATATTCCATATATTCATATGCATACTCACCATAATGTCATTTTTATACCTCCTTCTTCAAACCACTAAGTTTTATGTACATATACACAAAAAAAAAAAAAAGGGGTAAGGAGGGGGTTTGGGGAAAAGGTATAACTTTCTTCTGCCATGTTTTACTCTTCACACATAGCTATACACTCATCCTTTATTTTTTCCCGTCTCATTTTTCCCCTCCCATTTTTTAACGTTTCTTCCCTAACCTTCCGACTTCCCCCCCACACCCTGTAACATTAAAACATAAAATAATCGAACAAATCGTCGAAAAAACCAACAGAAGATTTTGAATAGATCTAATTTTGATTCTGTACAACACACCCCAACTTTGCCGTAGTAATATATGTGGAAAAGAAGTAGAGAATCAAAACGAAAAAAATTATAAAGCGACAGAGTGGAATTACTAGTGTCGCTACATACAAGTTAGTTTGCATAAGGGGGTTGAAGGATGTGATATCATACCACACCCACCCCATATATGTTTCTATGCATATACACAAAAACGCATATGTAATGTGCTTATATATGAAAAAATGAAAAAACAACTTTTTGAATATTTCTCACCAACAAGAAGCACAAGTATTAAAGTATGGTTACTCACATCAAAATGTTATCTCAGTTATGCATTACAAAAAAAAAAAAAAAAAAAAGGAAAAAAAGTATGTACATGAGAGATAGGGGAATTTCTCATACACATTTTATTACAAAAAAAAAAGGTAATAAATGAATTGCCCTTCTATGTAGGTAAGGAGAAAACAAAAAGAAAAAAAAAAAAAAAAAAAAAAATCCAAATATCATTTATTACATGATATATCTAGGAGAGAAAACACTTCATCTTTCGTAGTCCTAAATTTAGTAAACCCCCCTGCACAGGATAATGGAATCTAACGAAATGGTCAGATGATTGTGACACCTTCAACTGCTTATTATAAGGGCTTCTTTTTTCACTAATTTATATCTCCTTATCTGTAAATGTACCGAATTGTTTTCATTAATGTCTGTAAGTGGTACTAACTCATATCCTCTATTCCTTATGCATACATTTTTTTCTAACATAACAGGAAGTATAGTGTCTTCACAATTCAATTTTTCAATAATCAATGCACCATCCAAATATAAGTTCCTAATTAGTGCATCTGATTTTATCCAGAGGGTAGATTTATTACGAATGGTTATATTTCCTTTCACTTTTTTTATCATTTCACTTAGGGTGAACGCAAATTCTGGTTCGATTAAAACTTTTGGAGGCATGAAATATTGAACCCCATTGAATGTTTTCATTTCTATTTTATCTAAAACAAATTTTTTACGATTATACATACAAGCTAGTTGTAAAAATACACAGTTGTTATAGTATAAATCTGATTCAGCACTGAACATGCATTCCGGGTGTATATTCCTTTGAGCATTATATGTCGCCTTCAAAGAATCATTCTTCACTGCTGAGAAACATAAACACCTGTCTAACTGGGTAACTCCTACTCTACCTCTCCCACAGAGACTCAAATCATTAGGAATTCCTATACTATCGCTATTAACACCGTTTTCTTCTCCTATTTTGGCATGCTTGGACATGATTTCCCCTGTGCACTCATGACAACAATACAAGAATGCAAAATCCTGCATCATAGTTTCTACCCGGGTGGGGCGCAGAAAATGTTTCCTACTCTCGTCGGCATACTTGGGATTAATATACTCAGGTACGAATCCATTTGTTTTTTTTAAAAGCTCATTATAAGTTCTCAGCTCAAACACGATAGCACTAGTGTTTCCTGGGTATAAGGAATAACCATCTTCATCAACAATTTCTTTTTCTCCTGAACCTGTAATTATGGATTCTAACATATTATATTCTATATTTACAACTTTTTTGCAATTATCCATGCTAGTCAAACTGCAGATAGCCCCAATTTCCTCTCCTGGTTTTCTCGAAATAGCTAAAAAATTCATATGTAACTGTTTATCTATAGAAATTCCTAAACATAGATATAAAACTTTCATTGCTAGAGCGTTTGTATCTTGAAAAAAATACAAATAGTTATATCCTTGTTTTATTAGAGAATCTAAATCAATATTATTTAGAATGAGAGAATGAATGTCCCCATGACCATGTGGTTTTCTCGAAAAGTGAAAAGTACCATTTTGGAATGTAAAATCTATGTGTGCTTCATTATCCTTAAAGCATAGTACTTTTCCTTGTTTTAAAAAATGTATTTGATGTCTTTTTAAAGAAAAAAAGTTATTATTCTCAAAAAAGGAAATTGTTTTTTCATACGTATCATCAGACAACATGATGATAAATGGTATATCTATATCTTTCTTCTTATTTTTTTTTATATACTCTTGAAAACTTTTTATATAATTACAATAATATTCAATATACGTTTTTTCAGATATCAAATTTGTTAGTAACTTTAATTTTATATCTTTATGATTTAATCTTTCTCCTAACCCTCCTGCTAATAATACAAAACATACTCTATCAATTTGGCTCAGTCCTACCTCTTCATATCGAATGTATTCAACAATTTGTGCTATCTTCTCACATGTCACTGTGCTTAATTGAATTTCATTTCCTTCTAAACTTCTCTCACCATATTCCCATAATTCTTTCTCTCTCTCTGCCTCGATCTCACATTCTCTCCCTGTCTCGATCTCATACGCTCTGCCTATCCCTCTTTCTCTCTCATTAATTTTCACCCCTTTGGGTTTAGCACATAAGCTACTAACAAATTTTCTGTTCCCAGTTGTGTCGAAAATTTCATCATTCGATGATGAGGGAGATAACATCGGAGTAATTCCGCCCTCAGATAGAGAAATGGAATTACTGTTCTGAGTAAAAATAGCAGTTGTGTCATATTCAGTGTTGATGCGTTTTGTGCATTCCTGCTTTTCATCCTCTTCTGTGCTATGACTTGATTTGGATGATGATACATTCAAAGAATTGTCTTTGTCATATACCAACGAATCAGACAAATATAATTGTCTTTCCATTTTTCTACATTCATCAAATTCATGTAACGTATCATTCCATGGAAATTTTATTTTTATTATATTATCTGGTTTTTCTATTAAACAATTTGAAAAATTATTAATTTTGTTTTTTGATTTTTTCAAAAGGGATTTTGCTCTCTTTATATATTTTAGAAAACCATCTGGATACACCAGTTCAAATTCTTTTATCTGTTTAATAATGTCCAAAATGTTTTTTTCGTTTAATTCATCATGGTTTAATAGTTCTGTTTGTTCCGCTGAAATTAAATCTTCGATGTATTTTTTATCTTCATCCTTTATTATTTTAATGAGTTTGTCTATTTTTCGCATTTTCTTGACATGAAACTGGATGATATTCAGGCTGGAGGTAGTGGCTATAGTTTGTTATATCACTGCTTTTTTTTTTTTTTTTTTTTTTCTTTTTTCCTCTTTGCTTTGTTGTTTAGTCTCTGCAACCGCCTTGCTGTCTCGATAATGTCACGAAATTGATGAAAATGTATATATGCATTCACATGTCAAACATTGTACAAAAGACCTTGGTCCCTCTCTCGTTTCTCAAATCTAAGCACGGAGAGGGAAGTATGTGTACACATGTACCTATATGTTCATACATGTATATTAACATATGTATATGTTGTTGCTATTTTTTTTATTCTATTTTTACATATTTTTTGACACAACTGTATTGAAATATGTTCCTTTTGCATTATATATAGTATGACCCGGAAAAAAAAAAAAAAAAAAAAAAAAAAAAAAAAAGACATGTTATGAAGCTATAGAATATTATATAATGAATATATATTCAAATCACCCCATAACAATGTTTAAATCGAATACCATGTACTCTAAGTAATAGTTTCACTGTGGATACAATACTTAATAGAATGTAGATCGGAACAAGTTCCTCAAATTATGAGTATGCTTTGCTATACATTGAATTTACCACGCTTACTTGTAGGTTTACGCTTATGTGGTGAACGGATAAAGAGAAAGTTGAGAAATAGTGGAAGCATACACTAAAAAAAAAAAAAAAGTAACAGCATTGTTCAATTTTCCCTTTTCTTCATTTTTTTTACATTTGTATTTCTCATAGCAGAGTTCTTTTTTTTTCCTTTTTTTTTTTTTCTACTTCCATCATTCTTTTAAGTGAGTGATAAAACCTGGAACGTGTTAAATTAACTTTGTCTTACATTGAAAAACAAAAAAAAAGAAAAAAAAAATCATTGTAGAAAATCATTTGAAGTTTTTATAAAAATCTTAAGTCGAAGAAATGCAGAGATATCATATAGCTGACATTTGAAGCAATTCAAGAATTTTAAAGATGAAGGACGAAAGACGAAAGGCGAAAGACGAAAGAAAAAAGACGAATGAAACAAATATGTGCAAGTGAAGATTTGTGCAGATAAAATACATGTACAGGTGTTGGTAGTTCCTCCAACATTCCATTCGTTTTCCTCTTTCATGAAAGAACTAACAAGTCTATATTCTTTTTCTTTAAATCATTGCTTAATTTTTTATTGCGATTTTTTTGGAAAAGTTTACCATGAATTATTAAATCGATGTAAAAAGGGAATATACTGGGAAAATATTTGAGTTTTTTTTTTTTTTTTTTTTTTTTTTTTTTTTCAAAAACCTTTAACATTTAAAAAAAAAAAAAAAAAAAAAAAAAAAAAACATCCAAATTATTTTATTATTTTATTTTTTTTGAGCTAGCTAAAAACTGAGCTTTGCAACATTCCATCTTTTTAAAACAAAACTTGGTAAATCCCCTTCTGGGAAAAATGGGACAGTGTTTAATTGGGTATACTTTGTAGAGGTCTATCCTTTTGTGTAACATGTTGATGTGTATATGTGTAGGTATAAATATTAACATTCATATATGTATATTTTTCACTTTTCGCCTGAACAGATTTTTAAATATAAAAAGAGTGGTAAATAATCCATTAAGAGGTAGAAGGAGTGGCACTTTTTACGAGCGGTTAGACTGGGGTGAGCATTTTGCAAAAGTTTTGAAATTCTTTGAAGTATTATGAAAAAGATGATTACACATGTGTGCATACAGACGTTGGAAAATATATTATCGTGTTCATGTACACAACATAAGGGCATAAATGTAAGCATACGTTCATATTGGAGAAATTTTTCTATTTTTCTACTTTGGCACTTTTCTGTTGGGGCTGTCTATTCTCAGGTATGAAGAGAGTATTCCGTTCCGTCGTTCAAACTTTTGTCTTTCAATTTTAATTTTAATTCTTTCTGTATACTTTCTTTTGATAAGGCAATATTACTCGAAATGGAATGTAAGTTCTGAACATTCAGGTTACTTTCAGTATGATAACCAAAAAAGTCATTAAATCTTATAGAATTTAATATGTCATTAATTTTTGGAAAGTATATATATTCAATACTTTTTCTTAACGAATTTTCAATGCTTTCAATCATTTTCCCCATATTTTCCATATGGAAATATTTGTCCTTTATTAAATTAATATTGGATATTTTCTTCGGGTTTTCTAAAGCTTTGTTAATCGAAGCAGACAATGTGATTTCATTTTTTCTAGTAATGGTAAAATTAAGAGTAGTGGAAATTTGATAGTGAATTGTTAGATGAGATATATTTACCTGTATTAAATGAGTAGCTTCCCATATTATACTTGTACAATTATCATAATTTTCTTTTTTTTTTATTAAAAAACAAGCCACAAAGCCGTCTTCTACTGGATTTGGCCATAAATAAACAGATGACAATCCGCTTATATAGTATGATTTTCTGTACCTGTCAAATACTTCATTATATAATATTTCTAGCGTTCTTAGCGATTCAGATGGAATATAACTATTTGGAAAATGCTCAGGGTAATACATATTAGTATATGGGGATCTATATGAATCTTTTTCTTTGTTGAACATATTTCCTAGGTAATATTTTTTCTCTTCGCTGTCGAATTTTATTTTTATTGGTCCTTCTTTATTGATTAAAATATTGTTTGTTAAATTCTGGTCAATTTTAGATAAAATATTTATCGTTTCCTCAAATAAATGCGCTGGTAAAATGTTGCATATGCGCAAAGCTGCTTCGATTTTAGCTTCCTGCATTTTTTGTTTTGATGATAGTGGTGGATGGGAAAATGGACCAATAAGCGATCATCACATAAAAAATAAGATTCTTTGAAGTGACAAAGTTGGGGATATACTGTATATGTATATGTACATATATATGTTTACACTGATACGCAGTTGTCTAAGCGTATGTGCAGGTGTATATATATACGTATACACTGATGTGCAGTAGTCTAAGTCTATGTGTGTGTGTGTGTGTGGAGGGGGAAGGATGCGCGCTTATGGAGAATAAAATTTCCTCCTATAGGACCACTCTCAAATGAGAAAAAGAATCATTAAGCCAATTCTATACATATGATATTCTATTTTATCCTATGCTATTATAGTTTTGGCACTTTTTCGATTTTGAAACTTTTAACGTCTTTTTTGCACATGGAAACATTTTTTCTTCATACAGTAGGTGACATTGTTTGATCACTTAGGTAATTTTCCTTCTCAAATGGAAAATTTTTCATTTAAAAAAAAAAAAAAAAAAAAAATTCCCACTTTTCACATATTCTCGTGGTAAAAATATATTCTCACTAATATGTTACAAAAGAAAATTTGAGGACGGGGAAAAGACTCAAGTTTTTAGTAATGAGAATGAAAAAAAAAATATGCAAAATGTAACCTGTGTCATTCGATCTCCCATGTACCTTTTTTTTTTTTTTTTTTTTTTTTTATTATTTTGTTAAAAAAAAAAAAAAACCCATTCCTAACGTGTGAAAGTTAACAAGGAGAGAATGAGAGACGAAAAAAAAAAAAAAATTAAATGAGGAAAAAAAGTACATTAAGTTAATGCTATGTGTGGTATGTATGCAAAACTTATTCGAAGTTACTAATACCATTTGGTCTCATAAGTGGTAACTGCTTATTTTTTCACAACTATATATATATTATAGCAAATAAAGGGAAATGATAATAATAAAAAATTAACATGGAAATACCAACTTTATGATTATATTAAATATGACACAAAAAAGAGTTATTATCAATTGTTAATAAGACAGCTTATGCTTACAACAAAAACATGTATAATATCCAATCAGGGAAAAATGAAAACTAGACGAAAAAAGTAATGTGTGTGCATATATACCCCTTTCCTCCCCTCATCCAAAAGAGTTAGAATGTAATGTATTTTCTTTCCATTTTCCCATCACTTTTCTGTTAATATAGAGAATGAGATACACCATATTGATTTTGCATGATAGCATAGGTAAATAAAAATGGATCATACATATGCAGCCATAGCATGATCACAGTTACTTTTTGTGAAAAAAAGAATACAACAGGAAAATTTTTTCCTTCGAACATTCCTCCTTCATATATAATCATTTTGTGATAAGTGAAAAGATTAAAAATGAGTGTATTAATATGTAATGCAGGAAACCAAACGTGGTACATTGAACCCCTTTAAAAAGAATGAAAAATTGTAGGAGAATAATAACTGTCATTATATTCTACTTTTCTATTTTTATAATATTTATTTTATATTCATTTCTAAATGATGCATTTTTGTTATTATGTTAAAATTCCCATACCATGGTGTGCATATCTTTTTTACTATTAACTGCTGAACGATTTGACCACATAATTTTTGTGTCACTTCAGGGGGTCTTAGAAAATTATATATTATCTGTTCATTTGTGAAATTTATTTTAATTTTTTTTTTTTCTTAAAATCTACATATATTTTCACATCATAAATTTTGTTCATTTTTGCACAGTTCTACAAGTGTATCTATAAAAAAGTGTCTGCTACACATGGGAAAATTTTTTTCTGAGATATTTTTCCGTTAGGTGGGAAAACTGTAAAGTGTTAACCCCATTAAATACGAACAAATTTTATATTTCAACAATTATATACAAATATGTCTGCTTGCAGAGCAGTAAGCAATTTTGGGGGGGGTTCATGGAGACGAAAAAAAAAAAAAAAAAATGTGCGTTCATTTCGTATGCATAATATATATATATATATATATAGTATTTACAACATGTATGAAAAGTACACGAAAAAAATATATACACGTATAATACCTATTTAGGGTGTTACAATCCCACATATATTACGTATCTACACTATCACATACAAAATTACGTATATACTGCACAGATGGAGGTAATATAAGGGCGTGCGATAAAATGTGCTACGAGAGCAATCCTGGTAAGGATTTTTTTAAAAAAAAAAAAAAAAAAAAAGCAATTCGTGATTAGGCCAAAAGTATATAGCAGCGGATTATTCTATGAAAGAAAAAAAAAATATGAACATAAAAAAAAAAAAAAATTAACACCTACACTATAATTTCGCAGTATATTATTACAAATAAGGAACACCCCCCTCACCTAAAAGAGCAAACGTTTAGGAGAGAATATGTAAAATGAAAGGAAAGAGAAGAAAAATAAAATAAAAATTAAAGAAGCATATAAAATTTTATGCAGCAAAATTTACAAGTATTTTAGAGGTGCATGGAAAAAAAAAAAAAAAAAAAAAAAAAAAAAACATTATACATTTTTTTCATCATATATTATATATATAACCAATAAGTACAAAATAAGAATAAAAAAAAAAAAAAAAAAACATACGTTGTTGTAGTACTTTTTTTACCTAATGGGTTTTTATTTATATCACATGCAAAACGTTTTAAAAGCATGCCCCCTGGGGGTTGCGTCGGTGACCGGTAAAAATAAAATATAATAAAAAACATACTTTTAAAAGGTTCAATCAAATTTACCATAACGAGAGAGTGGGAAAAAAAAAAAAAAAAATTTATATATATATATAAATAAAATAAAACAAGAAATAAGAGGAGATAAGAAGAAATAAGAGAAAACACACAATAAATATCGTTTGTTATATATACATATCTACATTCGCATCTGAACAAAGATGGCATTATATAAATATTTATAGATCTACTTTTATCACTTTTGCCTTTTTTGCCTGACCATTTTAGCTAGCTGCCGTAATAAAAAAAAAAAAAATAATAAAAAAAAACTTCGGTGACAGAAGTTTCACAGGAACACTATTATTGTTTACGAAAAAGCCAAAATCCAAAGGTCTGTTGACCAAGTTGTCAAAACGTATAGCAGTATCAGCCGAGGGAACACCACCGCTTGCCAAAAGAGAACGTCGAAAGATCATTGCAACGCAACACAAGGTGCTTGTCCGTTGAGGGAAAGTTGACATATCGTATAGTGAACATAGATACACACGTGTGTATATATATACATACACATACAAATATACACATATATACATGCACATACAAACATACACGTATATACATGCACATACAAATACACACATATATACATACACATACAAATATATACAGATACATACACAAACATACACAGATACATACACAAACATACACAGATACATACACAAACATACACAAACATACACAGATACATACACAAACAAATACACACATATATATACACGCAATCTCGTGCGCTGTTCCATCGAACACGTAAAACATGGTGAGGGTGTCGGAAGACGAACTGAGCGACAAGGGATTGGAGGAATTTTTGTCTGATGACAGTGATGATGGAGATGAAGCTTTGTTAAACAAAAAATATGCTGAAAAGGAAGCACTAATAACACTGGAAACTAAATTTCCTAAGATTGTGACAATTTTGGGAATTCCGAAGGTGGAGGAAGAGAAACATAGCAGACTGGCAGAGGTGCTGAAAAAATTGTTTATAAGACACTTAAATGCAAAAATAAGTGATTCTTCCCTTTTGAATATTAAAATTCATATGCCAGTTGATGAAGAAAAGAAAACAAAAGGTATATGCTTTGTAACTTTTAACGACAGTTTTCAAGCAAATGAGGCGGTGAAAATCTTGAACAAGTTAAAACTGGATGCAAAACACGTATTAACAGCATCGAAAATGGATGATATAGAAAATATTATAAATCGAGATGAACGTGTCATGCCAATTAATGTTGTCGGATTTACAAGAGAAAAAATTAGATGGTGGTTATATGATGAAAAGTGTAGAGAACAATTTATAGTACGATATGATTCCCATTTTGAAGTACATTGGTTTGATCCATTAGAAAAAGAACCACAACTAATATATACCACATTTAAGAAAAATGCACCTTTTTCAAGTGTACAATGGAGTAATCAAGGTTCATATTTAGTTAGTTTTCACAACCCAGGTATAGCACTATGGGGTGGTGATACTTTTGAAAAATTAATTCGATTACAACATAAAAGTGTTAAAGAAATTAGTTTTTCTCCAAACGAAAATTATGTATTAACATGGGATGGTACTCCGGCATCTTTAAGAAATGAAAAATCTATCTGTATATGGAGAGTAATAACTGGAAAATTATTACGTTCATTTATAACCCCTGAATTTAGTGCTAAGGATAAAAGTTTTCATTATTTTTTATGGAGTCCAGACGATAAGTACATAGCATGCATAGGAAAACAGAAGGAAGTATATGTGTATGAATTACCCAGTATGTTACTAATGGAAGATCATGAAAAGAAAAGAACTCCTTTGAAATATACATTAGTAAAAGAATTTGATTGGTCACCCGTTGATAATATTGTTTCTATTTGGATTCCAGGAACTAAGGTTGCACCAGGAACTTTAGTGTTAGTTGATATTCCATCAAGAAAAGAATTAGTGTCTAGAAAAATCTATGATGTTGTACACGCTTCTATTCATTGGCAAAGTAAGGGAGATTATTTGTGTCTTAAAACTACTATTGAAAAAAAAATCAGTAAAAAAAGTAAGAAAGAGTATACCCAATTAGAAATATTCAGAATGAGAGAAAAAAATATTCCTGTTGATAATATACAAATTGAAGGAATCAAAACGAAGCAATTTCATTGGGAAGAATCCAATAGTAATAGATTCGCTTTAATAGTTAGAGATGAAGTTACAAGTAGACAACAAATTAGATTCTACAAAATTGCAAATAAAGGCACAGCTAAAAATGCCAAATGGACCAGCACATTTGATATTAACAGTCAGATGAATTTTATGCGATGGTCACCACAAGGATCTTACTTTATCTTAGCTTCATTAGGAGCAGAAGGATTACTATACTTTTGCCATCTCAATTCAAATGATGAAGTGGAAGTAATACACAAAGATGAACACTTATTAGCAAATTCTGTTTCTTGGAGTAATTGTGGAAGATATTTAGTTACATCTATATCAAGTATGCCAAATGCAGCAAGTTCTAATTATAGGGAAGAAAATAGTGAAACTGGGTTCTACATATGGTCATTTCAAGGTAGATGCTTAATGACAATAAAAAAACCGTCCTTTTTTCAATTTTTTTTCAGACCACATCCAAAATCATTATTCAGTGATAAACTAAAATTAGACATTAAAAATAATCTAAAAGATTATTCTAAAAAGTTTGATGTTATGGATGAAAAAATTAGACATGCCAAAAGGAATCAACTCATTTCGGACAGAAAAATTGTGGAAACTATGTTTAATCAAAAAATGGAAAAAATCACACAGCTATTTCAGTCCTTTAAGGAATACGAGCAGTTTAAGAAAAACTGGGAACAGTTTGAGAACCAGTTCGAATGGGAAGAGAAGACGGTTGTCATTGAACATGTACTATCTGTCAAACAGGAAATATTTTCTTAGAAAAAGGTTATGTTTTTATGTGTACACCCATAATGTGTACCAGCTGGGTATGATCGATAGTAGGTTTGTCAAAACTCCTTTTTGTTTACACCATCAGAATAATTTTTTTTTTTTTTTTTTTTTTTTTTTTGCATGCCTCTTTCACGGGCCCATTTTGCTTCCCCAGTTTATATTCCATATTTGCATATAATTAGATTTAAAAAAAAAAAAAAAAAAAAAAAAGAAAGAAAATGTGCTCATTCTGTGTCACATACATTTACATATTTCCTATATTTAGCAGCACATCGTTTCTTACTTCTCCATCCTCAGCAACAATGAATAGAACTGCGCAAAAATTGAACTTGTAAATGCAGTAATTTTATTTTATCCTACATTGTATTATACACAGTACTGTACCGTACTGCATTGTATTATTTTATTATTTTCCAAGTGGCTATTCCCCTTGCGATATAGCCTCTGAAAAATGCTACAACAAGAAAGTGAAAAGAGGTTCTGGTGACCACATTCACCCGGCAAAGCGTTTAAAAGAAGTGAGAGGAAAATTATGGGCACTAGGTTTTCCCCCCACCCCTCCCCAAAAAAAAAAAAAAAAAAATATACATCTTTTTAGCTTCTGCAACATTTTACACATCGCATATAGAGATTACATCATACGAATGTCATGTGTTTAAAATGCTGCAAAAGCTAACACTACCCAAAATAAAGTGTTGTCCACGCTTAGCACTTCAGACGCCCCTCGTCCTAACTTCCTGCTTTCCTTTCTTTTTGGGGGAAACCTTGTTAAGGCGGAAAATTAACAAGGCATATATAGCTGTGCAACAAAAAATAAAATGAAAAAATGAAATAATAAAAAAATGAAATAATAAAAAAATGAAATAATAAAAAAATGAAATAATAAAAAAATGAAAAAATGAAAAAATGAAATAATAAAAAAATGAAAAAATGAAAAAATGAAAAAATGAAAAAATGAAAAAATGAAATAATAAAAAAATGAAATAATAAAAAAATGAAAAAATGAAAAAATGAAAAAATGAAAAAATGAAAAAATGAAAAAACAAGTGGAAAGATTCTATCCACACTATCCAATCTCTACCTTTGCAATTACCGGGGGGGAGAGGGGTGTTTCTCAGTTTCAGAAATTTAAACTGTGTAGTGGCGTAAGGGGCAGATAAGTATCATCAAGCAATCACACTTCTAATTCATGAAGCCACTAACCCATTATGCTGTCGAACCAACACGCTTTTGAATCACCACACAGCTAATGAGTAAATGCATAAACAAACAATGTGTTTAAAAAGATCCCGCTTCTGACATCAGCTGTGCATCACCCAAGGACTTAGAAAACGATCCAATCGGTCTATGCAAGCAGGTGGTTCCCCAGAGGTGCACAAATACTTTTCCCCATCGTTCAGGCCTGCAAATGTTTTTACTAGACTGAAATTGGTATTGTATATTTTTCTTACAGGTCCCATGATAGGATCTAATACTTTTGTTATTTCTATAAGAAGCGATTTCCAATTGTGTATGTAAGGCTTGACTAAGAATAATAATCCATTGTGATTTTTATCTCCATTTCGAAATAACCAAATATATTTTGGTCGGGCAATTTGAATTCCATATTTCTGCATTCCTAAAGTACCTGGAATAACTACAGGCATGATGAAACATTTATTTTTTTCCAAAGTAGAACATGCGTAATGTTCATTTGCATCTTTTTCTTTTCTTACAAAATTGCTCGGATCAAAATTACAATTCGTTTCTTTCCTTGTAATAATTCTACTATTTAATTTCTCAAATTTCTGCTTATGAATACCTGTGTAAAAATTTGCATCCGTCAATCGATCAAAGACAGTTTTTTTGTGTGCCTTCTGCTCCCTCAGCTTCTTCTTTTTAAAAGGGATTAAATCTGGGCCATGTTTCATTTTTATAATTTCATTAGAGGTAGAAAAGTATTTCTTTACAGATTTCAAGTAATTCTCATCACTGTAATCAGAATTCCTAACATGTGGGATACCATGCCCATGTGCACAATTCATCTGTTTTTTTTTTTAATTTGCAACTTAAGGTGGGTAGGGTGGAATGTGTTAACGAGTAACACTATAAAGAGAGTGGTACAGCGTAGGTGGAACAATGAGACAACAAGAAAAATCAATGGAAAATTAATAAATGAGTAAGTGTGTTGCCAGTAATTATGTAGGGCTTGGGGATTATCTTCATTCCTGATACCCTGTAATTTTTTTTTTTTTTTTTTTTTTTCTCGTTTAGCGTATACAGTTGGTTTGGTCATGCGTTATGCCCGTTCGTGTGTCACTCTTTTTTTGTGACTTTTTTTTTTTTTTTTTTTTTTTTTTGCTTTTACGGTTATGTATTTTTATACTGTCTATTTTTATATTGTCTATTTTTATATTGTCTATTTTTATATTGTCTATTTTTTTACTGTCTATTTTTTTACTGTCTATTTTTTTACTGTCTATTTTTTTACTTGTCTATTTTTATAGTTATGTATTTTCATTCTTACAAATTTTTATACCTACATATTTTTACTTTTTTCTGATTTTTCTGCCTCCTTTTGCCTTATTTTCATTCGAGTGAAGCGCGAAAAAGAAAAAGACAGGCAGGGCTGCTAAACAAGCAGAACGAACAAAAATAAAATGCCTTTTTTTTTTTTTTGACAAAAAAAGATAAAGTCAGGGATACACAAAAAAAGTTTCTTTTTAAAAAAAATTATGTGCATGTACATATAATCATGAACAAATGCATGTATGAATATAGTTCACTACATAAAAAATATATATTGCTATAGGAATAGAAATAGGAATGGGAATTTTTTGCAGGAATGTATATATGCTCTTATGCATGTAACAGAAAAAAAAAAAAAAAAAAAAAATTAGCGGTAACGGTTATAGTAAAAAATGGGTTGAACTTTTTTAAATGCATGTATAATAAGTAAGGAATCGAATTTGATAAACAAAATAAAATAGAAAAATAATAATCATGAATATCGATTCCCATTTACATAAACACATCCTCAATCTAATAACTATTACAAAACGGATGGGTAAGTATTAAATACTTCTACAGAATTAGGGAAAAAAGGTACACAAATAATGAAAAAATGATAATTAAGTCGAAATGATGCTTAACATATTAAATCGTGGTTTACAACAAAAGGTACTCTTCCCCTCCTGCAATTGTATCATCACGCATGTTCTCTTAAGAAATGAAGGTCTACGAGAAGGAGTCCGAGACACTCTACCCTTGGCAAGAAACACAATAAAGTGAAAAAATGGTACGCAAAATGGAATGCAAAATGGAATGCAAAATGGCTGGAAAAAAATGTAAACTTCTCTGGAGGATACGCATTTTTATGTACCTCTTAAAAAAGAAGCGTCTAAGAATAGACCAGCATGAGGTGGTGGTGGCACGTCTTAATAATAGACAAAAGTGAGGAATCGCCCTTCTAATCCACTCAAGCAACATATGGAAGTGTATATCTACTGGTATATTTTCATGTGATCGTGAGAAAGTGCATTCAGGATGGAATCTACATAAATATATCTACACTACACCTCTTCTTCCTATGGGTAAAAATAAAAAGTTGTTTGCTGGGAGGGAGAGAAAACTAAAAGGTACTATGTTATAAAGTGTCCAATCTCCTTCGGAAATTTACAAGCAAAAATGAAAAAAAAAAAAAAAAAAATCATACAAGAACAAGCGGAGAAACAAACTGGCATGGTTGCACAAGGGCACTGAGGCTAAGCATCTGCATATAAAGATGCACACGTATAAAGATGTACACATATAAAGATGCACACATATAAAGATGAACACGTATAAAGATGTACACATATAAAGATGCACATATATAAAGATGCACACATATAAAGATGTATGTACGTGCACTAGCGTGTGTTTATACATGCGTACGGCTCTCCCCCTCCTTAAATGAAAAAAGTGGAACAACGAACAGAATTATATGTTCTATTAATGCAAACGTGATTCAGTAAGATTGACAGTGAGGTGGTGTGTAGACACAGCTCTCTATCCACAGGCGGTGGAGTATGAACACATGCAAAAACCTTGCATACACACACAGAAAAAATAAATTCATGTAGATAACCTCTTTTTCATTTTAAGCATTTTTCTTGACAAATTATTATAATAATAATCTTCCAATATTTTAACTAGATAATATTCATCTTCTGCATGTATATTTATATTTTCCTTCAAAAATAGTGCTTTATCATTTTCATTAGATAGGAAATTTAACAAGTCATTGTCACTACAGGCATACATTTTCTTTAATTCACAATACTTTTCGTTATGAACATGTTCATACAATTTTTTTAAATCTATACTTTTTTCTCCCTTTATTTTGTTTTTTTCTTCATTTTCGAAATATCTCTTTTTGCTCGTTTCAATTTCATCATCACTCATACAATTCGGGTTCAACTCATGTTCACTTATTTCCATTTTTTTTCTTTTCCTTCCCCTCTTAGAAGTTTTCTTCTCGATCTTCTGGAAGTTCCTATTGTCATGATCACATACCGATTCATCTCGCTTCTCCTTTCCTTTGATATCTGAATCCATTCCATTAATTTCCATTTGTACCAAATAATTACCTTTTGAAATTGCATCTAATTCCTCGTATAACACGTTTGCGTATCCTTTTTTTTCTTTTTCTTCTTCTTTTTCCTTATCAGGGTTAGTCTTCCCACATCTTGCTGATTCCTCTTCTTTTACTTCCTCAATCAGGTTAGTGACTCTGCTGTCCATTCCATTTCTTGCTACAATGTCTCCATTCTTGTTGCAGCAGTTCGCATCACCTCGTTGCTGTTTTTTCTCCTCACTTTTCTCTTCTTTCGTCCTCTCCTCTGTTTCTTCCTCTTCTTCTTCTTCTTCTTTTTTGTTCAATATGCCACTGTCCGATTCACCTTTCAGTTCCCACAACCCGTCCGAGGCACCATTTTCACCCTGCATAATTCTGTGGTAGATAATTTTTTCGTTTCTATTTACACACGGGTTATATTGGCAACTGTCCATTTGATTTCTTTTCTTACATTCTGACTTCTTCTTCGAAGTACTTGTATCGATACAAACAGTATTATTGGTACTTTGGCTTATTCTTTCATTGATAGCAATGCTGTTTCTAAGATTTTTATGAACAACTTCCTGATATGTTCCATTACAATTTCCAACATCTTCTGCGTCTTGACAAAACGAGGATTCAATTGTCATGCATTGTTTAGAATTTTTCACATGCTGCTCATAGATGTGAAAATTGTTTATGAACTTTTGTTTGTACGAATCTGTTTGGCTGATAGACGGGTTCACGTGCACATGTTTGACGTTATCATTAGATTCAAATGACATAATTCCGAAGTGATTTTTCTGCATATTGTTCTCATCAAAAGGTGATTTTTCACTCACTGGAGGATCATCATTCAGATGAGGATGCTGATGTTGCTCAAAAAAGAGATAACTTTTACGTAAGTCCTCAATTTTTAATGGTTTTTTTTTATTGAAATAAATAGCTAATATAAGAGCCAGTTTTCTCGAATATGTCCATCCATATACATCTACTTCAAAATAGTAATTTTTTTTATTTAATTGGTTTGGTACATATCTTGATATTTTCCATGCATTTCTCTTATTGTCATATTGTAAATTAGATACATTTACATCAAAATAATTTTTTAAAACGTTATGTTCTGCGTTCAGATAATCATACACTGCTATGCACTTACCAACCGTGTACCCATATTTTTCTTCTGCATAATATTTATTTTCCCTCACATATTTATTATGTTCCTTTTTAATTATTTCAATGCTCCAGCTACTTCGATTTTGAACCCATTTTACTTTATTTTTCCAGTACTCATCGCTCACTGGACTGTTTAACAGATCTTTGCAAAAATCAATTAGGTACCTGTGCCTCTGCAGCTCAGACTGCTCCAAATGATGAGACTTCCCCAAATGATGAGACTTCCCCAACTGATGAGACTTCCCCAACTGATGTGATTGCTCCAACTGATGAGGTTGCTGCTCTTCCAAGGGGATGAATGAATCTTTCCAGTATTTTCCTTCCATGCCTTTGTTATCACTATAAGGTTCGTCCATTTGATTCCTATTGACTTCATTTTCTTTCCCCTCCAATTGGCATATATCTCCAGCAGATTGATCCGAGTTGGAAGCACAATATGCAATATCCTCCTCATGATTGCTAATGACTTGGTTAAGGTACGTGTCATATTCAGAAATGTTATTTATTATATGATTCTCCCTCTCATTTTTGTATTTCTCAGCCAGTTCCTTAGCTTTTTTAAATCCATATTCTTTGATTGCGAACTTCTTTCTACATGTCCTTCCATAAAGAACCCATGAAACTATCCAATTACCTGACTTATCCAACATTCCAGATGGTATTGATGCTTTCTTGTTCTCTTCATTGTTCCATGAATGTACATTATTTATTACATAATTCTCTACATCTTCACTGTCTCCACTGTTCTGATCGTCGTATCCAATATCGAGGTATAGTCCTCCAGTAATATGGACATTTCTTTGTATCATACTTCGCATTCTTTCTTTTTTCTCCTGAAATCGCCTTTTCATTTTTCCCTCTTGAAATTTCATTTTCTTCATACTGCTGATGGAATCATTAGTGTGATGAAAATCCCCCAAAAGGTTGACAAGGTCAGGGCAGCTCTCAGTGTCCTCCTCATGAAGAGAGTTCAGTTTATTTTGGATAAACTCCATCTCGATGTTTTTCGTGTCTCCATGCCTTGCTTTTGCCGTTTCTATTCTTTCCAATTTTTGCAGCACTTCTAGCCCGTCCAGTCTTTCCAATTTTTGCAGCACTTCTAGCCCTTCCAGTCTTTCCAATTTTTGCAACATTTCTAGCCCTTCCAATTTTTGCAGCATTTCTAGCCCTTCCAATTTTTGCAGCTTTTCCACGGTTTTCAGTTTTCCTATCCTTTCCAAGCGCTCCAATTTTTCCACTTTTTTCCATCTCTTCAATTTTTGCAATTTTCTCCACTTTTCCAATTTTTTCAATTTTTTCAGCTTATTTTTTTCGTCTCTCCTTTTTAGCCTTTCTTGCTCTTTAATTCTTTTTTTCTCTTCTCGAAGTTTTTTCTTTTCCTCCCTTATTCGAACTTTTTTCTTTCTCTCTTCTTCTCTGCGCAGTCTCCTTTCCTTCCTTTCAACAACTTCCCTCATTTTAATTTCTTGCCTTATGAGCAGCATTTTTCTCCGCTCTTCTTCCAGATCTGGCATGGGTGCTTCAAGTTGCGAACTCACCGTCGATTTTTCTCTTCTGCGTTTTGTTCCTTTCGTTTGTTCTGCTCGTTTTGCTTTATTATCTGTGATCTCTTTTTCTTCTCTTTCCTCTCTTTCCACTTTGTCCACTTTGCCCACTTCTTCCACCTCTTCCATCTCTTCCACCCCTTCCACTTCTTCTACACTTATTGTCCTTCCCAGAGGTGCACCTTCTCCCTCAGCTTCATCAAGTTTCGCCCTCGACACAATCCTATTGAAGTTCAACTTTTTCTGACACTTTTCATCTTTTTTTTTCCAAAAATTTTCCACTTGGCTCGATTGTCCGGACAGGTACATATTCCTCATTTCATCACATGAGTTTTTTCTACTTGGACTATATCTATTATCATAAATCATATTGCAAGAGCCGACTTTGTTGTCTTTAACACAGTTCCCATATTTTTCATTCTCACTTAATTTTTTTTCCATTTTTGCAATAACTTCCTCAATGGATTCTGCTGTATGATTTTTTTCCAAGGATAGCATGTCATCCGTCCATTCTTCCATCTTCTTTTCACTACATTCATTCATTTCATGACATTCTCTGCTTATTAAAAAATAATTTTCCCCAAATTTGTTATATATTTGCTGTTTAACAAGTTCCGCTTTCTCTTCATAAGTGGCAATAACTCCATTATTTGTTGCTTTTTCATATAGATTGTTAATATCCTGGAGATCGTTCAGAGCTAGGTGCCTAGATGTAGAACCCCAATTTTCTATGCTATAACTTTTTAGAATAGATATATTTCCATCTTTCCATATGATATTCCACGAATTTGTAATTTCATCAAATATGAGAAGACTTTTTACATGTTTTAATTCTTTTTCATTTTTCTTTCTCTCTTCTTCATCCTCCAAGAATGTACCCTTTTCACTCTTTTCTACTTGTTTGTTTTTTTTTCTCAGCATGCAATTCTTCTTTTCCCAAACGGGCTCACGTTTAATAGATATAGTCATGGGTTCATCTTTTTTCTTATTTTCTGGAAACCTTTCCTTTTTCACCCTTTTTGATTCATCTAAAAAAGGATGTATCCTATGGTCTTCCTTCAGCTGTTTTTTGCATTTCCCAACAGAATCAAAATCAGAATCAAATTGTATCTTTATCTTTCTATCCTTACTACCCTCTTTTCCTTTTCTTGGATTCGTTTCAGCTAACGATGAGGAATAGCTATTCCCATTATTTTGATACACTTGACCTTTCTCTCCCTCACAAGAATTTTCAGACTGAATTATTTTTTTTTCTAAATTTATCACATCCTTTGTCGAGTTTGTCTTGTATGTCTCCACGGGGCTCCTCCTGCCCTGCGAATCGTTTCTCTGTCTCGGTGCATCTTCATGTCTACTTTGACTTACACTGTCATGTTCAACTATGTCATGCTTTGCTACATCACTATGAGATACATCACTATGAGATACATCACTATGAGCCATGTCAGTGTTGGTATTAAACCTGATGGCTGTTGCTTCTGAATTACATACATCCACTCGAACGAGCGGCCTTTGTGTCTCCATAAATTCCCATGATTTACAAGAACTCCAATCTAGCGGACGGATGTCATTTCCTTCTTCGCAAAAAATTCTGCGTTCATGCGTTTGAGACATATTTCCCTCTCTTTCTTTTTTCTTCTCTTCACTTTTCTGTAACGGTAAGTTCCCCAAATGGCATGAATATTCAGAATATTCAGAATATTCAGAAACATGTCCCCCTTCCTTGTGGGAAACAAATTTAGAAACGTTTCTATCCATTATATCTTCTTCATTCGATGTAGATTTGAAACCACATGTGTAATTTTCATTCGGCTGAGTAACCATATGAGGGTTATAATTAACTTTGTCGAAATTATTGTTAACTAATCTGTTCGTATAATGGACAGACTCTTTCTTATCATCTTCTGCAATTTTCACATGTGAACATTCACTTATAAGTGCACTATTCATGTTAATACTAGATGCACAATTTTCATTTTCTGTTTTTCTTAAATACATACTGCAATTGGGAGATGCGTTATTTTTTACAATTTGACTTGTCTCTTTTGATATATCACTTTCACATGCATATATACCTTCCAAATTATTTCGTAATAAACAATTATTAATGTCACTAAATCCTTTCTTTAAACTTACATTGAGAATTGTGTTATCAAGCATTTCTTCACTTCTACTAACTGTGGTTTCATTACTCTTGCATCCCACGTTACAAGAATTTTTCTTTTCGTCTTGCAGTTCGTTACTTCGAATGAAAGTACTATAATCACCATTCATACTTTTTTCCTTTGATTTGGAGCCATAATGTATATTGGATTTTTCATAATCTACATTGTTCTTATGTTTATGCATATCGATCTGGTTATAGTTTATGTCATGGCTCTGTTCTAAGTTCGAGTTACAGGCTGGTGCAATTCCCCCCTTGTGAATAGACTCGATTTTCATATTCCAATTTTTGTTAATGTGGACATCACTTGTTTCTTCTTCTTTTAGTGAATGAACAAACATTGTTAATTTTTTTTTTTTTTTTTTTTTTTTTTTATTTTCTAAAAAGTATTTTCCCATTGTCTTCTAACAATTTTGAAAAATTGTTCCTCATTCCTGCAAGCAAATTGTAATGGCTAGCATGAGGACGTAACTGGTTCATTACTTTTTTTTTATATATCTATATAAAAAAAATTTGTCTCATTCTAAGTCATTCTGTGAGGTGTTTTGGAAAAAAAAAAAAAAAAAAAAAAAAAAAAAAAAAGAATGGAAGAGGGGGATGTACCTCAGTTTCCCTCTCCAAGTCTTTACTCGAATTTTTTTCAGTCTGTTGGGACTGTGCATCTTTTTGCTGTATTGGAAATACCTTTTCGATGTGTTTTTCCTGCATCCTCTTGCCACTCGTATGCGCACCTTGCGTCTACACCCCTTGCTCCCTCGATGAGTCTGCTATTACTGTTGCTGCAAACTGTTCTATATGCACAAAAAGAGACAATATATATATGTACGTATATATATATATATATATATATATATTTTAAACTGTTTGTTGTTCTTGCACATTCGCTGGAATGTAAATTGTGGCTCTCCTCTAAAAACCACTGATTAAATTTTACCCCTCTCCCCCGTCATTCAAATGATGGAGCAGAAAAATAAAAAAAAACTAATAATAAATAGAAATAAAAAAGGGAAACAAAAATTTTCATTAATGTCATTTACCACAAGGATGATTCCTACTTGTTACTTTTTTCTAAGTTTCGCAAAAGGAATTTTTTTTTGTTGTTGTTTCGTTGTTTTGTCGTTTATTATGTGCCGTTTGTCATTTGTCATGTATCGTCTGTCATTATTTTATCATGTCGTTTTTTTATGTCATTGCATTGCTTCATCATTTTGCAATTTTGTCGCTGTGCCACACTCTGCTGCTCTTCCACTTTGTCATACTTTGTTTACTTTTTAATTTCCATTTTTGTCAAACATTTTATTATTTTTTAGTTTATTTTTTTATTTTTATTTTTTTTTATTTTTATTTTTTTTTTTTTTTTTATTTTTTTTTTTTTTTTTTTTTTTTTTTTTTTTTTTTTTTTTTTTTTTTTTTTTTTTTTTTTTTTTTTTTTTTTTTTTTTTTTTTTTTTTTTTTTTTTTTTTTTTTTTTTTTTTTTTTTTTTTTATTTTTTTTTTTTTTTTTTTTTTTTTTTTTATTAAATAAAAAAAAAAAAAAAAAAAAAAAAAAAAATGTTCATTTCACAACATCAGCAGGAAGATGAGCTATAAAATAGAAATACCCATTTTTTTGAATTTTTTTTTTTTTTTTTTTTTTTTTTTTTTTTTTTTTTTTTTTTTTTTTTTTTTTTTTTTTTTTTTTTTTTTTTTTTTTTTTTTTTTTTTTTTTTTTTTTTTTTTTTTTTTTTTTTTTTTTTTTTTTTTTTTAAAATTTTTTTTTTAAATTTTTTTTTTTTATATAAAAAAAAAAAAAAAAAAAAAAAAAATACATAAATAAACAAATAATAAATAAATGGAAATTGAATCTAGCGTGTAGAAATGTGTATACAATCGGCCATAAGCTATGGAGATCATGAGTTGAGGTCCATGGGTGAGTCAACAAAATTTCTCTTCAATAGAGATAATAATTAAAAAAGTGGGTAAAACCAAATTCTCTTGATTTGAATTTAAAACCGTTCCCTTTTTTTTATGACATACAAATGGTAACACTACTTTTTTATTACACACATCTTTTTCTTGTGGAATGAGTTTTCCGAAAGAAAAAAAAAAAAAAAAAAAAAAAAAAAAAATGTTCATTTCACAACATCAGCAGGAAGATGAGCTATAAAATAGAAATACCCATTTTTTTGAATTTTTTTTTTTTTTTCTTTTTTTTTTTTTGGTATTGTGTTTAAAAGGGAACAACTAGAAAGAAGCAGGCATTTGTTTAAGTATACATATGCACATTATAATGTAAAAAAAAAAATGTAGAAAAATTGGCATGATATGATATACATGAGAAAGCCACAAATCTGTTCGTATATATGTATTTAGATGGAAAAACTGTCAATATCTCATCCAGTGGGAAATGTGTATACATGTGTACGGGAAGAAAAAATTAGTATAATTAAGGCTAAAAAAAAAAAAATTGAAGGAAAAAGGGGGAGGAGGAAATACACATTCCCAAGATGGACTTTAGACACTATCAAAAACTAAGACACACATACATTCCAAAGATGAATACCCACGTGGTGTTCTCAGTTTTGTATTCCCTTTTAACAACTATATTCAACTTGCAGAAAATTTTCCCAGTGGAATGAGCTAGTGGGGAAAGACACAATTTGGAAGGACAAACAGAATAGCACTATCTCTGGATCGAATTTCATGACAGTTGGTTTGCATGTTTCACGTCTGAATATGTCTCTCCCGAATGTGTCTCTCCCGAATACGTCTCTCCCGAATGTGTCTCGTCCGAGGTCTTACCAACCGAGTGACACACCAGTGCTTGCTGCGTTGAATTCTCCGTAACAAGGTTTATATTCCCCCGAATGCACATGTCAGGAAATACAAGCGTGTTCATTTTTTCTGCGTGGGCTGAATTTTTTTCAATTTCTTCCCTGAACAAGCAATGTTTGAGCCAAGCGTTCATAAAATCTGCTGGAGGAAGTATGGTTTGTAAATAAAATAAGAAGTTTTCGTTCCATGCAATTTCATTAAATTGTCGCTTCAATTCATATTCTTCACTCAAAACAGCAGACATTTTTTTATCAGTTATTGTATGTAATTGTTTCACTAACTCTTCAAGTATGGTATAGACATTTTTTTCTGCGTCGTTTATATTTAACCTGACCTGTTCATGTAACTTATCTATTTTTTTTAGCATGTCATTTAAACTTTTTGTTCTTTCTTTAACTAGTTTTGATGGTGTAGCACTATGTTTTATAATTGCTTTATATGCCAAATTTAATGAAATTATTGTATCGTTGTTGTTATTTAAGGAGAAGAAATTATCACTATTCAAATCTGTGTGCAAATGGTTGGATACGCATAAATTACATATAGGAATGTGACAAATTGTGCAAAACATATTCACATAATTTTGTAAGTGTGTTTTACATTTCCCTGAAGTGGTTTGATCTTCGTTTAATGTTTTTCGAATATGTTTTTTAACTAGCTTATTTTGAGAATGTAATATTTCATCACATTTTCCACATAATTTTACTTCATCTGATTCGCAATAAAATACAGATGGAGCATTCCCACAATAGTCACATAGAGGCAGGGAGAAATGTTCTTCACCGTTTGGGTCACATTCAAACTGTATTAAATAACGAGGTAACAATTGTGAATTATCAAAAATTATATATTCATGATGAAATGTGTAATATGGAAGAACACCACATGATGCCATTGTATTCCCTCCTAATACTATACTTATTTTGTTGTTATCTCCATCTCCTTCATTAGACATATCATTCCTTCGGATGCCACATTGGGATTCATCTTTGCTGTTATAATGAACTGTTAAAGAATGATCGAGTGAATTTGTTTTTTCTTTATTTATGAAAATACTGTCGTACTCTAATGGTACAGTATCTCTATTATACATTTCAGCTTCTTTTTCATTCACTGAAAGTGATAAACCCACACCTACGTCGCACAAGAAAAATTCAAATATACTTCTCTCTCCTGTTAATAACACAGTTTCACTATGTTTCATCATGTTCTTCAATGTCTTCTTTGCTTTATTTCTTGCACTCTGCTCGTTTGGCAGTTGGTTTGATTCTACCAATGCACGTTCAGTACCGAGCGTGGTCAGGGGAAATCCGGGGATGCTGAGTGGGAAGGTTAGACGTGAAAGTTACGCAGGAACATTTTGAAATGGCAAAAATGGTTCACATGCACGCTTCTAGGTAGTTAGAATGGGTCAGACGACTTTCGATAAATGGTTTGCTTCTATTTACTTGAAATTTCCAACAGAGAGACGGAGACCCCTTCGGTTGAGAGAAAATCCTCGAGTGCAAACATGCTGAATGGAATTGTCCATATCTAAAGATGCCACATCAATAAAAGATTTCAAAACGAACTTATTTGAATTTCTTTTTTGAAATTTGTTAATCATATGTGCAGGTGAGACGTGCCATGCCTGAACTAGTCGAACCCTCGATGTCCTTACATTCATTTGCAAAAGGTATTCAAGTGTTAACCATTCTTCTGAGTCTCGGAATATTTGCGTCAAGTTATTTTCTAAAATATTTATATCAGTTCCAAACAGGTTGGATACCATTTTAACTGCTTCTCGCAAATATTTCATGCATCCAGGAATTTCCTTCTCTCCTCACCCCTTGGTAGACAAAAAGACGGACACAAAAGAAGAGGAAAAACGAAAGCAAATGGAAGAACAAAAAAAATACACTTGTGATATCGCACAATTTCTGCCGTTCCGGATATGTAAGTTGAACACGTGGGGGTAGCTCTAGCGCTAAGGGGACGTGCGTGCAAAAAGGGAAAAAATATATTAAAAAATTAAAAAATAAAAAAATAAAAAAATAAAAAAATTAAAAAATAAAAAAATTAAAAAATTAAAAAATACACAAATAGGTGCCAAAGAACGTGCAGAAACACAAACACACACACCTGACTATGCAAATGTGTTAAAATGGAAAATGCAAATATTACAAAGGTAAAAATATATAATTCTTTTTTATGCAGCTGCAATTAAACCTTGGAAAGATGCTTAACATTTGTCAATTTTTTTTTTTTTTTTTTTTTTTTCTTTTCCCGAGAAAAAACCAAGTCTCAAAATTATTGCCCCTCGGGTGTGGTGAAAATTTTTTTACACATTTTATCATTCGAAACTCAAATGATTTCATTTTATGTAGCTGAAATGAGAAAGTGTACTATTGAGTGAGGTGTGAGAAGAAAGAGAATGAAGCTTTGGAAATTTGCAACTTCATGCTATTGCAACAAGGTAATTTATTATCATTTCTTTGCACACACTCCTTCATAAACATGAGCAGGAATACAGAACAAAACAAAAAAAAAAAAAAAAAAAAAAAAAAAAAAAAAAAAAAAAAAAAAAAAAAAAAAAAAAAAAAAAAAGACCCCAGTGCATCACACTAGAAAAAGCAAAGTATCAATTGTTCTTTCTCTCAATCCTGCATCACGCCATGGTTATGTGGGTAATTTTTTGTAGAAGTATCTTAAAATTCCAAGGAAAAAGTAAAAAAAAAAAAAAAAAAAAAAAAAGGGCAATTTCCATAACCAACTTGGAATGAATATTAGAAAGTTAAATATTCACAAAGTCTGATGAATATAAAAACTGTTCCATCCAGTTTTTTTTTTTTTTTTGGTGGGTATACACATAAAAAAAGATGGGAAAATTCCTTCAACATGCATAACCTCAATTGGGCACTTTAAAAAATTTAGTAAAAAGGCGAGCTGCGAGGTAAAAGTGGGGTGGGCAAAAAAAGTAAAAAAAGTTTACATCAAAAAGGAACATCAAAGAAAATACAGAAAAAAAATACAGCAAGGAAAAATACAGAAAAAAGGTACAGCAAAAAAACGCTGCAAAAAAAAAATACTGCAAAAAAAAAACGCTGCAAAAAAAAAATACTGCAAAAAAAAAATACTGCAAAAAAAACACTGCAAAAAAAATACTGCAGAAATATAAATACCGTCGGGATGTGATTTCACCTGCTTGAGACAATTTTGTAACTGTAACTGGTATTATAGATTCGTAAGAAAAAAAATGTTATTGTACTCTTGTCCCAACCCCTCTACTTCCCACCTGTTCGCCAGACCGAATTATCCTCATTTTCACATAGGAACAACATACGCAGAAATCAATTAACACATGTAACAATACAGATCATGAATGTAGATTAAAACAAATCTTTAAGCCATTGCAATGATAATTAGATGGAGAAAATCACCATCCATCCAGCGTCAACCCATTTAAAGAATGTTTCCATTTGAAAAAAAAAAAAAAAAAATACTATCTGTTTTTTTTTTTTTTTTTTTTTTTCTTTTTTATTGTCATTTTTTCTTCTTTTATGAAAAAATTGAAGAATTTTCTCACCCATTTTTTTTAACCGAACTCACCCTCCCCAGTGAAATGAAAAAGTTCAATACAAGTAACGAATATGACAAGGCATAGCAAAAATAACACAGCCAATCCTATATTTACATACCATGAGAGGAAAAAAGTTACCGGTAATAAAAATGCACATCTATCTAGTAATAATCATTATATATTCGCGTAAATGTTTTTTTTTTTTTTTTTTTTAAAAAAGGTATCTTGTACCAATTTAAAGAAAGAAAAATATATATATGCATCTGCATCTGCTTCTTATCATCTATGGGTTAGAACCTGTTTTCTCCTACATCCCATTGTGCATATATATACATGTGCAGGCACAAATGTCGGTGAATGAACATCTATTTGCACTCCAGATGCAGGAACCTTAAAAGAAAGAATAGGAAAAGACTCCATGAGAAAATTTGAACAATGCTGGATATGTCTAAGAAATGCAGAAAAACCTGTGAGTACACCACATGGACATATATTTTGCAAAATCTGTATAGTCAATAATTTTTTAGCACAAAAAAAAGTTTACGCAAAAAAAAAAAAAGAATATGATGAATATATTAATGATATGAAGAAGAAAAAAAATGAAGAGACTTCTTACCAGATGGAACTGGAGAAAAGGAAGTTTGTAGAGGAACTTGAAAAAATTGATAATTGTGAACATGTTCAGGTGATTATTTATTCTTTCTTCCTTGAAGTGAAAGAGGGTACATCTATCCTACTGACTCGGATCCGTTACATCTGTTGTGCATCTTTTTCTTTTCCTCTCCTCCTCTTCCCTATTATGTGTCAAAATATATGTGGAGTCCTAACGCAACAGTTTTATGTTTATTTAGAACATTACTTAAATATTGACCCCCACTACCACCACGCGGACTCACTTTTTTCAATTTTCTGTAGAAAGAGGAACAGAAGAATCTACATGATATATCAAACAATTTTTGGCTAGCACATAACAAAAAGGTGAAAAAGGAAATTGTCAAAAAGAAACCTAATCCACCATCTAAGAATTTGACTTGTCCAATTAGTAGGAAAACATTAAAAATGGCCGATCTAATAACTATTAATCCAGAGGTCTCACGGAACACCGATACTTCCGGGGAAGAGTAAGACTTTTTTTCCATTTTTTGCATTCCCATAAATAACCCTTCCCCATTTGTGATAATGTGCATATTACCACGTGGTAGCGTTAAGAAGTTATCACACTAAGATGTGATCTCATTAAGATGTAATCTCATTAAGATGTGATCCCATTATGATGTTATCACACTAAGATGTGATCCCATTATGATGTTATCACACTAAGATGTGATCTCATTATGATGTGTACGCGTGCATTCGAACGAAGGAGCTAATGTCGCAGAAGTTGTTACATAATAAATTCAGCAGATGTTGTCACATAGTCATCACCCCCAACCCACCTCACAATCCATGCAGGGAGAGATGGATTTGTTCCTATTCCAAAAAGAACATTGATCATCATGAGGCTGTTCTCATTAAAAAAACAGGAAAAATAATTTTAAAGGTAAGTATAAACCTGAGGGAGAGAGACGATTGGGCCACATAGAATATTCGAAAATATCTTTACACATAGAGGAGGGGGAGGGAGGAACGTAGCGGAAAAGTTACTTCTTTTGACTAGGCCAAATGTGACCAGTTTTGACTAGCCAAATGTGACCAGTTTTGGCTAGGCCAAATATGACCAGTTTTGACTAGGCCAAATGTGACCAGTTTTGACTAGGCCAAATATGACCAGTTTTTTTTTTTTTATTTTATTTTTAAACAAATAGAAAGAAAATGGAAAATAATGTGAGTGCACATAAGACATGTACGCGTTTATTTTGCGTCTAAGTAGACAATGACTAAGGCAGCAGGATGAGACGTTAATTTTAGCTGATTTTTTTTTTTTTTTTTTTTTTTCATTCATTCCGTTCTTTCTTTCCGTCTTTTCCCCCGCATTTTCTTTCCATTTTCCATAGTCCATTTTTGAAAAATTCATATACGGGAAAAAGAACTCCCTAGAAATTACTGTCGAGGATGGGGACTTTATCCATTTGAAACCTGGAGGGACAGGTATGTGTGTGGTTTTGCTTCTGGTAATTTATACTTGTGTAGTAGTCATTGAGAGTTTTTTTTTTTTTTTTTTTTTTTTTTCTCTTTATTTCCCCTCTCTTGCAGGAAAAGAAATTTTTGCAAACGAAAGCTCCGTTTGCAGATGCATTGTCGCTGCAATATGATTTAACATTTGGCAGCCACATTTACAGTTGTGTGTTTTTTCAAGAATATTTCACTACCTTTAAAAAAATATTTTACAATTTTTAAAAAAACGTTTCATTATTCTTGAAAAAATGCTTCCTTATTTATTTTCATTTATTTTTTTTTTTTTTATTTTACTTTTGCAGCCTTCTGCTCTCATAGCAGTGTCGAGAAGACCATGTATCGAGAGTCACTTCTATGACATTGGAATAAGCGATAAGTAACACCGGGGTTTAAAGTTTGTTCCCATTTATTGTGCTCCTCTAGGACACTTGGATTCAGATTATTTTTTTTTTTTTTTTTTTCCTTCTATTTTTGCACCGCTCCTTAACAGCGTTCATATTTTTCCATTTTGACAACTTGAGAATTTTGTGATTCTTATACTTTGAATATTTCTCTTTTTTCCCATATGTGGTGCATATGTACGTATATAAGTATGACATGGCACAGCATGGCATGGCCTGGCACAGTATAGAAAAGAACAGCATAGTATTTTTTTTTTTGTTTTGTTTTTGTTTTTTTTATATTCCATATTATGTGACCCTTTTTTCCTTCCCATACTACTTTACTATTTTTATTTTCTCTTTTTTCGATACGGCAATATATTTTATGGCGGCAGTGTTTTTTCCCCCCCTGACTTGATGTTGACCAAAAGTGTACATAACAAAATATTTTTTTTAAAAAAAAAAAAAAAAAAAAAAAAAAAAATGAACAACCTTGATAAAAGATGTAAATCGGGTGAATCATTTGGCGTGAAAAATTTGGCATGAAACAGCTGACCTGAAACAGCCGATGTGAAGCTATATTAAGGATATGTTGGGACGCACACAATTGAGCGGGCGCAGAAACTCTAAAGGATGGATGATAACACTACTTATTATTATTTGTTTTTTTGTTAAGGTACACTACTTTAAGAATACAAATCAGGCGAGCAAGAATTATTACTACCTTGCTGTGTTCAGAAAAAATGGAAACATCCTATTCCCACGCCAAAAGTGTGCAAAACTTGTCAATAAACACTATAACCTTGGGAGGCAAGTCAGAGCAGATACAACCATATACACAAATGGAAACACATACACAGATACAAATGAAAATGTGATCCATAGCAGGAGAAAGGATTTTTCCATTTTCATCACGCACCTTAACTTTAACTTAACGGGTCGTCGCGACATAAATGAAAGTACAAAGAAACGATTCAGCTGGGGAAGGAGGGTCCCATTTTTCTCCCCATTGAAATGCACAAATGGAAAGTTTAAACTTGGTCTTTTCCGCTCGACACTGAAGGGAAGTGAGAAGGACAAGGGGCAGGACAAAGGGCAGCATAATGAGGAGAGAACCCAGCATGATAACGTCCAAATGGAAAAGAACAAAGGTGGTGATCGAGATGATGAATTGATGGGTAGGACAATCCAGTCGAGTTGGAATCGTCTCAAATCAGATGAGCCACACATGTGGGAGAACTCAAATGATGAAGTGAAAATAAGTGCAAATGTAGAAGAAAAAAAAAATAAAATAAAAAATAACAATAATGGTAATACCAATAATAACACCAATAATAACACCAATAATAACAACAATAGTAACACCAATAATAACAACAATAATAACAACAATAATAACAACAATAATAGAGTAAAAAATTTCAAATTTACATCGTGGAATAACACCAACGAAATAAACAGCTTCGACATAGCCAAGTATAATATGCATAACGAATCAGTAAATAGCGAAAATTTTTCTCAGAATTATCAATCGGCTCACTATTCAATAAAGAAGAAAACTTCAAATGGTTCAAATGGGATTCGTCCGAATGTAAAAATAAATCAAGAATTAGTGAATGCTCTATCTGTTGAAGAATTATTTAACGTTATTAACAAATATTCTGAATACACTACAAGTGATAAGGAAAAAATAAAAATTTTCAATGAAGTAAACATAGTAACTGCTTACCATCGTGTAGCAAAACATGTTAAAAATAAAAATTATTCCTTGAACACTCTTAGGAATACAGGTCAAGGAGGAGAAACACCAAGTAGCGATTTTGATCCCATAACCTTCAGCTTGCTGGAAACCTACTCTCCTCTGACAGCAGAACAAAGAGAGAAAACAAAGAGAATGAAAGACGCTGAAGACACGAAAGAAATGAAAGACGATGAAGACACAAATAATATACCGTTTGAAGAATCCAGAGGTGACAAATGCCCGGAGATGAAGACACTACAAATTGAAGATGCAGAAACGCAGGATGAGGCGGATCAACCCCCGTGCAATAATCACGAGAAACTTCTAACAAGACAAACGTACAGAAGTATCTACTCATTATTGAAAGAAAATTTGATTAAAAATAAATCAATAATTCCAAAGCATGTTGCAAATATTTCATGGGCATCAGCCATCTTGTCAAATAGGGAAGCGGATATATGGGAAAATATAAAAAAAAGATTTTATGAAAATTTGATAAATTTCAAAGCACAAGAAATTTCCATTATCTTATGGTCTTTCAGTGTAATTAAACAAGAACTCATTAAAACAAAAGATGAATTCATACTAGTGTACGAATTATTGACAAAACATTTAAAGGAAAATAAATTTAATGCACAAGAATTTAGCAATGTCATATGGTCAGTTGCTATTTCCAATTATTGCAATTATGATTTATTAATAAGTTTATATAACTATGCATTGGGCATATTTGATAAATTGCAATTAAAAGATATATCCACTATTCTATATAGTTTATCACGATTTGCATCTGATTCTTCCAATCATGATATTTTAGATGTAATCAAGAATAGACACTTTAACAAATTTGATTTAAAAGGAGACTATCTAACAATTAATAAACCAAGTCCAAATAAAACCACGGTAGAGAAAAATGTATTTCACAAAAAATTTACCTTTTTAGATATAACTAATAAGAACTCAGATTCCACTCTCACCACTGAAAATATATGCACAGATAATCAAAAGGGGAGTCATAAAAAATATGCTGCCTTTCTGCTTTTTGAAAATTTCCTCCTATATTCTTTCAAAAGAATTTCAAATGAAAGACAAAAAATGACTATGCGAATTTGGTCTAGCATCTTCTGGCCTTGTGCAAATATAGGTTTGGGTCTCTATAGAGATCTTCCAACTCATCACTCCCTCAGATACTACCAATGCACTGGTGTTAGCGAGGAGAATATAGGTGAGCCTAGAAGTGAGGAAACCATTCATTGTTGCAATTTTCAGGAACCGACAGAGGTCAATCTGAATCATTGCATACCCATAAAGGCAGACGACGCCCAGGAGAAAAATTCAAATTTTGAGATGAATCAAAATGAAGAGAAACACACCGAGGAAGAGAATTTATCATTCTACTGTAAGCCATATGTTCATATAATCGATGGACAGTACGTCTTTCCACTGATGAGATATTCACATAAAGAGAAATACATTGGGTTGAAACAGAAACAAGATATAACGAAATTTGGCATAAATGTACAGCTAGACATATACAATCTGAAGGAAAATAAGGTGAATTACATTTCCCCACAGGTAAATAATATGAGAAGGACACAGGAGGGTAACACGTTCGTTGCCTTGGATGATCAAAATGGAAATCAAAATAGTGCATTGATTAGGAGTAGGCTAGAAGAGGAAGAAAAAAATAACAGAAATAATAATAATGGAAAAAATAATAATAGTAATAATTACTCTCTCGTCGATTTGAACAACGGAGTCTTCTTGAGGGGTATTCCAAAGGAGGAACAAAAAAGTAACACAAAAACAGGTGAAGAAAATAAAACGATTAATGAAGTTAAACATGTGTATGGTATACCAAGTGATGATGAATCATGCGTAAGTGTTAATAGGATGAAGAACGCTGAGGAAAACCCCACGGAGAGCAGCAACTCGAACGGGACGCAAATGGATGAGAAAAATTACGAGAAATTTATGAAAGAATTGAATGACAAAAGAAAAAACGAAGATCTTGCATCATTATATAATGACACAAATAACAGTGTAGTAGTTCTAAAATTAGTAGAATTATTTGAATCTCAGTTGAAAGAAAAAACTATAAAATGGACAAAGTGTGAAATTCAATCGATAGCTAATATATTATGGAGCCTATCCATTTTGAACATATTTACAAATACCATATTTGAAAACGGTTTATACGAATGTAATAAAAGATTTATAAAATATGGTAAAAAAAAAAACTCCACTAAGTTACAATTTTTCATATCTCAAATTCATCAGTCTCAGCTATACCAAGCGTCCTTTTCATACTGTTTATATCTTATGAGAAATAATCAAAAAAAATCCACACAAATATCCAGAACTTGTGAACATATAATGGTGCATAATGCTCATATGAATAACACTGCACACTTAAAAAGAAAAATACAACACACTTTTGAAAAATATTTTAAAGTTTCTGTAAACACATTAAATATATGGAAAAAACAGCTAGCCAGAAATCAAAGAAAAGAAGAAAAAAATCAAATTTCATCATCTGTACATAAAAAAATCTCTAATGATTTGAAGCACTTAAACATATTTCACTACAATGAGTATTTTATTTTGGATTCCATTCTTGTGGATATATACATACCCCATTCAAAGGTCTGCTTCTCCCGTGAATACACACACATACAGACACGCACATCTTATCGTTTTACCCGTTTGATTATGCTATTCAATCACCATGAGTATTAGTTGCCCAGTCTACTTCGCTCCTATTCTTTGCAATTTTGCTGTTGTACTATTAATAAAGTGCATATTTGTGGTATACATCCTCGCTTGGATGATATAGCACATATGCATGTTTTGCACGATTTTTTTTTCTCATTCTATTTTTCCTTTTTTTTTACATTCTCTGCATAGGTTGTTATAGAAATAGATGGACCCAGTCACTTTTTTCAAAAAGGAAAATTAATTCTTTACAACCCAAATTCCCTTTTCAAGAAAAGATTATTGAGAGCACTTGGTTTTTCAATAATTTCTATTTCGATTAGCGACCACACATTTATGTTTAGTGCCTTGAATACGTTAAATTTTGTAAAGAAGTTATTGAGCAATGTGAATTTCAACAGAAATAGTTAACGCTCCAACGTCATGGAATATGATAACACAGCACACACATATATGTATGCATGTGCATGTCGATCTGCACTTATGCATAACGTCATGCTCATCTTACACTCGAATATGCACATTCATCCCCTAATTTTTTTGTTTTTCATTTTAAAATTCGATGTTTTTATCGAGTGACAAATTTTGAAGTGAATTCATTGATCACCTCTAGAAAGCGGTTTGTTTTCCCCACCCTAGGTGTATTCGTTTATTGTCCTATTTATCTACTCGCTAATGACCCCCCCCCCCCCCCCCTAATTTTATTCCTCCATTTGTTGACCACCTTTACCGCTTTTGTAATGCTCGCGCTTGTATTTTTCTATAAAAATGCACATGAAAAAGCCACTACATAAAGTATGGAAAGGGTTTTACTACTATCTACTAATCTCTGCAACAAAACAAATTGTTGCAAATGTTTTTGAAATTTTTTCCTGACTCGTTCATATTTTTTTTTTTTTTTTTTTTTTTTTTTTTTTGCACACAAGAATTGCCTTTTTGGCTAGTTGGACAAATTTGTTTAAATGTTTATTTGATTTTCCATATTTACAAAAAGGGGAGAAATACGGTTTAAAAAAAAGAAAAAATAAATAAAATAAAATTACAAATATGATACGTTGGTATGTTGATATGCTAAGACGCTAACACGCTGATATGTTCTGATTTGCATGCATATATTTGTTCACCAATTGTAGATCTCTGCATTCAATAAAATCTGGGCATGTACCCGTTCACAGTCGCTCGTTTTTGCACGTTAGACATGGTTATCTGTATAAATACGCATGGGTGGGAATTTATAAAATGTCTTGACTGGAATGTGTTTGGTATATTTGGGCGAATGAATATATTCACATTTTAACATGCCTTATATGTGTACATATGGCTAAAATTTTTAATCTCTCCTATGCGTGTGTGCGAAGAATGTGTAGAAAATATGGACCCCCGCACTCTATTTTCGGAAACTTTGTAAAAAGTAGGGATTTCTTTAGCCATGGTTGTTTGAAGTTACTTAACAAGAGGGTTATATACATATATATATATATATATATATATATATATAATAGGATAAATACATATATGTACACATGTACGCATGTATGTACATACATAATAATGCACGCACACTGGCACAACGAAAGGGGGGTTGCAAATTCGGGAAAAGTTTAAAGTACTAAAAAGCTGGGGGAGAGGTTGCAGGGCTGATTCGATCATGTGTGAAATATACTACCTGTCCAATGTTAATAACAGTTAACCACCACTCTGAATGAGATTTATTTACATGACACTTTTAATCCTTCCGAATGGATGACATATGTCTGAAGAGCAACTTGGGAACCTCTAGCATATCCACTTCATCCTTTTCCAGGACTTGCTTCAACTTTTCATCTGGTACAATTTTCCTTTTTGTATTTGGATTTTGTAAATTATTTTCCTTAATATATTTCCATGCATACTTCAAAACATAAACTCTTGAAGCAGTGTCAGTATTTAAAAACTCTTTCAAAGGACTCTTAATTTCACAGTCGATTTGTAATCCATTTGGTTTTTTTTCTTTAACATTATCGTGCTTCATTTTTGTTTCACTTTTCTCATCACTTTTCCTTTTGTGTTCATTGTCTGTGCTGAAATGATTTATTACGCAAAATTTTGTGGGGCTCATGGACTGATATTTTATTCTTAGGGTGGTTGGAAGTTTTCCACTCAATATGTTCTTTTTAATGAAATTCATTTTGTGTGCTTTTCAAGGTGTGTTGAAATGGAGAACTTTCACGAAAGTTTGCAGTGCTGATGAAGAGGATACCAAAACATAAGGGAGGTGATAAACCCACAAAAAAAAAAAAAAAAAAAAAAAATTAGAGACTGGCAGGTATATGTATGCACTTTTATGCCTTTTCGACTTATTTCACAATTTTACTAAAACTACATGCATTCTCATGGAAAATGCGTGCAGGTTTGTTGGGTTGCACAGCATGGAACAGATATCTGGTCAAAGGTATCTGCAGTTGGTGGAATTTTCACATACAGCAGTAGCCCTTCAAGCTTTGCACTTTTGCTACTTTTGCTACTTTTGCCACTTTTGCTACGTTTGCCACTTTTGCTACGTTTGCCACTTTTGCTACGTTTGCCACTTTTGCTGCATGTGCTTTTACTCTTTTTTTTTTTTTTTTTTAAATGCTCGTTTGACCGTTCTCTTTATCACTTTTACTGTGTCCCTTTATTTTATTTTTTTTTTTTTTTTGAAATTTCCTCACAACTCATTCCTTTGTGTTGATCCGAGAAAATATTAATCGCAGGTGATGGGATACACACGGAATTAAACTCCAAATGTGTGTACTAATGGTTCTTTTCCAAAGTGTATCATCACGCGAACCTTTAAATGTATGTTTAGTTATGTGTCAATGTTCATACACATGCAATCATGACACACATGCGGAATGCATGTAGCAGGTTTCCCTGGGGGGTTGTGCATTGGGGAGAGAAGCCAAGTGACAATACCCATCTACACACACACGCATAAATAGTTTTTTAAAGCTGATTGATACTTTATTATTTTTATCACCTTTTTTAACATATATATGTATATATATATATATATGCATATATACATGCATACATACATATATTTTTTTTGCTGCCTTTTTATAATGGTGAAAATAATTTAATTCCCCCTTGGTGTGACAACTAAAATGGTAGACGTTCCAATAGTAATAAGTGATATGGATATTTTAAAATGGTGATTTATGCAATATCGAAAGTTTCTTTTTTTTTTTTTTTTTTTTTTTTCCTTTTTTTTTTTTTTTTTTTTTTTTTTTTTTTTTTTTTTTCCTTTTTTTTTTTTCCTTTTTTTTTTCCTTCTTTTTCCATTTTTTCCCTTTTTTTTTCCTTTTTTTTTCCTTCTTTTTCCATTTTTTTCCTTCTTTTTCCATTTTTTTCCCTTTTTTTCCCCTTCTTTGGCCTTCCATATTCTTCTTTCCCTTGTTTTCTTCATTTCGTACTCACTTTGAAGGCTTACATTTTTGTTCTCAGAAAAAATAGTACAATAAATAAAATGCACTTACGTAATATGGACACAAACACACATGTGTACTAGGAATTATGGAAAGGCCTATGGATTTAATTTTTCCTCGTTCATTAATGCTACTTGAAGTATCATAACACTAAAGGGGAGGGGGAGAAAAGGACGGATCATTTATGACTTACACTCCTTTTTTAAGTTGAGTGTTCCTTCGTAACAATTCCATTTTTATAAAAAATTATTCTTTTGTGCAAGTGTGGAGATGCTAACTAGGGCGTAGCTTAAAGTGTAGCTTGAAGAGTAGTTTGGAGAATAAACCCCAGCCCCAATCATAGTCATAGCACTAATCATAGCAGTGGCATTAATCCTAGCCCCACTTCCCCTCTCAAAAAAAAAAAAAAAAAAAACTTTGTATATAGGATTCCTAGCCCAGTTAATCCTGCTTCAACTCTAACGTTGTAGTGTTTATTCCCAACTTGTCAATGATGTATATTTCCGTCGAATCTCCAGTATATATATCTCTTTCTGTAGCAGAAGTGATCGCATCCTTAACAAAATCTATATCGTCTCTCAAATTAAAATTCATATTTTTAACTAGCTGATTTTTCTGTTCCATTCTGTTATCTAAGATAGGTAAAATAAGTGCAGATCCACTACCAACACATGAATGAGTTGCTTCACAATATGAACCAATAGCATCGTAATTATAAAGTACTCCTTTGTTGTCCTCACTTATTCCTGCCAAGAGATTGAATGTGTAGTAGGGAAAAAATCTTCTGCTATAAAGTATCACACATAGTAGCCTTGCAATCACATGAATATCTGGGCTATGTCCATGTTCAAGTATGAACAATTCGATTTTTTTCTGAAAAAAAAAAAAATTGCAAAAAATTGCAAAAAATTGCAAAAAAAAAAAAAAAAAAGGAAATAAAAACGAGCTCATATCAACAGGAGAAATAAATTATACAATCCGTTGAAAAAATTAGCAAAACTGTCTCAGTATATTTATTAACCCCCCCGTGTGTTCATGATTTATGCAATTTATTTACACAATCAAAATATGAGCCTGCACTCAGTCGTCCACGCTTGCCTTTTTTGTATGGCCTTCACTTTCTTTTTCGTTTCATTTTCATTTTCACTTTCTTTTTCGTTTCATTTTCATTTTCACTTTCTTTTTCGTTTCATTTTCATTTTCACTTTCTTTTTCGTTTCATTTTCATTTTCACTTCCTTTTTCGTTTCATTTTCACTTTCTTTTTCATTTCTTTTCCTTTTTTACCTTCAACAACGAGTGCAGGGTTTTTATGTCTGACTGCATTCCAGAGGACCCGATAATACACTTGTCCGTTCTATGAAATATAAATAAGGAATGAAAAAAAATCATGACTAACATTTACATTTCTCATTTGGCTCATGAGACAATAAGTATTTTCTACATATGGATACACTCGCAATTCCTCTTTCAATAGTACTAGTTATAAAAAAAAAAAAAAAAAAAAAAAAAAGAGCAAATTTTTTTTTACAATTTTGATATTTTTGGGCAATATCTCGTATATATAGAGTAAGACAAGGACAGTCTTGTGTCTGCAGCTAGGATGACGTAATCTTTGCCAGTTAACCCGATAACGGTTCTGGTTAAAAGAAAAAAAAAAAAAATAAAATAATAGTATACATGAATATGCACAAGTAAGTACATTATTTTGTGTGCTGAATTCTCCTTTTTTACAAAAATTCAACACGGACAAGTTATTATATATAATGATGGGTAAACGCGTTTGAACGTTGTTTCCCCTTGATATGTTCATGCATTTATTGATGTCACAAGGATGTGACTTTGTGTATGTTCCCTGTGCACTTCGTGTAGTTCAGTTGTTTAGTTGTTTAGTTGTTTAGCTCTTTAGCTCATTGTTTTTTTTGTTTTTTCATTGCTTCATTTCGATATTTAAAACCACTTCCATGTCTGATATTCATATTTTAATCGGTTCTCTCGATAATTTCTTTCCTTTTTTTTCCATACCCTCCGTTGTCGATATAAGGGTACCACCTCTTAAAACCACGCCCATGTTCCACTATGCTATCCTTCTCCTCTGAATTGTTTTTTCCTGAATAATCATTTAAAGTCAAGATTTCCATTTTGTGTGCATGAAACTTTTTTGGGGGATATCACTTGGAAAGTAAATAATCTAGCCTTTAAGAATGTAATAATATAATCTTAGCACTTTTAGCCTTAAACGTGCAAAAAAATGTAAAAGTAGGTCAATGTTAATAAATCAGTGAGTCATTTCTTTTCTGCTGCACAAAAGAAAAAAAAAAAAAAAATTCCCTCTTTCCCTCTTATGATTTTTTTTATTTATTTTTATTTATTTATTTTTATTTATTTATTTCTTTATATTTTTTTTTTTACGCCTTGGCATGAGTGATTAGCCTGCAGTTTGGTAATTTCGGATGAGAAACTTTTATTTTAATTTTACTTTTTTTTGCCTTTTTTACTTGTTCTGCTATTTTTGCTTTTTTTTGTTTTTTTCCCGTTTTTTGCATTTTTTTATTTTATTTTTTTTTTTCTGAATAAAGAATGTATCCCCCTTCATTGTACTCAATTTAGTAGTCTCAAATTGTACACACATGTGTGACAAGCGTTGGGTTAGTTCTTACTGCACCACAAGCTTTACCTGTGGGTGATGCACGAGGCAGTTCAGCTCTTTCTTTTGCACTCTTTCTGATATCAAATGTTGAATATCACCTGGACGTTGCTTTAACATGTTCACGCATAATACCTTTTTCTCGAACTTCCTTCAGTCTACTTTTATTTTATTTTATTTTTTTTTTTTTCACGACCGATTTTAGTTTGGGTTTTCTACTGCAGGAAACAATTTGAAATACACTCAACAGACCAATTAAAATAAAACATTATTTTTGGGGTGTCATAAAAACAACGTGTGCTACAAGGAACTTAATATATTATATACAATGCAGCTCGTCTTTCAAACTTGTTCAAGGCGAATTATACCTAATTGAACATGCTTCATCTTTGACCATTTATACCATAGCGAAAAAGAATACCAACCTTTACGAATGAATCCTAATCATGACACCGTGTTTGTATTTATTGCATACTCTTCTGTAGCATGGCTTAGTACGCAGGAGTTTTTTATTCTCATTTTTTTCTACTTTTTCTCATTTTTTTCTACTTTTTCTCATTATTTCCTACTTTTTCTCATTATTTCCTACTTTTTCTCATTATTTCCTACTTTTTCTCATTATTTCCTACTTTTTCTCATTATTTCCTACTTTTTCTCATTATTTCCTACTTTTTCTCATTATTTCCTACTTTTTCTCATTTTTTCTAATTTTTTCATTTTTCCAACCCATTTTGTTGGTCGCAAAATTTTAGTGTATAATAAAACGTGATATGGATAAGTTGCAAATTATGGAGAACAAGGGAAAAAGTGTTTCTAACGGCAGCAGGGGTAGGAAAAAAAGAAAAAAAAAAAAAAAAGAGGGGCCACAAAAGTTAACAAATTCGGATATGCATAAAATATATATGTATATATAATATACCTTTTACGTGTGCATAAAACGGGAAAGTAGATTCCTGTTAAGGGGTATTTTGAGCAGAGGTGCAAATAAAAGTTATGATGTATTCCAAGGAGGAGATGGGAGACTTATTTTGTGTAGCAGTACATGCATATAAACACACATGTTACGTCCTGTTTGAAAGAAACAATACAACACATTCGAAACTTCCAAAGAAATTCACGAACCACGGGGAGAATGAAAACATTGGGAATTGCTTTCATGATTTATAAACATAATGTTCGTTCTGTGAGGGGCAGTATAATTAAATAAATTGTAGGGCTTCACAGTAGAGTGGTGGGGGTAGACAGTGTCCTTTCCACGACACTTTTCATCTTGGAGATCATCACATTTGTCACCTTTCGTGTCATAACGGGTGCTGGCAAAGGCAGTGGTATGTTCTTTTTTTTTCCTTGTTTGTCCATTTTTCAGTCGACTTAAATACTTCTCAACTGCTAGGGATATTGAATGTCTGTAAAAATCATACTCCTCTGAAGACACAAATAATTTATAATCTATTAAATGTAAAAAGTTGGATTCTAATTTGTTAATTTCTTGTGTAGATACCCCTCCAACCTTTGCATAAAAATCATTTGAATAATACAAGTCATCAAAAAATTTAGCAGATATCATTGTAGCAGTTATAAGTAATCTATGAATACACAAAAGTGATAAGCTAATGTCTTTGTTTAATTTTATAATTCTGTCAATATATATCATTAAAAGAACAAAACATTCGTTACTACATCCTATGTATTTACTTATCCTTTCAACATAATTTTTAATAGATATATCAGGGATTTTTGAAGCATGAAAACTAGTGATTTTCCCTTCTCCTCTATCTTGCTTTATCATGTTTTCCAGCACGATGGGAATATAAGAAATATATTTTCTATCCGTCCTAGGTGCATCGGCTCCTGTTTCATATTCCATTTTCGCGTGTGTGCATTCCCCCACACATGTCCACGTGTATGTTGTACAGATAAATTTTGTAAATGTATAGATAAATATTTGCAGGCATAAATAAATATTTACATGTATACACACACACACACACACACATATATATATATATATATATATATATATATATATATATATAAATTTACATGCATACATATATATATAAATTTACATGTGAACGTATAGGTCATGTGCCCACGCTGAGTTTTAACTTACCGACAAGAAAAGAAAAAAAAAGAAAAAAAAAAAAAAAAAGGAAAAAGCAAAACAAAACAAAACGAAACAAAAATCTAGCGGGGAACCAACTATGGAAATGACGTAACGTGTGAAGGAAGTGCAAATATATATGGACAGTGATATATTCCACTCCTTCTTTCATGTCTTTATGTAGCATATTTTTCGAAATAATGGAACTTAACTATCACTTGAAACCCCTTCGTTCTTTCACAACCCTTCTAATCTAATTTATCCTCACCATTTTCATATTCCTTCTATCTTTACTAGAAAAGCAACATACCCTATTTTCTTTACCCTGTGCAAAGGGGGAAAAAAAAAAAAAAAAAAAAAAATTAACACGACAAATGTAGCGCCCGTTTGACATATATTCATCTCGAGGAAGCAGCAAAATTGATGGATTTCTACACGTGCACATTAAATTTTTGAAAAGTAAAAGTAGGAACTTAAACGCTCATGCAAGAATTCCGTATGCTCGCGGGGATTGGAAAGAAAAAAAAAAAAAAAAAAAAAAAAACACACATATGCACGCATGTAAGCCTATATGTATATAATCATATACATGCGTATAATATCGGTATGTTTCCTCATGAAGACCAACTCAGTTGTTCAATCGTTGTAATAAAAAAAAAAAAAAAAATATATATGGACACAGATGTATGTCCGTATGTATGCATGTATATATTTACATGTTCGATGGAATGTGTATATATATGTGAGAGAAAAAATCCTATGACGGAAAAAGTAAAAGCGCTAAGTAAATGTCCATTGTCCGGACCGTGCAGTTGCGTATGGGAAAAAAAAAAAAAAAAAAAAAAAAAAAGACATAACTTCTTTCTTCACATTTTTTTCCAAAGCAGGTGTGAAAATTTGACCCTTAACAAGATTTGTTGAGAATCATAAAAATGGAGTTAAAAGCTAGAGGAGGTAATAAATAATAGAATAATATCATACTATATATAAAATTTTACTGTTATGTTTGCACAATCTCATTACTTCGCAGGTACGAACTTGTCCTGTTTGCCTACTCTACATTAATTACCTGTGTGTCTCTTTGACGTGAAAAGATGCTTTTTCATTGCGTTACTGTTGGAGATTCCATGTTTATACAAATATATACATATATATATATATATACATGTCAACTGGGTGTACTGGATGGATACAGAAATGAGTTCAAGAACGAACATGCTAGGAGAATGTATTAGGTGCACATATAAAACAACAATTTATCCGACTTTTCATCATTTCCCTTGTCATCACTTCCCATCTCATCAACCTTTCCTGCACCATATCATCATTTCTCTAATCATGCACGACTAGCTTTTAAACAAAACTTGGCTTTTCTTAACGTTCTGAATCACTGTTCCTGGCTTTACTTTCGATGCTGGATTGTTGGCTAGTTCCATGGGAACAATATTATTGGAAGAAATAAGAAACTGTTTTAAATCATAAAATAAATGCGTATCCTGTTCTGTAACGAATGAAATGGCTAGTCCTTTCATACCGGCTCTTCCAGTACGTCCAATTCTGTGTGTGTAAGATTCAATATCCTTTGGCATATCAAAATTAATAACTAATTTAACCCCATGCACATCAATACCTCTTCCAGCAACATCTGTAGCTACTAATATATCATAATCTGCATTTTTAAACGAATTCAGTGTTTGTTCTCTTATTTCCTGTGCTTTTCCACCATGCAGAGATACGGCTCTAAATTTCATTTTGCTTATCGATTTTGCAATAATGTCTGCAACCTTTTTCTGATTAACAAATACAATAATGGGTGGTTCATAATTTTCTAAAATTTCTTGCAACTTTTGTTTCTTTTTCCCTTCTGTAATAAATTCCAATTTCTGTTCTATTGACCTTTTACCTGCACCTGGATCCCCAATGGATATATAAGCTGGAGCTCTTAAATATTTTCTAGATAATCTTTCAACTGCTGGTGGCATGGTTGCAGAAAACATTTGTGTAAGTCTGTATAAACGATGTCCTGCCTTTGCCATCATTTCTTCTTGTAACGCTAATGCATCATCTTCTGATTTCAAATTAGATGTTGGTATTCTGTCCAAAATGAAATGAACAGAATCTTCAAATCCCATGTCCATCATTCGATCTGCTTCATCTAAAATTACATAATTACATTGATTTAATACTGTATATGCCTTTTCTAAACAATCTTGTATTCTTCCTGGGGTCCCTATAACTATTTCTACTCCTCTTCTCAATTCGAAAGCTTGTGCTTCTGCATTTCTACCTCCTACTACTGCTACCGTTCTGCATGAACAGTACGATGCAAACTTATTTGTTTCATCAAATATCTGAATGGCTAGTTCCCTCGAAGGGGCAATGACAAGTGCATAAGGACCATCTTGAGATGTTTCATAAGTCAATGGTGGTAGTTGTTTCACATATGAAAGCATAGGCAAAACAAACGCAGCAGTTTTTCCTGAACCAGTTTCAGCAATACCAATTAAATCTCGCATTTCTAAAGCAATTGGTATAGCTTGCATCTGAATTGGTGTAGGATTTTCATATTTTGCTTTTTTAATAGCTTTTAATAAATCACTAGACAGATTAGATTCTTCCCATCTTCTTATGGGTGGTGGTACAACCCCACCTTTAATATAAATTTCATTATCTTCTCTAAATATTCTCCAATCTCTGTCTGTCATTTCTTCTCTTTTTTTCTCACTCCAGTGTTTATTATGAACATCTTGTATGATGTTATTTATTTTGGGTTCGTAAATAAGTTCTCCAGTTTTGCTTCTACTCAAGGAGTTATTATTGAGATTGGTAAAATGTTCCATTGGATTCGATGTGTTTGACAATGATGATATGCTAGTAGTATGATTAGCTATACCGTTCATAATATTATCCACATCTGCATCACTCTTGTCCAAACTATCCTTCTTTTGAGAGTTACTAGAACCTGTTCCTTTTCTCATACTAAAGTTTATTCTATTTTGAACTAAATTATCATAAAAATTATTTTTTTTCCTTTGTTCTCTAACGTCTATCCCTGCAATGTATCCTCGACCAAATAACAATTGGGGTTCTAGTCTGTTCTGATATAACGGGTTACTGTCGTTTCTAGATGTATCTTCTGATTGATCCCACTCAAAGTTAAAAATGTTTCTAAACTTTTCTGATGGCTTCTGCATTTTCTTTTTCTTTTTGTTTAACCCTAAATATTGTTGTTTTATGATTTCTAATTCCTTTTCCTTTTGACTTTCTCTCTCAATGTTGCTAATATGTAGCATATTTAACTCTGCTAAGGATGATTCCACTTTTCCATACCTGTCCTTATAATTTTCTTCCTCTTCCTCTTCTCCATTTTCGTGTTTACAATTTTGTTCATCATTTGATTCTTCATTTGAGGACACTTTCCTTCTTCTTTCATTTATTTCAGACTCCCTTTTTCTAATTTCTTCATTTGATTCGATTTTTTTCCTTGTCCTATATCTATCATCATTATAATATGTTTTATTATCGATATCCCTCTTCCCTCTTCTGTTATCTATTTCCTTTTTGCGTGAATCTTTTTTATACCTGTTTTCTTCACCCATGGAAATAAAGCTTACATTTTCTTTTTTATCAGATTTTCGCTTAATTTCTTCTCTTACTTTTTTTGTTAAAAAAACTAGTTTCTCATTGCTACTAGAAATGTTTGCAAAAATTTTTCTGTTCATATTAATTGTGTTGGTTTCTCGAGTTCTACTAGTAATGTTACTGCTTTGCTGAATTTCTTCTGTTCTCTCCCTTTTTCTGACATGTTCATATTCCTCTACATCTAAGTCTAAGTCTTTCATTTTTCTTTTATTTTTATGTGTAAATATGTTTTCTTCTTCAGATGAGGATGCAGAACTGGATGAACTATACAAGTTAATTTTTTTTTTTTTTATTTCGCTTGGAATAAATCTGTACATTTCTTTCCTGATATTGTTATCACCAGCGGATGTTAAATTCTCATGTGTGTATTTTGTTTGGTCTTCCTTTACTTGGTTATTTAAGTTATCACTGTCTTGGGCGCTTGTGTCTTGCTCTTTTAAACCATTTTGATTTTCTTCCTGGAATTTATTTATTGTGCTTTCCTTCTCTTCTATACTATTTTTTTTTTTTTTTTTTTTTTCTTCTTCTTCCTTTTCTTCATCATTTTTATCTGAACTGTTCATATTTTTTTCATCATTTTGTAAATTCCTTTCTGACTTCACATCTTGGGCATCCTTTTGAATATTTTGAAACGGGTTATTAACTTGGACGTTCTGTTTCTTCTCATCCTCAGTCGTGTTATCCTTTTTCCTGAACAGAAACATCTTTATGCATTTTATTTTATATGCTTTTTCGGTAAGCGCTGTTAAGATTTCAGATTTTAGTACATTTGGTGTGTTACATGGGTTTGAATATGAGTGGATATATATTCCACGGTTACTACTGTAAGGAGTTTTTTTTTTTTTTTATTAACACGTAGTGATCAAACTTCTATATAGTATAAATAGAAATGGTATTTCTGAATTATAAAAACAGACAAAAATGAAATAATGCTTAGTACAAGGACAAAACAAAGGTAATAAAATGGGTTACCATTGTATCATTTATTCTCTTCACCAAGCCTACGACATTGTGCTCAACGACACAAAATAGGATAAAAAAAATAAGAAAAATCACGTGTCGTGTTATGCTCACGTGTACAGGTATATATATCACTATTCAAATGGGCCCAGCAATGCTGATTTGATTTTTATAATCCAAGCCTTAGGAAAAACTTCTCTTTTTGTTTGCTCAATTTCGATTATACATAGGGGGGAAAAAAAAAAAAAAAAAAAAAATTGACACAATCTGTGAGGTATGTTACATCCTAATTCGTTCGCATGAAAAATGGGAAAACGTAAAAACTTTCGCAAAGTGGAGAATAAAACTGAACCCTCATCTTCCCCATTAAATGAAATGCGAGGAAAAATTATTTTTTATATGGGTACATATAACATATTAAAGGTCAATATGTCCAAGAGAAAACACCAGAAAAAAAAAAAAAAAAAAAAAAAAAAAAAAAAAAAAAAAAAAAAAAAATAAACCAGTCCAGTACAACACACCATTTTGCAATGTCCCTTAAATGCAGAATATTTTTGTTCAGTTGATTACTTAAGCATTTTTTGTTTTGTTTTTTTTTTTTTTTTTTTTTTTGTTGTTTCATTTTTAGCACATGCCATTTAAAGTGTTATATATACGTACGTTATATGTGCTCATGTTATAGGAAAATAGTATAGAATGAATTTTATTAATCTCATATGCATTAGAGAAAGGGAATTTCCTTCTTTTTAAAATTTTAAAAATTGTATATAAAATACACCTAAGCAGAATGAATAATCCACCTGCTCTTTCCTCCTTTTGTTTATATTTCCTTACTGAATGAGATAATGTGTCAGACTTTTCCACAAAATGTGGTATAAAAAAAAAAAAAAGGAAAAGAAAGAAAAAAAAATTAACCAAAATTAAAGGAACTGTTCTGACGAGTTCATGCAGGGAGGAAGTTGAAAGGATCTCCCGTTCCAATGTCCATCACCCCTTCCCCTTTTTTGTTTATCCCCTAAACAAAATATGACATAATATTTGTTTTTATAGGCAGGAGTTTAGACATTTAAAAATAGAAAATTTATGTAATTTGTCCCTTTCTCCATAGCACAATAACGTTAAGCAAAAATGTTAACTTGTAATAAAAAGGACATTTGCAATTTTTTTTTTTCCTATTCATATGTTACAAAAAAAAAAAAAAAAAAAAAAAAGAAGTATGAAGACAAATAAGTAACTATGTCTTCTCTCGGAATACCCATACTCCTATGTATGTATGATGCATAAACAATATGATTTTCATATAAATAAAAATTATGAACAGCTATCACATTCTCAATAGATGAATTTTTTAAAAAGAGCATAATTTATTTTGTTTATACATCCGAATTGTCTTAAAAATAATATTATGGCATGAACTGGCAGTGCAAGATATATTGCCTTCTACCCCTTTCGTGAAAATACAAATAAAAAGGAAGAAGACGAAGAAGAAGAAGAAGGGAGAAAAACCTCCTATAACATAAACAAATTTCGTATAAAAAAATTATAATCACATATGTTTGCAAAAACTATGTGCAAATTTTGGCACAACGTATAACTGAATGTATAAATAGTTTCACATAAGCACTTATTTCTTCGTTTTCCTATTTTCTTTTTGTCCACTTTTTTTCAAAACCGTTAGTCCTATAATACACGCTCTTCTTTTTTAAGCAAAGATTCTGATGTCATAAAATCGGGGAAAACGCACATACACATGCACACGTACGTACTTGCATCCCAAACAGAAACTTGTTACAAAGATGAAAAAGGAAAATGCAAAAATAGAGGGAAAAAAAAAGAGTAATTTATTTACTCCGTAATAGTAAGCAGAGTTTGCTTCAGTTACCCCCTAAGTGGATAATATATTTTAGCACTCATATTATACACTTCCATGAGGTGTATTTTTGTAGCAAATGAACTATGCATTTTTGCCCTTAGTATGCAAAATGGGGACATAAAAAGCAACAGTAGTTTTTTTTTTTTTTCGTTTCTTTTTTTTGTGTGGGTGAGATTGCCTTTCCCATGTGCACTTATAATTTCTCTTGCTTGTACAGGCGAATTTTCCAGTAAGTTTTTCCGTCCATATATATACAGTTGCCTTTACATGTAGGTGAACCTTTTTATGTAGTACCTACACATGCCTAAGCATTTGTTCATTTGTTCTTTTTCGCAATTGTGGAGTTTGTTTTAACATGGACATTCACAAATCGACAGAGTATTACAAGGATCATGTACAAACTTCGCACGAAAGAAAGGAAAAGAAAACATCACTTTTAATTTATAAAGCTTACTTCTGCAATAAACAATTTTTGTAACTTGAAAAAAAAAGTTGAGATAAAAAAAAGGTGCAAAAAAAGAAAAAAAAAAAAAAATAAGTACAAAAGTGGCAAACAAGCCAAACTATCTACTATATGAGATAAAAGTCAGTGACCTCTTTTTTTTTTTTTTTTTTTTTTTTTGTTTACTCCTTTCTCTTCATTTTCATAGCCCTCCCATGCTCATGAACTTTTAAACACAGGAAAAAATAAGGTCATACTTATCTTCATTATTATCACGCACCGATATACACATGTGGATATGTGCAGGCACTTTTTCGTTTTGCATATACACAAATTGTACATTCCTCTGTGTTCCTATTCATTTGTGAATTCATTTGGACTTAAAAACTACTACAAGCATATTACATAATAACAGAAAACTTTTGCATGCGTGCTCACTGATATGCCTTATCACATATGTGCCAAGCTTATAGGGTGGTACAAACCGATATGTGTCATGTGAATTTGAGTGCCAGAAATAGAAAGGTGCTAATTAAAGTGAATGTGTTGACAGGGCTACTAACACAAGTGAAAATAAAAAAAAAAAAAAAAAAAAAAAAAAAAAAAAAAAAATAGGAATTAAAGCCAGTGAACAAGGCTAAAAACGGTAGGAGCAAGAAAAACTAACAAGAATAGTTTGCTTACAAACAAAAAATTAAGAAAAAACAGTCAGTACAGCACAGTTTCAAAAGAAACCCTTAGCATAAAGGAAATAAGGGGAAAAAGGTCGTGTAACGAGAATTGCAACAATTCAAACTTACATACAATGAAGAGAAGCCACCTTTCATGCTTTTCTCTTTTCCCCTTTTTCATTTTTTTTTTTTTTTTTTTTTTTTTTTCCCGTATCCCTGTATTATTTCAAATTAGCTAATTGGGGTTCACACATGTTACTATATTTAAAAGTCTGCGAGTATTAATGCCAAAGCGGCACATCAATTCTGTTATTTCATGCATTTTTGGTCTTTATGCTTGAAGTCTAACATGCGTTTAACACTTTGATTACTGCTATTACGTGAATTTTTTATTTATATATTTTTTTTATTTTTTTACATGAAAAATTATTTATTTCTGCCTGAACGGTTAAGGCAAAATATATCGTTATTTATTTCCCCCCCCCCCTTTTTTTTTTTTTTTTCTTTTTATTTTCTATCCCACTGAGTTTTTTCTGCAAGTACATGTCCTCCTTTCCCAGATTCCCCACTCTCTCCCCCGCATCGCATCTATATGTGCACAAGCATAGACGTACACACACATACATACACACGTACGCAGACATACACAGACATACACAGACATACACAGACATACACATACATACACATACATACACAGACATACACATACATACACAGACATACACATACATATGTATATATAAAGCTTTAATGTGACCCTTCATAGAAGATAATATATACCCCTCCCCCATCTCCTCATACCATTATAATCGTTATGAATATAACAAACAACATTAATCGCGAAAAAAGAAAAAGACAGGAGGAAATAAGTCATGTTATTAAGAAAAAATTCAAAAATTGGAATATGTTAAATTCATTCGAAAGCAATAATAAAAATGAAATCACATCTTCTTCGTTCCGGACGAAGAAAGTACATGTAAATGAATATTTGCAAGAACAAGCAACAGATAACAATCTTGTAAAAAATAATGAACAAATAAAATTAGACAAAGTAATTTCCAATGGAAAATTTAATTATACACACAATGAGAAACATTATGGCATATGCAGAATTAACAATCTGGATTTTACACAACAGAACGAATCTCAATCTTACTCGAATGTTGGAAAAGGTGAGAAAGTGGCAAATGCAAATATGAAAAATGATCCTAACTACAAGGAGACAACAAGCTTGAAGAGTGCAGGAAGAAAGCCAACAGGAGGTAGCCAAATTAAAGGTAATGAGAAGAGGGAAAAGAAGAAAAAAAAAATAAATAAAATCAAAAGATTAAGTGTATGCAGTGAAAATGACAAAGGAAATAACGACAGCATCAGCCGCAGCATCAGCCACAGCATCAACCACAGCATCAACCACAGTAGTAACCACAGCAGTAACCACAGCAGTAATCATCATTGCAATGGTCGTGGTGATCGAAGTGGTTGTAGTGGCACGCACAGTATCAATCATAGCAACCATGGCACTTCTGACAGCAGTTATAGTTTGAACTCAATGAAACCAAAACTCAGAAAGTGTAATGAAGGAAAACAAAAATCGAAAAGGAATGACTTTCTATGGGAGGGATTACTGAAAAAAGATGTTATCCTACTTGTAATTCAGGCCATTAAAAACATGGGATATAAAAAATCTGCCAAATATTTAGAGTTAGAAAGTGGAATTGAACTTGAGCAACCATTAGTTAAAGAAATGCATAAAAATGTAATAGCAGGGAAATGGAAAAATGCAATTAGCAATTTAAAAAGTGCAAATCTTAATAAAAATTTGCTGAAAGCAATTTCTTTTTTAATATATGAACAATGTTTTATAGAATATTTATATGAAGGAAAATATTTTGCTGCTTTGAGATGTCTAAGAAATAAGCTAGCCAAATATTGTTTTGATGAAGATACATACAACAGATTACATCAGTGCACGACTTTTTTCATGTCCTTAAATAATGTCCTTTTAGCAAAAAAAAGAAAAAAAAACTATCAAGCGACAATGAAGAACTCACGAAAATTGCTGTTTGAAAAAATAAATCGATTATTACCTGAACACATTATCCTTCCCCCAAGAAGATTAGCCATTTTGCTGCATCAGTCACTCAAGTACCAAGTAGATAATTGCTTGTTTCATAACAATTTTTCCGAAATGAAACTTGCAAGCGTTGCTGATGAGGTGAAATATTGGGAAGAGAGGACGCAGAAAAGAGGCCAACCCGGGAAAAAGCAAGCGGAACAGGAGGTTGCAGAAGAAGTGGCAGAAGAGATGACAGAAGAAATGACAGAAGAGATGACAGAAGAAACGGCAGAAGAAATGACAGGAGAAGATGTGGTCACGGAATTGAATCTGAGCAGACACAAGATGATACAGGGTAAACTGCTAACGTCAGACAACTCTACTTCCATAGGGAAGACACTCGAATTGAAAAAAGAGAAGAAAGAAGAAGGGAAGCAAGTAGTTGACACAAAAATTTTGTGTTCAAAGAAAAAAAAAAATTTTGAATCACAGGATGAAGCGAATTCATGCATGAGTGACTTTTCGAAGCACCATCAAAATGTGAATAGTGAATCATCCCTGTACTACCACAAAGTGAAACTAAAAAGTGCCTTTGTAGACTCAGAGGTGCAAGATGCATATTCCAGATTGGACGAGTCAACTGTGGACAAACCTATCTCTAACGAGCCCACATCTAATGAGCCAATATCTAGCGAACCCACATCTAACGAGCCAATCGATTACATGAACAGAACCGCGATACTCTGGGACAGCGAAAATATTGCAGAAAATCAATTTAACGTAACAAGTGACAATTCGTTCATCAAAGTCACAAAGCTGTCAAACATCTCATTTACAGGGAAAGAATCCAAAGGAGGAGAGATAACCCATTTCGATTCTAACGAGAAAAACAACACACCAACAATGAGTAGCAGAAATACTAGCAATGTCGAGACCACTCAGATGTTCTCTAGCCCCTTGTCATATCATAAGGAAGCCATCGTGAAAAATGGAAAATCCATGAAATACAGAAAATGTGCAAAAATTGAAACAGACGAATCAAAAATTTGTTCATTCAATGTGTCCAGTTGCGAACATGGGAAAATCCAAACCGTAAGGGAGAAATCCAAGAGTGATCTCATAAGTGAAAAACAAAAACTTAAGCAGGGCAGTAACCTGAATAGTGTAGGAGGGGAGACGGTTCATGTGGAAGAAAATGAAGAAGAAAAAGGAGAAGAGGAGAAGAAGCAGCAGGAGCAGGAGCGGGAAGAGGGAGTGGGCGTTATTCCTTCCAATTCAGAATTTCTTAGTGAAGAAGAAAAGGGCTTAATTGCAAAGGAGGAAGAGGGATGGAGGAAAAGAGTCAAGGGAAGAGGAGCGATCCCAAACGAAGGATCAACTGGAAAGACATATGTAAGTATGGAACATAATGGAAGAATCGAATTCCTTGGGAGAAGCGAAAAGAATGGAGAGAAATTAAGTCTAAAGAGAAGAAAAGAATTAAGAAAGCATGAGAGAGGGAATAGCAATAAAGGATGGGAAACAAGATCCAAACTTCTATCCCTATCATTACTAAAAAATCATGAATGCAAGAAAATAAAACTTCCTTACTATTGCATAAAAATATTACAAGGGCATAGAGATGAAGTATGGTATGTAAATGTATCAAGGAATGGAAAATATATTGCATCGGCTAGCAAAGATAAGAGTATAATTTTGTGGAAGGGAATATACCCTTTTAATAAATTAAGAGAATGGAATGGTCATATGGATGGAGTAAGTTATGTGATATGGAGTAATAATAGTAAATATTTGGTATCAGGTTCTAACGATTCTAATATTATAATATGGAGTCCCAAAAGTAATAAAAAAAAACTAATGTTAACAATGCATAATGGTCCTATTACATCAATATGCTGGTCAAAAGACGATTCAACAATCATATCATCTGCATTTGATAAAAAAATATATTGCACAAAATTGAATAAAGAATTAAAAAGTTTTTCTGTTCTCTATGCATGGTCTTTTAGCACAAGAATACAAAATTTTGTTTTCACAAATAATGAAAAGTATCTAATTGCAGTCCCATCAGATAAAAATGTTCGTGTTATTGATTACACAATAAAAAAGGAATTATATATTTTACCTGAATATGACACAATCACATCTGTATGTGCATCTAATTTATATAATCATATACTTGTTAATATAGCTGATCATAGACCAACTATTAAATTGTGGGATATTAAACATAGGTATATTATACAAACATATAGAGGACATAAGCAAGGTAGATTTATTGTTCATTCTACATTTGGTGGAAAAAAAGAAGATTATGTTATTAGTGGTAGTGAAGACAGCTTAATATATATATGGCATAAGACAAAGGGGTATTTATTAGATGTCATAAATGGCCATGCTTCTACTGTCAGCATTGCAATATGGCCACTTTCAACTACCAAATTTCCATATATGGTATCTGCTTCTGATGATCATACCATAATGGTTTGGAATATCCAGCCAAAAGTAACCACAATCAAGCACACACATCCACGAAGAAAAAAAAAAAAATTCTCGCATCCCTTCCTGCTTGAACTCACGAAATTTTAGCTAAACGTGTGAGGCAGTGGGACGACGTATGAGCTTTCTCCACAGGGACAAACCAGTAAAGAAGCAACGAAGAAGCAAACGTTGCCTCTTTCAATGCGCGCTTAGCCATTCACGAATTATACGTATATTATATATATATATATATATACATATATGTTTCTATTTTTTCTAATTTTAATGGGGTAGACACCTGTGGTAAACGTGATATACAAAAAAAAAAAAAAAAAAAAAAAAAAAAACGTACATGTAAAGAAATTTACCACACCCTTTAAGGGAAAAAAACCCTCCACACGATATAACACCATTCATCAATGTTAGTGTAATACAGTGTACATAAGTTTGTACACACACCCCGTCCTTTCCATGTTTGAAATTTACATATAAACATTAAATATTACGTAGGTTCAAAAGTTTTAATTATCTTCAAAAAAAAAAAAAAAAAAGTTAATTCAAAATGTGGTATTAATTCAGATTTTATTTCATTTTACAAAAAAATGGAAAAAAAAAAGAGAAAATCTTGAAAAAAATGGAAAAAAATTTGAAAAAAATTTGAAAAAAATGGAAAAAAATTTGAAAAAAATTTGAAAAAAATCTGAAAAAAATTAAATAAATATAACCTGTAAAAACTTAAAACTTTTCTGTCTCAACGTAAAGGCACAATTCTCTGTTTTTCACAAAATTATATATAATTCTTAATTTAACCATTTCATAACTTGTCGATTAATAAATCCGTACCTCTCTTATACAGAATGGTCACAAAAATGGTGTAGCAAAACCCCTTCTCCCCAACCCAAACCTTTTATGCATATCCACGCACCTACACAAATTAGTAGTGCAATTGGTCAAGTCGGGAAAAACAATAATAACACAAGAAAATAAGAACATGCGAAAAAAAAAAAAAAAACAAGTACAGTTAAAATAGTTCACAAATTGTATCCTTTAAGTGTCAGAAAAAAAAGAAGCCTCAGTTCTTTAACCCCCCAACCCACCCACACACACATACACATGCATGTATATGAAAGATAAAATTCAAGAACGTGTACTCTCATCCATATGATCTGACTAAATCAAACTAACCTCTATTCACTTCAATCTATGGTTAATTAAATTATTCGATTATGCAACAACCTTAAGCACTGTCTTGGTAAATGAAGGAAAAATAATAAATTCATTCGATGGTAAGTGGGTGTTATATTATAACTTATCTAATTCATTCTAACAGAGAAGTTGGTGAAAATGAAATGTGCAAAACATGATAGATGACGTAGCCAGAGAACTTGATAGAACTACCTAGTATAGTCAAACAGCAACAGTGCTCCAACGAATTCTTACTATGTTAGAAATAAATCTTTCCTGAATATGTTTCTCTTTTTTTTTTTTTTTTTTTTTTTTTTTTCTGGAACTTCTTCTAGTATTATTTGTTTCATACGCGTTTCTTGTTCTATTTCTATTTTTAAGGTTATGTAGAATACTGGAAATATTTTTTTTTTTTTTTTTCTTGTGTTTAATGGATATTCTGGATCCTGGTATGGCTGGAAAGCCCTTGCTTGATTTCTGTTAAAAATGGGGGAGTGGAGGGGAGGGAGATTTTTCCAAATGAGCATGGTGTGTCTAATATTCTTGTTAAAGTTTTGATTATCGATTTTCTCCATGATACCATCATCATAGGTATACATTTCTCATTTTTTTTTCCCTCTCTTTGTGTTATAATCCATAATACACATATCTAACTTGATCCAAATGCATTTTTAAAAGTTGGTCTTTCTCCACACTTTTGTGTTCCATTTATTCCTCTTATGTGTTCATCAGATTTTTCATCAAATTTTTCATTAACATTAACCTTAACTTCAAATTGTTCATTTTTTCTAGCGAATTTTCGATAATTTATTTTCAGCATACCTATGCTTTCTGTCACCATTTTGTGCCTTCACATTTTGCGTGTTCCTCAACATGTGATGGTGTGTCGTCTCCGTGCATTGCTCCTTCTTTGTTACTTATAATCATTTGTATGTTAGTTCCTTATTCACATTGCCCTTGAAACTTGGAATAGCCACACTGTCTTCTTTTTGTACATAGCTAGCTTCCGATGAACCAAACACATTTTCCATAGAACATGTCATTTTCGTCTTTTAACATGGTCATTCATTTTCTGATTTCTTCTCCTGCCCCTGTGTCTATTTTTTTTTTTCTTTTCTCGAACATGGTTGTCAGAATTTTGAAATCTTTCTCTAACATTCGCTGTGGTGGAATTAGTAGCAGTGGTAGATCTTACAGTTGTGGTAGTAATCCCTCTAGGGGTAGAATCTGCAGCTGTGGTTTTCGGAGCTCCCAGGTGCTGGCAATTTGTCCTCACTTGGGTGACGTCATTACAATTTTGTATTTTTCTCATTCCATGTTCGCTGACCTTCTGGATGCATTCTCCCATAGGGTCCTTAATGTCTTTGTTTCTTTTTCCATACTTGCTATTTTTGTTATTGATGCCCATGGACGAATAATCACTGTTTTCTTTCCTTTTATCTCTTTCTAGATCCCTAGTCTTTTTGTTTTTTTCCTCAACATGCATATCTTCCCAATTCTCACTTTGCACAATGGTATTGTTGCTTTTTTCACTTTTTGTAAAATCCTCGTTGAAAATGTCATTTTTACCGCTCATTTTGTGAATCTTGTTCTCACCGCTCATTTTGTGAATCTCGTTCTTACCGCTCACTTTGTGAATCTCGTTCTTACCGCTCACTTTGTGCATCGCATGCTTTGAGTTGTGATCCATTTTACTTGCAATGTCCACACTTTCGCCATCTTGATCTATTTCAATATCCTGTTTATGAATCTTCCTTCCGTAAGACTTTTCTTGTCTAGGGAAATTCGTATAAGCATTGGTTTTTCTACGGTTGGTGATATGGTTAATCTTGGGTGTGTTCTTGTCTTCATTGTAATTGTCATTCGTTTTGTATAACTCATAATGTTTCTTTCCTTCCTCTTCCTCCACTTCTACATCTTCCTCCACTTCTACATCTTCCTCCACTTCCTCTTCTTCTATGTTAATTTCTCTAAAACTTGGTGCGTACCCATCTGATGGGTAATTTTTCATGTCCAAACAACACGTCTTTGTTTTTCCTGTTCTCACATCATCTCTTTTTTTTTTGTTATTTCCAAGGAATATGTTTTTATTATGATTATTCTTATAACGATTCCTCTCATGCAGAACAGTGTCTTTCACCCCTATCTCCCCATATGATGCATTCTTTTTTCCTGAACCATTTTGAACATTAATAAAATCCACTTGTGCATGTTTACCATAGGAATTTTTAAAAAATTCTCCCACCTCTTGCACCAATGTTTTGCTTACGGTAATACCATCTTGAAATTTTTTCGTTCTATTTAATTCTCCCTGTTTTTTATTTTTACTCTTGGCTACATCTGAATAGTTCTTCTTATTCGCAACAGTTGGTACAGGTATAATGATATTATCGGGTGTAGTCTGATTGATCATGGCAGAGCATATTTTCGCAAATTTTTCACCATTTTCATCATTTTCACCATTTCCACCATTTTCACCATTTCCACCATTTTCACCATTTTCACCATTTTCACCATTTCCACCATTTTCACCATTTTCACCATTTTCACCATTTCCACCATTTTCACCATTTTCACCATTTTGGAAATAGTTGTTCATATCTTCACTAAGTAAGGGATGTTTCTGCGCTAATTTCCATGCGATTCTTTTTCCTGAAGATATGTGTCTTAACTCTTTTATATATGGTCTTATTCCTTCTACCAATCTGGTGAGTTGAGGTTCTGATGCAACAGACAAAGCTCTTTGAATAACATAATTTCCATACTGATCAAGAATTATATTTTTCAATGATTCCTTTCCTTTCTTTAAAATTTCATTTATTATTATTTCTCTACATTTATTATTTCCAATAATTAAACATTTTTCTACAACATTGGATGAAAATTTCTGAACCGCTAAATTTTCGATATTCGATAAGAGCTTATTAACTATTTCTAAATTCACCTTTTCTTTCCCCAAATTTAACACATACTGAACTACGTAATTCCCAAATGCATCCTGAACAAGTTTCAGTGCGTGCTTTGATATTTTCTTCGTGAATAATTCCTGTGGTGGGGTGAAAACCATGTGTGTGAGTGATGTCCATTCGTTCGTGGGAAGTAAGTAGGTGGCGAAAAGGAAAAGGAAAAACATGCACAGAGACAGAAATAGAAGATGTCCCATTCGACATATATACCAAATCGAACACACGAAGTTTACGGATATTTTCATATTCAGGAAACGCACCTTCTGTTGTTCATTGGCTGAATCTATGCATCTCTGAACGACGCAACAACCATGTCTGTGCATGCAAACATCAAGACAATTTTTCAAAATGGCATCATAGATAAATTGGCATTGATTACTCGTCAAGCTAATCAAACACTTCTGTACAACATGATTTCCATTGATATCTTTGATAAGAATAATTATGGAATTCTTCAATGCTCTTGTTGTTTTTTTTATTTGTGCAGGCGTTCTTATCTGGATGAAGAAGGGGGACACATAAAAAAAAAAAAAAAAAAAAAAAAAAAATGATATGGCGTGACGTGATATGGTGAGACATGATATGGTGTGATGTGATATGGTGAGACATGATTGGCCCTTGTGAATAACCGAGACTGGCATGCTCTTAATTCATAGAAACAGGTATGAGTAAACATGTTATGTGTAAATGCATACAAAGCAAAGATGGTCTATGTCTGGTCTATATGTGTGACTTCCCCCACTTGGAACGTAGAGAAAAGAGAAAGAAAAAAAAAAAAAAAAAAAATTTTTGAGTTACCATTTCTATGAGTTTTTGAACCGCCCTGGTGCCATGAACACTTAATGAAGCTTTGACTAACTCATTCGCTGATTTGTCAATTATTCTTTCAATTTGCTCTGATGTGCTTACTTCCATTAATTTCTGACACAAGTAATTCCCGAAGGGGTCAATCATTAGTTCGATTATGTGTTCCAATGTTTCGTTGTATATTTCTTCTACATGTTTTGGGTTCTTCTTTTCCAGGATTCTCTGCAGTATTCTGCAACCCGTCTGGTCCTTCACACGGGTGTGTAAAGGGAGGGGATGGTCGCATGGAACACGACGAAGCAGAGTAATGAAGTAGCGTAATTAAGCGGGTGATGAAGCAGAGTAATGAAGTAGCGTAATTAAGCGGGTGATGAAGCAGAGTAATGAAGCAGACTAATGAAACCAAGTGGACGTTGCAAAAAGTAAAGCAAGACAATGACCACAGGAAACAAATAATTGTGTACCTTTGCTATGTTGTAAATGTTTCCCGAACAAATTATGGGTGATATGTAACTGAACTTATTATTGTAGTTGTTTTTTTTACTCAGGGGGACTCGTTTACCCATGTTTTGGTTACTGGTATGAGCATTTTTTAAATCTTTATTTGTATTGAATTTCTGAATGGTGCTTATATTTGAATTCGCTGCAAATGGAGGTGGTGGTAAGTTAGAGGTGGTACGCGAGAATTGGAGAAAAAAAAAAAAATGGTGTACACATTGAATATCCAGTTTACAGTCTGGGTGACCCAGTTTCCGATAATATATCGATGCTTATGCGAATCGGGTACATGGAGAATGGTATATTACGAGAAAGAAACAGAGAAAGAAGAACTGTAAATCACTCATTTCTACTTCTTACCTTGTCTGTGGAAAAAGCTATTTAGCGAATACGTTACATTTTCGGCGTGGTTGTATGCATCCATGAATGGTATGGGAGGTATCGGATATTCATTTAAAAAATTGTTTTGAAAATATGTTTTGGATGCTGATAAAAAATAATTTTCATTAAATGTGTTATAGTAGGAGATGTGTTGTTGGTTATCATTCGCTGAATTGGGTGCAGGACCATTAGATGAGAATCTTTGAATGTTAAAGTTGTTGTTGGAAGAAACATAGTTGAAGTAGTTAAATATCTGTGTGTTGTTATTTCCACTCAGATTTAACGATCTATTGCTTAGACTATCATTGCTTTGGTGCATCAGAAGACTGTACTCACGTGGACTCACTACATTATCCATGGTATTCAAACAGCTAATACTACCAACACTTCCTGGGACATAAGTGGATGCGATTTTCTTATTCACTAACATACTACTTGAAATTCTGTCTGAGTAACTCCCTCCACAGGGTATAGTATCCATATGATATTCATTATTATTAAGAAGTTCTTTTGCAGGGAACATGAATTTGTTGTATGTGTTGTGATTTTTATAGTTATCTTCTTTATTCATCAGTGTGGTGTTGTAACTGTTACTATGCCAGTTATTGGTGTTACGAGCATTGCTATGGTTGTTGTTGCAGATTTGGTTCGCAGGCGAGAAATTTCCTAAATCGCACGCAGTGTCTGTCTCGCAATAGTTCTTACTATGTATGATATTTCTATAATTGAAAAAAGGATGAGGAGGAATATACGAAGAATAAAAAGAATTGTATTGGTCATAAGGAATGATATAATTATCGAGTGTTGATAAAACATTTCTATTATTATGGTGCGGGAACATGTTATTATTGATATCTCCTGAAATATATGTACATGTATCATTCATTCTGTTCATATTGTCAAAATAAGAGTAAAAATTTTCTTTATGATAATTCATGGTGCTAGTGGAAAAATTACCAATTGTGGTGATATTTCCATTATTGCCCATTGTATCTTTATTTATATAGCACCCTGGTAATATTTCTTTCGACACTGATGAGATTATCATATCATTTTGCACATTATTGTTCAGGTATTTGGTTTCTGTCTCTTCTATATCTATCATGTTGTTTTGATTGTTCGATGTGTGCATGCACACCTGTGGAAAACTCATGTGTGTTACTACATTATTTGGAACGCTTGATAATGATAATCCCATTTGGTTTCCTATCATTAAACCATGGCCAAGTGCATAATCAGTTCTCATATTCTCTTCTTTCCTTCTATCGATACTTTGACACTTGACACTTGTACTACACATGTCTTTGTTCAAGATAGCATTGTCTATATTATGATACTCTTCCCCGTCTCCCCTATTTGTACTTTTGCTTACATTTTCGATGGAACCTGCACCTTTCTTATGCACCACGTCGTCACCGTTTCCACCTTTTTTATGCACCATGTCGGTACCGTTTCTACCTTTCTTATGTATCGTGCCTATATCTCCTCTACCCTTGTCGCTACATTGGGGGGGAGTCACTCGTTCCAAATCCTCACATTTCGTTTGTCTATGAGTTTGAATAGCCTTTCCTCCCTCGCATGACATGTGGCTCTCTATCTGTGGATCATTCAATAGTGCATTAGTCTCATTTGGATTTTTATTCTCTGTTCTGTTTTCCATATCCGGGTTACATCTAATCTGCATGACTTACCCTTTGCAGTACGCAATTTTTTTTTTTTTAAATTATGTGCTGTATTTTAGTTGGATATTATTACTGGATATTCTAATTCGTCTATTTAATTGCTTAATTATTTTTATTTTTACTTTAATTCTCTTTTTTAATTTAAAAAAAAAAAAAAAAAAAAAAAAAGGCTCATATTCACATAAAAAATTAGTTACAAAAACATTTTAACAGATACTATGAATTCTTTTAAACAAATCAAAGATATTCTCTAGACATATACAAAACTGTGCATATGTCTGCGGATGTATGTCTGTTCAGTGCAAAGAAATATGCATGCGAAAGTTCATGCATGCATAGAAGAAGAAACATAACGGAGGATACGAAAAATTGTGTTCATAAATAAACCTTTAAGTTGTCACGTTAAAAAATAAGCACAAAACAGAAGTTGAAGCAGCAGTAGAAGCAGCAGTAGAAGAAGCAGTAAAAGGAAAGGTAAAATATGGTGTCATTGTGTCTATTTAATGAACACCGCTGTAACTTGGTACTGTCTCGGCTTGCACGTAAAAACGTAGATTTAAATCGTGTTAAGGGAATGAAATGGTACAGAAAACAAGGTATGGTGATTCCTTTCAGTCCATTAATGTGAGTAGAAAGGTGGGTATAAGAGCGGATGAAGTATGCTTGTGACAACGTAACTCAGGACAGAAGAAACATAAATCGGAGCGCACACGGCAAAATGCAGAAGTGGGAGGAGCATAGTACAGAATGGACGAAAAATGCAAGATGCGTAAGCACGAAACAACTGCTTAATAATTGCAGCATGGAGTAACGGAAAAATCTATGTACTAAACAATATCACAAAAATGAAAAAAAAATTTTAACGGAATGTTAAAAAATCATTTACTCAAAAAAAGAAAAAAGAAATAAAAATCAAATTAAGACTAGTGTTAAACATAAGAATAACGCTATTACTTTTTGCAGAATTGAAAAGTGCGGAAAGTACATGGTATTTTCCCTTTTGCACATGTGGCCTTTTCATAAGCGTTTCCATGAATGCTTGCACGGATGAAAAAAAATTGCTTGTGCTAATAAAGCACGACAATCAATGTTTTGTTCAATTTACACTTTACCTTTGTGGCAACTTGGTTGCTAAATAGTTTTAAAGCTTAAAAGTCTGATCTATCTCTCTGTCTCTCTTTCTTTTTTTTTTTTTTTTGCTATTCTTATTTTCCTTTTTTGTTTGTGTATGTGTGTGTGTTTTTTTTTTTTTTTCCTTTTTACCCATGTAATGTCATTTTTTATAAGGATTTTCAAAATTATTAAGGTAAATAAAAACTTTGTTTTTGTTCTTTCTAACCACTCCTTTTATTTCATAACATTTATTGAATATTCAGCAAAATAAAAAAAAAAAAAAAAAAAAATGCAAACGAAGATGGAGATGGTGAGAACATGAATATGTGCATATGTCTTAGGCGGTATACATTGCGGAACTTTTAGATATGTATACGTATATAATCACACATAATCATGTAATAGTGTTACATGCATGGGATTAATGCAGCATGTGTTGTTAAGGTTCTCACGACATGCAGATAAGATACTAAAGAAATGTGAGTAAAATACTTGCAACATGTGAATAAGGTACTTATGAAAAAGTACAGAGCCCTTTCTATATGCACCTAATACACTTGTCTTACGTGCGCATGATTATTCATCTAAAATCGAACTCCCTATAGAACGTTATGTAAAAAGACACTTGTCATTGTGGACGATGCTGAAACGTTGTTGCGTGTGTTATTTGGAAACGTTTGGTTTTAGACATCATTAAATAACCACACACAACGCAACAAAGAGACGCAATAAAGCAACGCAATAAAAGAAAAAAATGTATGCACGCATGTGTTCGTTTATATAGGCATACTCACGCTTATGGACACATGTGTATGAACAAAAAAAAAAAAAAAAAAAAATCTTTAACGTAGATAGACACATGCAAATGTAAGATTAAATTATAAATTCTCAACAAATCCACAATCATCAAGCTAAAAAAAAAAAAAAAAAAAAAAAAAAAAAAAAAAAGGGAATGAAAAAATATGAATGTTCAGAAAAAAGATGAGAAGTTACGTAATGTTCTTCGGAATTTTTTGCCAAGTACCTTTATATATTACTTTTACACCACTCCCTCTATCTTGTCACCCTTATTTTGATATATGAAGAAATAAAATAGGAGGACCAATGCTCAACTTAAAAGGGATTTCGCTTGTCTTCCAACTCCTTAAAAAATATGCTCGTTCGCGTGCTCTTACCTCATGCATAAATGCAAGTGAGCAAAGACCTACATACTTACTTGTATGTGTATGCATATGTGTAAGTGTGTAAGGATCTACATAATTGCTTGTATGTGTATGCATATGTCTATGTGCGTAAGGACCTACATAATTGCGTGTATGTGTGTTATGTGTATACATATAAATATACATATGTGCATGTGCATGGTGTGGATTTCCTCAAAAATGTAACATCAAATACTATCTATTATATAAAAGGAATTTTTGTTTTTTTTTTTTAAACGCACTAGTGCATTTCGGGTAACTAAGAAGGCAAACCTTGGAAGCTCATGAGAGAGAAAGAAGATGGTGGCGAGGGGGAAAAAAAAAAAAAAAAAAAAATAATTTACATTTCTTCTGTGCAAATTAAATTCTTTCATGTGAGAGCATAACTTTCATAACTTTGCGACACCAAAATATGTCTTTAGTAAGAGATGGAAGATATGAAGCAGAAACAAAAAAAAAAAAAAAAAAAAAAGAGGAGTGGAAAATAGTGTGATTAGTACGTGGTTAATGTATGATGTGCATGCATTTTTTTTTTTTTTTTTTTTTTTTTTTTTTTTTTGCTTTACAAAATGATCCATTTTTATCTGCTTCATTATTTTGGGATGATATACAATGAAAAAGAATGAAAATAAGGGGATAACTAAGGGTAGATTTAATCACAACAGAAGGCAATCAGATCTTTTAGTAAAAATAAGCGGTTACATTATATGCCAACCACCTCAAGAATATATTACTATTAACACAACATCCTTGAGGAGTCTCACGTTAGTTCACATTTTGATACGCTGCTAAATTGTTCCTTATATCACAGTATACCAATTAAAGTTTCCAAAAAAAAAAAAAAAAAAAAAAAAAGCAGATCAAGTATTACACAAAAATAGCAATTATGGAAAAAAGGAAACAAATGGCATTTTCCAATTCGTCAAAAATTGTGTTTTCTTCAGAATAGCAGAATGAACCTTCTAATCACATAATCCGTTGCAACGGAAAAAAAAAAAAGAAAAAAAAAAAAAAGAAAGAAAGATACAAACATTTGCATGGATATATATATGTGTAGGTCCATAAAAACAAAGCATATTTTACTCTTCTTTATTAACAGAAAAATGAAAAAAAAAAAAAAAAAAAAAAAAAAAATTCAAATACCATTTACACACCATTTGCTACTTGCATCTCATCGAGTATGCATATAAAAAGAAAAGAAATAACAATTTTTATATTCCTTTGTTCAGGGGGTGAAAATTTTGACAAAATATCAGCTGACCATTCATCATTTCCCTACGGCTCCTAACAATTTATGGGAGTAAAAGATTCATCGGATGAATGGAAAAAGGAAACCACGCAAATGTGTAGGAAGGAAATTCAACAAAAATTGTATACAGATAAACGAAACTGTGAAAATAAGTAGCACAATAACAAAGTTATCAATGAGGCCATGCAAAATGGTACCATTTCGTAGAACCCTCTGACTAAATCGAGTTCCATTTCCATTTACATTCTGTGAATATTCTGAATATTTGTCATTACCAATTTCGACATCATAAGATGTATTTTGGTGTGGTACTATGTTTTCCTCTTTATCCAACTGTAATGGAATAAATAATATGGTTTATACCACCATTGGGGATAGAAATTGGGGTTGTAATTTCAGGATATAATTTGCATCCCAATTTGAGTGCACTGTTTTTTTTTTTTTTTTTTTTTTTTTTTCGTATCAGTTTTCTCTATAAAAATTCAATTTCCTATTTATGCATTTTCACTACCGTGTTTAGAGAGTCCAAAAGATTTTCTGTTTCTTCTCGTTCCGAATCATCCATGCTGTACAACTGTGAAAGAAGGAAAAGAAAGAAGTAAAATTCCTTGTTACATGTTGTTCCCTCTGAGCACAAGTAATTTTCCACACATGTATCCAAATATACTCTAAATATTCATGCATCTACATATATCATATTCAAATTTGCATCGGGGTTGTTCACTCTACGCAATGGAATGTTTGTAGCTTACCTCCTGATCCTTAGTCTCTGATAATATGGAATATAAATCATTAAAAGTGGATGTTAAAAAGGGGGGGGGGGGAGAAAAAAAAAAAAAAAAAAAAAAAAAAAAAAAAAAAATAAATAAATAAATAAACAAATATGCAAGTAAACAAGTAAATAAATAAAAAGCAAAAAGGAGAAAAATTGCTGCAATGAAGAGATCAGCAAAAAAAATGTGAAAATTTGGAATGGCAAATAGCGATTTGTGCAATAGGTCTATGCTATACCGTCTTCTTCTGGGGAATAAACGGTCGAATGACTAGTTGTCAATAGAGAGGAGGATCTTGTCCGTAATCTTTCCTTTTCTTCTAACTCATCTGCTCGTGGGATGAATAAGCAAATATTCTTGAGTATATCAAAGGAAACATGGAATTCTAGCTATTTTATATATTCCCAAAACATTTTCATCTTCCTCCTTTTTTTTTTTTTTTTTTTTTTTTTTTTTACATTCTCTCGTTTTATCCGTCATACCTTCTAGGATATTAATCTGCAAAAGGGGGCCATACACATAGCCACGTACACAACCACAAACAGATAGGAGGGGAAAAAAAAATATATGGATAATTTCATTTAGCGTATATGTATAAAAAGGTATAACCATTTAAAATACTTCCATGTAGACAATATTTTTCCAAAAATATTTGGTTTTATAAAAAAACACCTGTCTCCTAATTTCCTGTCTTATCTCGGACATAAGAAACATCAAATCATTTTTTGTTATGTTCAATTTTTTGGATGGGACTATTTTTAAATTAATTCTGCTTCTAGATTCTACAAAGGGTTCAAAAGATTCACCTTTTTCATTTTTGGATGAAATCACATTAGCTATATCTGAAACATTGGATAGGATTTCACCGAATGGTAAGATATTCCCCTCCTCACAATAAATGACATCGGATATCAGGCTTACAAAAAAAAAAAAAATGCATGTAAGTAGAAAATCCATTTTTAATTTGTCTAACGGTGCAAGGTTTGGGAAAGCTTTAACAAGATTGATCCACTCATAAGATTGCACTCCTGTGTTTTATTTTATTTTATTTCTTTATCTTTTAAAACAAACGAAACTTGTGATAACAAAAACATGTGTGCATATGCAAATATACAGTTGACAAAATCGAAAATGAACAGTTAACTACTAAAAAAGTAATGAATAAACAATTTAAAAAATTTTATTATAATTTTGCTATCTTTTAAGGAAATTAAAAAAAATAAATAAAAGGAATTTCCCTTTCGAAAAGCCTTTTGTCTGCATGCCACTTCTCCCAAAATGATAGAAAAGTGTAAAAAAAAGGTTTCACAGAAAAAAATAAATAAATACTTAAATTTAAGTGTAAGTACATCAAACAACATTAAATATTCTTTGCATTTCCTCATAATACTTAAATACAGGGGGAAAAAAAAAAAAAAAGAAACAAAAATTCGCCTCTCCCAAGATAACATATGTCAAGTGAATAAAACAACATTTCTGATAAATAATTTAACAAATAAAAAAGAAAAAATCAACTTAACTACATACCTTAATTTTTGCATATATTTAAGGAGAATTTTTATTTTATCGTGGTAACACTTATTCTACAAAACTATGCTTGGAAAAAATAGACAGACAGAACATCCCACCCATGCGTGACGAGAAGAGTAACATATACGATCACAGTTACACATAGTGGCCACAAAAGTTTGCCAACTTAAAATAAATCTAATTCAATAATAAATGATCCAAATTGAAGTAGCACTTAAATGGAAATCTGGAGATAAGAAGAAAAGAATTTTTTTTTTTTTAAATTAGTTGAGTTATTGGATTTCCTTAAAAATTATTCGAATATGCAAGTCTACGGACGTTACAAAGGGGATGAAAGAAAAAAAAAATAAAAATAAATAAAGAAAGAAAATAAAATAAATAAAGAAAATAAAATAAATAAAGAAAATAAAATAAAGAAAATCAAAGAAAAAAAGATGATAAAACAGTTAAACAATAGAATAATAACAGGATAATAAAATATCAAAGAAAAAAAAAAAAAGAAAAAAAATTCATGCAAACAAACGCAGCAAATCATCGAGAAACAAGAAGAAAAGACATGAATTAGTATAATGAATCATACAAAAAAGGGAAAAAAGCATCAGACGAAAGGACCAAATTTTTACAACTGCTTTTTTAATAAGCACATGAATCAGAGGATGTATCCTATTTGTCTCACATGTGTCATTCTACGCGTTTTCAACATTGGTAAAAATTTTGTGGTGAGAGAAAAAAAAGGCGCACAGATAATTGGTTGACTTAATATGGATCCTACATGTTTCCGTTTTTCAACTACGGACAAACAGTAAGATGTCTTCCTCCTCCTTCTCCATCTTCTCCTTTTTTTTTCTTTTTTTTGATCCCATTTTCTCTAAATCCAATCGGCACAATCGTTTTTATACGCTCGGGCCTTGATCTTTGCCGCCTTAACCATTTCAGGTGTTACTGCATTAATTTTGAAAGCTCTGTCTGCTGGAGTAGATGTTCCATCTCCAAAATTTACCTGACTATGCATCATAACCAAGTTTATATTTCCAATTTGCGTTCGAAAAGGGGTTGTGTAATAATAATAATCAACAGTTGTACCTGGTGTAAATTCTTTTAAAGCAGGAGTGGATGTCTTTGTCGTTTTGTAATAATCATATACCCTATAAAAATTATGCATGAGAAAAAGGTATGAGTCAAAATTCGTAAAATAAAAGGGAAAATTCAGAAAAAATGTAAATGAGAACATAAGTTTATATATGTCTATATCTATAAAAGGAGAATGAAACATAATATGCACCCTTTCTCCCTCTCCATCTACCCATGCATGCATAAGCACACCCACCATGAGCAAGTATCCCTCGTCATCATTCTAACTCCATTGTTGGAAATTCCATGTCTTAAAAAAAAAAAAAAGAACAGAAAAGAAATAGAAATAGAAATAGAAATAGAAATAGAATCAAATAGAACAGAATAAAATAAAATATTATAGTAACCGGGAAGGTATATGGAAACACAAAACAGAAAAGTGGAAAAGCAGATATTCATTCCAATTCCACACATAACATGCTTGTGTATGTATAAAAAAAAAAAAAAAAAAAAAAAAAATATTAGTCATTTAAATTTTTTTTTTTTTTTTTTTTTTTTTTTTATTTCTTTTCCCTTTTGAGGGCATTACTTTAAAAACGTTTCCATCTGTTGAATCGTGTATTCATCACTAGAATTTTGTAGAAAATCCCTGTACTTATTTATCTTATCATCGTTCATGTGGAAAACTCCAGAGTTTGTTTCTTTCATGTTTAACCCATCTGACTTAATGAGGTTGTCATTATCGTTTGAGGGTTCCAACTTGTCCGTTTGTCTCAGCTTTTTCGACATGGTAGATTTGGACGACTTTTTCGATGTATCTGACTTCGGTTCCTTGCTTGATATGTTTGATTCATTTCCTTCTGGGAGATTTATATTATCTGGTGATTATGAGTTCATCAGGAGAATAGGTAGAGAAGGAGAAGAAATGATTTGTGTTTGTTTAAGCATGTAAAAATTAAGTTGTGTGTAATGTAAGTTAATATTTTTGTTTCTTTTGTCTTATTTTTTCTTATTTTGTCATTTTTTGTCTTTTTTTTCTTGACAGATACCTTCTTTATCATGCGAATTTACGGAGTCCATTTTTGCGGATAAAACGTATGAAGCAAACAGGTGATATTCGAAAGTATTGGTGTAACAGTAAAAATAATAATTCAATACGGCTAGTATAACAAAATGTGACATATAAAAAGTTTGTTGTGATAACGTTTTCTTTTTTTTTTTTTTCTTTTTTTTGTCCCTTTTTCGTAAATAGAGAAAAGAGAATTATCAGAATAAAAAATAAAAACGATTAATTACTGGTAGAGTAACATTTAATATGTTAAGACAGAAGGGAAAAAAGAAAAATATATATTTCGAAGTAATTGACTTGTTAGTTGTTATTTTCTTTAGTTTTAGCTTTGTTAAGGAAAGAATAAAAATATATTTTAAAAAATATTTATTTTATAACACATGGATGTTTGTTTGTGTTGCGAAAATGCAGTTGTAAAACTGTAAGAAAAAAGAAAAATAGCTATTTTTATTTTATTTTATTTTATTTATTTATTTTTTTTTTTGATAACAAAATAGCTATTTCTAAAGCTATTTCCTTAACTTGGAAAAACGTAATACAATTTTTTTTCTTGTCTGTTAATACAATATGAACGAAAAAAAAAAAAAAAAAAAAAAAAAAATAGCTATATGGCCATAAATGATGAGAGTGCTACCAACACCTGTTTAGACACGTTTTTATTTTTTGTCTATCTCTCACAAGAAAAATTGTTTACTTTGGGGATTGTGTAGAAAATTTATTATCTTCTAACGGCATGGCATCAATTAACTACCAAGTTTTCTAAGAGGATGTATGAATGGCAGTAACTTGCAAATACATGCATTTTCTCAATTCTTCCTGTATGCATGTGTGTGGAGATCTATGCAGAGGTGAAGGGGAAAATTATAAATTATCCCTTTCTGTTTTTGTGCAACTCTTTTTTTTTTTTTTTTTTTACAGTTATCAATATGGTTCCTAATATGAATAGTAAATAGTTTTTTTTTTTTTTTTTTTGAAAAATATGTTGCACATTTTAATATAAGAGAGACCCTTTTCGCGTAATTTACATATGTCTGAAAAAATGACATCCTGTGTATAAGCAAATAAATAAGTGTGCGATATTTATACATATGTGTACATAATAAAATAATGGAAGAAAAGTAGGAAAAAAAAAAAAAAAAGAAGCTTTTTTGTAAGTACTCCAAGAGGAATAAAATTGAAATTGATTTGTCTGTCGTTTTGGAAAACAACATAAGAAAATGGTACTGAATATATTTCGATAACTCATCCACTTCATGAAAAGTGAAATCTTTATATAGTTGTATGTAGGAGTTTTTATATATTTTTTTTTTCCTGCACACTATCGTTTAAATAACACATACCGAGGGGAGAGGTGTACGACTGTGCACAGATCGAGTATAGAAGTTTCATTTGTTTTGTAATTCTCTTCGTGTTGCCTCCTTTTTCTTTTTGCCCTCTCTATCATTTTGATACTTCATTCACTTTTAACCTTTTTTTATTTTTTTTTTTTTTTCTTGCTACTACTGTTCCACCATTATAACAATTTTACCCTCTAGTTAAATAAAAACAAAACAAACTACGAGCATCCGGAAGAGGAATAAACATTCTCTGCAACTGATACACACAAAAATAATTAGAGGATAGTACAAGGGGAGAAAAAAAAAAAAAATAAAAAACGTATTCATCTAATTTGTTAAACATATGAAATAGAGCTACTGCTTCAAATGCTTCAAATGCTTCAAATAGTTCTACATCCGAAGTATTTGTTCACAACCTTATCTAAGAATAGGGTTGAACTATCCCTTTTTTATCAAATCAATCAAAGATTTTCATTTCAAGAAAAAAAAAAATAAAAAACATGTATGTCTTATCATATTTATAAGCTTCTCTTATAAATATAACCCATTTTGTTTAAACCTGGATTTTTTTTTTTTTTTTTTTTTTTTTTTTTCAACACAGTTCACATATGCAAAACGTTAAGGAGCCAAAAAAAAAAAAAAAAAAAAAAGAAAAAGAAAAAAAAGAACAAATTGAACTAACAAACTAAATAAGATGTGATTAAGTGATAGTGGAGGAATGACATATAAAATTTATTCGGGGAGATTATTTTGAAAGCATTAATCTTATTCCACATCAGATAAATTAAAAATTTTTAAGTGAAAAAAAGTGTATCACTTGGTTAAAGTTTTAAGAACAGTTAATCCCTTTCTATTTTTAAGGAAAAGAACTTATAAACATATGTATCCGTACATGCGTGCACATGTGAATATGTATCTGTTAATAATTCATTACGCGAAAAATAAAATAAATAAATAAATATATATGTATTTATTTATGTATGTATATATGTATGTATTTATGTATTTATTTATGTATATATGTATGTATTTATGAATGTATGTATATACATATATATACAATATGTTATACACCTGTAAGCACACATGTGCAAATAGGTACCCCAACTAGAAATATTTCGAAGAAGATCTCCCTTAGATTTTCTCCATACCCCCTTTCCCACAATTTTTTTTGGGGTCAACACTTTTTCAAATTTTGCACAATATTAAATAGACGAAGATTGTACTTCCATCAAAAAATACGTACGTTATCTCTGACCGCCATTTTGTTCATTCATTCGTTTTTCTCATATTTGCCCTAATTCAATTGCCATTTTATCTACTACAAAAAGAAGAAAAAAAAAAAAAAAAAAAAAAAAAAAACAGAACATGCTACTGTTAGATGCGTGAAGAGAACACTTTTAAACACTAGCCCCGTTTTTTCCAAGTTCCTCTTATTTTTTTTTCCCCACTTTTTTGATGTGTATCAACTGAAAAAGATGAAATGAATGAAAAGGCTAACTTTCAAAGGGGCATATCTAGAGCCCTAAAAAATGAACTAAGTGAAGCGCAAGTAAATCAAAGAATTAAAAATATCAATTTAACCAAGCGGTTAATGTCATATGAAAGATATATATCTGCTGTTCCAAAAGAGGAGAGAAGAAATGATTTGAAAAATGACTGGCATCCAGAAACACCACGAATTAACAAAAATCTCAGCTTATCTCAATGGAATAGGGAGATGAAAAAATGGAGGAAGCAAGTACATGCTTGGGGTAATATGTCTGAGGATGTTCACAAGTATATATGTAATTTATCTGCTTCAGAAAAATATATTTATTTATCAAAACTAAAATTACCAGATCTTAGTCAAGTAGAAATTAAAAATTTGAAAAAAAAAAATGAAGAATTTTCAAATAGGACATTAAAAAATCTTCTACAAATAGGTGATAATAATCATCAGGATCAAAATACCAGTGATCAAATAATCGATAAACCGCTTTTTTTTTTACCTCAAAATTTTAATGGGACAATATTAAACAACGAATTTATTATTATTAAACGAAATTGGTTAGAGGAATCCCTTTTTTCTTTAAAGTGTGCATATGAAGAAAAATATGACTCTTTATATGAAAAATATTATTCCCTATATTTCATGTCGAACAGTTGTAATACTAGTAAGGAAAAAGAACAATCGAAAAACAACGATATTGTCATTTATGCAAAAGGGATGAAAGGTGTAACAACTACTGCCATAATACACCAATACTTTGAGAGGAAAAAGGAGGAAGCTTCTCAATATTTAAATCCATTGTGCATGAAGTCTAAGATTAAACATTGTTATGATAGGGGAAAGACGAGGAAAAGGTTTTAGATGAAAATTTAAAAAAAAACATAGTGTGAACCAATTTTCCCCTTCGATGAATCAACTTTCCCCATAGATAATCCAACTCTTTATTTTGCTTAAATCAATTGAATGTGCATTTGTATCGTGCTTCTTCACATGTAAATGCTTTTATTTCCAAGTTTATTATGAGCCTCTGGGGAGATGTGATCGTCATGGAAAAAAAAAAAAAAAAAAAAAAAAAAAAAAAAATGATTTCTAGATTTGCTCACAGTTACATCAATATAAACACATACTCACCTATGAGAAGCCTTTTTTTTCTGTAGATGTATTTGACACATCTACGGGGGAGAAAACAGCTGGAGGAGGGGGATCTACACACATATATATATATATATGTACACATATATATGTACTCGCTCCCCTTTGATGTTATACAGATTTAGTACTCACTTCGTCGTACGATTTGACATTTTTTACCATGGGTTATTTTTTCAGTTTGTGTATTCTACTTTTGACAAAAAAAAAAAATAAATAAAATAATTCTGTATCCGTAGGTTCATGTCGACAAGGGGTAAACGGGGTGTATAACACTTGCCCACGCCACTATACCCGCGCATTGCAAATTCCTCTAACGTTTTTAAATTCTTTACATTAGTTATCACTTTGATGTTATCACTTTGATGTTATCACTTTGAGGATATCATTTTTAGATTGTAAACATTCTCAAAATAATTTAAAATTTTTCAATTATTTTATTTTTTTTCTACAAATAAAAAAAAAAAAAAAAAACACTGAACCTGAACCATACGTGGAACTAAACATGAAAATATGTATTAAGTAGAATAGCATGAATAATTTGTGTGCATCAATCCTTTTAACCTTCCCTTAGAAAATGTGATGCAAAAAGTAAGGACAGTTAAGCACGACGAAAATTGTATATCCTTACACATGCGCTTAAGTATTATTTTTGTCCGAGCAAATAAAGCCTTTTTCTACCTCAAATTAAATAATCCAAATGTAGTTAATTTAGAATATCCATCTTTATCCTTGCCCGTTAAAACTGAAGTTGGTGGAAAGAGTTTTTTTCCCACTCTAAACAGAGGGAATATTAAACTAATCACATTGTAAGAAAAGGAAGATACTAAAGAGAACTGCTTTCTATTGTATCACATATGTACTTGTTGTCAATGTTTAAAGATAATTTTTTTTTTTTTTTTTGATATAAGTGTGTAAAACGTATTCAACATATAATTTGACACATTTCATTTTTGCGGTTATATAAAATCAAAAGGGGAAAAACAAAAATACAGGGTGTGTGACAAAAAAAAAAGAAGAAATTAAAACATTTTTGCTTGTGAAAGAAGAAGCATGGATTATTTCTTTTGATTCGCCGTTTCAACAATAGAGTACTCAAAAGGGGAGAGGTGAAATGAAGGGCCCCATCCACATAAAAATATATATACATACATGCACAAATATATACATATGTATACCTATTGACATGTTTTCCTATTTACAAGTTGCCCAAATTGAGTAGACGAAAGGACTTGCCTCCCCAACTCCCCCACCCCCCCCCCTGAGGAAGGGTACACAAAACCACGTTTGTGTATATTTTTTCCAACAGGATGGAACTGACGAAGGTTCTTAGTGGATTGTGGAGACAATCCATTGTTCGAAGTGCAGACAATAGTGGAGTTATAAAGGCATGCATAATTGGAATCGGTAAAAACAAATGGGGAACAGGAAAAATAGGTGATCGAATTAGGGTTTCAATACGAGACAAAACAAACGATTGTACTATTCAAGAAAAAACACCCAAGGGAATTATTGTTAGAAGAAAAAAAGAAACAAAGAGAAAAGATGGTAGCTATATAAAATTTGATGATAATGCATTTGTTATTATATCAAAAAATAAACTAAAGGCCACAAAAATAAAGGGCCCCGTTGCTATGGAAACAAGACATAATTGTAGAAATCTGGCTAGATATATTTTTTGACCCCTATGCAATGGAACGAAGAAATTGCAATTTTGTTATTATAAAATAGGAAAAAATATGAATAAAGAGGATATAATATAATTATGGCTCTCCCCTGTATATTAGTCTCTACAATAGATAGTATTGCACACGCAACAATTTTATAGACAAGGGGATACTTCATTACTAATCTAATGTAATCTAATCTAATATACCACGTAACCTATTTTTACCTTTAAACATTGTGGAAAAAGGCGATAAGGCAATTTCATCTAAGAAAAAACATGTTGAAAAATTTTTTCTCCCTTGATTTCTTTTTTCTTTTTTATTTATTATTATTTTGATAATATTTTTAATAAATTTTTATTTTTTTTTTATATTTACCAACTGTCATTTGTGCTATAAGTTGAAAAAAAAAAAAAAAAAACTGGCATATATATGTGCATGTATATATATATATATATATGTATACATATAAAACACTTGCGTCCAGAATAAAACCGAAACTCTTATTATGCTTGTGATGAAATATATTCGCTGTTGTTTTCTAATGAGTAACTTTTTAAAAAATGCACAACACTGTTCGATGTCCTTGTACGACCGTTTTGAAATCTTCCTTCGCACCCCACATCAGCACGCGTGAATGTGCACATATGTATATGTACATATACATGGATGGCAGGCATATTAGCACAGGGTGTCAATGTGTCTACAAATCGTTTTATTCCCCTACATAGTCCAATTTCAAGAGGTCATACTGTGGGTTATTAAACAGGTGTGGGAATTTCATGGAATTATTACAATTGCAGGAATTGTTCGTTCCTTTGTTATTCCCATTTCATTCGCGTCATAGAAGAATATAACTCATTTGATTTATTCTCCGTCTTTTTACTTTACTTTTGTTATCGTTTGTGTACCAACGCCACGTGTATACATACGTACATGTACATATATACATACGTACATGTACATATATACATACACATGGTATACTACAATATGCACATATTCATGGTTCCCACAATGTAAAGTAGGAAATGAAAACATCAGCAAACGAATATGCCCCTTGCGAATCGATTATTTGCATTTTTCCTTTTTCAACTTAGTTGTGTGTAATTCAATTTGTTTCAATTGACGTTAAAAAAAAAAAAAAAAAAAAAAAAAATAATAAGGTAAATAAATAAAATAAAATGGGGTAAAATATTCGCGATAAACACACAGAAAATATGATGAATAATAAAATGGGGATATGTAAGTGTGATACATAAAATATAATAAATTATAATGAACTAAGATAATGCATAAGATGTACAAAGCTTCGGAGTTATTGTGAAGGTGATGTAAATGCCGATAATTAAACCTAAAAAAAAAAAAAAAAAAAAGGGAAACGTGAAAAGAAGAAAAATAGAACAAATAAATGAATAAGCATATATATACGGATTTACAAAATCATGACAACACATATGAGTTGTATATTTCACTTGCGAAGAGGAAAACATAAGAGGCATATAAATAGACGGAATGAAAATGTGCACGTATTTTTTCTCTTTGCAAAATCAGATAAGTTATGGGAGAGACACAATAACTTATTCATGTGGAATATATATATAAATAAAAAAAAAAAAAAAAAAAAAAAAAAAAATGTCATTTCTTTTGAGAATAGATATACATGATAGTTACTGTATGTAACATTTACCATATAATGCCAAGGTTTCAGAAAATACAAGAATTAAAATCATCCCAATGAATAATCTGTTTTGCTGAGCATTGGCTCTTACACCAGCATCACCCACAATTCCTATGGCCAAGCCGGCAGCCTATGAAAAAAAAAAAAAAAAAAAATGAAGAAAAGGTGTAGCCGGTAGGAGGTTGAAATGTTTTCTTCCATCAAATGTATGTTCATGCACTAAGTTATAACTCTGCATATGCTTGCGATGGGTTGAGGCAAACACAAATTCAGGAAAATCAAATTATATATATATATGTATGCACATCGTTGCAAAGAATTGTGGTGTCTTTTTTCCCTTACTAAAGAACTTAATCCAACTATGAGTCCTGACGCCAGGTGTCTGTATCCAGAAAAGGTGGAATATTCCTCGGCTGGGATCACTGTTACGAGAAAAAAAAAAAAAAAAAAATGAACACATTGACATATATATGTGCATATACACTACACATGCATACAAAAATTATAACCAACAACCTCAGATAGCCTCATCAAATTCTTCATCAAACAAATTTCCACCTTTGCGAGACTCTCGTTCGACAGTTGCACCATTCAACCACAATGTCTCATCTCTTTGGAATTGATATTGCAGCATTTTATTCCTCAAGCTTCATGTATGTATGTATATATATATATATAAGAACTATACACCCACAAAGGCATGCAGATGTTACTAACTTTTTCCGTATATAATAATAGACATAATAATTCCGTATATTCCAAGAACACCAGCCATAACTACAGGCAATATCGATTTCATAATTAAGTCTGGTCTCATAACACCAACACTACAGACACCTATACCACTTTTCGCCGTACCATAGGCGGCCCCAAGGTCTGAAATGGAAAGAAAATGAAGGATATGATGGTTGTATATACATTTATGCGAACTAGCGGTGTACATAAAACTAAGCGCACAAGTGTAATAGCTACTCTTGAACAATGCACAACACCAGACAACGTACAAAAAAAAATAATATGCATGTGCAAAATAACACAACAGATGAATCACAAATATGTCACTTAAAATAGATATAAAATCATCTTTATCCATTTACGATAAAAAAATATATTCTTCAATTAGGAAAAAAAAAAAAAAAAAAAAAAAAAAAAGAAAGAAAGAAAGAAATAAGATAAAATGTTTACTCGAAAAAATGGAGGAAGCAGCAATCCCCATAAACCCAAAGAAGGCTGAATTTGGATCACATTGTCGCATTTTCGGAACAACAACAAAAATAAAGTAATTAAATTACATAAAATTCTTTATGTTCGGATTAGTGCCCGAAATTAATAATGGCCTCGCGCAATTGTTGTAACGCAAAGTTGAAAAAGAGGAATCAACAATTGAGGATTGATGTGCACTAAAATAGTGTATAGTGAATTGTTTGTAACAAATGGCAAAAAAGGTTGACTCGTTAAATAGCAGACTGGTGAAATAACAAAGTGGCCAAATGGAGAAACGTATTAAATGTGAAAACAAATTAAACTTTACACATAAGGGCACGAATATGTATACCCATGTTCGTAAGCATATTAACAAGCACGTTCATTCGTAAGTTTAATTTACATGGGAGTGATTATAAGGTATGATGTATATATGTATGCATGTATGTTAATATATGCTTGGATATGCAGTAATATATATACGTATATACACGTGAATATAAGTACATGTGAATATATACGCAAGTGAATATATGCGCAAGTGAATATATACGCAAGTGAATATATACGCAAGTGAATATATACGCAAGTGAATATATACGCAAGTGAATATATACGCAAGTGAACATATATACATGTGAATATCATTAAAAAAAAAAAGAGAAAAAAAAAAAGAAAAATTGAAATATACTTTAAAAGGCTTTGTATTTAAATCGCTTTAATATAATTAAAAAAAAAAAAAAAAAAAAAAAAAATCCCTTTCGCATGCGTTGAGTTATAATTTGAAAAGTTGAAAAAAAAAAAAAAAAAAAAAAAATTTTGGAAAATTTTTTAAAATATTATTTTTCACGTACATACGCAAGCACACAAATGGGTGCATGTATTACATATATATTTTTATGGGTTGCTTACCTGAAAATTACTCAATTAGTGTTTTATGTCTATCATGTGAATGATCTTACTTGTGTTGCCTTTTGTGCGTCACATTTGACATGTCACTTTTCACACGTCCCAATTGAAGAAAAAGAGTGCCTGTTTTCGTACAAATGGGTGGACAACTGAGTGAGAAAGGACGGAAAATATTAAAAAAAAATGAAGTAAAAATGTGAGTAAAAATGTGAGTAAAAATGTGAATAAAAATATGAAGTAAAAATGTGAAGATAAGGTATGAAGTAAAGGTATGAAGTAAAGGTATGAAGTAAAGGTATGAAGTAAAGGTATGAAGTAAAAGTGTGAAGTAAAATAAATATACTGTTTTTGTGCTTGTTAAGAAATGTAAAAATCCATTCTGTTGATATACCCAATTTATTCATACCTTTCAAATAAGGCATTTGCTTATTGTACACCTCACCTTCGTGTGATGATATCTTGCACATTCGGAAAACATTAAATGCCACTTAAATATGGCAGATTAACATTTAAACAAAAAGGGCAACGTATTTCATATAAAGAGATAGAAACGATTAAGCAAGGTGTATTTTTATTTTATTCTATTCTATTTGTTTATTTTTTTTTTTTTTTATTTATTTCGTTAATTCAACTTAAATGACTCTCATGTGCCGAACATTTATATATGCGTATATAAACAGGCGCACAAAGTAAATGTAAAGTAAGTGTACTTAAATATGTATATTATTTACACCATATCATGCACACTGCATCTTTTTTAACATCAATTTACAATCACATTTTATGGTCTTTTCTTTTTTGTAAGTTCCGCTTTTGTTAACAATTTCAATTTATCCCGTTAAACCATAGACGGTCGCATTAATTGCAATTCATTCTTATGCATGAGAAAAAATTGAGGTAGTGTAGTATGCCTTCTTTATTATGACAAAAAGATATATATATTTTTCCCCTTTTTTAAGTTTAAATGCAAGTGTAAAATACTACATATATGTATGTATGTCCTATATATATTTATGCAATATACCCATGTCTAAAAAAATAAAAAGGTGTTAAATAAAACCAATTCACTGTAGCGTGCTTACACATATTCGCTTATTTTTGCAAAGTTTTAGCTCAAGGGTAGGCCAAAATGGAGGTGAATGAATTTTCAGCAAAAGGGTAAAAAATGGATAGACTACAGAAAATGACTTATGGTTGTTCGAATAGCTTTTTTTTTTTTTTTTTTCCTTTTTTTTTTTTTAGAGACCTGCCTTTTTGCATAAATGGCAAAATAAAAGTAAATTTAGAAAAAAAAAGAAAAAAATATGAACTGTTCAGATTATAGCTACGCATATTTAGGTTAAAATCTTAAATGACCCTCGTATTTGCTCTCCTTTGTCTTATACTCTTGTAAAAATGTAATGCATATTATACGTGGTTAAAATAACAAACGTATTAAATGGTTTAGGAAAAATCAATTAATACTGTTAAGAGAGGAATATGATGATTTGTCAAACTTTTAAACATTTTTTTTTGGCGCTAGTTGCGTGGAGTTTTTTATTTTATTTTATTTTTTTTTGCACACACATTTTATTTGCTCATAATTTGGGTAGAAGACGTATAACATTATAAAAGTCCTCATTAACAAAAAGTGGAAAGAAAAAAAGGAAAAAGGAAAGAAGAATTTAAAGGAATGCACACAATACATATATATATATATTTGTATGTAGCAATTTTGTCTGTGTCCTCTCCCGAGGGACATTCGCAGCATAAATTATTCCCTCCCCCTCCTCCCCTTTGGCTATCTATTTCATATAAGGTTTAAAAAAAAAGAAAAAAAAAAAATTAGTAAACTAATTTACTTAGTGCACTAGCAAAGTAACCATATCAAACTAGTTTTAAATTGTCATTCTATGCTAAGGTTGTTGTATCCTTCACAGAGGGCATTCTAGTGGGTCATTTGGACAAACTCCAATTTTATACCTTTTCTAGCTATTACAATGATAATATCTATAACGGAGAATCAAGTGAAATATTGATATTTGTAAAGTGTTTCCCAATATTAGTAATTGGTGGCGTATTTCTACTACCTATGTTCTCATTTGGATATCTTGTGTATTTTCATGATTCGACAGGTGTACTGTAATTAAACACGTATACATATGTCCTCGTTTCGCAAGTTTGTATGTATCTGTAAAGAATAAAAATGATTTTCTACTTATAAAAGGATAAAATGAGGGAACTGTTTATCACACAATTAATTTGGATAAAACGTGGCAAAGGTGGGAAGAGGAAAAGAAAGAACAAAATCGAAAGGCTCTAATTCAAAGGTTAAGTAATTAACGTGGACAAACGTTCTTAACTGCCCCTAATACACATGTTTATACTTCCTTTTTTTTTTTTTTTTTTTTTTTTTCTTTTATTATTTTTGGAAAAATGGTATACAAGAATAATTTTCTGATTTATACTCTTAGCAAAAGGTAAAAAGGATCTGAAAAGAAAAAATGAGAACTTCTTAATAAATAAGATACCTGCTGAAAATGCTCAATCGGGATTGTGTGTCTGGAAAGAGTTATCACCTTTTCATTTTACCATAATGAAAATCCATTAGGAGCTCGTAAAAGATCGTTTTTTTCACTTTTTTTTACTCTACCTCACCATACTTTGCATTATACATGTCACCCTTGAGTGTGTCAACTTATTTAGCACTCAAGTTTTTAAGCCTTGAGTAATCATATTTCACCAGACATTCCAAAAAAAAAAAAAAAGTGAAGAAGTGAAGAAGTGATGAAATAAAAAAGTGAAGAAGTTTTGAAGTGAAGAAGTGATGAAGTAAAAAAGTAAAGGAGCATAGAAATATAGGAGCAAAAAAGTAAAGAAGCAAACAAATGAATAAATAAAATGAAGTAAAATAATAATCATATGCCCCATTTTTTAACATGATTTCTTTTTCCGCTAGGGTGCATATTTTAGGGAAATTTTTTCGAGACGATTTCATTAATTTTATTTATGCTTTCCCCATTTACGTAAAATCATGCAGTCATGGTTTTACCTTTTCATGAGAATATGCAATAGGTTAAAGTAATTATGTCAACTAAGAGTTATATGTTTTTTTCACAACAATTAATTATTTACACCTTTTTAAGTTGTTCCTTCTACTTATGTGTATTCCTTAAGCCATTGTTCATTGTAATTCAGGTTATCATGATACGCAGTAAGAGCGTTTGACACAGATTACCCCCTTTTTTTTTTTTTTTTTTTTTTTTTTTTTTTTTTTTTTTTTTTTTTTTTTTTTTTTTTACCCCTCTAATTTAATAACGGAATGATAGGGAAAAAACAATGCTTGGAAGAGGATCTGCATTTAGCACACATGTACAAAAGAAGGAAATTAAATCACGAGTACCTAATATAATCTTTAATGAGAAACCATGTAGATCGTTCTTTCTTAGTGTAAGTTCTGCACAGTATAACACGTATAAAAGTTTTATTAAGCCCTCATGGGGATGCAAATATTTTGATCCTTTTCACAGTCATGTGAAGAGGAAGGACAGTACCAATAGAACGAAAGAACTAGGGTTAGTTCATTTTTATACAAAATGTTTATCATTAAATGGAAAAAATGTGCAAAAGGGTAGTAAGTCACTCATTGATGTAAGAGGTGTAGCAAATCAATATCACGACAGCGTAGGAATGAGAAATGTAAGGAGGGTACACAAAGATAAAATGACGAATGTAGAGGAGTCCGAGATAATAATAGAGCACCCTTCTTCTGCATTCCTATCATTACAACAGGTCAAGTTCTGCAAAATGAAAGAAAAATACGAATGTCCAATATACCCCACCCTTTCTCCCATGACAAATCAACGGGAACAAAGGAAAATAAATTCATTTTCAGTGAATTGGAACAAATATTTCTGCAAAATTAAAACAAATGGAGAATTGACAAAAAGGTGTGAGGTGGTAGATAAGACAACAAATACTTATAGTGATAATCAAAAAGGAGATATTCATTCTTTTTGGTGTTATCATTTGAATAATTATTTAGAATTATCCAAGGCGAAGTTAACACTATGGGTTACCATAAGTAGTACATTCGGTTATTTTATGTTAGGGGGATCTACAATAAGTGAATTTTTTTCCTTAACACTTGGAGTATATTTATGTAGCAGTAGTGCAAATACGTTTAATCAAATTATTGAAAGAGATATTGATAAAATAATGAATCGAACTAAAAGAAGACCACTAGTATATAATAATAAAATTTCTTTAAAAAATGCCAAAATTTTTGGTATTTTAACAGCAGTAGCAGGTTCCTTAATATTATACTTTTTCAATAACCCCCTAACATCATTACTCGGTGTTTTTAATATTTTTTTATACACATGTGTATATACCAGATTAAAACGTAGAACTCCCTACAACACTCACATTGGATCAATTGTTGGTTCGATTCCAACTCTAATGGGATGTACAGCAGTGGAAGAAAATTTACTTATTCCAGAACCATGGATATTATTTATTACTCAATTATTATGGCAATTTCCACATTTTTATTCTTTAGCATATTTATACAAAGATGATTATTTAAAAGGAAAATATAAAATGTTTCCACTTGAAGATAAACAAAATGGAATATATACAGCTAATTTGTGTAAACCATATTTAATTTTATTAACATCTTTACCTTTTGTATTTTTTTTTTGTGGGTATACTTCCTATATGCACATATTAACATCCCTATTGCCAAATTTATATATTTACTATAAGTTTCAAAAAATTTTTCAAAATTCTTCCAAAAGTAATATTCGGTCCTTTTTTAAGCATTCCCTTTGGCATATCATTGTTTTGTTAGCCCTGTCCTCCTACCACACACAGATTCCAGATAATAAAAGCAGCACCCACAGCACAAATGGCCAACGTGTCTCCAAGAGCATAGAGCCGGTTTCTTATCAAACTGACGAATGCAGTTGCAGCAGTACTGAGAATTTCAGCAGCCCAGAACATGTGGTTGGTACCGAGGAGCATACAGACACTACTGAATATGCAATTACAAAGTTTAAGAAGAAGTTTCTAAAATTCTGCATAGTTTTTTCGTAAGTTTGTTCCTCCATGAATACGCGTTTTTTTTTCTCCCTTTTTTTTTTTTTTTTTCCTTCTTTTTTTTTGTTTTTTAATGCCCACTTTTGTGAATTCCAGAAATATGTTAACTTTTTTTTTTTTTTTACCTCTCTTTCTGCTACAACTGTTTTTTAACGCAAACGAAAATGCGTAAAAAATAGCTCCAGACAAATGTACATAACCATTTGGCACGCACACAAAAAGGATGTTCCCTTTTTAGAAATATAGAAAAATAAAGCAAAGAAAAACAAACCCGCTGCAATGAGACCAATGTCAACCAATATACATCTCTCCATTGCTGTAATGGGCATCCTTAAATTAATGCATCTACATAGGTGACATATATTCGATTTCCGTTTTTGGAAAAAAGGCAAAAAAAACAAAAAAGCAAGAGGCACCTTTTTCCCCCCTTAGATGGAGCAAAATTTGCAATATTTCCACTATGTGCTCAATTATGGCACAAATTTTATTTTCCGCACATTTATTGCGTGTTTTTTTGTGCCTGAATACAATTTATATGCTAAGTTTTAAAATTTTCTTTTACTTTTCTCGTTTATTTTATTTTATTTTATTTTTCTTCCTAAAGTTTAAAGTTATGACAATTTGTTCAGCAACACATTCTGTGTATAAAAATATATTAAGCATACCGTTGGTAGCATGTTAATTAGAACATGGAGAAAAAAGAAATGTAGACGGCACAGTGAAAAAAAAAAATAAAGGCATATTGTGATTGTTTAAAAATAAAAATCATAAATAGCTGATTGTATATAGTTTTTATATATAAATAAAATACGAAAATTTGCATGTATGAATACGCAAAATTTTTTTTGGGGGGGACACAAATCTGTTTACTTTTTCTTCGCTCCTGACACTTTTGTTTTTGCCGTACCGCGTACCTGGTTGGGGGGGGAAAAAATAAAATAAAATAGATGTATTAATTGATGAATAAACGTGGGTGGATATGGGTCAATAAATTTTTATGTGGACATATAACTTAATGCTTTGGCAGATTAAAGAGAATAACAAGTTACAAGTACAAGCATAGATAGATACATAGAGAGATACATACACACACGCACAAATCGTTGAGCAGTTAAATGAATGGTTCGAAGAACAGCCACAGATATATCCGTCGCGGAGTAAAATATTCACTCTGTGAAAAATGACACATTGGCATGAAATGTTCCAGAAAAAGAAGCAAAAAAAAAAAAAAAAAAAAAAAAAAAATAGGATAAAAATAAAAATGATATAAACCCTACCTTCTTTCTTCTGTTCTTTAATTCCTTTGCTGCTCTCCTTCCAGGTTTGTTTTCTTTCGTTATTAATCCTTCCCTTATTTGTCTGTATTTCTTTTCAAATTTTTTAACGGCATCAACACTATTGTAAATCAACCCAAATCCTTTGGTTCTTCCACCCCCAAATAAAACTTTAAAACCGAACAATACAATAGTGTTTACATTATTCAGCTTATACATTTTTGCTAATCTTTCTTTCACATCCTTTTTCGAAACTGTTCCTTTGTTTGGATGCAGTATTTCCAAAGCAAACTGCTTCCTACGCAGTAAGGGGTTGCTCATGTATTTTTTCACGCGAATTGTAAACTGCTCTGCCATGTTTCTTGTTTTTGTGTTGCGTTGGTTGCCCGCGAGTTCAGGATTTTTTTACTGAGAAAAATAAATTAACAATAGAAAAATTGTTTTCCTTCACAGTTCCGTAAAGCAGAAGAATTTTCTGTTACTCTCATGCAGTTATATATTTTTGCAAATACTTCAAAAATGTTCACTAGTGTGCTGCACTCTTTTATACTTTTTCGTGAAGCCTGGTATTTTTTTTTTTTTTTTTTTTTTACATAATTTTCTTTTCCTTTTATTTATTTATGAGCTAATACCTGCTTTATCAACTTATCTGTTTATTATTTTATTATCTTTTTTTTTTTTTTTTTTTTTTTTTTTTTTTTGCTTCAATGGAAAGCTAATGCATTTTTGTAAATAACGCTAAAAGGATAAAATCTCGAACAAGCTTTGTTTCGTTAAAATAAAATTTTCACGTTCCAAATTAAGGCAATTATTTTATTTTTTTCTCCCTATTAAATTAGGAAAAGAAGTGAAAAAAAAATGCAACAATACACTATCTATGCTTTTGTTATTATTATTGTTTTTTTTTTTTTGTTTTTTTTTTATTTGGTATCCTTCTGTGAGCTAAAAATCGATCGGGGGCGTGTGTTTTTACGTACGCTGGTTTAAGCGTCCCCCTCAAAAAAAAAAGGTGGAAAAAATACCCCCCCCATGCAACTGGATGTAATAATGTATTGAATAATTGTTGTATAAGCGGCTCCGATATGCAAAAATGATGACCCCTATATATATATATAACATAACTGAACATATGTATGCTATATATATACGTATACACATATATACATGCATACATACAACATGCGTATAATAATATGCTTATATTTAGTATGTATTTTATATATACTCCCAGCGAAATAAGAGCTGACCGCTTTTTTTCTTCCATTTTTGATTCACTTTTTAGAAGATTAAATAGAGATATAGTCGTAGCTTGTAAATAAAAAAAAACATGATTACGGGGCGGGGGCAAGGAAAAAAAAAAAAAAGGGCGCGAACTTTTGTGCAGTAGATTACCTTATATATATTTTTACTCATAAGTAATTTTTTCTTAAACAGGATTGTAAAAAAAAAAAAAAAGAAAAAAAGATAATGTAAGTGTCCAAGAACATATTAAAAATAAATAAACATGTTTTAAAGTGTTTGTCATACTTAAAAGGAACAAAAATAACACTTTCTCACCTGTCGAGCCTGTGATAAACAAGTGTACATATGTGCAGAGGGTTTAATAAATATTTATATTATCACTTGGGGAAATCACAAATTGGTACGTGTATTTTTCAGAATGCGTTTTTATTTCACTGAACAATTTACTGTTTTTACTACTTCAAATTTATGAAGTGACTAAGGCGCATAATACTGTATTTCTTCATTCTTTTCCAAATTTAAAGGATGTGAAGAGAGAGGAGGAAGAAGAAGGGCCTTCTCTCTGGTATAATCCATCTACTTGAAATGAATCATATGTCAAGTGTTAAGGGGAAGCGGTCGTTGGTTTAATCCCACCACCATCCCTAAGGCTATAACAGTTAAGTGTTGTTTTGGAAAAATTCCACGAACAAAAAATTTGTAGGTTGTTATTTATTTTTCACATTATTTACTCTTTTTTCTATAAAATGTGTTTATACAAATTTAAGGATTTAATTTTGTTTCATTTTTTTTTTTTTTTTTTTTTTTTTTAAAAAGGACCAAAAGGTTTATACTGCATTTGTATCATATAACAGTTGTATAAAAAAAGAATTAAATATATTTATGTATATATATATATATATATATATTTCCCCACCTCTACACCTTTTTTATCTTTGTTTCACAACACGGAGATTATAAGCATAGGGTGGTAGAGGAAAGACCTTAGGAATATTTTCCGAATATAATGAAGAAGCTTTCAATTTTTTTTTGAACAGCTATTTTTTAACTGATTTGACTAAATAGAAAATGCATATGTTGTATTATATATAAAAATGTCTTTATTACAATGTTTCCCAATTTTAATACCTTTTTTAGCTATTTCAAAAATAAGTGTAGTTCTGGACCTATATATATAAATATATACTTGGGGGGGGGGGGATGTATTTTTGTGTGAGATCATTTTATGGTGCTGGTACATTAATACGTTAAAGAAATTTTTAGTACACATATAAATAGTTTAAGCTAAGTTCATTTATTATCTGTACAATGTTATTGTGCATTTCCCACTTTCCAAAATATGAGAATTAAATTTTTTTGAATGTTCCTTTGCTATACCGTTTCAGCCCAATACAAATGCTTTAAAATGCTCCCCTTTTTTTGGTGAAACAAATATAATATATAATAGGTATTTTACCCATGACAATACAAATGATGTAATATTTAATATCTGAAAGGTTGATGTTTGAAAACGAAATTCCATATCCATGCAAATGAAAACAACAAATTCAAATTTTACTTCACTTTTTTCTTAATATTTTACTTCACTTTTTGCTTAATATTTTATTTCATATTTTATTTTTAAACGGTTGTAAGAAAGTTACTTATTTATAAAAAAAATTCTATATAAGGGTAAGTGTGTAGTGTGTGATATATAGAAATATAAAAAATTACATATACATACATATGCACATACGTATATATATATCTTCCTTTTTGATACAAATAAATTATGAATATGGACAAAAAACAAAGGGACAAACGAAAAAAAAAAGAGGTGGAGTTGGTGTGGAGCAGAATACATAAATTTATACACACTCACATAATATGTACATATACAAATACATATGTGTGAATATGTCATACATATGTATAATAAACATTACAAACAACAACCGGATAATACCAGTTCAGCGCTTTGCATGTATGCGTGTATATATTAATGTTTGCATATAAACCAACACATACCGGGAATGAGAAAATGTACACATTAAAAAAAAATGAGAAAAACATGATATACATATATATATATATATATATATATATATATATATATATATATATATACATAAAACAGATAATAATAAAAAAAAAAAAAAAAAAAAAGGATTACTCATTTTAAAATAAATTATATTTCAAATGTTACATATAACGAGGGTGCAAAAATTAGGCAAACCTACGCATGTGCCAACGTGTGTATATAAAAATATAGCAAAGAGAGATGGGAGATCTAGACCACTTGGGGGATACGGGTGGTAAGAAGTAAAATACATGTAAGGATCATGGGAAATGTTATGTATATATGCACATATATCCAGAAATATGTATATACATATATGCATGTACATATTTCTGATGTAAGAGTATTATTTGTTTTATCTTTATAATATAAATAAATTTAATTACGAAAAAAATAAAATAAAAAAAAAAAATGAATAAAATAAATAATACAATAAAAAAAAAAAAAAAAGAAAAAAAGGTGAGGATCGTCATCAAAATTTGTTGAGTTTATATAAGCTTGTTCGGTTAATCAAAAATTTGCTACTTACATCCGAACATGCTTAACCGATTTACATTATAAAAGCAAAAAAAAAAAAAAAAAAAAAAAATTTACAATCTGTGATAAACGGTCGGTATGTGTGTAAGTGGTGAAAAAAGAGTAATAAGACAAAAAAGTGATTCCCGATAAAGTCTTGTAGGACAATCAGGGGGAGAAGGGGGTGCATTTTCTTAGGGTCGACTTTTTTTCTTCTATCAATCCATAATTCTGTACCAAACATATATTAGCACATGTACATATATATATACGTAATGTACGTGCTTGGTACGACAATTTGGCAAATTTTTCAAAATTGAAAAGAAAAAATTTTCCAATTAAACAAAATATTGGAGGAAGTGTTCTGTTACTATGTGTTGGATGGTGAGTGATGTGGGTAACGATTTGGCCAGTTTGCCTGGTGGATTTCAAGAATGTTTCTTCTCATTCCTACTCCCATTCTCCCTTTGCTTTTTATCTTTTTTTAATAGCCATCTTAGTCATCAACGCCATATGGTCAAATCGGTGGCGCATCTTTTTATCTGTTCGTTCTTTAATCTATTACCATGTAGCTATGCAGACGATATGTTAATCTGGCACTTGCTAATCTGACATTTGCTAATGTGAAATTTGTTAATCTCAAATTTGCTAATCTGACACTTCCTAATCTGGCACTTGCTAATGCAAAATTTGCTAAACGGATGGAATGCTGCGATGAAAAGGGCTATGCAACTTTCCCATCGAGGACACCCCCCACTACGCCCTTTCCTTTTCCTTGATCAATAAATCTTAAATTCAAACTTAGCAATGAGGGGTAAATGGTCCGATGGTCGTATGGGACTGGGCAAAGCGCAATTTGAAAGTTGGTATATATGAGCCTCCTGCATCAATTGATTTTCATCAGCAATATTGACAGTTGAAATAATATTCAAATTTTCATCATTATAAAAAATGTAATCTAAACAACCAATAAAATTACCAGTATAATTTGTAAATAATGGTTCAAATATTTCCATATTAGTACTATAATCCTCTGGGTTTAATTTTTGTGCCAATAATTTGGAAATAGCATAAGCTGATTTTAAATTTAAATTATGACCCAATGGTAAATCTGTTAATAAGTTATACTTATCTGAATTAAAGTCTTCATGAGTTCTACTACATGTTTTTCTATATATAAGTTGATAGACAGCACTTGATGGAGTACTATTAAAATCACCACATATAATTAAACTAGGAACTGTATCATATTTGTTTGTAAAATTTATTTTTAAATATTCAACTACCTTAACTAATATTTGTGTCTGCCAAATTTTTACATAATTTGCTTCTGGGTTTGCAACAATATGTGTATTAGCTACTATAATTAATTTTTTATTTTCTTTTTCTTCATTCTTATTATCATATATTTTTGAATACTGTTGTATATATTCCAATAGTATAACCAAAGCTACATTATCTTTCAATAATCGCTTAACTAATGAAGGATTTTTTTGAATTTCTTTTGGTAATGTAAATACAGATGCTTCTTTTATTAATTTACTAAATTCTAATGCATATGTTTCAACAAATTTTAATTTTTTTTTATTATAAAATATTGCACACCCGTCTATTGTATACTTTCCTCCTCTTCTTTTTCCAGATGGTGATGTAAATATTTCTTTTGTCTTTTGCTTGTATACTCCTTCATATCCAAATTTACCTAATGATGGCTTGAAGAAATCCAGGAAGTGTTCGTTCTGAATTTCCTGCGATGTGTCATAAATACAGGTTTTTTTTTTTTTTTTTTTTTTTTTTTGTTATAATCATGATTTCATGATAATTCAGATTTAATGAAACTAAAAAAATATGTACAACATCGCATATAAGTTGTTATAAAACAGGTGTCGATCGAATGCGTGCTTATGTACCCCAATTCGATGCCACACAGATACACATACAAAAAAAAAAAAAAAAAAAAAAAGGAGAGAATGCGCCGTGCGATGGAGTGAGAAATCAGAGAGGAACAACACCATTTACTAGTTTTTTTTCCTTTACTTCTCAAATGTTAAACTCACCTGTAAGCAAATAATATCCGGGCTATTATTCAGAATTTCCTGAATGATCTTTGTTTTCCTGTAGGACCATGCTAACATGTAGGGATCACAGTGTGGGAAAGCTTCTATTGTTCCATAAATTTCAGCTAATACATTCCAGGTCATAATTGTAAACTGATTATGCGGATTGATGGAACTCGAATTTTTGAAACATGTAATGCTGTAATTTGGCGCCACTGTCAGGTTGGGTATACAACATCCAGTAATAATTTTGTGATAAATATTTGGATCTTTTATGCTATTCCATACTTGATCATCTAGTATATATATTTTTTTTTTTTTTTTTTTTTTTTTTTTTTTTTTCAACATGTTTGGTGATTTCTGTTCAAGTGCATTTTGTTTTTGTTTTTGTTCCGTTTCTGTGCAATGATTTATCTGGGTCTCTTTCATTTCTAACTGGGTTGTTGCATATTCATTTCGACCATTAACCAAGGAGTTCTGGTTCGGGTCCAAATTCAGGCTCGAGTTTGCGTTCTTGCTATTTCTACTGCTTTGAGTACCAGTTTTGTCATTTTCATTAATCTGTACATGTTCTACATTCCCATCGTTCTGCATATTACTTGCATCTGCCGACTGTACATTTGCAAGCATCTTAAAGTTGTTTACTTCCTTTTCTTTCGTTTTCAATTCGATTAAATCAAGTTCCTTGGGTTCATCAGAATCATATGTATCTATGCTTTCTTTAGCAATTACATTTATACAATTTACTTCCTTCTTTTCCATGGAAATATTATTAGTCAGAGAGTTCACTCTATTCGTGGAATTCTGGATATATGTACTATTCATTTCGCTTGTGTTATTTTCCTCGCTATTCAATTTTACATATCCCACATTTACACAAGATATCCCAATGTTATCGATTCTCTTTTCCTTATCCTTAACATACTCTTCATCATTTCCACTGTATTTGATAACACTATTTAATGTATAACCTTCTTCTGCATTATTTTTTCCTTCTTTCAATGTTGAGGTGCTCATGTTATTGGGAAAATTCAATGTGGTGTTATTCTGTATTGGATGTTTCAAATTTGTGTCCGTTGATCTTTCAGCGTTTGTAATGTACATATTATGGGTGCTACTACTTGTATTGTTCTGATCAGGCACGTCAGTTTCTTCCTTACTACCTCTCCTATTCACGATATTGTTAATTTTGACAAGATTGTTGTTATTCACATTACAACTTTTATCTGTAAACCCCGTGGGTAAAGAAGTATCATTAATGGTACTAACCTGATTGGAGTTCATAACAATGAATTGGTTCTTTTCTACATCAGAATAACGCACATATGACATTTGTTTTTCATTGTTGCTGTTGTGGTTTCTGCTGTTGTTCTGTAGGTTGTTTTCATCCGAGGAGCAAACAATGCATTCACCTCCTTTCTGCAATTCGTTCTTATGTTGATTTCCGTTCGTTTCAAAATTGTCACGAATATCATCCGTGTGATTACCATGTTCATGAATTCTGCCATTATTGGCATCACCACAACTGTGAAGGCTCTCATCATTATCATCATCAACATCATCAGCAGCAGCATCATCATCATCGTCATCATCAACATCGTCATCATCATCATCATCATCATCATCACACTCGTCTGAACTGGTCATTCCATTTTCAGATGATAATAAGCTATCCTTATCCAATAGCATTGTCTCTAGCATGATTTGGTGACCTACATCCTTTATGCATGGAATATAATTTCTTTCGTTATTAATAATTTCCCACTTCTCTTTATCTGGTGAGTTAATCAAACCTGATTGTATCAATGAATTATAATGCTTTTCATCAAATTCGATATTTTTCTCATAATTTTCCCAATCAAATGGAGAACATGGTACGCCATATGTGTGTAGATTCGGGTGTGATGGTATATTAATTAGCCCATTGCTTCTGTAATATTTGTGTAAATGGTCAAATCCTTTCATAAAGCATTCATATGAACAGAAGCATCTAAAAGTAACAGTACATTGTAAGCATGCAATTTTTTGTGGATGAAAAAAACAAACCGTTCTTGGAGGCCCTCTACTCCATCTATAAAAAATATTAACAGTTTTTCCTATAGGATTATTTTCGTTATCTTCATCATCATCATACAAATGTCCATACTGATCTTTAATTATAACTACTGGATGTAATTCACAACTTTCTACAGGTGTTATAGGTTCTTTATTTTTGGCAGGTCCCCATATTAATTCACATCTAATAATTTCTGCTAAATATTTTTTCTTCTTTTTCGCTAACAAATTTATTTTGTTAATATTCATTTTTATATTTTTTATATCTGTTTTCTTTTTTTTCTTTTTTTTTTTTTTTTCATTCTTCACTTTCTTCTTAGTAACTTCTGTTTCTTCAACAGATTCCATATGCTGTACACTACTTCCTGCACCCTTAGTGGAACAAGCGATAGCAGTTGCAATGGCTGTTGCCAAAGCGCTAGCGGCAGCATCATTATTATTATTGTGTATAGCCCTTTCATATTTATGAGCAAAATTTCCTCTTACAGATGATATATCTTCTGTTGCAGAATTGGCATTTATTCTGTTGTCATGATATACAACATTTCCATTGTTTTCTTTAACTGGTGATGATGTTAATTCATATTTTATGTTTTTATTTTCTACTACCTCTTTGTTTTTATTTCTTTTTATTTTATTTCCACTCGTATTTCTGCTACTTCTAATCCCATTTTTAACAAATATATTAGATGCTTTATCAAATGACTTGTTCATGTAATTCACATTTAGGTTACTCTTAGAACCAATTCCTTCATTTTTAATGCTACTTAACAGAATGTTCGTATTTTTTTTTACAATACTGCTTAAAATGTTAGACGATGTGCCATCCATTTCGTTTGAAAAATGGTTTATATTATTAATGGATGAGGTACCTCTGCTGCTCTTCAATTGATTTGTCATTCCTCCATTTATAAAGTTCACGGGCAAATTGTTTATATAACCATGTGAAATGCTTTCCACATTTGGTGAAGCAAAATTTTCCACATTTGGTGAAGTAAAGTTTTCCACATTTGGTGAAGCAAAATTTTCCACATTTGATGAAGCAAAGTTATCCACATTGTGGGATACAAAATTGTCCATATTTTGAGCGGCAAAATTCTCTATATTATGAGATGAAAATGTATCTATATTATGTGAAGCAAAACTGTCCATATTAGTCGTGCCAAAATTTTCCACATTTGAATTTACGAAGCCTCCAACATTCTGTGTTCCAAAATTATCCATGTTTGGATTCCCAAAAGTTTCCACATTCGGGTTTATGTAATTTTCCATAATTGGGTTCACAAAATTATCCATATGACCGTTCGCATAACCATTTACATTTCCTGTTGCATAATTTTCTACATTTCCTGTTGCATAATTTTCTACATTTCCTGATGCATAATTTTCTACATTTCCTGCTGCAAAAGTTTCTACATTTCCTGTTGCATAATTTTCTACATTTCCTGCTGCAAAAGTTTCTACATTTCCTGCTGCATACGTGTCTACATTTCCTGAAGCATAACAATCTACATTCCCCGCAGCATAACAATCTACATTACCAACGGAATAATCATCCATGGTTTGACTTGCATAAGAGTTCATAATCGGATTCACATAATTGTCCATAATCTGATTACCATAGTTATCTATGTGTGGATTCCCATAGCTGTCCAAATCAGGGTTCAAATAACTATCCGTGTTAGGGTTAGTGTAATTGTCCAAGTTTGGATTCGTGTAATTGTCCATGTTGGGGTTCGTGTAATTGTCCATGTTGGGGTTCGTGTAATTGTCCATGTTTGGATTACTGTAGCTATCCACATTTGGAGAATCGAAATTTTCCAGATTAGCACTTGTGTAATTTTCCACATTTTGACATGAGAAGTGAGCCAAATTTTGCCTTACATAATTATTCATATTTCCAATCTTCCCATTATACATGCCGTTGCCATTATCATACATTAAAACATTGTTCATATAATTATGAACATTCATTAAATCACTCATTCTATTGTTATTATTATTCAGTACATCGTTCATATTTGAATTCAATTTTGTTGTTAAAAATAGTGTACCATTTATATTTTTCATATTCGTTATACTATCACTAATATTTTCCTCTTCTCCACCAGTGTATACCTTATCTCCGTTATTCAAAATATTACTACTGTTATTTAAGGCACTTTTTACATTTGCATAACTGCTGTTTAATCTTTTACTACTTTCATCGCTCAAAATAATATTCATGCTTCCTCCTCCTCCACCTGAGCCACCAACACCTGAAATAACACCGAGAGTAGTAGCACCAACAGCAGAACCAGATGTAGCACCAACTGCACCACCAACTGTGGTGCCACCACCATTATTTAACATTCTATTGTAGGTCCTACTGTCTAATATGCTTTCATCCTTCAGTGTGTTACCAATACTGTTATTACTTTCTAAATTACTGCTACTCAAACTGCATCGAAGAAGATTACTCCCTACACTGTTACATCCAATGTGATGATTTATCATATGATAACTTGTCACCTTGTTACATCCTGGATGATTTCCAGCGAGTGTATTTCCACCCATAGTACTCCTGCTTTCACCCCCCATGTTGCTACACATGTTCATTTTAGAATTCATGCTTCGATCAATACCCTCGTTGGAAAAATTCTGTTTATTGTTAAAGTTTTGCAAATTTTTGTTATTTATATATTTCTTTCCCACATGGCTACTAATATGTATAATGCTACTATGTGATCTTTCTTCGATTTCTTTATTATTCGTCAACTGATTTTCTTTATTACTTAAACTTGTATTCATATTTGTATTTCTCTTATTATTAATCATACTATTATTTTTTATATTCATCTGATTGTTGTCCTTTAGATTTTTCAATTCGTTATTTATGTTAGTCAACAAACTTTTATTATGAGCATATTTATTATTACATGTGTCATGGTCAAAACTTTCTGAGATGGGCATAGGGTCGAAAGGGATTTTGTATTTGTTGTACACATTACTTATGTCCTCAAAATTACAATCGCTTATTTCATGTGCTTTCGTAAAGTTTTTATTCACGTGAAATTTGCTATTCTTATTTATGCTACCACTTCCCATTAGTGATCCTGTTGCACTCACATGACCAAAATCACTTGTAAGACCACTAGCATTATTTAAATTGTCATTTACAGATTTCATGATAATATCATTTCTAGATTCCTTTTTAAAGCTAAAAATTTTATTATTATTTGCATCCATCATATATCCTCCTCCTACTACTACCCCTCCAGTATTATGATAATAAAGATCTATGGTACTTTTATTAAATATTCCCTTTCTTGTGTTGTTAATATTGGTAATATCATTTTTGCTATTGTTGTAATGATAACTATAGTGATCACAGAAATTCAATGAATTCTCTATATTTTTATTCTTTAGAATAATATTACCTTCCATCATAAAATCATTTTTATTCAGTATACCATCTCCTCCTTGATCTTGTATACAATTTGCATTTGCAATTGTAACAAAGTCTTCCCTCTTGTTTTTTCTATTTTGCAGAGATTCATTTTTTTTTGTACTCTTCCCAGATTCGCTTTTCTTGTTTTGAGGAGATTCGTTTTTTCTGTTCTGTCCGGATTCATTCTTCTTGTTTTGGGTAGTTTCATTCTTTTTATTTTGTCCCATGTCTATTTTCCGATTTTGTGGCGATTCCATTTTTTTATTATGCATCATTTCGTTCTTTTTATTTTGGCCCGATTCGTTCTTCTTATTTTGACTCGGTTCGTTCTTTTTGCTTTGGCCCGATTCGTTCTTCTTATTTTGACTCGGTTCGTTCTTTTTGCTTTGGCCCAGTTCATTTCTCCTGTGCTGTGGCGATTCATTTTTCTTGCCTTGCGGAGGTTCTGCTTTTTTGTTTTTTGATTTCTTGTTCTTTGAGTTGTTCTTACCTTCCAAGTTGTTGTGGTTACTGTAGTGGTTGCTGTTTCTGTTGCTGTTTCTGTTGCCACTTCTATTGCTGTTTCTATTGTCGTTACTGTTGCTGTTACTGTTGCTACTGTTTCTGTTTGGGAGATTGTTATGCATGCTTCTCACGCTGCAGTTAGGATTGTTAGGCATCTGTTGATCTTTTTTCTTAGCAACCCCATCTTGCTCAGTGAGGTCAAACTCTTTTCCTTTAGCTTTTAAAATGAATTTTTCCTTTTCTCTATCTTCGCTTTTATGTTTCGCTTTATTATCTTTATTCTTTTCCTTGTTTTTTCTTTTCGACTTTTCCTTTATGTCTTTTCCACTGTCTCTTTTCATTTCACTGGAACCTTCCTCCTGGCTGGTTAATTCCTTTTGCATTGGTTCAGGTTGTTCTACTGATCTTATTTTATCTATATCTTTATGTCCCCACTTTTGATAATAAAATTTTTCATAGTCATCCTCTTCATCTTCATCTTCTTCCTCTTCTTTATTGCCTTTTCCTTTTTTTTTTTTTTTTAAATCTTCTTCTATTCTTAAATTTTCCTTCAACAATTTATTTAATTCTAGGATATTACTTTTCCGTATTTTTATATCTTTCGAAATATTGTTCAAGTTATTTTCTTCCTTTGTCTGATTTTTTTTATTTTTATTAAATTTTAACTTAAATTGTTGAGTGTTTTTATTGGTCTCTTTAATGCTTTCTCCATAACCACTATAATTACTTCCGCTTCGATTCGCCTTTTCTTCCAATCCAGATATCTTAGAATTTGACCCTTTTTCAGAAAAAATATTCTGACCGTAGTCTTGACCTTTTTCACTTGAAGGGGAAGAAGAAAGTGGTGTACCTCTTCCTGATTTAGCATATTTTTTTTTATGTGTGTTCATATTTTTTTTTAAAATTTTCAGTGGGCTGTTCATATATATATTATTACCCCCTTGATCTTTTAAAGCAGATGTGGTTCCTTTATTTTCCATTTGGGTTCTTTCTGTTATTCCCTTTATTGTCATGTCTCTATCTGGGTTACTCCATTTTCTACTTTTCTTGTCTTCTCCTTTTGAATACATGCTGTCTTCACATTTATAATTCATTTGTTTTTCATTGCTTTTATTTTTTTGAAAATATATAAAACTTCCCTTAGACGGATGATCCATGACACACAATTGGAAAGGGAAGATAAATGTTATTCGGTATACAAGTAAATGATAAAGTATGTCTTTGTGAATGCATGAATGTACTACATGTGCGTAAAGAAAGATAATTCTAATCTGTTGTTATGTTGTCAGTATATAGGATTGCACAATACTTGATGATTGATTTTAACATGAGTTTATGTATTTTACTTTATACTTACATTCAAAAAAGTTTTAAATTAAAATAAAAAAAAGAATAAAATAAAATAAATAATAAAATAAAGAAGATGCTCATCATTTGATTTAACACATTATGCATAAAACTCTCTTTTCGGCATGGGGGTTCGATCCTTAGTACACCCTAGTTTATTTAAAAAAAAAAAAAAGGAAAAAAATAGAAAACAGTATGCAGTTTGCATTTTTATTCGATATATATATGTACATGTTTGTGTATATGAGTATGCATATGCGTATGTATATGAGTATGTACACGTGTATGTATATATATTTATTTTATTCTGTTTTATTTTGCTTCGTTTTGCTTTGTTTTCCTTTGTTTTGTGTTCCTTTGTTCTGTTCCGTTCTGTTCTGTTCTTTTTTTTTTTTTTTTTTTTTTTTTTTTTATTTAGTTTTCACAAGATAGCCAAATGTACACACTTTTTAACATAGCTATGAGTGTGCTTTTATCCGTACATACTTGTACGCACACACACATATGAACACACAACGCCCTGTCATATGTAATAAGGTATTTGAATTATTTGTAAGTAGCCAAGAAATCGTCTGCGGGTGTTAGAGGGTGGTAGTGATTATGTGTATATAGCAAGTGGATACAACACAAACACTTGGCATTGACACATTAAACATACATACTCGTTTTGTAAACATATAATACAGGTAAAGGCAGAGGAATTATGTTACCCTTCGATTTAAAAACAGGACTTGCAAAAGTGCATATATTTATAAATATACATATGCACATATGTGTAAATGGGTGTGTATATAAGTAAAAGTGCATATTTATAAATATATATGTATGATGTGAATGTATACATATACCTTTATTCATATGCACAAGTACATATGTGCATACGTGCGTGCTGGCAGTTGTAATGGTGTACATCCGCATACAACTATGTTAAAAAGAATTAAACAAGGGGATAAATATACACACGTTCGAGTAATGTTGAAAAAAAAAAAAAAAAAAAATTTAAATAAAATACGCGAGTATGTACGCATGTATATAAGAAAATACTCACGGCACGGATATAAATTTGAACATGTGAAAGTGTATTTGTACGCAAGTAAGCATATACATATGTTTGTGTATATATGTGCGGATTAATAAATATATACATATACATACACTTAAACAGCAGCATTGTCGTTGATATATTAATGCAAATATGGAAGCGTACATTGCATTCACACATGTATATATTTCACGTATTGTTGCATATACGTACTTACATATACATACATTGGGTATGTACGTTTCGTTTATACGTACACTAGCTTATTTGCATAATTTTGGCACATCTCACCATTATGTACATATTTAAAAACGAAAAGGTTACACAAAACCATTGAGCAAACATATTTAATCACACTCATCAATAATTATTTCATATATTAACTAAGGAAAAATAAGAATAGGTGAAAAGAAAAAAATAAGAAAAAAAAAAAAAAAAAAAAATTGATCAGAATTGAAAATCTCATTTTAGTATCCCCCTGTTTACCTTTCAATCACTGTCACAATGCACAATTTTTTTTTTTTTTTTTTTTTTTAATTTTTATAATTTTTTTTTTTTTTCCCTCCAATGATAATTCCATTCGCAAAAATCATTTTTAGAATGTTTTGGTTTATCACATTCACGCATGGAAGGCTAATGTGCATATGAGTACTCATCTGTGTAATTATATGAATTCCCTTGTGTATGTATATATGTATATGCATATATGCTTATGAGGAATTACATACATAAGAGTCCATACCTACACGTATGCGTAACGATATGTACACATATACATAACGACATGTATACTTATACCCATAACTAATGAAACATACACTCACACCCATGAGTAACTATATTTAAAACTACACCAAGGGCTAACGATTTGTATCACGACACCCATGCATAAGGATATGTATACTTATGCACATAACTAATCTTATGTACACATACACGCAAAGCTGTGGATTCATAAGTGTGCACGTATACACGCATGTGCATAGCTCGAACGATTATTCTTTATATCATTAAACATGAAAAGGATTGCAGAAGGGGTATAACTAACGTGTGTAACGCTTATGTGACAGGTACACAGAGCAACATAAGGACACGACAAAGTAGCTACATTTTCTACAACATGAATGGGGATAAAATAAACTACATATGTGTAGGAATAGTGATTTACTCATCTATAGAGAAAACCCTACCAAAATATTCAAACATAGCCACAGGGCATACATCGTTTATTCATCGTGGTCTCATTCTAAGAAATGCATACTGCATGCTTTTTTACCCCAAAGGTGTAATTAAAAAGAAATTTATTTTTTTAAATGGCATAGGGAGATATATAACAGTGGGAATTCATATGGTCTAACTGTTGCAGTCATTTACCAATGGAGACCAAATAATATATACATTTATGAAAAGGGGGGAAAAATATGAACAACCGTTTTTTTTATTTATATTCTCTTGATAAGTTAAAATGATTAACTTTTTTTTTTTTTTTTTTTTTTTTTTTTTTTTTTTTGTTCCCTAAAATGTGTGTAAGCTTCAACTATTATATGTTTTTCTACTTTCCTACATCCGCAAATATATATGGGATTGTGTAAATCAAATAAGTGATAATTGCTTCTTCCCTTGGTATCCATACCTGCATTTCTACCATTGTATATATATATATATATATGCTGCGTACGTTTCATACGCTCTTGCCATAGGAATATTTTTTGTAAAAAATACAAATTATTCTTCTGAACCATTTCGTTCGTATCAGACATGTGAATGAAAGAAAGGTATACCAACATTCTGATACCTTTCAAGACACTAGACATATATTTCCTGGTAAATTGTTTTGGTATACAAACATGTGCACCGTGCTGTTAAGTAAAAACGCCATGACCAATGCTACATGGCTATTCAACGAAAAAAATGAAAATTTGAAACGATACAAAAATGTAGTAGTTACTTAGAGCTGTTTGAAATGTGAACTTTTTAAAAATCAGATTAATATAAGAGAAAAATTTTGTGTATAACACTTACACGTTTGTACGACCTTTTGTATAATGCAAATTGTATAAAAGGGAAAAAAAAAAATTTTAATAAACTCTTACAAGGTTATACAGATCTGTACATTCTAAGTATACTATTAAAAACTGGATCATTACTGACGTTTATTTATAATTAGCTGAGTGCTAACCTGTGCATTTTTATTATTTAAACACATTATTAGTGTTTAATCTTTTTTTTTTTTTTTTTTTTTTTTTTTTTCCATATTTTGACGAAATCTGTTAATATTATTTATATGTTTATTTTTTTCTCCCACCCTCGATCTTTTGTGTCATACCACATAGAGGAATGAAATTCTGCATCTCTGACAAAGGTAAAATTACACAAGGTAGATGTACAATTGTGTATATAATTTTTGAGGGGTGGAACGTGGGATGTATTCCTCGAATATATGATGCTCCTTTATTTGCCATGTTTGTATTTGGACGAATTTTCAAAATGTAATTTTTCGTATTTTTTACCAAATTAACAAAATGAAGGCAAAACTGTTTCAATGCAGTTTTAAGGTGAATGTAAAATAGATTACGAATAATGGCATGTTAGGAAATGAACATGTTTTTATAAAAATATGAATAAACTCTTTAATAAAAAAAAAAACTAGCGTGTGTAACCAAATGACTAAGTAGATTGTCATAAACTCTTGATCGATTTAACCTGCAAAAATAACACTCATATAAGTAATTGTATCTCATTTTTGGTACAATATGGAATAGGGAAGAAAAGGCAGAAAAAAAAAAAAAAAAAACATACGTAAAGCCCACATTTTGACAATATGTTAAATATGTACATATCTAGACATTTATTCTTTAATCATCGCTTCATCTCTCCTTACTTCCGTTTCATTTCATTTTCTTAAATGAGTTTCAAACTTGTACTCCTTTCATCTAATTCGAGTGTGCAGGGCTAAGCGATGTGACACCCTATTTTGGTGCTTTTTATTTTTTTTTTCGAAGTATTGATACATTTGTTATTGATAACTTATGTCTGAAATAATAAATTTACCAATAGGAGGTAAAAGTGAATACTCTCTCTAACCATGGTAAGAGAAAAGGGTTTTCATGGTGTTTTCTCCTAAAGTGGTTACACTTATTTGTGAATAACTGCGCGAATTTTGTCAGAAATTTCATCTCTGCATTATGCGTTTTTAGCACATCTATTTTTGTGACGTATCTTTTTTTTTTTTTTTAATCCATATATTTGTTAATTTGTGTGTATGTTGGGGGATTAATAAATTAGGTCCTTACGAGTTAGTTTTTTTTTTTTTTTTATTTTATTTTATTTAGCTTTGGTCTTTTTAGCAAAGTGATGGAAGAGCCACATGAGAAGCACGTGGTGGAAAAGCAAGCATTTCTTTTTTAAAAGGGTGAACACGAACTTTGCAAATATATATTTTGGAACGGAAAACTGTATGTGGAACAAGAAAAGACTATTTATTATCTGTTCATTTATGATTTGTTTATTTATTATTTGTTCATTTATGATTTGTTTATTTATTATTTGTTCATTTATGATTTGTTTATTTATTATTTGTTCATTTATTATTAGTTCATTTATTTGTCTGTTTATTTATTTGCTTATTTACTTGTTTGTTTATTTTACACTTTATTTTATGTTATTTTATTTTTTCTTCATGTATTTTTCCTTATTTTCTCTATGTTAAGCACCTTATTTACCCATCGAAATGACCTTCTCGCGCGGAAGTATTACATTTGTTTGGATATACTACTCGAACACAACATTTAACATTCCCAAATAATGATTAAATTCACACGGGATTCATTTTTTTTTTTTTTTTTTTTTTTTTTTCATTTTATCCTTCCCATTTTCGTACTCTACATGCAGTGTTTGAGAAAGATCAGGATATTTTTTCTCTCTTGTTCTAGTTATTCCTAAAAGGGTAAAGAAAAGTGTTTTTTTTGTATGTTTAACAATTGTTGCTGTAACTGAAGGTAAGGCTCTTATAAGCATTTGCTATTTTGGAAATTCGTGAGTTGTAAATATGAAAAGATGCTTGTGGTAAATATTCTTCTTCTTTTTGGAACTGTGGCATATTTAGAAGATGAGGTTTCAGAATAGTAGGAGGAGTTCTCAATTCGTAACTCTTGGCACACAGTTCAAAATTTTTACTAGTATTAGTTTTTCTTAGTATATAACCTTATCGCTCCCTTTATTTATCAATTTAAGTGTTCATAACAGTTAGCCCATTTTAGTCAGAGAAAAGGCATATATGATGCACAACTCCTTTAGAGATGAGAAAGTTGGTGAAAGTGCACAAGGGGAACATCAAAATGAAGAACTCATAGATATGAGAAGACATTTCTTTAAGGAAGAAGATGATTATACAGTGGCTAGTCGAAATTATGTAGAAGATTTAAAGGGTTACATGAATCGAGTAAATACCTTTAGATCGTGGCTAAAAAAACCTGCACAATTATGTTCCCTCCTTTTAGCTAGGAACGGGTTCATATGTGAAAGTGAAAATACTATAAGATGCGAAATGTGTAAATGCAAATTTGTGTATGAGAAAGATACATATTCCATGTATACAAAAATAAATGATTTATGTTTATTGCATTTAAAAAATTGTCCATGGAAAGGTAAATTAATGGGCCTACATATTTTTCACCTCGATGAAGAATCGCTGAAAAGAGACAACTTACTGAGAGACTATGAAAACATGATAATGTTAATACAAAATGATAATTATGAAATACCATATATAAATATAAAGAAAACAATTAACGACTTTATTTTAATTATTAAGAAACATTTAACTAATAATGATGCAAAGAATAAATTTCATATATTCACTTCGTATGTTGAATTCTTTAAAATGTACTATGTCGATATATTTAGAAATCATAAAGATGTGGTTGACAAAGGTATCAAATTGATTAAGTCGAATTACCAAAATTATGAGAAACCCACCGTGGATGAAGCATTTTTAAATAACTTATCTTATGACCCCTTAGATGTACATACATATATAAACATCTTATCAGATGAGAATAGTATATCTAGTCTCAATAATCCAAATGATGATATTAACATGTATTTTAAAATTGTAAGCAAACTGAAAAACCATGAATACCAAGATGTAAGTCTCTATAAGCTCATTGCCTTATTTGGGTGGACATACAAATTACATGAAACGGAAAAAAATCTTTCTTCTAATATTCTCTATTGTAGACATTGCTTTAGAGAAGTTGACATGAGTTATTATTCTACCTTTTCAAGAACTGACAACAAGTTGAATTTATTCAAGCCAATAGACCCCCTTCTCTGTGAGGAAATAGCTAGCTATTTTGAAAATCATTCCAAAGGAGAGGAATTAGGAGGAGGAAAACAGTCACTCAATTATATTGGCGATATTGGAGATGTGATAGACCATCTTTTGAGCTTGACCTATGGGTGCGTAGATCAGAAGTATGCTGATGGCGAAGGGAAGCGTGATGAGGTGGTGGGTGAAGAGGGGCAGTATGATGAAGTGAAGGGGGAAGAGGGGCCGTGTAAAGAAGTGAGGGGTGAAGAGGGGCCGTGTAAAGAAGTGAGGGGTGAAGAAGGACAGTGTAAAGAAGTGAGGGGTGAAGAGGGGCCGTGTAAAGAAGTGAGGGGTGAAGAGGGGCCGTGTAAAGAAGTGAGGGGTGAAGAGGGGCCGTGTAAAGAAGTGAGGGGTGAAGAGGGGCCGTGTAAAGAAGTGAGGGGTGAAGAAGGACAGTGTGGTGAAGCGAGGGATGAAGATACCATGAATGATGCATTAAAGAATGATGCACCGAAGGAGCAGGAAGGATTCCCCTTCAAGTGGAGCTTAAAGCACCTTTTTCTCCCAAAAAAGAGCACCGATGATGTGGGGGAAAAGCATTATGGTGATGACACATTGCCAAGTGAAAATCCACTGACAAGCAGCTACGAAGGCATAATGAACATGAATGAGAAAATGGACCTATCAGTTGTAAAAGAAAAAAAAAAAAAAAAAAAAATTTCAATAAAAAATACGTTGAGTGAAGTATTCCTTGAGATAAGTGATTACACAGAGGATGAAAACTTATTTATCAAAACGGTTCAAGATTATTACGTACTAAAGGGGAATCCTAATGAGGTGGTACGTCCTTTCAGTGAAGATAGTACAAAGAGTAAGAATATCTCAGATACTGTGAACGGTAAAGAAGAGCTGAACAGATCAAACTTGTATATAATTCGACCCTTTAACTTGATTGAAAATCATAGAGTGTTCTGTCCTTATATGACAGAAGATTTGTATGGCTTTTCCAAGATAACGAAACTATTTTTCGAGTTGCTTATGTCGGAATCTCAGAGGCGATACGTGATTATGTAGGGCGCAGCGTCCATGCGTATAAGTAGATATATGCGTATATACATATGTACATATATACATACATATGTCAGATGTGCATACTAGTACGGCCAAAGAGACCTTCATAGAATTGTACAGTAAGCTACTCAAGGAAGTACAAGTTCACGCATGTCACGTGTTACTTGTGCCACCAGTGATTTTATAAAAGGGGGCCTTCGCCATTGATGATATATACCTAAAATTAGACGTTCCCTTTTTTTTTTTTTTTTTTTTTTTTTTTTTTTTTGTTGTTGTTGTTGTAGTTTCACTTTTGATTTGTATAAGTTACCGAAGTGATTCATATCCAAATTTTTCATTTATCGCGTAGACTTACATAAATATATGCTACCAATTGCAAAGCGAAGGTTTTTTTTTTTTTTTTTTTCATTAAAGCAAATTTGATGACTTATTTTTTCACTAGTTCTGGTACCATTCATTGCTCTGAGCAGAAAACGATAGTTCTTAATTAAGTGCGGCTATATATGGTACACCTTTGAAGGAGTCGTGTGAATATGTTCTAGATTTTTGGGGGGGAGCGGGAAAAAGTATTATTTGCTTGCGCCACTATTTAATTGTTGTTCCTTATCTAATTATGAGTTCACAAAAAATGGAATTTTTTGCATGGGTGATATGTTCAAAAGGGTAGTGGGATTGCAGAGAGTGGGGGTGCAGAGAGTGGGATTGCAGAGAGTGGGATTGCAGAGAGTGGGGGTGCAGGGTAATGATGCATTTTTGAACTTATTTTTTAATTTGTGCATAAAGTAAATTATGCGAAAGCTGCCATACTATTAGGGTCTGTTGTTATCACGTTGTGAAGTTACCTCCTTGAGCTGATGTGCAACTCTGTGGCAATTTTTTTAACTTCTGAATTGGGGATGTGTTGAACACTCTCATGTATATGAATGGAGGATTCGAAGTAAACATCTTACATGATACCTTCTCAAGCACAATTATTTACATACTCTCTAAGGCATAATAAACCGTGAGGCATTATAACTAGCTATATATGTATATGTATGCTGGCATATAGAAGAATTCAGGAAAAAAAAAATGCGTAGTTGAACGTTTGTCATTAATTAGCTACTTTCAATGTCATTAAAACTACTAAATGATGAACTCAAAAGTGAAAAATAAATTCCTTTTAAAAAGTATTATTTTTCTTTTTAATCCCTTTTTTTTTTTTTTTTTTTTTTTTGCAAAATAGTAATTCAGTGATCAATTTGTAAAGGGTACGTATATATATATATATATATTAAAAAAATATATATACATATATGTATCTATATGATACATATGAAAAACAAACTATTTGAGTTACAAAAAAAAGAAAAAAGAAAAACGTAAAGTCATGCACGCATATAAGTCACGTTCATGCAATAACATACATATATATATGTATGTCATTATATGTATACATATACCCCATTTTTGATCCATTCTTCTTCTGTTTATTAAATTGTTTTTCGAAGAAAGGTTACAAAGAGCACATCAATATATACTCATTTTTCGTTGAGATGATTTCTTCATATTTTTCTTTAACCTCCTTTTCCCAATCCCCATCCCATCGATATATAGATGAAATATAAATGAGCTATAGATAAGCATTGGGTCCGTTATACTAGAGCATATTGCCTAAATGATACGTATGTAAATAAGTATTTGTTGCGCGAATATGAATGTGCTTCTCCTGAGCATATGTAAATTATTTATATAATATATTCATATATCTATACATGCATATTCATATATATATAATAAATATAAATATCACATAATTATGTGCATATTGCTCATTGCATACATATATTTAAACGCATCACATCCATAGGGAAAAAAAAAAAAAAATGTAGTATAATAAAATAAAGTAAATGGGGTAATGGCTAAATATATGAAAAATAACGTGAAAAGAGTAAACATTTTTTAAAATACATTTTAAAAATTTATTTAAAAAATGAAATAATAAATGGAACAAAGCAAAGCAATTTATTTTTTTCAAAGAATAAAATTCCATAAATATAAAAAGTGCGAAGAAAAATGTTGTGTATATTTTAAAATATTTGTGCATAGTTTTTCGTAAAAAAGAAAAAAAAAAAAAATCACAGCATTGCTCATTAATATATATATTTATACGTATACAATAAATATAATCATATAATATATGTAACGCATATATTATTGTATATTAACATATATTAACATTTTTAACATATATTACAATAAATTAACATATATTAACATATGTTAACATATTCACTTGTGATTATTATTCAAATAATGTATGCAAATACATAATTACTCCACATAAGTACTGCAGAGGAACATAAAAATAAACGGACGTACCGTATATATACATCATATACACGTATACAACAAAGGGGAGCAGAACCTTTATAATAGAAAAGGGAAAGTAGAAGAAAAGAAGAGGACCCAGTAAAAGTGAGGGGAGGGGGAAAAAAAAAAAAAAGTAAAATAAAATAAAGCAAAATAAAATAAAGCAAAATAAAATAAAGCAAAATAAAATAAGGCAAAATAAAATAAAGCAAAATAAAATAAATTAAAGCATTAAAAAAAGAGGAGAAAGAAGAAGAAAATGAAATGGTCACTTTTTTATTTATCACCATGAGACATTACAATTAAATCCATAACTTCTCTTCAGCAGTCACCAACACGAACATCCATTACCAATACCATTTAACAGAATGCACTAAATGTTTTTACATTAAAAAAAAAAAAAACAAGTTTTACATTTAATTGTATAACAATTAAGACATGCATATTGTTCTATCCATAAGTAGCATGTCTCATCCGTGAAGCAATTTGATTGATACTTATTTAAGTGAATAAAAATCACCTTTTATTATAGTCTCTATCAGTTTCATTACGTAATTGTATGAATATTTTTATCCATAAAAAGATTTTAATTCATTTCTTTTTTCCCGTTCGGTTTATCCATCCTTTTTTGGGACACACCTTTTACCATTTTCCTTTCTCCACAATTTTTTTTTTTTTTTTTTAAATACAAAAGATAATAAGTGTACGATACACAGATAATTATTAAATATAAACGAGATGTATTGGATTATATGTGCCAATTTGTAAAAATAGGAGCAACTATAAATATACATAATTGTGTACATTGCAAGCAAATTGTAACCTTTGCTTATGTGGAAGTGTCAAATACTTAAGTAATATATCATCCATTTAATTTATCATTCAGTTTGAAGCATTTGCGTGATCTTGCACGAGACGTGAAATTATATCACAACGAGAAAACAATAGAGCTTGAAGTGAAAAACGTAAAAAAATAAAAAATAAAAAAAAAACAACGGAAAAATAAAGAAACAAAAAGCAAGAACAATAAGAATAATAATAATAAGAAGAATAAGAAGAAGAAGAAGAAGAATACACAACGAGAAGAAAAAGAAGAAACGTACAAAACATAAAAATCATACAAAGCACGTTCGTACAAAATACACAAGACCAAAGAATTAAAAGAATAAGTGGATATCAAAAGGAGTATAAAAAGGAATACCAAGACACAAAATTATACCTGTGAAGAAAACCTATTTTTCGCCAAAATAATTAAATAAAATCACATATAAAACATATCCAAGAGGAGGGGGAAAAAAAAAAAAAGATATAAATTACAGAAACATAGGAATTATATCAAAAGGGACGAATATGCTCCTATATATTATAATCACTTATTAGCCTGTATCGCATACAAATTTGACGAAATAATTTTATTAACCATAATCATCACACTCATAGAACTTACGTGTATTTATATATAAATCCCCCAAACCAGAAATAATGGCAAAAATGGAAAGAAAAAAATTTGAAGGAAGGACCAAAGAAAGCAACAAAATATCAAAAACGAGAAAAACCGGATTTTCAAAATTCTCATATCAACCAAGTAGAGGTGCGTGAAAAAAAAAAAAAAAAAGAAAAAAAGAAAAAGAAAAGAAAATATTTCACATAATAATAGTAGGCCCAAAAAAAAAGGATTAAATTTGCATAAAAATTGGGCTTACAAAATGGGTCCCAGTGGGCATATTAAATTGGCACACCAAATGGGCATACCAAACGGGCACACCAAATGGGCATACCAAACGGGCTCACCAAATGAATCCTAAATGTACCACTAATTGAACCAATTTTGTGAATTTCTAATAATTAAAATAAATAAAAAAGCCATTTATAAATTAGAGAGCATATGCAATTCGTTTCCATTATATTTACAATTAAATGTGGACTATTGTGATATCGAAAAAAAAAAATAAAATAAAAAATAATAATATACAATAAAAATAAAAAGAAAAAGAAAATACATAACTGAATGATACGATTTGAAAAATATTCACATGTATATGCATATATATATATATATATATATATATATAAATATCAGTACTTTTATACATACAAACGCATACACGCGTGCTTATGACAAAGTGACATGTGCGGGGGCAATGATGGATTATAACCCATTCTGAATAATAATACAGATGATGATAATTGCAGATGGCTTGATTATAATAATTTGTTTTGAATACTCCAAAAGTATAGATGTATTATATGTATTTGCTTGTATATTTAGATATATATATATATACAAGTATATGTATGTATATACAAGTGTGCATATGTATATATATGTGCACATGTTGGTGTGGACGGGTAACGTTTCTTATTTTTTTCGATTATCCAATATACGAGGTGACAACAATATACCCTTAGGAATATGCATAAGCCTACTTGATAAGCTCAGAAAACACGATAGAAATATTACTCATAGTATTACAACGTAAAATGGATAATGTGAAATGATATGAAATTGGCGAATAACGAAGGTGTACTTTTGAATTAAATTGAATGTGGTGTTTATATACAGAATAATGGAAGAAGGATAGAATTTTTGAACAAAATATAATAAATTGTGGTTTTATTTTTTTCGCGCAGAAGTGATATAATGATATATATATTATATGTACATACGATATAATTGTTTTACATATTATATATATATGTATACATTTTTTTTTTTTTTCTGGAACCCCATGAGAAGCAGATTGAGTTATTTCAATTCATTTGACATATATATATATATATATTAACCCCCCTTTTGAGCGTACTCTGCATTTTATTACCATAAGTATATTTCAAAAATTACTGAAGTGCATAAGAGTAAGGAAGTTTTGTACGAATGTGAAATGTGTTATATCATATGATATATCCTTTGCTTAGTTGGAAATACTTCAAGCTACAGAAAAAAAAAAAAAAAAAAAAAAGTTTATACAGCTATACATATTGATTAACGATTATTTTTTATGTTATTCTTTTTTATACCAGATTTAATTTTATAAGTGTCATTTATTATTATCAGCAGCTTTTATATACACATAGTTATTTATTCAAGAATGGACAAAGCGTATTATATCGAATGGACGTACAGATATGTTTAGCGAAGGAATGAAAAGAAGTTTGCATCAATTAGTTTGAAGTGAATATATACTTTTTCATACCATTTTTTTTTTTCTTTTTATTATTATTATTATGCAATGTAATTATTTATCGAATGTGAAGGGGGGAGAGAGTAAAAAAAAAAAAAAAAAAAAAAAAAAAAAAAACACTCTTTAGTCATTTTATTCGTATCATTATTTCTTCTGCATATATATTGTATATATATTTTGTTATGGCGAAAATTAAGGTAGAATGAGTTGATTTCGTTGCACAGATTAGGGAAAGGAAATTTTTTATATTCTGATTTTTATGCAAAATGAATAATATTATGGAGATTATATAGGGTGGTAATGAGAAATTTTATATCAAAGCAGACGTTATAAGATGTGTAGAGAAGAGCTTGAGATATATTACAACTTATCGAAGGATTTGCAACCCCACATGCCTAGCATATAACATATATATATATCATATAGTGGATGTACACATATACACGTTTGTAACAGCTTGAGGAAATTTTCATTATCGTTCATTCGTGTTGAAGTTAAACAGTAGTGTTAACGCATTTTTTTATTGGGAAGTAGCACACTGTATATTTTTATAAAGCCATTCATTGAGTAGGCTGTAAATAGTAGGGTCGTGCCAGAAAAGAAAAATGTGTACATATGTATATATATATGAATTTATTTATTTATTTACTTACCTACATATCCATATGTTAATCCTATGGGTGAGCGTAAATTAGCTGATTTCGTAACAGTTGCACCAGCATATCACATTGCATAGACATTTAGTTTTTTTCATGTTATCATCATGACTGCGAAGTTTGTGTGTGATGGTGGAGAAAGAAAAAAAAAAAAAAAAAATATGGAGAGAAACAAATATAGAGAAATAAGTTTAGAAAAAAAAGTATAGAAAAAAAAGAAAAAGATATTATAGAAAAAAGTAGAAAATAAAAAAAAAAAAAAAAATAAAATAAAATAAAGAGAAAAAAAAAAATAAAATAAAATAAAGAGAAAAAAAAAAATAAAATAAAATAAAGAGAAAAAAAAAAAAAAAAATACTTGTCCCCCCTCCCCAGTGTACACAATTTGACAGTTATAGTTCATATTAGTCCTGCATCCAATATATGCACATGAACATGTTTTTAAGAGCGTATATATATGTATATGCATAAGAGTACATGAATCATGTGTACTGTACAGACATTGAATAAATGGCTTTTTTAATTTATTTTAATTCTCAAAACTTCCCTCTCTCTCTCTCGTTCGTCGCCTCCCTTTTTTTTTTGCCCCATTCAGTGAGAAAGCATTTTCATTCTATTGACTATATATCCCGCCTAATTATTTTCAACATATAAAATTTTGTTTACAGGAAAAACATTTAAGTATGCACCACAGAAAAAAAAAATCGATGTAAGAAAACATATTTTTAAGCAATATGGACGTAGCAATTTATCAATGATGAATAGAAAATATTCCAAGAGAGGAGGAATCAATAGCTTTTATACCAGAAGCAAGAAAAAAATTGGTGGAAATTTCTTAGATAGAGGATTTACAAATGGACACGATACTTTTAATAGAAAAGCCAAATCAAATAATTTCAGAAAAAGAAGAACTAATTATCGAACCAACAAAAGAAGAAATTACTTTTTCAAGAAAACGCAGAATCTGCATGATAAAATAGGGAAACTCACGTCAAAGGAATTGGTAAGACATACTATATGCAGGAGAAAAGAGTGAAAATTTGGATACATGACCCACCGAGGTTTTTTCTCCTTTATTTATATATACACATCGTGCAAACATGAAAATATGAAATTGGTTATGGAATGAGGAAAGTGTGCTGAGAGTGATAAGAATTCATGTTCTCATTTTTACCCTCTACTGTGTATTTATGTGATTATCGGAATTTTTTGCATACTTTTATATATATGTATACATTTGTCTGCGTGTTATTTTATTTTTTTTTTTTTTTTTTTTCATTCTTTTTATACACGAATGCTTTCATACCTACTCATGAACCTATTTATGTTTTATCATATTCATTGCAGGACGATGAATTGGATAATTATATGGGATCAAGCAATGTAAAGACAAGATTAGACAATGATTTAGAATCATATTTTAAAAATAACGAAACTTTACAAGTGGATGGCAATAAATGATTCAACAAAAAGTGCCCAAAATAATCAAAAAGGGTTTCATTTCTCTTCCCATGTATTCCTATGGGGAAAATAGACATGATATAATAGTAATAGGGAACACATAAAACTTATAATATACTCTCTTTTATGTCGTCATATATCCCCCCCTATGGTAAAGCACAAAATGAATTCAAATTGTAAACACATATAATTGTTAATTATTTAACTCTTTGCACACGGATTATAGTCTATATTAGTGTGTGTATATAAGAACTTCCAAACAGCAAGCATATAATTTTGGAATTTAAAAAAGTAAATCAAAATAATGTTTTTTCCATACTTTTACCGTGCATATTTGTTTTTTGAAGAGAAAACAAGTGTGGCCATATGTACATACATATACATCCATGTAACGTGCACATTTCCTTTTTGGAAAATAAACAGGAAGCTAATATCCAAGCGCTGAAGAATGTGCAAATGCAAGTGTATATGTATGCATGTGTTTTAATGCGTTTTGGTATTTTAAATAAATTAAAAACACGCAGTATTTCCCCTTGTGTACCCGTTCGTATTGGGACAGTGCACATATATATATTTATATATATATTTATGTAGAGCCCTTTATGCTAACAAACCTGTTTTGTGAGCTATTTTTGAGTATTTTTTTTTTTTTTTCACCTTTTTAATTAACTTTTGCTTATTACTTTTTTTTTCATTTTTACCATTTCTAATGAATTGTGGTGTAGAAAATTTTATCTATAAAGAATGATCAAAAGTTTTAAGATGTCATTTTATTCCCACATGAAATGTTTAATACAAGTACAGGAATACATAAAATATATATGTATAGATGTATATATATCTGCCCATGTGCAAGAATTATACACATGTATGTGTTCCCAAATTGAGCATAATGAGGCATGCTACACACATTTAAGCATTATTTATTTGCTAAGCCACATTTATAAACACACGCACACGTTTTTGTACTCTGTTACATTATTGTGTAATCTGTATAACAGTCCCTAAAAAGAAACAAAATATGTTCATTTATTTTTAACCTTGAAACTGTAAAAAGAAAAAGCATATTAAATGAATAAATAAAATAAGACATAATGAAACGAATCAAGAAAGGATACATAAATTTAACACGGAAAATAAAAAAGAAAGAAAATTAAAAAGCAAAACAAAGGAGCATAAGAGGGGTTGTATTATACGTTGATGGATGATTTTTTTTTTAAATATTTTTTTTTTTTTCTATGCACATAGGCACAAATAGTGCCTTGTGGGGTGCAGAAATTAATGCTTGGCGTATTTTTAACGATTTAATAATTTGATTTAAAATATAAATTGTAAAGCATACTTTTTATGTTAAGTGTTCATTTCATTAATGTTGTTCTTTCTTAGTGTATTGAATGAAGAATAAGAATTAATTTCTGCATTATTTTCTAAATATATATCTTCTCTCCTATTGTAATTTTGTCTTTGTCGTTTTACCTTATATCATAATAGGTATAAAATACTTTTGGGTTTTTTTTTTTTTTTTTTTTTTTTTAAATGTTTAAAACGTTATGACTTATAAAAGTATTTATACATAAGCTACAATTTAAAGGAAATTATCTTATTTGTAAAGGAAAAACAAAAATATCACAGCAATAATTATAAAGGAAATTGGAAAAATACTTTTAAAGTGTGTGTTCATAAGTTTACAAGCTTGTAGAGCTTGTGGATTGGAGTGTTATACCAACATGCATGTATCTGTTAGTACATTTGTGTTTTATGTGTGCATGTATGTATGTGCTGGTGGGGGAGGAGGAGGAGTGAAAGGTAATTTTTTAAGGAAATTAAAAAAGAGGTTTGTGAAATCAAATAAAAACAAAAAAAGTAAAATGAAACATACAGTTGCAGAGTTATGGACTGGTAAAGAAATAGAATAATGAAACGGAGAACAGATGTAATAATAGAAAAAAAATAAAAAAAAATTAAAAAAAAGATTAAAAAAAAAGAAAAAAAAAGAAACTATTAAAACATTAATATATTACATGTGTACGAGAAAATAACAATTAGTTATGCATAATTGCTACCTATTTTATCTGTTTCTCTCACAATATATACACGTGTATGTAATTCATGGAACGGGGGAGGGAGGCGGTGCAGGTGTAAATATTTGAAGGAAATGCTATGTGCTACTACATAAATGGTGGAGTTTTCCTGTTAACTTAACAACGTTACCATGGTCATGTGAACAGCGATTCTCGAAGAGGTGGACTATCATGTCACATTTTCATTTTCAAAATCATTGCAAACGTAGTATATATATATATATATATATATATATATATATATATATACATTTGTGTGTATGCGTACGTGTGTGTACTTCCGTATATAGCGATGATAATGCCAATTTCTTATGAGTCCCCTTCTTTTCTGTGCATACTTATACCACTAGAGGAAGCGGCTCACGGTAGGAATTACTCCCTCCATAGTATGGTCCCTTCACTTAGACATATACATAAGCATATATAAAACCCCACAACACACACAAAAACACGCAAAGTGGAAAAGTCATATATATGTTATGTGTGCTGACAAAATATTCCCCATAAACTTGTTCAATAATTTATTTTCACGTTTACATTTTAATCATTTCTCTTAAAGCGGTATGTGAGGGGTAGTAGAAGAGGATAGGAAACTAAAATATTTTACTCCAAATTGTAATCACAAGATACGAGAAAAAATAAACGAATGAAAGTGCAAATGTGATAACCCAAAAAAAAATATATTTAGGAAAAACACATTGTAAGGTATATAGAGAACCCGAAAAATGGATATACTCCCCCTCCATATAACTTGGCAGACTCCCTCCCACTCCCCTCGAATATAGATATAGTGTATAGCATGTTTTTCCACATGCAGATAATTTATGTTTGCGAATTTTTCACATCATCTGAGGTGATACCCACTAATATGATGCCTCTTGGAGAGGTATGTCCTTATGGTTAATGGGGATGGAAAAGGGTTTTTGGAAATATGTTCCCGTTTATCCTTTGGCTTCCATTTGTTCTGATATTTCCTTGTGGGAGGATCCATAATTTTTCTAAAGGAAAATTCTGATGACTTCATAATACTTATTGCTTTATGTGGGTCATAATTTGCATAATGCAATAATTTATATGCATACTCAGGTGAAAATGGTACCCATTCGTCTATATTTGATTTCCAACTTTTTGCACATTCTTGTACATATGCAGATAATTCAATTTCGTTCTTTACACATTTGTGATAACCTCTATTTTTCATACATTTTTCTCTTACTTTTTCTAACATTAATGGTGAATATACTAATGTTGCTTCTCCTACACGACAATGACAGGGCAAACCTGAACAAGTTAGGCAAATCTGATCATTATTTGTCTCTTCAGCTGAATCGTAATTTTTATACATTAATTCTGAACGGCACAAAAAAAAATTTGGTAATTTGGGCACTTGATAATTGTCTCCTACGTTTATTTTGCTGCTTTCTTTTGAGCCTTCCTCTGTGACCCGTTTCTTCCGTTTTTTTTGCTCTGTTGTATCTTGGGTAAAAAAATGTGTACAAAAAAAAGTGGGTTTAAAAATGGGTTTAGAGGTGTATGCAAACACGATAACAAAAAATGCAAACAACACATTATGCAAATGATTAGTTAACGAATGGAAAGCACGCGTGGCACACCGGGGAGGGCTTTAAAAAAAAAAAAAAAAAAAACCTACCATTATCATTATCGACATCAGAATATACCCCATTGAACCGAGAAGAGTGATTGTTCGACAGGTTGTCGTTATTCATATAATCATTATCGTTACTATCTGCATAGTTGTTTTTTCCATTTCTGTGAGCATTAAAATGAGATCCAGAAGAAGTTTTTATTTTTTCATGATTTAAATGTTCTTGGTTATATTCGTTTTTTAAAAATTCTTTTTTTTCAAAATTTTGAGAATGTGATGTAGTAGCATTTGCAGAATGACCAAATTTAGATTCATTATTTTTGTTTACACCTTTGGAACTATATGTATTCGTATTTGTATTCAATTTTTGAAAAGCTCTTCCTTTTTTCTTATATCGGTACCCTTTCATTTTCATACCTCCTCTTGCATGTACAAAAGTTTGTTGATCATTTGTTTTTACAGACGTTTTTGTATGTGTATGGTGCGTTTTCATGCCGTTTTTTCCATCATTTACTTTATTGTGATTATTATCAGACATTCTTCCTACTTTCTTGTTATTATTACTTTCCTTCGTGGGACCTTCATTCTTTGTCTCATGGTGCTTGTTATTATATCGATTGTAAATTTCACACTTTTTCTTGTCCCTCTCATCAGGCTCGTCGTTCTCGTCTCGATTCGAGTTTCCCTCTATACTAGGGGATCTATTTCTCACAACATTATTACTGTGTGCGGAATTATTAACATTTGTGGTATTATTGCCGTATGTGGTGTTATTACCGTTTGTGGTGTTATTACCGTTTGTGGAGTTAATCACATTTGTGGAGTTATTAACATTTATGGAGTTATTACCTCCCGCGTAAATATTAGCATCAACATAAGCACTACCACTCCTGCTCTTGTTTGATTCATTTATTTTGTCGTACTTAATTGCACTAGGTCTATTTGCATGCTTATTTTTTTGGTGTTCATTTCCTTCCTGTTTAACACCACCATTACAGTTACTGTCATAAGCATTAAACCCGTTAACATTACTCTCCACTTCATGATTCATAGTATCTTCACTCATAACGTGATCATGTATAATACTCTCTGATTTCACAATGGTAAAGATGTTATCGTCTACTACCCCTGATTTCATCCTGTATATAGATTCATTTCCAAGATATCCATTGTTGCTGTCATCCAAATTTTTTCTCCTTTTTCTTCTATTATGTACTACTACTACATTATTTGTTGCATCTATTTCAGTTGTGAGCTTCTTGGAGACTTTTTTGCCACTTTCCTTCTGTTCAACAGAAATACTGGTCCTTTGGAGATTTCTCAAAATCCGTCCACCCTTAACGTTGGTAGTGGCATTGATTGATCCGTTATTACCAATACTGTAGTTATTGTTGCTGTTGTTTATATACTTACTTACAGGATCATTATTACTGGCATTCCTATTATTCTTATCATTGTTATTATCGTCGTATGATATATTAAAAGTACTTGCTTCGATAAACCGTTTGTGTTCTTCACCTTTCGTTTTTTGAACATGCACTTTGCTCATTTCTGTTCTGCTCATTTCTGCTTTGCTCATTTCCTCTCTGCCCAATTCTGCTGTGCCCAATTCTGCTCTGCTCATTTCTGCTATTACTTCATTCTGCTTTTTACCCGAGCTCAGATTTACATGGTTACGCTTAACATGCATCTGTTTATGCAAGTTGTTTTGGGAATTATGTTCATAATATTCAGTGTCACGATTATTTAAACGGGTTCTATCGATTGTTGACCCCTTTGATGCTATTATTCCTGGTATGACTCCTTCTCCTTTCTGAACTTTTCTAAATTTGTCCTCCTCCTTTTTAATGGTTTGATATGGGCCACCACTGTCATTTAGCCTGCCATCTCTTCTTCTTTCCAAAATGTCCAATTCTTCTAGCTCTTTTATTTGTTCCTCTATTTGTTCATTTTTTTCATTATCTGACATATTATTAACAATTTCTATATGGTCAAACTCATTAATATCAGTATTGCGCTGTTTTTTCACGTTTATATTTTCTTCTTGAATAAACAATTCTCTCGATCTATTATCCTCATAAGCATGCTTGTAGTTATAATTATTATAGTACTCATTGTTATTACTTTTATGATTACTATTATTACTGTTTCTGATTGAACTACTTCTCATACTGTCGCTTCTTATACCGTTGCTTCTTATGCTGCTACTTCTAACGCTACTACTTCTGATGTTATTACCTCTAACGCAATTTCCTCTCATACCACCACCTCTGACACTGCCTCCTCGTACGTTCCCAGAGTCTCTAATACTGTTACTTCTCACATTGCAATTGTTGTTATTTCCACTATTAACAAGAACATCAGTATTATTGCTATTCATTTTATTATATTTCCTTTTTTCTTTATCAATTGTACCCCCTTTTATATTTAATATATTATCACGGTTACGCTCTCCAAAACGGTTCCAAAGGCTATAGTCGATCTGCCTAATGTATGAACTGTCCCTCAGCCCAATGTTCTCGCGAATGCTTTTACTCTCACCAGTTCTGTTACTCTCTCGAAATGTATCACTAATCTGAGAGCAGAGATTTATTTTTCTTTCTTTTCTCTTGTTATACTTCTTTACGTAAATCGATTCCTCTTCTTCTTCCTCCAAAGGCTGTTGCTGCTGTCGTTGCTGCTGTCGTTGCTGCTGTCGTTGCTGCTGCCGTTGTTGCTTCCGTTGTTGCTGCCGTTGCTGCTGCTGTTGTTGCTGCCGTTGCTGCTGCTGTTGCTTTTTCAGTTGACGTACCTGTCTCTTATGCTTCTGCTTAGTATAGTCCAACTGCTGATTACATTGAACTATAAATTCTTGCGATGATGTATTGGATCGTTTTTTCTCGTCTTCTAAATGTTCTTGTTTCTTTTTGTGATTAGGATCCTTAAACTCAGCGCTTGGTCTTTTTTCTTTCTCTTTCTCTCTGTCCTTCTCTTTCTCCTTTCTTAATAGCTTATTAATTTCATGAATATTGTCGTTTGATAAACTCTTAATATCTTTTAATTTTATGAACACGCCCAAATCAACAGAATTATTTATACCATTTTTAAAATTAAAAAAATTGTGCTCAATGTCCTTATGGTTCTTTTGGTTGCTTTCTTTTAAAATGTTTATTCCGTCCCCAATCTTTATGTCGTTCCTAACCTTGGCACCGTCGCTGATTTCGAAGTAGTTATCTATTTGGGTGTTGCTTCCAATTTGGCTGTTACTACCAATTTGGCTGTTACTACCAAATTGGCTGTTGCTACCAATTTGGCTGTTGCTACCAATTTGGCTGTTGCTACCAATTTGGCTGTTACTACCAATTTGGCTGTTACTACCAATTTGCGTGCTGCTATCTAATATACTACCACTCCTACTGTTTCCTGCACTTTTTGTATGTTTCGAATCGTCCTTTCTGATGCCTTTAATATAATCTCTCGTAGAACTCACCGATCTAGCTATAATGTAATCATTTATTTTGTTACCCTTTGAGGAAATGTAAAATACCATTATATATATTGGAAGGCGAGAATCTCCGCGTTAGATGCAGACGTGTGGGGGCAGAAATAAATGAAGCAACGCAAATGAAGTGAAGTAAATGAAGCGAAATAAATGAAGAGAAATAAATGAAGCGAAATAAATGAAGCAGCGTAAATAGAACAAAGTAAATGAAGCGAAGTAAATGAAGCGAAGTAAATGAAGCAACGTAAATAGAACAAAGTAAATGAAGCGAAGTAAATGAAGTAATGTAAATGGAGTAAAATAATTGAAGCAACGTAAATCTAAGGATGGAATGGGAATGAAAGCCAAAATGCAAATATTAATTCTGGAAATTATATAAAGATTAAAAACTGGAAAAGTGGACTTAAAATATGCAAAAAAGGGATAGTAGATTTACATAATTAAAAAAAAAAAAGAAATATGGAAAGAAAAAAAGGGGCAATGGAAGGGAATGTAAAGGGGAAAGAAAGCAAAAGGGAAAGCAAAAGGACAAGGAAGCGAAAGGAGAGAAAAGAAAAGAAAAAAGAAGAGAGAATTATGTATATCTAAGTAAATTTATATTATTAAAATAATTAACTATCTCAAATGGGTAAATATAAAAAAATAAAAAATAAATAAACGGTTAATTAAAAATTTCTCCAAATTTTTAATTCCACGTTATTTCTTGCTCCTTTTTTAATATAAAATGATAAAAGAAAAGGTAGCTATGCATGCATTCATCTTGAAAATATATAGGACATTAAATGGGGGAAAAAAGCAAAAGGTAAGGAAAATAAGGTATGGGTGATAAAAAAGGAGAGAATAAAAGGCGACAAAATAAGAAACGCCAGAGTAAAAGATAAAAAAAAATAAAAATAAATAATAATAAAAGAAAAAAATACAAAAATTATTTTTATATAAAAAAAAAAGGGCAAAAAAAAAAAAAAAAAAAAAAAAAAAATTCATTAAAAAGGCAATAAAAGCTTGATAATAAAAAATAAAATCATCAAGGTGATGAATCGTAACTAATTTAATATTTATATTTCAAGATGTTGTGAGAAAAGACTCTGTCTTCATGGATAAAAATAGAAATCATTGCAACTTAATTGTGATTTAAATGAGAAAATTGAAAATGGTTTTAAAGTTCCATGCCAAAAGGGCAAAATGTGGACTTATAAAAATGGAATCGAAAATACAACGTAGGAAAATGGACTATTATAACCAGCCCGGAGAAAGTAGAAGTAGAATAGACGCAAAATAAACGTTATTGTTTTCGTGTATGATGGTAAAATTCTAACTGAATTCCAACTGCAACTATATATTTGTTATGCAAAATGTGGCTAATAAAAAGAAAAATAAATAATAAAAAAAAAAATTATACCAAAAAAAAATACACAACTATGTGAAAAAGCAAAGGGGGCATATTTAAAAAGCAAAAAAAATAAAACTTAATTTGTTAAACTAATTTATTAAATTGTTTTGCTAGACTAATTTTTTTTAAATTGTTTTCTAAACCAATTTGAATATAAAGAAACTATAAAAAAAAAAAAAATGCATAAAAAAAAGTATATCGTACATATACATGTATATATATATTATATATGCATATATTTAACAGAATAATGGGGAAAATAAAAAGGCACTTTAAATAAGTATATGTAAAATAAATCCTAACGGGGGGGTTATATCAATTCATACTGTTCCATATGTAATATATACATGTATGTATATGTATGTATATGTATATATGCATATATGTATATGTATATATGCATATATGTATATGTATATATGTATTATGTATATATATCATACATATAAAGGAACATACAGCAAATATGAAAACCCGTATGTATGCAAAACTATACTTACTATGGGAAAAAAAGGCGAGTCGTTAATAAATGATGGTACATGGTAGGTTATAGTTAAAATAATAAAATTGCCTATTTTGCATTTATACATATGTAAATGTGTACATATTTGCAAATGTCGCATTTGTATGTTTTGTATACATTAGTGAAAACGTATGTGGGGTTCTTCACAAAGGAATTTGTAAACACTTTTTTTCACCTTTGTGTTTTCTTCCTGTATCTTGAGTGGCAACAAATTATACCCCATCTTATAAGTTTATACATGCATATATAAAAATATATAAATATAAATTTGCACAAGCGTGTCCCCCTTGTTTAATTTCCTTCATTATTTTTTTCATTATTTGTTTTGTTTTGTTTTTTTACACGATAAATTTGTATATGGGTAAAAGAATACATATGTATATGTAAATGCATGTGTATAAATATAAGCTATATTAAGATATATTCCCCTCCACCCCAAAAGAAAAAAAAAAAAAAAAAAAAAAAAAAAAAAAAAAAAAAAAAAAAAAAAAAAAAAAGAAAAAAAAAAAAAAAAAAACATACTTAATTTCCTTCATTATTTTTTTCATTTTTTTTTTTGTTTTGTTTTTTTACACGATAAATTTGTATATGGGTAAAAGAATACATATGTATATGTAAATGCATGTGTATAAATATAAGCTATATTAAGATATATTCCCCTCCACCCCAAAAGAAAAAAAAAAAAAAAAAAAAAAAAAAAGGGGACAATACCAACTGAAGTATACACTTGGTGGAATTAAAAGAATAAGTCTCTTCTTTTCTTTCTGATCAAGTAAAAAGAAAAAGAGAAAAAAATAAAAGAATTTATCCAAAACGTCATTAAAGAAGATGAAAAAAGCATAGTAATAATACATGAAGAAATTATTATCTATCTATAAAACATTTATGCTCCGTTTCTAACTCATGTATGCATAAAGTAAATAAATGTGGGAACTGCCAATTAAAAACATATAGTGCATTTTTAAACCAAAACATTAGAAGAGCCTTATGTACACATATATAACAGTAGAAGTGTTTCCTCTTGCATAAGCTGTGCAAAGATTTACCTTGTCGCACCTATCCCTCAAATGTCATGTATCGTAGAAGTGGATGTGGGGAGAATAATAAGAATAATGGGACACATAAATGAAATGATGTAAATACCTTTTAGGTGTTTAAAATTCGAAAGAGAATTAAATGTAAAAGAATGTGAAACTTTACAAAGGGATGCAAAAATGTGAAAAAATAAAATAATATAATCTTGTGAACAACTTGGACGCCATGCAACAGCGTTATACACTGCGCCTCTCAATTGCTACATTCTCATCTGCAGCTTAGCAGGAGATTCCAGTATTAAAAATACCTCCACTTGTTCATATAATACAAACATATACATATATATATATATATATATATATATATATATATATATATATATACATATACACGCTAAGATATATTTCTTTATGTAATAACTCATGGGTATATTTTACAAAAAATGGACGATCTCAACTTTAAGGATATGAGAATAGGTATATTTATTACTCTCTCTATGGCTATGTATATATTGTTAAAATGTCGCAGCTAAATTGTAAAAAAAAAAAAAAAAAAAAAAAAAAAATTAATATATTTGCAGTACTAACAGTTCTAAAGCATAATTAATAATGCTTTAACGTACTAAGTGGAATATATATATATATATATAACAGTTATTAAAACTGTTAAAAAAATAATTGAATCCAAAGTTCATATAAAGCACTGTTTAAAAATAGAAAAAAAAATTAAAAGAAAAAGAAAAGAAAAAGGAAAAAAAAAATCATCCATTGCTCAATATATTAAGATACAGGATTTTCAAAACTTGAATTTTGAGCACACAATTTAAGGACATGATAATGTTTTACCATCATTCACAAAATATGCACATCCATGACATGTATACAAGTAAAAAACATTCGTAAATTCTGTCGTTTCTTAGTTTATGATAAGTAAAATGCATTCGAGGTCTGCAATAAATAAGTACCTACTTTTTTTGAGAGCACTGTATTCTGCCTTTATATATGTTTTATATTTATCCCCTGTGTTCATTTGATTCGTTTTTTTCACAACCGCTGTAGTGTACACTTGTCAGTATGTTTATGAGTAGTGAGAAAAGGTAACATTGTAATGCATTTATTGCTACTTGTTGTAATAGAACCCTCTACGTGGAACACAAACATCTCAAGCATTCACTTCTTCATGCGCTCCTACACTTGATCTCTAAAACTTTAGAACACGCAAGAAAAAAAAAAAAAAAAAAAAATTAAGATTGAAAAGGGCAAAAATGTTAGCACTACTTGAGGAATTTACATACAATGCATGTATACATACATATCTACCCCGCACACGAAATTGGTGAAAATAAATATATTCGCACGATATATAAAGACTTCACAATTTTTCTGAATTGTTCCATGGCTAGCTATAAACACGTTTGAACAAGAGAAAAAAAAAAAAAAATTCCCGTATCACGTACGTTTTGAAATTTTTACTACAAAAATTTGATGTGTGTGATTCGGGAAAACTATCCAAGGATATACGGTTACCAAAATGTTACAGCCAGTCCTCCCCCATTTATTTTGCCTTATTCTTTTATGTATCAAAATTGACAGGAAAAAAAACCATGCATATATTAAAGCTCTCAAACCACTTTTCCTCCTTTTAATGGTTTCTAATTTTGTTGCCAAGTGTAATACACTTTTAAAATTGTCTTCAGCGAAAATCGTGTAAATTTATTTGTAACATTGATTTTATTTTATTTTTGTTCCCATTTTTACTAATATTTTTTCTTACATGATAAAATCTCTAGTACGTTCAATACAAATTTTTTAAACCATACAAAGGTATGGAAAATTCTCTTTTGATCCTTTTTTTGTTGTTTATTTTTTCTCAAATTGTTACTATTTAGTTGGCTGTGTCATATATCAGCAATGTCATGTAATCATAAATTTTTTTTTTTTTTTTTTCTTTTTTGAAGAACACTTTACATAGATTTTCCAATGTTACATAGTTTTTCCAAAAATGTGAATGACAAAAATTTGAAATTGGTAATATCACTCCAGATGATGGATAAATATTTTGATTTCTACTAATAAAATAAATTTCCCAAATGGAAGTTAAACGTATAGTGTAAATTCATTTTCATTGATGTAGCTGCTGCTAACACATAGAACTAGATATATCATTTATGAGTTATATATATTCCCCTAGGAATTTAAAACTTTTCCAGGGGGTATCATTTACATTATGCGCATCAAAGAACCATCTGTTTTGTTGTAATGAGTCTTTATATGTATTTCTCTCTCTCTCTCTCTCTCTCTATATATATATATATATATATATATATACACACATACAAAACAGAAAAGTTATTGTTTCCTTTTAGTGAGCCGTCCAAAGGTCATATTTCTTTATCCTTTTACATACACACTTATACGCATTATGTTCATTATATAAAAAGATCCTCCCACATTTTCAGAAAATTTGATGGGATCATGGATTCTTCATTAAATAAAACTTTTTATCCGTTTAATCCTTTTTTGTGATATAATTTATATCATTTTTCGCGCATATTTGTATGAACATGTATGCTGCTTCCAGAATGGAAATGGATAAGATATTCCCCATGGCACAGAATATACAATTTTCTGCACAGGGAATAGCATTATACAATAGATTTATACTATATGATAAAAGTATAAGTGATGAAGTACCTCCATTTCGTGGGTCTGTGTATTAAAGATATCTTTTACCGAATTCATGCAACATGAATTTGTGAGTAAATGTCTATTTGCTGGCCATGACTATTTCGTTATTTATCTGTTCGTAAGTTGATGTTATAACAACTTTTATTGTTCCATTGTTATCTTGCCCTATCGCTTAATCGTTTTTATTTGTGAGGGGTGCGAAGAGACGAGGTCGTTTATACAGATTAAAGTATAGTAATACATTACTCAAAAAAAAAAAAAAAAAAAAAAAAAAAAATATACATATATATACCATAAACAGTGGATGTGAAAAAGAAAAGGTTAAACTAGCAACAATTAGCACTATTAATGGGTTGTTAAAAAGGTGACTGAGATGATATTGAAGTGTGCTTGCCATCCAATTCGTAATGGCCACGTCACATGTGCACAGATAAGGAGGGATGGAGGGAACAAGATTTGATGATCTGCTGTTGGTATCAAATGTACATAAAATCCTGTTCGTCCTCATCCGAAATATCACAATGTGTAGAAATGGTAAAGTTTTTATCATCATATCTATTTTCCTCGTAATTATCTAAATTTACTTTTTGTTTCAATGAAGAATTTATTAATGAAGTTTCTAATTTAATTAACTTGGATCTCATATAATTTACTAAAAAGTCGAATGCTATTCTTCCATAGGAACATGTTTGTTTGACTAGATACAATTTCAGTGGTAAGGTTGTGTGGTGTATGTTACACCAAATGTTGTAGATAAATGGGTTCCAAATTATTTCGCTACTTAATAGATGTAGAACTCCTTGACAGAACACATCACTTAACAGATAAAAAGATGATGTCAGTGAAAGAAAGGATATTGAATTAATAAGATATGGATGGTCAATAAATTTATTAACTAATAAAGTTATGAAATTGCTATTTCTGTATATATGGTCAAATGTTATTTCATATTTTTTGAAATAAATATTTTTTAATATTTCTTTGTTGTTTCTTCTAATATCATTTAATGCATTAATTGAAATTAAAAAATTCTTGTTGTCATCGACTTTTTCTGGTTTTAACATAACTGTTCCCTCTGGTACATTTAAATATACAAAACATTTTAAAGGATTTTCTTTCTTATTTATATAATAATTCCACCTTACACAATTGTTCATCTTTCCATTCTCACTGTTGCTTTGTCTTGACATTTCTTCCTCTCTTTTCCTCTCAAAATATTTTTGCATGCTTATAAGTTCGTTCGTTAAATGCATTAGTTGTCGGTTGATATATCTCGCGATTTTTACAGACATGTCCAAGCCAAGAGTTCCTTTATCCACGTCTTGTTTGACAAAGCATGGGGTTTTTCGTGTGTCCACACATCTTTCCATTTCAGCATTTGGGCTTTCTCCATGCTTCTCATTTGGCCTTTCTCTATGCATCTCATTTGGCCTTTCTCTATGCGTCTCATTTGGCATTTCGCTAGGTGTGTAAATGCTGCTGATGCTTCTACCTCCATCGCGAGAAGGAAAGAGGTAGCATCTAACAAACCTTTGCACATCGTGCGGAGGATACATGAGCTTCCCAAGAGTGATCCCCAGCATGCTTACGCTTCCCATTTGTGTGCGTCCTGCCCCGTCTTCTTCTTCTCCTTCTTCTTGTATTAACATCTCGTTGCCATCTTTGCAAATTTCATTTACGACAAAAAGACCTTTTAAGAAACTTTTAAAGTTATTTATCCCTTTAAAGTAGGAATCATTTTTTTCTTTTTTTAAAAAGAATAGCTTATGGGTTAAATGGTTTTTTCTTTTGTCATGTTGAAACAAATGATTTACATTTCTGCCATGGTAAGCGGTTGCAAGCACTTTATTGTAATGAGGATATTTTGAACTTTTTAATACTTTGGATTTGTACAGTGAAACAAAAAAAAGAATTAGGCCCAACAGAATGATGTTATAGTGGGAAAGTAAAATCATAGCAAATTTACTTCTCTATTTATTTTACTATTCGATCTGCTACTTGTTTTGCTACCCGTTAGGCTATTTATTTTAGTATTTTTTTTTTTTTTCTGTTCTGCAACTTGAGCAGTTTCATTATGAAGATTCGGTAAATGGACGTTGCAAATGGAATGGGGATACAAAATCCATGTGCATTCACAAATCATATATACATGCACACATATTCGTATACATATATATATATGGGTATGTGGATTGCCACCTTTTTTTTTAAAATCAAAAAAAGTTCTTTAACAAAAGCAGCGCTTACATTATGTAGTGTGTGTCAAATCTCAAAATGTTTTTTTTCAAGGAAATTTTCCTTATATTTTTTTGATCTTGTTTAATCCTCAATCTATTGGGACAGTTAAATGCGGCCAAGTGTAATGGTAAAATTTTTTGGAAAAAATGAGAAAATAAAATTTCCCCCCTTTTTACTTTTTCACACTTTCACTTTTTTTTTTCTTCCCTGCTATTCTCGAATTAACGTAAAACTTAGTAAACACATTTTCCGTGATACGTTGCCCAAGCGGAAATAGTGATCCCTCCAACATTTGGATGGTCAAAGGGAAGAACAAACGAAAAAAAAAAAAAAAAAAAAAAAAATAGGCACGCCACAAAAGGGTATAAAATATAAACCTCAACTATATTTCATTTTATTGGCAAGTACTGGGGAATAAAAAAAACTAAAACTATAACCACAACTATAACTACAACGGGAAAGGAGAAAAAAAAAGCAGAACTCAAAAATCGAAGAATAAAAAAGTGAAAGAAAAATAAGCACCATCAAAACACTTGTGAAGAGATTAATCCCGTGTGATTCATAAAAATTGGAATGTTCTTCTCTCTTCATTATAATTAAGTTCCAACATATTTTTTCTTTAAATTTGCTAAAAAGAAAAAAGTTTCGGAGATGTTTCTAAAGCACCTTCTCTCCTCAAAGTGCAACACCTTTAACATAAGAGGTCGAATATGCATATATATTACAAGTGATGTTAAGTAGGAAGAGGAAGGCGCAAATGGGGTGATAGATATATATATATGCATATACGTATGTATGTGTGAAATTACATACATCAGATCGAGTTGTATGAACCCTAAACCAACACAACGCACTCCATTTTATCCTTCTTACGTAAGCAACCATCCACTGTTTTGAACAATTTCGTATGTAATGACTAACAAGCACAAAAAAAAAAAAAAAAAAAAAAAAAAAAAAAAAAAAAAAAAAAAAAAAAAAAAAACGATTATTTCACTACTGCGTCTTCTACTTTCCTCTTTTTTCCTTTTTATTTTTATAAACAGAAATCTTTTACATGTCACACTTACCTTTTTTCTTTTGCTTTCTTCCAACCTCGACCCAAACTATAAGCCACACCCCCGAATAATACGTAGTAATGCACAATTAAAATTCATATATTCATAATACATGAATACTATATACAAACATGCATACATCATACATAACATATATAATGTTCCATTATGCGGTACAATTTTGAACCCCTCATTTTATTATTATGAAGAATTAATAAAAAATTACATTACCCTATGAAATGTGGTAACGTATAATTATATATATATACACGAACCCTGTAACTTGCATTATAAGCGTACACAAAAAAAAAAAAAAAAAAAAAAAAAAGAATGAATAGGCACATGCATAACTAATACTAGCTACATACTAACTACATACAAACGTATAATAGAGGTAACGCATAAAAGTTGGCGAGAAATTCAGAAAATAAAATTTAAAAAAAAAAATTAGCAAGAAGGAAAATATGCAATAAAAGCAGAAAATTGCAAAGTAAAATTACAAAGAAGCAAAATTATAAAGAACAAAATTGCAAAGAAGCAAAATTGTAAAGAAGCAAAATTGCAAAAGAAGCAAAATTGCAAAACAGCAGAATTCTCAAATAACAAAACAGTTCATGCTAATTTCAATTTTTTGAACATCCCCTTTTTTTGAAAATCAAAGAAAGAAAAACTCAGAAGAAAAAAAAAGGATGCCGAAGAGTTACAGGAATTACTCAAAAACAGCTAGGAACCCAAAGCGACCCTTTGAAAAGGTAAAAAAACCAAAGCATGTCATATTTTGCTTATTATTGTATATTATGTTTCCCATGTGCCATTCTGCGTTGATGGCTTACGAATCAATTAATATGTTGTATTTTACAATATGGAAAACTTAGCTCCCATTCAGTGGTTCTACATATCTCAAGGGGGATGATAATTAAATATAATATATTTGCACGTAACATATATATGGATGCATACTTATTGTGTTCTTTTCTCTATGTGATCGAGGTCCCCCACACATACACACATCCTCATCCCCTTTTTATTGTTATGTTTTTACTAATCCAATAACCGTGACAAACACTATAATATGCCCATTTTGTTCTCTACCCACAGGAACGTTTAGATCAAGAATTGAAGCTAATTGGTGAATATGGACTTAAGAACAAGAGAGAAATATGGAGGTAAGTCCATTTAGAAATTCCAATTTTGTTTTTATTTTGACATATCCATTATGTGTCATAAGGAAAAAAAAAAAAAAAAAAAAAAAAAAAAAAAAAAAAAAAAAACACTTTATTATAAACAAAACTAGGCAGAAAAAAAAATGTTCATATGTAACAGAAAATTTTCACCGTTCATTTCCTCCAACATAGTCTCCACCGCATAGTGTACCTTTCACACGTAGTGTAATGTAATATAATGTAATTTTATTTTATTTATTTATTTATTTTTTTTTTTTTTCAATTATCTTCCCCCTCAGAGTTCAATACCTATTAGCAAAAATACGATCAGCAGCTAGATACCTATTAACCTTAGATGAAAAAAGCTCAAAGAGAATATTTCAGGGAGAGGCATTACTAAGACGTATGGTGCGCCAAGGTTTATTGGGAGAAAATGAAGAAAAGTTAGATTATGTATTAGGTTTAACTTTACCTAAATTGTTAGAACGTAGATTGCAGACAAAGGTTTTTAAATTAGGACTAGCCAAATCTGTACATCATGCCAGAGTACTAATACGACAAAGACATATTAGAGTTGGAAAACAGATGGTAGATATTCCTTCTTTCTTAGTTCGTGTGGATTCTGAGAAACATATTGATTTCTCAACAACTTCTCCCTTTGGAGGTTCTAGACCAGGAAGAGTCAAGAGAAAGACCTTAAAGAACCAGAAGGAAAAGAATGATAATGAGGAAAATAACTGATCCTTTTGTGGATCATTCGTATATTTACCTTCATGGTATCAACTTTTCATTACAGACAGTACCGCATGTGTGTGTATGTTTTTATTAAGTTATTAGAACGTATCAAACAAAAAGTGAATACACGTAATATGCGTTAATTTTAAGCGATCACACTTTTTTTTTTTTTTTTTCTTTTTTTCCCTTCGTACATTGTAATCAAACTAAGAATTACATATTTAACCAAAAAAAAAAGAATTTTTTTTTTTTTTGCAAATACTAAATTATCTGTTGAATGGAACTATAAAGAAAAAGCCCTAATTAAATTAATACCCACCTTTTTTTTTTTTTTTTTTTTTTTTTTTCCTTATGCCATCTAAATAATTTACGACACAAACTAGGGTTTATAATGGCATATATTTTTTTTTTCGATCAATCTCTAATTTTTCCATTATAAAATGACGATGCCATGTAAACTTGAGACAAAATATGACACGCATGAGAGTGGTCCACGGTACAATAAAGGAAAAGTGAATCTAAACCGTAAATCTGTATTGTTTTATTAATCATATTTGTGTTTGTTTAAAGTTGTAATAAACTTTGCAAAATATTTATAGAAGTGAATGAACAATTTCATGTGCAAATATTAAGATGTCAAAAGAAAAAAGTGACACGTAAATTTTTTTAGTAAAATACATAATGGATTTACCATTTTGGAAAAAACAAAAAATGATGTTATTTTTATGTCTAATTCTGAAATAATAATCATCCAGTGAGAGATTCACAAATTTGTAGTGTCTAAGAAAGTGAGAACTTTTTTAAAAATCTTTTATATGAATATTGTACACTTTTTTTCACCTGGGTATATCATAGTTCCATTAATTACTTCAAACACTATATATAGGTGCATTTTTTCTCTTTTGCAAATAGGTGAAAAAAAAAAAAAATTCCACTTTTATCACTTTAAAAAAGAAAAAAATAAATAAAATCCTATTTACTAATTAATTTCCTATGAGCAGCGTTTCCAATAATTAATACTTCCATGTAGCAAAACACAAGACGTGGCAAAATGGTACGTTGTATTCTAAGGTTACACATAATCTCTATGTTGGAGATATCGTGTGCTGGTTGTCTTAAGGGTTTATTTGGTATTCTTCCTAACATATTACTTGGCACAAAGGACAAGGAAATAAACTTATAAATAAATCCTCCTTAAACTGATTTTCTGTCAAAACAACAAAACAACGTGGCCCTTCTTTCCCCCTTTACACTTTCCCTGTGTTTATTTCACTTTTTCCTTTTCTATAACAATATTTACCATTCGAATTTTTTAAATTCCTTTCTATATAGCTTTGATAAAACAATTACGGGAAGTAAAATTCCTACCACACTATGTGTAAACATTTGCACATGCGGGGAAAAGATATATATTTATACATGCCTACACACGGTATAGGTATCTGTTATGGCCACTTAATTAGGGAACTGTTTCTACATTATGTATCAAAATTTGATATATGGAAATTGAGAAAATTATGCAATGTAAAATGCATGTATCTGGTATGATTGTACATGTATAGGCATGAATTAACATTTACAGCTACCAAAATTTCACAGGTGAGCTTCTTTTTTTTTTTTTTTTTTCTCTCTCTCTTTTTCTTTATGTCCAAAAGGAATTGTGAATATTTCCTGCGCATTTCTTTTTTTACAACCGTATTTTATTTATGTTTCTTATCTTTTCTCCCAAAAGAGAAATAAGGGCATACAAGTTTTCACATCATTATTTTTTGTATGTGCCAGTGCAATGATAATATTTTCCCAACTCAAAATAGGACTACATCAATTTAATGAAACTGATTTTCTAGTCCATTTCTCCTTTTTTTATTTTTTTATTTTTTCCACTGCATTTTATTATTATAAATAAAATATGTTTTTCCTTGTTATTACAATTTTATTTTATTATTATTTTATTTTTATTTTTTTTTTTTTTCTCTCTTTGTTTTGGGATTCCTAATTATGTCCACCACTTCAGGAGAGAGCACTTTTTTTTTTTTTTTTTTTTTTCCATTCTTCTTTAATTTAATAGCGTTTTTTTTTCCCTTTTTTATCCTCTTTGAAACAGGTGTTTGCTTTTATAAGAACATAAGTGTTATCCATTCATATATGGAAAAGTTCACATATGTACGTATATACATATGCAAGTGATTCAAGTAGACTTAAAATAAGGTGTCACACAGGAAACACAACATCGCCATTGCCTCTAGCTACTGTGTAACGTTTTTAAAGGTGATAAAAAAAAAAGCAGCAAAAATGTAGAAAAATGTGGCAAAAAAGCGACAAAAAAAGTGGCAAAAAAAGTGGCAAAAAAAGTGGCAAAATAAGTGGCAAAAAAAGTGACAAAAAAGTGACAAAAAAAGCTACAAAAAAAGCTACAAAAAAAGCTACAAAAAAAGCAGCAAAATATTTTATTTTACTTTTTTCTATTTAGCTTTATTTTATTTTACATTTTTTTTTTTTACATTACTTTTGCTTTTTTAATTTTACTTTGTTTTTATTATTTTACTTTTTTTTTTTTTTTATTTTTATCGAAAAAATTATCACCTCCGCATGATGATTTGAACATAAACTTTTAAAAAGTAGTAGAAGTTACTACAAAATAGAAAAGGAGAAAAAAGGCACGGGAATAATAATGTGCCTTATTAGGTATATGCACATTTGAGAGTATATAATATTGTGTATGTACCATTATTCATATGTGCATAGAACTGATTGTATCCGAATGTGAAACAGGGGGGCTCGACAGCTACACAATTTTCCTTTTTTCTTTTTTTTTTTTTTTGTTGCGTTGATTCCTGTTTACCCTAAACGCCTGCATACACGAATACATATATATATATATATATACATATACATATGTGTATATTGATACATACACACAAACCTATATGCATTCGGACGCAATTATCATCCAATTATGAATCCTGAGGAAGAGTCCGGTGAAGGGGAACCCCAAGAAGCCTCAGAAGTGGGAAAAGAAAACAGTGAAGTAAGGGTCCCCCAAATGATATCAGAAGAGGCAACACATATAAATGCTGAAGAGACGACTCAAAAGGACGAGGAAAGGAGTGCTCCAAAAAGTATTGAAAAAGAGAGTAACTTGGACACAAGAAAAGAAAATATATACAAAAATGTAAAAGACTACAATAATATTAATGATATTATTAGCTACATTATTAAAGTTGGTGTATGGGAAATGTATACATATGAGTGGCTAATGAATAGGAAAACTTTTCTTTACTACAATACTTATGTAGAAAACTATTTTTTTTATGATAAAAATAATAATTTGACTCCATTTAATGAAAAATATTTTTTTTTATATGTGATGACATTTGATGATACCGAATTTGTAGCTAGTTTTTTTTTTAAAAAGAGTGAAAAAAAAAAAAAAAAAAAAATTAAATTAAGTAGTTACACCAAAACAATGCAAGGGAGAAGGAAAAAACAAGAAGATAGATATACTGTTATTAATGACATGACCAAATATATTGATGCATATGATTATAAAACTCTATTTTTTTATAAAAGAAATCCATTTTATTGTTTTTCTATAATTGATGGACATAGAGGTATAAAGGCATGTGAATATTGCATGACTCATATTGTAAAAAACATTATTTATTATTTTTATAATCAAGACAACGTCAAAGAAGATGAATTTAAACTTAACTCTTCATCTGTTACAAAGGACAATAAAGTGGATATCACCGATAATCAAAATCATGCAGAAAAATATGCTACACATAAAAGGGATGTTCACATCACAAATCCGTCCTCCACTGCTTCTAACACTGCTTCTACCACTTCATCTAATACTGCTTCTACCACTTCATCTAATACTGCTTCTACCACTTCATCTAATACTGCTCCCATCACATCATCTAATACTGCTCCCATCACTTCATCTAATACTGCTGCCACCACTGCTTCTGTCACAACTTCCAAATGCGGTGTCGATAAAAATAATGAAAGGAGCGAAAATAACACGTGTGATGATCATAAGACTACCGACTTGACCAGTCCACACGCCTCCACAGAGGGTGATAAAAGTGAAACATCAGAAATGAGTTGCGAACAAGGAAATGAAATGGAAGAAGGTAAAGGTAAAGACAAAAGGATAATCGTTAAGGAACAAGTTCCTCAAAAAAAAAAAAGAAAATTAGACAATTCTGATCTTGCAGAAAGTGAAGATGATGATGAGATTAAGCATAACGAAAAATGCGCTCCAGTAAATTTGAGTGCCAATAGTGGTGATAATGGAAAGGAAGAAAATGATAAAAACAACAGGGATGTTCAAAACGTGGACAATGGAAACACTACAGAAGGTAATACCATTCAAAACGAGCAAAAGAAACTTGTGTTTTTAGAAGATCTAACGGATCAAGAAATAATCAATTGTATAAAGCTAGCTTTTTTAAGAACAGATGAACAATTCTTGAAAGTTTCGAAATTCCCAAATCATGGTTGTACTGTCGTCTCCTTGATCATTATAAAGAATAAAATGTTTATCGCCAATCTTGGCGATTGTAGAGCCATTGGAATTGTTAATGTGAACAATACACTAGTAAGTTCATTTTGAAAAGTCCAGAATATGGGCGTACCTTTGTTTCAGTATTCGTGTGGCTATGTATTTCCAATATGTACCAACACGTCCCTGCATACGCGCGTTTATATATATATATATATATTTATACACGTGTATAAACATATATGCAGTTACGTACACATATATATATATATATATATATATATATATATATATATATAAACGTGTGAGTATCTTCATGCACACATTTTTATCCCTATTGCTTCATTCGGCCTAAAGAGACCAGAAGTGCTGTCACACGACCATAAACCAAATGACCCTAAGGAAAAGGAAAGAATAAAAAAAATGGGAGGCGACGTCATCTGCATGCAAAATGTGTTCAGAGTTAAGGCCAATGCGAAAAAGGTAAACAATAAAGAAAAAAAAGCATAGTACGTGTGTGTTAATCTCATGTGGGTGTTAATTCCATGCATGTCTTAATCCTATGCTTGTGCAGGGATGGGTTAGTGGACTCTCCTATACATGCGTACACTTTTGAGACATGGTGAAGATATTTTACTTAACAAAAACTACATCTTCAAAAAAAAAAAAAAAAAAAAACGTTTTTTGCATTAATGTTGTATAATGAGTATTTGCATACTCTTTTTGTGTAGACAAATTTGGATCAGTCCAGTTTGCTGGATCGCATACCATTGAAAGAAGAAGTTTATCTTGCAGGTAATTTTGATTTGCACACAGTTGTGAATTTCATGTATGCGTATTCATATGTTTATCTTTTTTTTTTTTTTTTTTTTTTTTTTTGCTCCAATTACCCCGTATACTTGTACTTTTACACCATTACAACACTTCAGTATCGCGAGCCATAGGGGACAAAGATTTCAAGGAAAACAATGTAGTATCAGCTATGCCAGATGTTATTTGCAGGGAGCTATATAATGCAGACAATTGTGATGAAAATTCGGAAAAAAAAAATATCGAAGATAACGAATCATATAATAAAGATGAACTGAAAAAAGATTATTTCAAAGAAGATGAACCTTTTTTTTTTTCTGCTGACGAAATGAATTATCTGTTTGTTGTTTTGGCATGTGATGGGGTATGGGACACTTTGACAAATAAGGTATATGCGATAGTTTATTCTCTATCCATAAGTTGTTAATATACATTATTTTTTGAAAATGCTTTAGTTCACTGCATAGGAGTAGAATTGTTTAGGAAACAGCCCATTATTTCCATATGTAGATATACACATATATTTGTATATGCATTATTTAATACGAAACTATAAACACTGCTCTGTGTTCATATTTCCATTTTATTTTAATGCCGTTCCCCCTTTTTTAGGATGTTGCTCAAATTGTGCAATCATACCAGCACGATCCGGATAAGGCTTGCAGTGAAATTATTAAAACTGCTTTTGCCTATGGAAGTCAGGTAATTTGAATTGATAGAATTTGCGTACCTGTGCATGCGTTAACATTCCTGTGTATAACTTTACAATTTTTTTTAATTCATATGTGAACAAAAAAGGTCATCAATATGTATATATTTTTTTTTTTTTTTTTTTTTCTTCATAGGACAATATAACCGCCATTGTGTTAAAATTTTATTGAATTTGATGAAAATGGATAGCGTTTTTTTTTTTTTTTTTTTTTTTGCTGATGTTTACACGTTATGAGCAGCACAAGATAAATTTCCCTGTATTATTGATGGTCCCTCTTAGAAAATTTTTATCAACTGATATAACTAATATGCCTTTTTATTTCTTAAAAGGAAAGAAGGGAAGGTGAAGTAAAAACGGACATATTTCAACATAACAATAAAAAAAAGAAACGAAATGGGCGAAGTGCGTTTGAGGATTGTCGAGGAGGAGGGATAACCTTTTTGATTAACTGCATTTGTATAGCAAAATAATATGATACACTTTTTTTTTTTTTTTTTTTTTTTCATATTTTTGGGATAATTCTGTAGAGTATATCTTAAAAGATAAAAAGGGATTTTAAAAATATTTAAATGAAAGACTCTTTTTTTCCCCTCTGAAAATATTATAATATATGATTAAGTTTTCTTCTGGAATTTTTATGTGTTTTGCATTAGAATGTTCCATTTTGGCTTTTTCCATTTTAACGCAACTTACGTTATGCGTCTCCTAATTTTGCATTATTTTCCATTAAAAAGAAATCCCCTTTTCTTGGCACTATTTAAGAAATGTCATGTTATGACGAATAGACTGATATTCCCAAATGAAGAACGATACTAGATCATTAGCACAAACGAGTAATATATGAAATTGTACCGGAGATACAAAATTGTCTGATCTATTTTCTTAATAAAACAATAATGTGCATAACTGATTTAATGAAAGGAATTTCCCAAAATATTTAAAACTTTAAAAATGTTACATATCTAAATGGCCCCATTGGAGTTCTTTTAAAATGTGGCAAATAATGAAAGTGAAAAAAAAAAAAAAAAAAAAAAATTTTGATCCACTCAAATTAACAGTTGAAATGATGAAAGAACGTGTATGCAAAAATTTTTAAACTCCTTTTTCCCGTCCTAAATTAACTTTTTTTTTTTTTTTAATGAAGTAAAAATATTTATCCCTGTAAAACCCCCTTTTCCCTCATGGGAATACAGACCATAATATAAACATAAGTACATACACCTGTACGTATTGTGTATGCCTACAAGTATTTGCTAGTGTAATGGTTCCATTTTACCATCGTCCATGCTTTTCAATTTTTTTTTTTCTTTCTACCTTAACTCTCTTTTTTCTGTATTTCTTTTTCTGTATTTCTTTTTCTCTATCTCTTTTTCGCTATCTCTTTTTCGCTATCTCTTTTTCGCTATCTCTTTTTCGCTATCTCTTTTTCGCTATCTCTTTTTCTTTATATTTTTTTCTCTATTTCTTTTTCTCTATCCCTTTTTTCTCTATCTCTTTTTCTTTATCTCTTTTTCTCTATATCTTTTTTTTTTTTTTTCTATGTATGACACATGTAAATTTATTCTCCTACATGTAATTATACATATCACCCTTTAAAGGATAGCTCTTGTAAGACCATACGTGTATATATAACCATTGTGTTTTGTTTTTATGTAATTAGAACAAAATTATTTCATTTTTTTATATTTTATTTTTTTATACTTAATTTTTTTACACTTTTTCATTAGAAACAAAATGGCAGAGACAGAAAATAAAACATGTGTCTTTTAATTAAAATAAAACATCTTTGAAAGAAAAAAAAAAAAAAAAACCTTGCAATTTTCATAATGTTCTTTTAAGCGAATTCATCTAAATAGCACAATTGAATGAAGAGAGGATATGTTCTATCCAACTGTCATGTCTTCATTTGCTCGTAAATACTTCTCCATAGATATAATAAACCATGAAAAAAAATTTGTAATTAAATTGTCTGAACGTTGATCAGGGAAAACATTTTGGTAAATAAGTGGGTGTATATCTGCTGAATAGTAAGGCATTTCGAAAGAAAAATATTTCCATGAACAGATAAATAAATCTCTTATTTTAGCAAGAGACAGATTGAGAAATATTTGCACAAGTTCATAGTCTAGCACAAAATTTCCATTCTTTTTTTCACTAATATTGTGTTCATAGTTAAAATGATCGTTAATATAATTTCCTTCTAGCTTGTTATGAGGATTTTCATTCTTAGGAATATTTTCATTCTTCGGGATATTTTCATTTATCGAAATATTTTCATTAAAATCATTGGCATCATTATGGGCACAAGTTTCAACCGATTCGTACATAATAGCAAAGGAAAAATCCACTGGAATGAATTTATTTCCTGTTGAAGGTATAAGAATATCACTTATCAAGAACTCTAAACATTTGTGATTTATATCTGTACAATGAATTTTAATTTGTTTATTTGTCCCTGTCACATTAGTAAGATTTATTAACAGTTCATTATTTGTGTCTTTTAGGTTATTTGCTTGTTCTGCAAGGATACAGAAAATTGATTTATCTATCAATACCCACTGAGCTTGAATCAATTTTCCATGTACCTTTTTTGCTTGTTCAAAAATAATATTTTGTGGAATTATTTTTTCTGGAAAAATGTCTCTCCATTGGAGTTTTTTTTTTTTTTTTTTTAATTTATTCCTTAATTTTATATTTAATGGGTACAAATCAAATTGAATAAAATAATTATTCTCAATTAAGTGCGCTGCTATCCCTTCGAAATGGACAGAAATAACACTCTTATTGTCCAACGAATTAAACATTTGTATTTCTTCTTCCTTTATATTTGGGTAATAAAATTTATAATTCTGTGAAGTTTTTTTCGTTTGATCATTTAAAAAGGTACAATGTTCTTCTTGTTTGGGCGGTTGCTCTTGCTGTTCTTCTTCCTTTTTAAAATCTTCACTTGTTTTACAATTAATATCTCTGTTTTTCTCACCCTCTGTTCGAACGTTCATCCCATTCTCTGTATTAAGAAAATCAGATATCTCAACTACATCTTGTCGTTGTCTAATCTTGTGTCTAAGAAAGGTGTCATCATTCATTTCCTTTGAATAATTTTGATCTAGATGATAATTTTCTTCCTTTGTGTTAATCTTCCCACTAGCTATAGAGAAAGTGATATGTGCATACTGAGATTTGAAAGGAGAAAAAGAAGGATAAGGAGGCCAAGAAAGGAATATCGGGTTGGGTGAAAAATTCCAAAAATAGGATGGTAAAAAAAAGTATTCTACAGAGACTTGGGTAACATAGGGAAAATTAATGTCAAGTTGTAAAAAATCAAGTTCTGAATATTTTTTATTTAATATTTTCCAATATTTAATCAACTGGCTAATAAAAAATAAATAATATTTTTGTGCTATTATTCCATTTATTGAATTAATTTGTATTCTTGTCTCTTTACATAAATTTCTTAATTTCTCTAAAAGTTCTTTTCTAGATGTAACAGCTATACATATGTCCTGTTTATTTGCTTCTATATCTCTCAAATAATTGCATTTACTTAGTGATAAATATTTTGTGCCTTTGTCATAATTTAGTGTACCTAACATCAAGTCAAACAAAATCATCAATTCTTTTAAATCATTTTCAACTAATATTCTATATTCCTCTCCTTTTGTCCATTCTTTATTATTTTTTAAACTATCGTCATTACTTTTTATTTGAATAGTCTTTTCCATTGCTGAACAGAATAGTTGTGCATACTGTTGTAAATTCTTTTTGTTCTTATTTTCTTCATCTGGCACTTCTTCAAAAACACAAGATCCATCGGGTAGATATCTCAACAGTCTATAATCACCCTCTCCATATGCTTCTACCTTCAAATTAATATCGCTAAATTTGTTCATGTTTCGTTCATTCCCATTCATGTCTTTACCACCATTTACATCTTCTTTCATTTCCTTCATTGTATTCTAATGTGATAGTTACAGTGGATGATGTCATGTGAACACGACACGTTAAACCACCTTGTGATACAGTCACAGTATGTCTGATATTCAGAGATATGCTATTTTCTTTTTTTTTTTTTTCTGTTTTTCTTTTTTTCTATTATTCTGTTTTTCCTTAACTTTGTTTATTTCCACAATATGGAACCATATTATATGAATAAACAATAGTGGCGTAAAAAAAAAAAAAAAAAAATATAAATATATGGCACTCATACATAGAAGGGTTGTAATGGGTTTTTTTCATAAAAATGATCCTACGGAGAAATTGTACTGAGAGCTTTGTTTTCTTTCCCTTTGGTTTCGCGAAATAATTCATATCATAGGTTTCCCCTCCAGCATAACGCGAGGAGTATGCAGTTTAGATGTGTAGGTACGTGTGTATATGTACATGTATGTTGGCGTATACACATTGGGTATATCCACATCTCCATAAACACTATTTATCACCTGTGTAGAGCCATCTTACATGGAATCTTCAGCACCTGTTTTTGAAAGCTGTTCATATATATATATATATATATATATATGTACACACGTGTGCATGCATGTATCTTTTCGGAATTATTCCCTCAATATGTATAATGTCCCCTTTCTACCTGAGAATGATACAAATGTAACATCACCCAAACATGTCACATATTAGTAGATGTAGAAAATAGGTTGTCCTTAAATACATCAGCACTTATTTTTGATGTTTCAGTTTTTTTAAAAATAATTTTTTACAATAAAAACTATTTCATGAAATGGAATTGTAACATATGTGCACGAGAAGAACGTAAGTGCTTTTTGAACAACGTTGACAAAATCGTTCATAGACATGAGCGATGGGGAAGAAAATGCCATACCTGTTCAAATTTTCAAAATTTTATAAATGTATATTTTTGTAAAATAGAAAATGTACACTTAAAAAAAAAAAAAAAAAAAAAAAAAAAGGGACTAATTCTCTTACATATGGCAACGTTTATAGCATGTGTAATTGTGTGCTTGGTGTGTCACAACACTTTATATTTATGGATATAATCAGATGAATTGCCTGCAAATATATTCAGGAACTCATTTGTACAACATCATTAGGTTCTTACCCTTGCGGTTTGGTATATCATTAGGATACTCGTTGGTAACTAGCGGCTATCGAACCTTAAAGGTAGTTCCCGGTTGTTGTTTCGGTAAAACCTCAAGCTTCATCATAATGCAATTATGTGTATTAATCTGTGTATAACTCTGCCACTCTGCTTTTTTTTTTTTTTTTTTTTTTTTTTTTTTACCCCCTTATCTTACGTTACATCCCTGTGTATATTATTGAGGCATTTTATATCGTTGTATTTCATTTTTCTACTTTTATTTCGACCTTTTTGGACTTCATAATTCCACATTGAATTTTTTTTTCCTTTTTTTGGGGCGATTTACCAATCGTGCCCCTCTCCTCACCCCACTGGATTGCATGATGGAGTGACACTTCATGCACCGTGAGTAAACTCTGTTTTGCATGAATTTACAATTTCAGCCTTGATTAACTTCGCAACTTCAGCTTCGATTAACCTCGCGAGTTTATCATCAATTGAACATATCATTGTTGCATGGATTATAAATTTATTTTTTTTTTTTTTTTTTTTTTTGGGCGATTTACCAATCATGGTAAGGGAGCTGTGATAACGCTAATGAGAAAATTACAAATTATAAGAGAGTAAACAACTAAGAGGTGTAAATTTTGGAAAGCAGTAAAACACATAGAGATAACTAAGTTCTATTCCGTATGGTTAATTTGCTTTTCTTGTTGCTTCTCATTACTTTCGTTGCTTTCATCCCTCGTCATCATTTTCTTGCCATAATTGTCCATTATTATAGCACAACTGTATATTTTTATTATACTTGAAAAAAAGTGAAAAATGGTAAAACTAGAAAATATGACCAAAAAAAAAAAAAAAAAAAAAAAAAGAAAAAAAAACATGCTTCGAAAATACGCGTCAATAAGGGAAACACGAAATATAATTGTAGTTTGCTTACCTGTTCGTTTTTGTAAATTAATCTACATTTGAATATTGTAAAACTGACGAGTGGGATACACATACACATGCTTGTGTTGCCATATCATACCTCACAACTGTAGATATTTGCAACGATGTGTACGTTGATATTCTAGTATATGACTTTATACATGCTCTTTTTCCCACACCCCCTTCTTCGTTTGCAGCTTTTTTTTACCTTTTTTCAACAATTAGCACAGAAAAATCACCATGTGACAGTAGAGCTAAAAAATGATTTACAAATATCAGGTGTGTTGCATTCAGTAGATCAATATCTAAATATCAAATTAACGAATGTGACTGTGAACCATCCAGAGAAGTATCCTCATTTGGTACGTTATTACAAGGAAGAGAACCAAAAAAATAAAAAATAAAAAAAATAAAATTGTGCACATTAGGTAGTTTTGCCGCATGCATATATCCATATCTGTGTGTTGATTATAGACATGTGCATTAACTGCAGTTGTGCATGTTCATTGGGTATGCATCACTTATCCACGCAATTGAAATGTCGAAATGGTGTGCTGAATGGACTGTACTGTATCCATATAGTTAATGGATGCATAACGTTTTTTAGGAATCACTCCATGTAACTATTTGGGATAGTCATCAGTCCACCATTTAATTAGTTCACCACTTCTTCAATTCACCACTTCATCAACCCACCACTTCATCAACCCACCACTTCATCAACCCACCACTTCATCAACCCACCACTTCATCAACCCACCACTTCATCAACCCACCACTTCATCAACCCACCACTTCATCAACTCACCACTTTACAGCTGTCCATTAAATCATGCTTCGTTCGTGGATCCGTTGTAAGGTATGTTTTTCTACCGTCAAAGGAAATTGACATTGAAAAGTTACACCACATGTGCAGGAAGGAAGCAAAAATGATTTCTGAAAAGGAAAAGGAAAGAAAATGATAGAGCGTCAAATGTGGTGGGAGTGAAACGATGTGAGCAAAGCAACCTCACCCACGGATTCTTTACTCACATGCATGAAGAGATCATAAATAGAGATGACAAGATAACTAGATTTTTTGTGACAAAAAGTGGAGGGTAACAATTTTTAAAAAAACGAAGCAATTTTTCCATCGCCTTGTTTTGTAGAGATTGCATCATTTATTTTGTTTTTTATTTCTTTTACTTTTTTTTTCCCCCCTTTTTACATTAACCTTTTAAAAACACGAATACTGTTAAAATTTATTAAAAAAGAAAAGGCCACTTTCAGTGATAGTTTCCACTTATATAATGCAACAATATATAAACATGTCTGTGTGTTACTTCATATTTTTGCAACAGAAAAAATGAAAAAAAAGTTAAAAAAAAAAAAAAATGATAATAAAAAATAATAAAAAAAAAAAATAATGAAAAAAAAAAATAATAAAAAAAAAAAATAATAAAATAAATAAATGAATAAATAAATAAACAAACAAATTGTCTTTTTTTTTTTTTTTATTATTTTATTCTATCTTTTTGGTGTACATATAAAAAGCGTGGTTTCATCATTCTTTTTTGGAAAAATACTTTATACTGTAAATGTTGCATGCGAAGGGATTAACCATGTTATGCACAAGTGCAGGTGTTAGCATATAAGTATATATATATATATATACCACTCGTGTGGGTGGGGCATAATGTACGTCTAAAAGGAACAGCGAAATCGTAATCCAAATTCCCAGATGAAATATATGTTGCATGTTTTAGGTTTTCAAAAGTTCTGCACATCATTCAGTGTTGCTTTGCCCAACCAATTAGCTGCGGGAGCAACAAATTTGCTGCATTCTGAAAAAGTAGAAATTCCGAAAAAGGTGAACTAACATGTAATTCCTCAAAATTGTTCTTTTTATCATCATTTAAATTATTTATATGAGTACTTTCATTAACTTCCATATCTAAATTATTAACTTCCCCAAAATTATTGTCTGTATTATTAGATGGTTGATATTTATATTTTATGACAATATGGTCTTTTTTTTCCTTATGCTTATCAATGAATAAACAGTTATTATTGTTTCCCTTAACACATATGGGTGTTTTTAATTTTTCAATATCTTTCAAAGATAATATATTTGATAAACTGTTAATTTTCAAAAATATACTCATTTTATTGTTTTTGTCATATTTATTTGAATTATTTTGTTTTTTCATAAAAATAAATTGAAAACCTCCCTTTCCATAAATAGTGACTTTATTTTTGTTCACAATGCAGTCAGGATATATTGGTTTAATTAAACACATAGCTGTACTTCCAAAAATGCTGAAATACTGATATGTAGTGTTGGCACTTGTCATGGCAGGATTATTATCTGAGTTTTCGTTATTTACACACGTGTTATATTTTGATTGATAATAACTATTAGGTATGTTGTCATATTTGTAATTCATATTGTTCGGCATATTATTTAAGTTATTCTCATTATTATTCATTTGCATATTCATATAGTTTTGTGGTACGTTATTATATATCCCTGGGCTAAAGACCTTATTTCTGTATGTATTGTATGAATTCTTGCATATTAGTTTTGTAAAGTTTGTACTGTTTATATTCTGTTTATATGGAACCTCGTAAAATTCATTTTTCCCTATGCCAACTAGGTCTGATACCAAGCTGCTATAGCGTTTTGTGTGAAAATTCATGCACACGTTGTTCTGCAAGCAGACTCTCTTCATTTCGTATTACTCTTCGCACGCGGGTGCTTATGCTTACACTTTATAGTTGTGTTTACCTTATGCTTACACTTATAATTGTGTTTACCTTTCTGTTTATTTTTATTTTCCAGCTTCCGCTTATGTTCGTGTGTGCGGAGAAAGGGGTGGGAAGCTAGCAACCCTCCTTGTTATGTGCTGTTGCATATATGCAGATATATATGTAGGGGTACGCGAACACTGGAAATGTTTACTGGTAAGTAGTATATACTATTCGTTGAAGCTCTCCGAAGGTGTGATGAGTTCTTCACAGCTTTGTCGAATGCCATGAAATTTCATTTGGAGAAATAGCTTATACGTTTGCTGCTTTGTTGAAATGGGGTTTACGTTTTTTTTTTTTTTTTTTTTTTTTTTTTTTTTTTTCGTTTTGTGGCAATTCTGCTATTTTTCAGTGCCTTAATTTTTGAGAGTTTCTCTGCCGTTTGAACTTTTTTCCTTTTTTTCATCTGATATGAGTTGTGCTACATAGCAAAGTTTTTTTTTTTTTTTTTTTTTTTCTCAACTTTCTACAATTTTTCTCATCCTTAAGTAAACGTTTTCAAGTGCTCCTCTACACATATGTATTTTTGTGTGTATTTAATATAACACACTTATAATGAAAGATGATCATTTTGAACATGTGAGGACGTTCTATTTTCTATGTTTTATGTGTATCACTTTGAATATTTTTTATTATTTACCACTCTTGCTTAGAGAATATGAAGATATAAAATGACTGCAACTAATTTTTCCACGCCTTTGCACTTGAACAATCATGAAGTGGTGAAATTGAATATTCGAGCAAAAGATGATGGGGTTATATGCAGGATGATGTCCATATCGGTTTAATCTCATTTCTCCTACATACCCTCTGTTATAGTAAATATCCTTGTAAAATGCAAAACAGGTATACTGAAACATCACGAGAAAATAATACACTCTTAGTTTTTCTCATAACAATTAAGCTATCCTCATTTGAAAAGGTACATAAGTGCAATTTTTATACATCAAAGGAGAGTAAATATATAACATAAAAAATAAAATAAATAAGAAAAACGTGAAAATGTCCCATGCAGGGAAAAAAAAAAAAAAAAAAAAAACGCATTAGCAGAAGTACTCCCGTGTGAGGTAGTGCAAATTCGAATAAACCAATGAGAGAAAAAATATATATACATATGTATATATATTTATTTACGAATGTATATAAATGGACCTAATGCAATGGTGCTAACTTTTAGCGGAAAAAGCGAGAAGAAATGTAAGCAGCACAGAAAATGCAACTGCTTCAATGAAATTGTGCTAAAGTAAATCTTGAACAATTGGTATAACATCGATATCTTTAAAGTGTGGCAATTCCTGAGATGCCTTTAAATGGTTTAACCCCTGACTTCTATGTCCAAACTCGTAAGCATATCTAATGCAGTTGCAAATATATTTTTTCGATTCTATACAAGATTGTAATATGTCGTATTTTTTTGATAAATAACATGATATGGCTGTTGATAAAGTACATCCCGTTCCATGTATGTCTAGTTCTGGCTTTCTTTTCGACCGCAGTTTATATATATCATATAGGTAATTTTCTCCCTCTAATGTTTGGACATTTGGAACTTTTTCACATTTGTCTGCTTTTTTAACCCGCCTTATACACAAATGGTCAACGGCATATACCTTGTTCTCCTCTTGTGAATTTTCTCCGATATTACAACTTTTAAATAAACAAGCATTTATATTCAATTTGGAAGTTACTAATTTTCCCAGGTGTACTATATTAACATTTTCCAGATTTACTTGACAATCTAATGCTTCAAGAATTACCTTACATTCGTGAAAATTTGGTGTTATTATACAACTTATAGGGCAAATTAAATCAATAGCAAATTTTATATATTCTAGATTTTCTGCCAGTAGGCAACCTGAACTTGAAACAAATACAGGGTCAAAAACTACTAATAATTTTTTCTCCCTCTTCTTATTCATATCTACTAAATACTTATGAACCAATGATATAATTTTTTTTGAATACAAAACCCCTAACTTTACCACGTCAATAGGTATATCTGCAAATACACTATCTAGCTGATCTACAATAAAATTTTCTTCAACTTCTATAATCCTTTTAACTTCCATAGTATTCTGAGCTGTTAAAACAACAAACACAGTACAACAGTGACATCCTAATCCCATTGCCGTTTTTATATCTGCCTGAATACCAGCTCCCCCACAGCTGTCACTCCCAGCTATGCTTAAAATGTTCGTTACCCCTTCCATGATAGCAAAATGTACATGCAGGGAAAAATAAAAAAAAATAAAAAACTTATTTGTTTTGTAAACGCATTTCCAAAAGAATATAAATTGAAAAAAATAGTGTACTTATAAAAGTTTTAATAAAGCAAAGGATAATCAATATATGTTTAGAGCTAAGGATGAGCTCAAGATTCACTAAGAATATAAAAAGAATCCTAAATGGTAACATGGTACACATTTCAAGTGAAATAATAAGCGAAGTAACGCAACATTGCAGAACGCCTCAAATTATCAAAAAAATTAAAAAAAAAAAAGAAAAAAAAAAAAAAAAAAATGCAATTAAAAAACACTTTGAAATGACAAGATAATTTTAAGTAACTTTAAGAGGGGATGTTATTTTCTTATATACAGGTGTTGTACCTAACATATGACAACAACGCAAAGACATATGCCACACTCTTTGGAATTTTGTTGGAGACTTAACACATGTGTGAATTCCAAAAAAAGAAAAAAAATTATAGAATATATTTTTACGATGCGTTTTGTATTGAGCTGTTCTTTTGCAAAATTGAGAGTAAAGTTGAAATGACGGATTGGCAAATTGAGAGTAAAACTAAAATGACGGAGTTACAAATTCGGAGTGAAACTGAAATAACGGAATGACAAATTTGGAGTAAACGTGAAATGTCAGAATGACAAGTGGAAAAAGACCCACCCAAAAAACGTTTGTAAATGTTTCAACGTTCGGTGGAAAATTCATACAAAATAAAAAAAATAACAAAATTATAAACCCTCTCCCTTCTCTTCTCCCATCAGCCCATTTTTCGCATTCTTTAAGGAAAAAAAAAAAAAAAATAAATAAAATAATAAAAATAAAATAATATAATATATTCGTTATTAAAACTAGATAAAACATATAAGTTAAAATAAAGCACACATATTAATTATATTTTGGATAGATAAAATTGGAGAATTCATCAAATGGATGTTTAGAGGATTTATTTTGTTATTAGGAAATTTCCTCATTTTTTAACTTGCACTATGAGATAATTATTTTTTTTTTTTTATGTACATGAAATCTTTCTAATTTTTAGGAAAGTTGTCTTCCAATTTATTCTATTCTATTCTAGATACACAAAAGAGGATTTATACATTCCTTTGTACGTTTAAGTATATACTTATAAATATTATTATTCCCTTACATACAACACATTTGCATGTTTATAAACTGTAATTTATAAAATCAAGAAGTCATTATTTTCTCGCTGTTGTTCTTCAAAAATTCCTCCGCATTTGTTATCAAATCGGTTAAAGAACTTGGAAGGGAATAGATAGTCAATTCGTTTTTGTGAATCCATCTGTTGGGTTTGAAAAAAGGAAAAAAAAAAAAAAAATGGAAATAAAAATGGAAAAAGCAGTTATATAGGGATAGACAATAAATCGCAACTGTGTCGAACTAGAAATGATAAATCATATCATTTAATTAATAATCGTGCTTGTTTTCTTGTTTCTTTATATTTCTCACTTATAGTCCGTATGCTCATCTGACAATATGATGCGTTCCTCATTATTTAGCAAAAGTCCCAAATAATATGTGGTCTCTTTTAAACCACCCTCAACGCTATATTTTAAAGTCTGGAATGGGCGTCAAAAAAAAAAAAAAAAAAAAGGGAGTCAAAAATAAAGGTTGCATGGTCAAAGTACTATGCTCATGGCTCTATAACAATATTTTCCACATATCATATATATATATGTACTTACCTTTTGATAATTTAGCAATTTGTACTTATCCTTATCCAACCCGGTTTCTTCCAGTGTTTCTCTCAGGGCAGTGTCTAATCCATCTTCGTTTTTTTCATGCAAACCTGAGAATTTTTGAAGTTGTAGCATGAATACAACACCGAGGAGAAATGAGCAAAAGGAACAATAAAAATGAGACAGCAAAACTTCTCAAAAAGGGTACCTTTTGGAGGGGTCCAATGTTTATTCCCATAGGATGCCTTTAAAAATAAAAACTCAATTCTTGAATTATCACTTAATATATTCCTTCCCCCATTGCATAGGACTCTACATAACAGAACCCCATACGCCCTTAAAGTGACATCGCTGTTAAAGTGGAGGTTTTACCATCATGGGAAAAAGAAAAGAAAAGAGTTACTTTTTTCGTTTCAATTATTTTATAGTAAATCGGGGCACTACAAAGTGCTTTATCTGTTTGCTCATTTTCTTATTTATTCAATTGTTTATTTTATTTTATTTTTATGACATTCTATATTTGTACTGTTAGAAGACCTTTTTCAGTTCTCAAGTCTCCTTAATGTATTTACACATATATATTTTAACAAATGCAATTATATAATGTCCAATTTTGCTAAAATTATTAGCCTTATTTTATTTTTTAATACCTCATTTTATTATATATACAGCTCTATATGGAATTAGTTTCTAATGTCTGGGATGTCGTGATGCAGAAGCTCTGAAATAAGGAATATATATGCGTGGTGTTTATGGAAAAATCATGAATATGTGTTAAATCGGGGAACGAAAATATGGGAATTTTATTTATCTCTCTATGCAATAAGTATATCTATATTCCTTCGTTTGTACATATATATATATATATATACATCTGAATACATACAAGCATGCGTAAAAACAAATGGCCACTTAAAATCATGCCATTTGAGGGTCCTCAGAAAATATTACATTTTGAGCGTGACCCTTTTGCTTACATCTGGAAAAAGGTGTTATTAAATTCTGATGCAAAGTAAAATTTAACTTTGAATACACATGTAGTGTTAAGCTCGCACATAGATGTGAATGTATCAAAGCACATGATTACATGTAGGCTGGAAAAAAAATATACAAAATATTTAAAAGAGTCAATGGGGATAGATGTTGAATTAATTTAAGTTTAATTAATTTATCATAATTTCGGTTCCTCTTGTTATGTATATATATGTATATGTACGCATTTGAGAATTTATGTGGAATTAAAAATATTAACAAAAAAAAAAAAAAAAAAAAAATTACACGTAACAGCATTTCGAACGGGCGAAAATAAAATGTTCGCAAGGTGTGTTATATTTTTTTTGTCCCTCAATTTTAAGGACATATATATTATGTGCACGTTTGCACAAGTACCATATGTAAATATATATACTTTTACGTTTTTTGCTTTAAAAAACTTATAAAAAGATTATGCGTGCCATTTCGAAAAAAAAATAATAAATATGGCGAAATGAAGAAATAAAGAAGTAAAAATAAAGAAATATATAAGTAAAAAAAATATATATGTGTCAAAAGTTAACAAAATGAGGGGTGTTTGAACAACGGAAAAAAAAATTAGCAAGTCATGTTACAAGCAGGAGCATGTATGCGGCAAAATGTGAGAGGGCCATTATCATGTGCACGAACTTGTATGCGCACGATCTTGTATGAGCACGAACTTGTATGCGCACGAACTCATATGTACACAAACTTGTATGAACACAAACTTGTATGAACACGAACTCATATGTACACAAACTTGTATGCATATATGTATACGCACATGGATGTGGGGCAAAATTAACTTGATTACTCTGGTGCAGTAATTATTTGGTTAAAGCCGTGGAGGAGAGAGAGTTAGAACTGCTTTTTCTTCGTGTAGAAAGATTTGTCTCGTCTTTGTAAAATAAATTTCTCAATGTTGGTCCAAAATTTATTAACGGCAATGTAATCTTCTTTTCTATTTTTTCGATTTAGTCTGATGATATCAATATTCCCACCTGTTAACAAATCGGACGGTATTGTAACATCATTATACATAAAAAAAAAAGATTTGAATGGGTGGAATAGAGCTGTTGGAATTTCAAAAGGATATTCATCTAATATACCTTTTAATGATTCTTTCGATTTTATAATAACAGCAATTACACATTTCCAATCTGTTTCAGTCAATTTTGATATTTTGTCATTTTCAATAAATGAGAATTTTATGCTTTTTTTTTTGTTAAACATTTTGTAAATGATAGATATAGAATCATACGGACCTCCAACACTAACTGTGTTAGAATAATTTGGGTTCATATTAGAATTATCTAAATTATTATGCAGAAAAAATGATTCAATATTACTTTTATTAATTATATGATTATTACTTTCTTTTTCTATTAGTATAATGGGTCTTTTTTTATACGTTAAGTGAATTTCGTCAATTAATTTTAATGATACATTTCCAATCCTTGGCTTAATATTATCATCTATTATAATATTTTTCTTTATTCCATTTATGCATACATTCTTTATGCTACTTTTATTTAAAAGTTCTCTTTCAAAAAAATTATATATTCTGCTAAAATCATTGGGACTTTTCCCTATCATATCATACGAATCTTGAACATTTACCTCTTTAACTTGAATTGATTTTACAAGTTCTTCGTTTCCTTCAATTTGTTCCTTCGATAAATTGATATTCGATATGGTTTTTCTGTTAAGTTTTCCCCTAATAACTATGCAGTTGTTGTCTACGTTTGTACATTTGTGTGTATAATCTTTGCTACGCGTTTCTTCATTTACACACGTAGGAATGATATATACATCATTTGTATTCTCCTTTTCTAGATTTACCTCTTCTTGACCTACATCACAAAAAATATCATCTTGGTCCGATAGGAGTAGCTCCTCAGGAGGTAATATACACCTCCCTTTTGGATCAATCTCCCAATAGAGACTTTCCTCAAGAGAAAAGTTTTTTACAAAATTGTGAACGAAATTAATAACAGCTCTATTTTTATTGTAGTTATTCTTATCATATATAGCTTGTGCGTATTGAGCTAGCAAGTCATGAAAAAATATTATTTTATCATGATCATTAAAAGTTTGTACTATATCTAGGGGTATATATTGCCCAACAAGAAATTTTGTATTTTCTCTTTTTGTTGATAATGAGGAAGAATCATTATGATCAATGAAAGTTGATTTATCATTAACAATATTAATAGGATGTTTTTTCTCTTCATTGTAATCATTTATGCTCATATCAAGATCGAGCATATCATAATCTGCAAAATTTTTATATAAATCTCCCTTGTGATATATATCCGTATAATTATGCTTTGAATATCGTTTAAGAAAATCGTTACATGTAGACAACACCATGTTTTTATCACTTTCCATGTATTTTACATAATCTCTGTGAAACTTGTGAATAATAAATTTTACACATTGATCAATATGATTTTCATTTTCTAAACTTGTAAGATATGTATTCTTCATAACAGAATACAAATTCATATTCTGTAGAAAAATACTTTGAAAAAAATTGTTGTTATCGTAGTAATGTTTCAACATTTTTTGGAGACTATTTCCACATGGGTCATTATTGCATAAGTGCTTTTTATCTTTTTCATACTTTTCATCACTCTGGGTAATTATTGTTTTATTCTTTCTATCAACACTGTTTTGTATTTCATCTTTCTCTAGTATAGTAGGTACTTGTACACATGTATTAGAACTTTCCAAATGATAGCTACTTCTCGTTAAATCCCCTTCGTTGGCAAGGTCAAAAAAATTCATTTTGATGAAATCGTAATTGTTACTTGCATCATTAACTATTTCTTCCGTATCATTAACTTCATTGCAATTGAAATAGATTAGTGAGTCGTACTCTTGAGTAGAAATATCATTCTGCAAGAAATTGTGTTTTCCAGACATTTCTTGTGGGTTAATTTGATTGTGCATCACTCTTCCACTGTAATAATCATTTGACACGTAAAGTATTATTGAGTTATCCACTTTTTCTGTATTGCATATACTTCTTAAATTATCAAAAGAGATAAACTTTTCTTCTACGATGAGGTCAATTGGGTTTTTTTTATAATCAGAAGGTTTTATATGAGCCCCTAATTGTTCAATTGTTCCATCCTCCCCACCTCGTTTCCTCTTTCTATGAGAAGAATTAAACACTTCTCCTTCTGCTTTCTCCTCCCCATCCTGTGTAGTACTTTTTGTGCTACTTTTTTTTATGGAACCTTTTTCATTTCTACTTTCATTTTCACTATTCCTATCTACATCATACACATTGTCGAAATCGAACAGGTCCGCCTGAATACCCTGATCCTTCTCTTCTAAATCTACATAATCATGCAAATCAAGTATTTTCTTCAAATCGTAAACGAAAAAATTGACTTTAATTTCATCGCTATCTTCATTGTCTTCAATAATTTTTATTATTTTACTTTTTTCTAAAATGCTTATATATTTATAGCCAATTGAATTAATATACGAAAAAGTGTAATTACTTTTCGGTAGGCACAAAAATAGATAAATATCCCCTATGTTATATTTTTCCTTCTTTCTACTTTCAATTCCACATAAAATGTTTGCATAAATGTAAAAGTTTTCTTTCTCGAAAAGTATAATATCCCTTTCATCTTTGTTCATAAACTTAATATATTCCTTCTCCTCACTAAGGAACTTTTTCATCAGGATTTTTAAGTTCAGTTGATCGCTCCCCATTCTTTTCTTTATACATCATGCGAAAAAGAAGGTGTAAAATATGCGTCAAGAGATATGTGCACCTGCTTATTACTCCTCAAGCCACATAATTTTTACTTATCACAAGTAATGTCACATAACTATACAAATATCACCCCACATGACATATAAAAACTATGCATAAATCACTCGTCATGACATATAATAACTATGCATAAATAACTCGTTATGACATATTAATTATATACATAATGCATAGATTATCAGATATCACAATTACTTTCTCCTCTCCCCTCTCCCTTTGCAAATGGTGAAGAATGTCACTTCAACGGGGGAAGAAGATTTTCTACTTTTCCTTCTTCCGTCATTTGGCCTTTTAACTGCGTTTCTTCGCAGATTTCTCAGCTTTTACAAGGTGTTAACTATTTCAAGTCCTGGATTACGCACAATTTCCTGTACCTCTTTAGCACTTTACCCTTTATTCATAAATGTTCAAATATATGTTTGTTATATATTTATATATTACATAATTCCGATCAAATGTATATAATCTCGAAGGTTCTCACTCTACCAATATGGGGAAATCTTTATGTATGATGGAAAACTTACAAATAGCAAAAAAAAAAAAAAAAAAAAAAAAAAAGTTATCTGCGTTTTATGATGCCACTTTACATAAAAAATGTGGTAAAAATGTAAAAGTTATGCTAAATATTACCCTAATAAATGCCCTAAAAATTGTCGTAAAGTATTGCTCAAAAAAAAAAAAAAAAAAAAAAAATTCCAGCATAACTCCCTGTGGAATGGAATCATTGCCTTTCTACTCATCACATTTACATACACTAATCTATATTTTGCATCCCTACATGCATCATCAGATGAAGGAGTCACAAATTTTGAGCGATTCCAAACAATACAATACTATTGTCACTTCTTGAATGTGAAAATCATCATACCCCGTGGGAGAATTTGGGGGTGGGACGGCGATGCATGCTTTTACACATATCTCATAAATAAGCTTATTTTGAACAAACCCCAAAAAGTTGGTGAAAAAATTTACACGGTATATATAAAAGTATATGAACAAAAAGGTATGCTATTTTTTATGTACTACATGGAGTAAAAGCACCATGAACTTTCAGCTTTATTAAAAGATTACTATTTACTTATACGTATAAATAAATTAATATTTATTCAAATAGTACAATTTTTAAAGACAAAAATAGTTATTTAACAATGCTTATGTCGTGTTTACCAGTAAGAATGGACTGAAATCGAATTTTTTTTTTTTTTTCTGCCTCCCTATTAGGCAACACCTCTTTACCTTCTGCTTTTTTAAACAACAGAATTACCAAACATTTGAACCAATTTTGTAAACTCAAATAAAGATATTTTTCAATTCAAGAAAATACATTCCCACCTATCCTCCCCTCACTTATTCTGATAAAACGCTAAAAAAAAAAAAAAAAAAAAAAATAGGTACTGATCGGCTACACAGACATATTTGTACCAATAAGAAATAAGACGTAAAAAACACAGCCCTAAAAAAAAAAAAAAAAAAAAAAAAAAAAAAAAGGTTATACTAAACGGTTGAACAAAATGCAGGTTGGTAAGAAGACAACCTAAATGCCCATTTTTTTTAAAGTAGAGTAAATAAAAAAAAGAAAACATAGTAAATGGTATTTAAAAGAAAAAAAAAAGTGCAAATATTATAAGTTGCGAAACGATGTGAAAATATGCGTTAAGTAATCCAGTCAACTGCGGAGAAGCAACGCAATTTAAACAAAAAAAAAAAAAAAAAAAAAAAAAAAAGGAAAGAATAAAGGGGTCACATCTTTTGGTAAATAATGCATATATATACATGTGCGTGTGTAAGCAGATATTACATAGGTATAGACCCTTGGGGTGTATCACTTAAGGTACAATAGAAACATAATTAACCCAACCCACATTACTCCATACTCCCTCTAAATATGTTGTTCCATTTTGTTCCATTGAACAAAAACGCGAGATGGGAGAAGCGAACAATCTGATGAAAGCATTTGACAAAAAAAAAAAAAAAAAAAAAAAAAAAAAAATTGTACGTAAAACTAAAAATAACATAATTATATGAATATTTACACATACACAAGTGGGAAATTTAACATTTGTCAAGGTTCACACGTAACTTTAAAAGGTACATTTTAAACATCTTCACTTAAACTATGGAACAAATTTGTAGTGGAACATACTTCATTTATATAACGAGTCTATATCAAAATCATCTGGGATATCTAACTGGCTCATGGCAGCCTGAATTTCCTCCTTAGAAATGTTGTGCTTCTTAACCAAATCCTTTAAATTATCAATGGTAACACTACTAGGATCCAAGTTTCTAGTGGCATTTTCATCGTATAGGGAATTATATTCATTTATGACATCCTTTATATCTTCCTTTACGTTTTCATGGGCATCGGTATTTAACAATTCTTGTGGATCTATTTTTTCAAAATCTTTTTTTTTATTTTTGTTTATCCATAAAACAAACTCATCAAAATTTTTAATAGCATCACTATCTTCACTACGAGAAAGAGTCTTTTCTATGAGTTCATCATCACTCTTCGTTTTTTGTAAACTATGTTCTAATATGTCTAAAGCTCTCTTTGACGAGCAGGCTTTACTATTAATTAGTAAATCGTATAAATGTCCACTATTCTTTTTTGTTGAATAGAATAAAATTTTTTGATTTTCTAACTCTGTTAAGGCATTAATCCATTCTTCATTTACTTCATTAAATGTAATTGGAAATTCTTTTTTTTTAACTACATATTCTATGTATTTATACATATAATTAAGGTATATAGTTTTAAGATCATTTGGTGCAAAATATAATTCCATTGCGGGATCTTCACTTGGCACAGTGTTATCTGTTTTATCTTTTTTTTTTTTTTCCTGATTCTGTTCAGTTCCACAATATTTCATACCATTTACCTTTTCATACGTGTATAGATATTCTTCGATGCACTTTTGAACTTCTGCTTTATCATTATATTTTATTTTTCTAAATTCCAAAATTTCCTTGAACATTTCCTCATGATCGTAGTTTGCAATTTTGTTTATTAAAATTTCAATGTCCAATTTATCTTTCTCCGCTGCAAGCTGTTCTTTCGGAGGCGGTACGCGCGCGTGCTTCTGTGTGTCGTTTTGTGTGTCCTTTTGTGTGTCCTTTTGTGTGTCTTTCTGTGTGTCGTTTTGTGTGTCCTTTTGTGTGTCGTTTTGTGTGTCTTTCTGTGTGTCGTTTTGTGTGTCCTTTTGTGTGTCGTTTTGTGTGTCTTTCTGTGTGTCGTTTTGTGTTTGGTTCTGTGCTTGCCCCTGTTCACAGTGATTCCTCTCCTCCTTTGTGCCATCCACTCGAACTTCACCAAAGTCAAAAGATTCGATGGTTTCTTCTTTCTGGAAACACTTGGCATATTTGAAAACAACGGGAAGATAGGCACTCTTAAAATTATTCTTAAGGTATAATTTATTTTCCCTTTCAATCTTATTATCATTATAGAAGTAAAATATTTCTGCCATTTCTTTGAGAAGTACGTTAGCTAAAATGGCAACAGAATATATATTGTCATTAATTAATATTTTTGTATTTTCAAAAGAGTTGACAAAATTTAGGTGCGTAGATAATACCTGATCATTTTTCACAAATTCAATTTGCACATTACTTAACTTGCTTTCAAATATTTCTTTATTAAAAAAGTGAAATAAATTATAAGTGGCATTGATTCTATTTAACGAGTTCGTAAAACCACATTTCTTCTTTTCATTATCATATAAGAAAATAAGTTTATCAATTTCTTCCTTCGATTTTGTGTCATTTTTACCTTTGTCAAGTTCGTTGGGTGAGTTGGTTTTGTTTGGAAAAATACCAGATATCAAATTAATGAGTGTACTAAATACATCATCTTTTTTAATTAAGCTAATTAAAATAATTTTCTCTTTTAATTTATCAAAATAATATTCTATTGAGCTTACATTTTCATTATACATTGTAAAAATGAGATTATTATTTGATGATCTCAGTTCTTCTAATCTTCTATAGTATACTATTTCACATGCATATTTGCACTTGTTCATAATAAAATTAACTTCATTTATACTTAAATTTATTAACACTCTAATACCTTTTTGAAGCACTTTATATAAGTTTATATAATTATTTGTAAACAAGGCTGATGCGATGTGTTTTATTGGAATTTTTTTCTCTTCCCATATTGTCTTACAATCTTCTCTTTTTATAGCATTTTGAATTATTTTCATAATTTTTTTATTCCCTATATGTGCACCTTTTAGTTTTACGAACAATTTATTTAGACTGTTAAAATGATTTACATTTTCCAGCACTTCTAACTCTTCGTTGTTCAGATACGAATCTAAATTTATCGTCTCGTCTAGGAAAAACGGCCAGTTGTTGTACTCAATTACAAAGCGAATGAATTGTTTCATTCGATTGATTTTTACATAATTAAAAATGTCCACGTTTTCATCATCCACAGTTTCGTCCTGCGATTCCTCACATGGTAACCCATGGATATTCTTCACCTCTCTAACGTTTCCCAAATTGATATTTTCCTTGTCAATACTTTCTTCCTCCAGGTGATTCATTACGTCCTCATCTGCATCAGCATCTGTATCATCATCTTCTAGAATTTCCTCCTCTTCTCCATCGATTTTGACATCTTCCCTTAAGGTATTTTTTATACCTGATTGTTCAGTTTTGTCACTATGGCTTCGCCCTTCACTGTGTTGAACCTTCCCCTTCGATGGATTTTTCAAATTCTTATTATCTTCCTCTTTTATACTTTCCTCTTTTTTTAACCTACTTTTAGCCTCTTTGACTGTAGCACTATCTGTATTTCCACCATATTTGTGAACGTATGTAGTATATTTTTCATACACATTGAGGCACTCATCGAGTATTATTCTAGACAAGACTAACGAATTGCTTATATCATTGTGTACATAAATAATAACATCATTGGATATATAATCAAAATTATAATCAGAGAAGCTTAATCCTGATATATTATCAGTAAATTTTATTACTATATTGTTCGGTAAGTCAAAACGAAATAAATATTTGGTATAATAGTTCAGAAAATAGTAAGCAATTTCTTCTCTACTGTTACGAGTTAATAAAACATTACTTTTCATTGGATATGCAATTTTTAAATTATTCATAACATAATCCATATTATTAATATTCATATATTCATCATAAATACTTACATCTTTATATATATCTGAAATTACATCTGTTTGTAAAATTCTTTTAAAAAAATATTTTTCTTTACTTCTCATTTTTCTAATACTTCTGAACAGTTCTCCTATTACTACCATCATTTGCAGGGTCATAATATTATTAGTCGTTTCTACCTTTTCATTTTTTTCATACTTCTTCAAAAGACTATCTACATCTTCATTTTCATTTCCACTTTCATGTAAAAATCTCATGCATGCACTAGTCAAAGCGTTATGTACATATGTAAGGTCGAATTCGTTTAACCCCTTTAATTTTTCGATACCTTGTGTTAGATATTTCGTTGAGGTATTCACATCACACAGAAAAAGGGAAGAAGTAAATTCGTTTAGTGGTATTCTGAAACGTTGAAGCGCTTGGTTGCTGTCTTTCATCTTATCACCTGTACTTTCCTTTACCTTGCCTGAATTAGTTTTTACTCCTCCTCCTCCAACAATTTCTAATTGGCCTGCTTCGGCACTTGTTATGTCCACAGTATTTCCCCATATTTGGCTGACGTTTTTTTTCTTGTAAACATTGGAGGCCAGTTGGATGGCTCTGTTAATGTCGCTAGTAACATTTGACTTTAGGAGAAGCATCACGATGTCGTCTTGGTTTCTCTCGTCATCATCACTACACTCATCCTCATCGTCGAGATGATTTTCTTGGATGAGACTTTTCTCCTGGTCTCGTTCGGCCATCTCTTTATCTCGTTCCGCCCCCTCTTGGGTGAGATCGTTCTGCCGATTGGTGCCGAAGGAAATTTCCTTATTGTACTCTAAATTGTGGAATAACTTCTTACTATCTGCATTGATGTCCTTGATGTAAGAATGGAATATGGCAGTTTCATCATTTGTCAAGTTTAAGTCTCCCAAATATGGAGTGTAGAAGTAAAAATCTATATTTTCTAGCAAGCCTGAGATACCATGGACGAATTTTATAATTTTCTGTTTGGTTTGATCTATTTTATTAGATGTGTTATAATTTTTTACTTCCTTGAAAGGTAAAATATCAACGTGTAGCAATTTGTGATACTCATACATGACTTTTAAGATTGTGTAATTTAACAAAAGGGGAGATGTTTTCAAGGCAGAACAGAATAAAATACTTGGCAAATTTATAAAATGTTTATTAACAATTTTGTACATTTTCATATTTGGAATAAGTTTTAATTTATCTACTTTGCTATTTATCCAATAGAAATTTATGAAATCAAAATGTGGTAATTCATTGTTAAATATTTTAAAATTGAAATAGTTCCACATATTCATAATGTGTTTTTCTGTTTCTTCGTTGCTTTTTAATGTATATGGAGTAGAATAATTTATGATTTCTTTCTTTTTGGTTAAATAATCTATCAATTCATTTTCCTTAATTTTGAATATATCTCTTATTTTTTCTATAAAATGTCCTAAGATATTCATAATTTCTTCATATTCTGATGCAAGTTGTATGTACATTTCATTGTTTATCAGTTTGCTGTTATTATTTGGAAAAGCATTTGAATCGTTTTCAATTTCTATTTCATTCATCAGTTTAACTTGAAAAGTTTTGTATACTATTTTCAATATATAATTCTTTATATATCTCAGAATAAACATAAGATATATTTTATCATCCAAATTTCTTGTTATGTTATGTTCATAATAATTATGTAAATATTTATTCATCATTAACTTTATGGATCCTAACCCTTTTTCTAGAAAGTCGTTAAAGGCTTCCTTCCCAATATATATGGAACTCCTTAATGATTCCGTTGGGAAAATAATGTTTGTTCTTTTTGCAAAATTGATATCTGAGAGTTCTTTAATTTGTTCTTCATCTAAGATTGATTCATCTGGTATGTCCATATCTGGCGTCATTTCATTTTTATCCTTCATGTCATAGATCGTTTTTTCCATTTTTCCTACAGTTCCTCCGATGGTATCATCACTTTTTGGTTTTACAAACATATCATACGTCATTTTATTGCTAAAATTCTTTGTTAACGATTGGCACATTTGTTCATTTTTTTTTTTAATATGAAATGGGATAAGACTCACTGAAGAACAGTCCTCCATTACAAATGTTTTTCTGTAAAAATTGGAATTTATCTGATTTATTCTATCATAATTTTTTGTACTTACGAAATTATTTACTATGTCATAATAAAAGGAATTTTCTTTTGAAAGCTGTAATCTATCACTCCACTGCTGAAATTTCATGTTTTCATTTATTTCTTCTTCACTCAATATTTCACCATTTAAATATTCCCGTTTTGCTTCTTTTTTCTTTTCCCTCTTAATGTTACTTTCTCGACTCTTTCTTACTAGTTCATTATTCAGCATTTCTTTATTCATGTTATTATTTATCTTTTGCAGTTCCTCCCTTTTGTCACTACTTTCACCTACACCTGATAAATCCATGCTGTTATCAGAATTTGACTCTTCTCCATTTGAGTAGTACAAAGGATTTATGGAATTGTTCACCTTAAAAGGATCATATTTCTCTCTATTCCGTACAACACGGAAATTATAATTTATTTCATATTTAGATATATTTTTCCAAATTCCTGGTTCGATAAAAGAGAACCAATCACTTAGTCTCTTAATTTTTATCCCTGCGCTTTTTGGCAAACCCTTAAATATAAGAATTATTACAATGTTTATTATTGCACACTTTCCTATAAGTTTCAGCATTTTTTTTTTTTTTTTTCAGTTCCTTGCTACCCTTCTGCTGCTACGTCTGCTGCTACTTCTGCTGCTGCGTCTACTTCTACTTCTGCTGCTACGTCTGTTGCTACGTCTGCTGATACTTCTGCTGCTACTTCTGCTGCTACGTCTGTTGCTACGTCTGCTGATACTTCTGCTGCTACTTCTGCTGCTACTTCTTCTATTGCTACTTCTTCTACCTCTTCTTCTTCTACTCTTATAATTCTCAGCAGCTTGGTTTGCTTGCCAGTTATGTGTTCCCTTATGCTATATTGGCATGAGTGCTATTTGAAGAGGCATGCTGTTGGAATTAAAAGTGATATTATATATGTAGTGGGCGGAAGAATAGATACAGGTGTTGACTGCACAGATGAAACATTTTTTTTTTTTTATCATTTGTAAATAAGGAAAAAAAAAAAAAAAAAAAAAAATTGAAAATTTACTCTTAAGCAACTTAAGTCACTTATCTAAACAAATGGGAGGAGTGTAAATCTAACATTTTTCCTTACTCTAATGAAAAAAAAAAAAAAAAAAAAAAATATGCCATTTTTGTTAAATTATCAAAAATTTTAACACACATATATGTATCATGTATAAAAATATTCCTTTTTATCATGTACCGGAAAAAACCATATCATGTTTTTGAGCCTTACCTCGTCACCTTTTACCCACCTAAGAACTTCGATGACCATTATATTTCTGTTCCAAGATTTGCGTTGTTTCTTAATGCAGTATAAGTTTATTAAGCAGGAAATATTACTTCTATATATATATATATATATGTATGTATTTATACATATCTACAAAGCATAACACATCACATGTGGAGGTTCTTTTTTACATTTTATACGATGTTAGAAACAATATCTCAAAAATATATTTCCTATTCAGCTGGGCTGGTGTAAGATGGGGTTCTCTTATTATAAGGTCAGTTTAACCTCCCCCAAAACAAGCACACACTACGAGCAAAAAAATACATATATGCATTCAAGCATTTTCATAAGTGGTTGTGAATACAAGCCGAGACTCCTGTAGCCAGTGGAATCATCTAGAAAAAAAAAAAAAAAAAAAAAAAAAAAAGGGTACCCATGATTGTGAGTGCAAAATATATTAGCACTCTAAGTTTTCACTTGCAACCATGTTATAAATTTGAGAATCTCACACTAACATTTGATAGGTTTCTCCATATATTCTAACTTGATTAATACTGAGTAAAACTGTAGAATATTATTAGGAAATTCCTCATCAGTCCTAAATGATGATATTAAAGTGTTTTCTTCTACTTCTACATTGTGTTAATATATAAAAAAAAAAAATAAATAAAATAAAAAAAACCTACATGTTTCCTTTTTGTCGATTATAATGTGCACTGCAAGAAATAGTATCTTCCCTCGATTTGCCCAGCATATACAAGTATATTTTGTTTTCTTTTTTATCTTCTAAGGTAAATTTTTTAAAGCAATAAATATATTTTTGCGAAAAAAGTAAAAAAAGTGTAAAATAAATACAAAAATCCCGAAAAATAAAAGGTTACATAATTATCCAAAAAACGAAAAAAACATTTATCCCATGATTTTGCATACGCTACAACTGGTTTTAATCATTTTTGCAAAAATTATCGGAGAGATAGGTATGTTTTTTTTTTTTTTTTTTTTTGCCAAAGTGACTCATTCAAAAGCGTTACACACACTTGTGCATTTTTACCTGTACTTATACCCATGTATATATATGTAACTGTACATGCGTTTACACATATACTAGTATGTATATACATATATATGCATGTAGGTATTTTTCTTTTTTTGCGTTTTCATAGGTTCCCCGAAGCCATACGACAAAAAGCTTTATTCCTGATATCATTATGTATGAAAACTCGCAACCCTTTGATCGTGCCATACCCTTCGTAATAGCATTTTTGACAAGGATTCTACATAATTAGAGTTATCATTTACATTCGCTACAAAAAAAAAAAATAAAATAAAATAAAAAAAAAAATACATGAAAAGACGTAATCCTTGCAGTCGCCCCTTCACCACATCCTCTTAACTAGTACTGCAACATATTCATTATTTTCTATTTCATTCTAAGTGGGGGGAAGAAAAAAATGTGGGAAAATAAGAGTAAGGTAAAAGATTTGAGCTTGGCTCCTTTTGGAAAACTACAAATGCAAATTTCTGAAAATGAAATGCCTGGAATTATGACTATTAGAGAAGAGTATGAAAAACTGAAACCTTTGAAAGGTGCAAAAATAAGTGGATGTTTACATATGACAATAGAATGTGCATTATTAATTGAAACGTTACAAATTTTAGGGGCTAAAATAAGATGGTGTTCATGTAACATATACTCAACTGTAGATTATGCTGCTGCTGCAGTTAGTACTTTAGAAAATGTAGTAGTATTCGCATGGAAAGGGGAAACATTAGAAGAATATTGGTGGTGTGTGGAAAATTCACTAACATGGGAAAATGAAGAAGGGCCCGATTTAATTGTTGATGATGGTGGCGATGCAACCCTTTTAGTACATAAAGGCGTGGAATATGAAAAATTATATGAAGAAAAAAATATTTTACCTGATCCTGAGTTAGGAAAGAATGCAGAAGAGAAATGTTTTTTGAATTTATTAAAAAATTCTATTCTTAAAAATCCCAAAAAATGGACAAATATAGCAAAGAAGATTATTGGAGTATCTGAAGAAACAACAACTGGAATATTAAGATTAAAAAAAATGAACAATAATAATGAACTACTTTTTACAGCTATAAATGTAAATGATGCAGTAACGAAACAAAAATATGATAATGTTTATGGATGTAGACATTCATTACCTGATGGTTTAATGCGTGCAACTGATTTCTTAATATCAGGGAAAATTGTTGTTATTTGTGGATATGGTGATGTTGGAAAAGGATGTGCTTCATCTATGAAAGGCTTAGGTGCAAGAGTTTACGTTACTGAAATTGATCCCATATGTGCTATCCAAGCTGTTATGGAAGGTTTTAATGTTGTTACATTAGATGAAATTGTGGAAAAAGGAGATTTTTTTATTACCTGTACAGGAAATGTAGATGTTATTAAATTAGAACATTTGTTGAAAATGAAAAATAATGCCGTTGTTGGAAATATCGGGCATTTTGATGATGAAATACAAGTTAACGAATTGTTTAACTACGAAGGAATACATATTGAAAATATAAAACCACAAGTTGATAGAATAACACTACCAAGCGGAAATAAAATTATTGTACTTGCTAAAGGTCGACTTTTAAACCTTGGATGTGCAACTGGTCATCCAGCTTTTGTTATGTCCTTTTCATTTTGTAATCAAGTTTTTGCACAACTTGATTTATGGGAAAATAGAAATAATTCCAAGTATCAAAATAATGTTTACTTGTTGCCGAAACATTTAGATGAAAAGGTTGCTTTATATCATTTGAAGAAGCTCAATGCTTCTCTAACCCAGCTAGATGACAAACAATGTGAATTTTTAGGGGTTACAAAAAATGGACCTTACAAGAGCAATGAGTATAGGTATTAATCAATGGAGGGACGACGTGAAACACTCATAATGTGCTCTAGTGCACGTATACGAATGAATGTGCACGATGCACATACTTAAGCACAATATATGTCTACCTACAAGTTTATTCAAATATACTCTCAGACGTCCAAACTGTAAATAAGCGTGTCAAGCATAAAAATTTTTGTCAACAATTGCATGTCTACATGCCATTCAACAGTTTACGTACACAGCTCTGTGCATACACTTTGACAAATTGAATTGCATCATTTGTGTTGGCATATTAGCTTCTTCCCTATGGGGAAGAATAAAAAAATATACATTTAAAAAATGTAAAATATAAAGCATACGCATATGTGTGTATGTGCACATGTATATACAGGTATATGTGTATATGTACAAAAGAGTGAATAAATCAAAATGAGAAAAAACAATACAACAGCATTGTTGAGTTCCCGATTCCATCTGTTGGCAATTCCATAAATATATAATATTACCCCATTTGCTACCTCGAATAAAAAAGTAAAAAATTATTCATAAAAAAAATTGTTGCAAATCACAATAGCCAGGCGTGTTTTGTCACTTTTTACACAGCAAAAAAAAAAAAATAAAATAAAATAAAAAAATAAAAAAAAAAACGGTGTGTTGTGTTAAAAGTGCGGTTGCGCAAGTTTGCTATTATTTTATTTTTCTCACTTTATTTCATTTATTTATTTTTATTGGTTTATTTGTTTATTTATTTTTTTGCCCTTCTGTCTGGAATACGGGGTCGTCCGGAAGGTGTTTTGTGTATACATACATTTTTGCATGCGTGCATTGAAATGTATTGCAAAAATGAATTATAAAAACATCGTCCTTAAAATTAACTTCAATTCAGCAAATTGCTTATCACCCACATTATCATTGTAACAGAATTACGCTCGCTCTAGCTATTTGCACGAAAAAACGTTTTAAACAAATCCAAGGGGTAAACCCAATGATTCCATAATTTTCTCCTCCTCAAGCTTTTCTTGCAGCTTTTTATTTATTTCTTCTACTTTTTTTTTTTCTGTTATTTCATCCTCATCTATTTCAGTCATTTCTACATTTTCTAATTTGTTTTTATCACCCGTTTTTGTGTTATCACGTTTAATTTCTCCATCTTGAGCGTTATCATCTTTTTGATCAAAATTTGGTATACATTTATTTTTTATTTCTTCAACCGTTTCGTAATGACAATTATCTCTTAACTGGGTTCTTCTATATCGTCCTCTTCTATTATCAGACCATTCTTGTCTATCCCATTTATTGAAATACTTATTCTTCTCATAGTTGTATCTTTTATCATTTCTGTCATTTGAATGATCATGATATCTCCTATCGTATTTTCTGTTATTGTTATAATTCCAATCATTCTCGTTATCAGATGAATTTAATTCTTTCCTCTTTCTTTCCTTCTCTCTGTAAGTATTATTTCTCTTGTCATATGGAGACATTTTCCTTACTTGAGAATCATCTTTTCTCTGATGATACATGATAGCTTTATGTTTATTTGTTCCTTCCTCATCTTCGTCTTCCTCGTCAAGATCCTTTTGGTTATAATCACTGTATCTAGCATGATGCATATGATCGTGTCGAAATCCATGTTTATGTTCATACCTATGCACAGGCTTTCGATTGTGCTCCCTTTTAAGATAATGCCCATTGTCTTTTTGTTCAGAATTTGCATTATCATTTTCACTTCCAGAAAGTTCTTTTCTGTTGTAATTTTTTGTAATTTTTCTTGTATTATCAGATAGGTCAATGTACTGAAGTTTACTTAGATCGCTATCCGAGGAAACAGTATCGCCTTCGCTCAGTTTATCGTCACTTATTTCACTGGGGTTGATGTTTTTATCATTTAATTTTTTCACAGAATTGGCACTGTGTTCATTTTTGTTTGACTGTTCAAACGAATTAGTATTATCTCCATCCATGTGTTCGTCGGATGTGTTGTTGTCTTCACTTGTGCTGTCATTCGATTTCAACTTTTTTTTTTTTTTTTTTTTTTTATCATGTTTCTTTGCACTTTTTCTGTATTCCCTATGATTCTTACTTTTCCTATGATTCTTACTTTTCCTATGATTCTTACTTTTCCTATGATTCTTATTTTTCCTATTATTCCTATTTTTCCTATCCCCCCTATCTGCACTATCTTCTCTATCTTCCCTATCTTCACTATCATCACTATCTTCTCTATCTTCCATATCTTCACTATCTTTTCTATCTTCCATATCTTCACTATCATCTCTATCTTCCTCACCTTCACTAACTTCTCTATCTTCCCCATCTTCCCTATCATCATTATCCTCATCCTTGTGACATCTTCGGCCTTTTTCATATATTTTATTTTTCATTTTCTTTTCTTTCTGTTTACTAGATCTCTTGGTATTGCATACATAAGAACTCCTTTTCGTGCTTTCACGCACAACTGAAGAATATGAGCTCGTACTATTTCTAACTGATGCTGATCTAACTAATGTTTTCCTTCTTTTTTTTTTTTTATAAGAACTGTTTGAAGAATTATAATGATTGGAATAGTTCGAATCATCGGAGGTAGCGTAACTATTCGATTTGTTACGATTTTTTTGAATATGTTTTTTTTTTTTTTGGTCCTTTTCAGTTTCGTCTTTTATTTTATTACATTTAATTTTATCTTCACCCTTTTTTCTCTTTTTTGGTACCCATAATCCTTTTTCATTTTTTATGAGGTTATTGCTTTTTCTATTAATAGGACAATATAGGATAGGAGAAAAAAAAAAAATATATATAAATTGTATATGTGTAACTTAACATGTGAAGAAAAGTTTTAGTTATCCCGGTGTGAGAAGTTTTGTGAATGTACACAAATGGAAAATCTGGATAAAACAGAGACTGCTAGAGACTGCTAGAGACTGCTAGAGACTGCTAGAGACTGCTAGAGACTGCTAGAGTCTGCTAGTGGCAGTAGGTGACGGTAAATAAGAAGGTATAACGGGATGCAGTGGAAAGAATAAGGGGTTATGGGGGATAAAAAAAAAAAAATTTACATGTATCATCTCAATCAGTTTTGTTATACTTTAAGTGTGGATTATTATCATAAGCATCGGGAAAATTTCCATCGTCTTCTTTTTTTTTTAATTTCACTAGGGAGTGGGCAAAATCCCAATTCCTATGTTTCAATAACTCTTTATCATCTTGCTCCTTTAAGGATTTTTCCTGATTATAAACTGGCACTAACTGAGGCATTTTTATTTTTAATAGAGTTGTAGTTTCGTTGTTACTCCTCTTTTTAGATCTCCGTGGTTCCCTCTGCTTTCTGATTATGAGCTGTGGGAAAATTTTTTCATTATGTATAAAATATACGCGTTAAAATATTCCAAAATTGGGGAAATCGGGTGAACATGATGGAGTACGATGAGTTCGATGAATGTGGCTAAAGGAAGTTTTTCCTACCCAAATAGTTCATCTCTTTTTGTTTTTTTTTTTGTGGCTCAAGGGAACGCATATATGCATGTATAAATTATGTATATACATTAATTTCAAAATAAGAAATTGAATAAACTAAAATAAAACTCGTAGTCCCTACGGGTTATTTCCACGTTTTAAAAATAAATTGAAAAAAAACGAGAAACAAAATTTTGCTATCATAGTTTTCTTAATAAAGTACCTAAAAATATTTAGCACGGAAAAAATAATTAAAAAGGGTGATAAGTTTTAAAAGGACAAGAGAGAAGTGGTAGAAAGTTTGTGAATTGAAAAATTGGTGGGACCATATCTCCGTGCCTTTTCCAAATTTTTATTACTTTTTCGTTTTCTTTTTCGTTTTCGTTTTCTTTTTCGTTTTCGTTTTCTTTTTCGTTTTCGTTTTCTTTTTCGTTTTCTTTTTCTTTTTGGTTTTCGTTTTCTTTTTCTTTTTCTTTTTCGTTTTCTTTTTCGTCTTCTTTTTCGTTTTCTTTTTCGTCTTCTTTTTCTCTTAATTTTATTTATTTTTTTAATTTTTTTTTTTTTTATTTTCCCCATTTCGGAGAACTAGCAGATGTCACTTTGGCAAATATTTCTTTATGACTTTGATTTGTTGGATAAAGCCTATGTTCATAAAACTACAATGCATTTCTGTGTGTTAATTAAAAGGAAAATTCCGTAATGTTATATGATATGTGATGTGTTATATTGCATCAAGTCACATTGCATAAGCGTCACTGTGTAGAGCATTAAATCACATATAAAGAAAAAAAAAAAAAAAAAAAAAAAAAAAAAAACTTACATTTCCTGATAGATACACATTGATGTCCATATTCACATATGTTTACTATTCCATGGTTACTAATCGCACACTTCTTATTATCTGGGATATGCAGATAAGGTGTGAGAATATATCCTCAAAAAACAATACCCCGAAAAGGACAAAAAGAGAGAAAAAAAAAAAATGGAGAAACATAAGAAAAAAATATATAAAATATGAAAAATGTTTAACCAAGGAAAAATTGTAAATTGAAATGTAATTACCCACATAAAATGCAACGAAGTTTAATAAACATGTGCAATACATTTAGAATTAAAATAATATTCTTCGAGAAATTGGTGAATTTTTTTTTTATCTTAACCATTTATCATGTTTATTTTTCCCGAAACACACAATTGAGTGGGAATCACTTATATGGTATAAAAATACGTACCCCTGGATCTACATTCCAAATTGTAGGCCTCAGAACGCGTGCTTTTGAAAAACCATAAAGCCTGAATAGGTTAGGAAAAAATTAACTATTCACAGAAACGTACTAATGATTGCATTACAAACTTCCAGCCTTTTAACGTGTTTTGTTCTAGTATACGCTCCCTTCAAGCTTATGAGAATGTCTAAGAATTAAAAATTCACAATATAACAATGTGTTGAGTATCCAAAGGACAATACTGCAATACCACCATATATACTCATATACAAATGTGTAAGCGTGTAGTCTTAAATGCGTAAAAAAGTTACCTCCATAATTGACGCTTAAAACGTTCAGCAAAAAGTTTAGACAACAACAAAGGGAATCTTTCGTCGTGTCTTTTTTATCTAAGCATAGAAGGCAAGTGTAGAATGAATGCGAGGGGAGCAGTGAATGAGGGTTGAAAGTAAATGAATCTTTTAGTACATGTGATTTTCTACAAATAAATTTGTTCACATATGTGTATACAGTAAAAAAAAAAAAAAAAAAAAAAAAATGAAGAAGAATAAAATCTCTGAACAAAAACTAAACACTCCTCCATTTACTTACCGTAACTAAAAAGTATATTATTGACAATGTTGGAAAATAGACTTTTATCAAAGTTGACATTTTGTTGCACGCTTTCATTTTGTCTCGTCTTTACCAAAGCGTCTCTAAAGATATCTTCATTTTCTAAATATAACTACAAGGGAAAGTGATAGAGGCAGTAAAAATTATAATTCGTTTTTGAAGAATATATAGTTTTTTACAACTCGAATGTTTAGGATTGCACACAATACAATAGTCAGTGCGAATGTAAACGCATCATATATATTTCTCTCCCTTCCCTCACCCTCTTTTTTTTTTTTTTTTTTTTTTTTTTTTTGGGGGTGGTGGTGGAAGAGGGGTATCTTACTAGAACAAGCAAGTTGAAAAAAGAAGTCAAATGTTCTTCATTAATTTGGAGAGGATTTACAAAAAACTTGTTTGAAAGTCCTACACTGATGTTAGACAAAAAAGATGAATCATTATTTCCTGGCACAAAAGTTTGGAAAAATTCATCCGCGAAAAATAGTAGAGAGGAATAAAGTAAAATAATTTGAGAATTTTTTTCGAATATTCGAAAGGGAATATGATAAATATCATGTTCAAGTATAAAAAAAACGAGATCATGAGTTTTGAAATAGTTTGATAAATTTGTGTGATCATATGTAATACCAATTATATTATTTACATCTTCTTGTTGAAAAAAAATTTCCATTTGTTTTATGAAACCATATTGTCCCTGCTCGTGTGTAACACAATAGTTGCTATTCTTTTCTTCGACAAAATTATTCTTACGTGTGGAAAAATCTTCCTTAGGAAGATCTACACTATTGTGACAGTTGTAGTTGGGTATATTCTCTTGGTTTACTTCATAAAAATAGTGAAGAATAACTGGGTGTAGCAGAAACATATGTACTCCTTGTAATAAAGCAAAAGAATGTCTGAAATAAATGTGTATATTTAATATGAGGTCATTATAATCAGGTGAATTTAAAATTTTATTCCTTATCAAAAATAACTCCGAAAAATCTTTTTTGTCTCTCAACATTTCTTCAATGGTTTTTTTGTACAAATTTGAACTGGTGTAACTACTTTTTTCATTAACTTTTAATGCATTTAGAACCCGCTTTTGTGTACCATCAAAAAAGTTAGTAAACAGTTCATTTAATTTTATGTCTTCTCTGTCCTCACATTGTTCTTTTAGCAATGTTGACAAACAATATAACGACTTGTAATATATTAAATAAATACAAATACTTACAAAATAGAATAAAATATCTACTTCGTTGTTTACCTTATTTCTGATGCTTATTTTTTTCCCAATGTTTATATGATCCAAATATTTTATATCCCCATCATTGTTAATGTATTTTTCGTAATTTATATGCATATCGTTAGTAATATGTTTGCAAAAATAAATGCTCTTAGCCTCTCTACATTCGAGTATGTCGCATAGCTTGTTAACAAGGCTGCAGGAATGGGAAGGAAAAAAAATAAAATAAAATAAAAAATAAAAATAAATAAATATGGAGCATAACTTGTTAGTAGTTAATGGTAGATTGAAATGGGTTGATTTACGCATGTTCGTTTTTGATTTCGGGTTGTGTCATCGTGCACATGTAGCAATGTTAGACATAGTGCACATATAACTATGATAGACATAGTGCACATGTAGCTATGATAGACATAGTGCATATATAACTATATTAGATATCGTCCCCGTGCACGCTTATGTAATCTCTCGCACACCTCTATGTAAACGGCCACCCTTGCTTTAATTCCTTCATGTGTCGTTCTCAGTGCATACCTAGCTTGCTTTACAAAAAACAAAAAGGAATACGGATTTTTAACTTCAATCAAGAGGTACAAAATGATCTTACAAGTTTCAATCACATTGTTGAAGGTTTCATAAATATTTAGGTTCTTAAAGATAAAAAGCAAAAAAATTGTACACACATGTTCAAGAAAAACATGCTTTATTTGGTTCTTATTTTTTTCCTTATTTTCTTGGTAAATATCATATAATTCTAGATCCTCGTTGTAGAATACCCTTTTAATTATATTTTTTTTGTTCTGATTTAAATTTAATATTTTAATAATAATTTTACATAGAAAAATGGAAAAACTTTTATCATAAAAAAATGTTTGCCTTTTAATTATGTACTGAATCAAGAAATATACATAATTGGAATTGTAAAGCAACTCGTCTGATAGTATTTGTAAGATTATTATTTGTTGGTTTAAGTTATCATCTGATAGCTTGAATATTTTGTACAATATTTCTGAACCTATATTAATATTTATTTGTTCTTTATTCATGTCTAAATGTTCGAAGTTTTTTATCTTTTTTATTCTATGGTTTCGGGTAGAAGGGAGAAAAAAAAAAAAAAAAAAAAAAGGTATAAAAACATTTTCTCCACTTTCTCCATTTTTTTCTTTATAAGGGAATGTTTTCCCATTATGCATGTAATTTTCTCACAATTATAATATTTTATTTTGTTTTCGTCTAATGAATGAAAAAAAATTGTGTAACTACTACCTAATGTGAAAGTTTATCTATTCATTTGTTTTTATCATTACCTGCTTACATAAAAATGAATATCCAGCACATCGATAGGTAGATAGAAGTTCTTGTTGAGGCAAATTTTGTCTTTTCCCTTTGAAAAGTTATTTCTAACATTTCTTATTTTGTTGAAACTTATGTGTAGTAATATTACTAACTGGATTATATGATTAGCATCCAGTCTCGTAAAAGTGCACTCATTTCCCACTATGGTGTGAATTATCTGAAAAAAGGAAGAGTATATAAGATATAAGAGTAATGGAAACAGAGAACCAGGAAATATCACAGGGAGACTCAAAAGGAGTACTTATTGGATATTAATCATTGGATGTTATTATCCTAAGTGTGCCTGCATCCAATGAATGATAACTTAAAAGTGTGAAATGCAAAGTATGTTCAGCATACATCCATTCGGAAAGAACCAGAATGAATATGTATATATATATATATATATATATATATGTATACGTATAACGTGTATGTGCTGATTCCTTCTCCTTTGTGATACCTGCAGAATGAGGAAGTACTTTTCTAAGTGCTCGTCTTCATTTAAGACATAAAATAAAAGATTTATCATTTTTTTCAAAACTTCGACGAAGCAATCATGTATTCCATTTTGGATATGATGCCTTTTTTTGATATTCTTGTATGTTTCTATAGTCCCTGTACCAATACCATTTAGCATGTAAAGACAAGTTAGGGTAACCTGTTTCTGATTATTTTCTTTCACATTTTTTAAATAATTTTCAAGAAAAAAATAATAATTGGATGGTTTCACATAAGAACCAATAAGGTACAAACAGTTCATATAAATACACCAGCGTTCTTCATCTAACTTCTTTTCAAATGCATGCAGCAGATGTGAAATAAAATATGGAATATGTTCTGTTATATTATCTTCAATAAAATAAAATAGTAATAAAATAATTTTTATGTTTTCTAATGATTCCAATTGATTAGTTTCATCCTCTTTAACTTTATATAAACATTTAAAGTAGGCATTTAATATGGTGAAAGATAATTGTTTGCATTGCTTGTTCATTTCGTTGTACGTAATGTTTACTTGTTTTATTTTATTGTCTCTTATAATGTTCGAAATGCGTTTATTACTTTTTAAGAAATTTAAAAGTAAGTTTTGGTAGTACTCTACGGAATATTCATCCTCTTTCATTTCGTCAAATTCGTATTTTTCTAAGGAATTGAAATTTTTTTTTTCCCCTGGTTCATAAGTAAACGTATTCTCCGTGGGATTACTCGAGTTGTTCATTTTCTTTTTATTCATGTTTGAAGAACGGAATGTTTTTTCTTTTTCGTCACCATCAGAAGTGGCAGAAGCAGAAGAAGGATGCTGGTTTCTTTTCTCTTCTTGTGATGCGTGGTTGATTCCACTTTTATCACTACAGAAAGGGGACATGGCTATATCTAACTTGTACATATTTTTCTTTACCAAAATGGAATTACGACAAAATGGATGAAAATAGTATTCTGTTAGCGGCAACGGTAAGGTAAAAGACGTTTTATATGACCATTCAGAATTAAACTGGTAAATAATTTCGTCATTCATATTTTTATCCATATCGAATTTTTTTTTTCTGCATATCAATTGGATGTACAAAAAAGACAGTAATCTAAATATTTTGTAGTTGTCACAACAAGCAGAAAATAAATAAGGCATTAGAAATGTTATAAAATCATTGGATTCGTTAAACTCGTATAGTAATATAAACAGGAATGAATAGAAATTGAATTTTACTTTTACACTTTTATCATTATACAAATTACATAAATAGTTTATATTTACATATGTATGATCATAAAAACATTTTATGGGAATTACATTAGGGTCTTTATATCCAACTAACATTTCGATAATTTTATAACTTTTGGAATTATTATTATTTAAAATTAATTTTGTGAGGGTATCCATGCATTTTATTTTAACTTTACTGTATTTGTTGCAAAGACATTTAAGTAAACAAGTGCTAATGATGTAGTGATAATTGATGTAATGATCTTCTACTTGTTCAATTATCTCTTGAATGAAATTCATCATCAGGCAATTTATTTCGCAACACTGGTCAAAAATACCCACTAAGCACACTCGAATTATCTTGTCAGCATGACTCATAAACTGGGGGAAAAAAAAGAGGAGGCGAGATATGAGTAAGCAAATTTCGTGGAAAAAAAAAAAAGAAAATCAATATGTACACGTATGTATATATCTATGCATGTATGTATCTATGCATACATGTATCTATGCATATATGTATCTATGCATGTATGTATGTAAATAAGGAAAGATACATATAGCAGTATAGGTAAAAATGAAAATTTTTGGTGGAATATGACAAGTGGTAATTGTCTTACAGATTTAAGTACCCCATTACCTACAGGTTAAGCAGGATATATCTCTTACCTTCTGTTTCGAAATAGTACATGTAAGGAAGCAAAAGTACGAGAATAAAAAATATCTAGCGTTTTCATTAACAAGATAGGTATTAAGAATCATAGGCTTATGGTCAAACAATCTAATATTGTCATTAATCTCGTCAATAGGTAGAGTACACTCATGGACATTTAAAATGTTAATTAGACAATCGATTATATATGTAAAATATTTGTTAATGCTATTTTCATTTAGTAGCATCAGAAATATATACAAAACTAGTAGTACATATTTTTCTTCTTTTTTATCAAAGACTAAAAGTAAACAATGGAACATTTTGCTTAACGCATAATCATTGTAATCATTGCTAATGCTGAAGAAGAAAAATAAATCTTCCAAAACAACGAAATTATACTTTTTAATTTCGTATATATATTTTTTTAACAGCTTTTTCTTATCAGCACAGTTTATTATTTCCTTATATTTTTCTTCCTGTACATCATACATATATTCATTAATATAATGTTTTAATGTCCTCAAAAGTTCGTCTCTATGTGATTCGTTAGAAAAGCATAAATTCGAATCTAATGAATTCACCCTTTCAAATTCTACGCCAATTACACCATTAGATTTTTTTTTTATATCACCATCATTAACGTTATTAATTTTAAAATTTTCCTTCCCCTCCTTTAGTTTCCATATCTGTCCTACAACCCCATGTGTACCATTATTTGTTCCGACATTATCCTTAAACCTTACCCTGCTTCCGTTCTTATAATAATGTAATGCATCAGTGATAATGCAGTCGTATTGTTTTGTTTTCTTTTTTTCTTTCGCAGGGTTAAAAATTTGCTGAATCATTTTGTTAACTGGGGTTTGAAAGTGAATTTGTATAACAAAAAAAAAATAAAAAATAAAAAAAAACAATAGCTAATGACTACACTTAGGTATAATAAAAACAAAATAATATGTGAAAAAATGGATAAAAGTACAAAAGTTAATTTATTAGAGAAAAGTGAAAAAAAAAAAAAAATGCAGCTCACGGCATGGAAAAATTCCCTAACGGTATACACATTTTGGGTAAATAAACGTTTTTCCTTTTTCACGTTTTAAGAAACGTTATTCTGTTAAATGTACTTTCGAAACGATGGCGCTAAATGTAACAGTGGAAATGATGTGATAAATGTAAGTGTGCACATAAGTTCTCGCAATATACATTATTGTCCATTTTTGCTTCAGTAGCATCACTCATATGCATGCACGTATGCACATTTTTCAGGAGGAAAAAAAAAAAAAAAGAAACTCTCCCCAATTAACCATTCTTCTATCACTGACGTTTTTTTATTTTGAATCATACTAGCGGTTGGCACCTGGCACCATTTGGTATGTGCAATCTGCACACGTGCATCCCGCTGAGGTACCTGAGTAGTGAACCTGTGAACCCTTGACATGGAAAGCTGCCATTCGTTGAAAACACCGTCATTTTTATTTATTTATTTGTTTCTTTATTTGTTTCTTTATTTGTTTCTTTCTTTGTTTATTTTATTATTTCGTTTATTTATTTTTTTTTTCCTGGTTACATCCAAAATTAGGCTCTTTCCCCCTCAGACAAATTTATCTACGAACACTGTGAATATAATAGTTAGGGTCGTTCCTTCGTGTGTTCCTTGATTTACCTTGGCTCGTTTTGATTTATCAGTTCTTTTTTTTTTTTTTTTCTGTTTTTCACACAAAATATAACCTGCAGTTATTGCAAATGTGTGTGCGATGATATTTAATTGATGCTTTTCCTAAAATATTTATCTAGCCAAGTTTATGAATTGTGGGTAAGCCTACTGCTCATGGGAGTTGAAATAAAAAAAAAATAAATAAAAAGAGAAAAAAAAAATTACACGGAACTTATATATATATATATATATATATGTATATTTGTGCATATGTGCTTAATCAGAATAAATCCCCCCCAAGTAGTGAAATGGTATCTATATACCATGTGAACTATTAGCTCATATAACTAAGGTGTTATTACAATTCATGTAAAAAAAAAAAAAAAAAAAAAAAAATTATGAACTATTTTTTTAAAACCATATATAAATAGCTTTATAAAAATGACTTGAAAATATATAGTATAATTTCATAGCTTTTTTCCCCTTCTTTGCTACACTTCACTCTGCTTAGTTTACCTTTTTTTTTTTTTTTTTTTTTTTTCTTTGCCTTTCCTTACCCTCTATATGAATAAAATATAAAGAACGGAAATAATTAGTATGGACATATTAAAGTTCTACGCAATTTCTACTCCTCTAACTAAGGCTTGCGCTGTTATTTAGTTCACACAACACGCAAATTTTCCACATTTTACACTGTTCCTCCTATGGGGAGGATACATAAAAAACCTTAATGGTCATTTTACACTTTCACACAAATGCCTACAAAAAAAAAAAATGCATAAATAAGAACACACACAAAATGTGTACTATTGGTTGAATTCGTGCTCATGCACATCGCCATATGTCATTTCTTGATCCGCTTTATTTTGTTCTTTTCGAAAAAATGGGAATACAAAACTACTTTTTGAAGTATGTTAAAGCTACTTACATCACTAGGAGGAGATGTGAAATGAGGAAGACTATAGAAAATTTGAAGAACAATATTTATACATACAATAATTACAGCTGTAAAAATATTTTATATCACATGAGTGAAGAAGATGCAAATGATGCAAGCACACATTATAGCGTTAAAATAGATGAGAATGTTGAAAAAATTATGAATTTTATGAACCCCTATCACTTTCCTAAGAGCAGAAAAGCTGCGATGAATTGGACATGTGGAACTAGCAACAAAAAGGAGGATCAAGATGGAGACCACGAAAGGGGAACAATTTCAAATGGGTTCGATGAAAATGTGTCAAATGACTTTCAGGAAAACAGAACGGATACATATGAAGAAGAGAGAAACAGGCGAAAGAATGATAATGTGTATATTTTAAAATATCGAATGAATCATATTGTTGGCAAAAGAGGCAAAAGAGAACAATACAGATACACATATTTGAAATCCCCCTTTAAATATAAATATGCATTAAGACATTACGTTTTTGAAAAATATAAATATCATTTTTATTTTTATAATATAACGCATTTTAACATTCATATAATTTTTAATATTATTTTATCTTCCATGACTAGCCAAACTTCAGTCAAATGTAACATCCATTGGTTTTATCCTGGAAAATATTTATTAGAATCTGAATTTTTAAGGAAGTGTTTTCATACTTTAATCGAAAAAGGGTACAATGACCAGGAGGAGAATTGTGCACTAAATTTCCATGTACACAATAATATAGAAGAAGCACACAATTTTGTAGAGAAAGAAGACGGGATGTTACCCTGCAATAAGTTCGACATCAATTTAGATTTAACAAAATACAACATACAAAATTTGCTACCTATATTTTTTCAAAATAAATTGTTCAGTCAAAATTATAAAAATATATTTTTATTAGAAGAGAAATGTTTCAAACAAATAAAAAGAAAAATCAGAAAAAAAAATTTACACTGGTTTTTGAACAAAAATTCATGTGTTTAGGCTATTCATGGATGGGGGTCGGAGGTGAAAGAAAATACATAGGAATGTCTGCTGACACAAAAATTAAATGCGTATATGTGTTTCCTTAACTCCCGAGCGTCCCCTCCCAAAATACACACTATAAAATTATGAAGAACGTAAAAAAAAGTGCAAAATGCACATACATACACACAAAAAAATAAAATAATAGTGAAATGTGGACGGAAGCAAATGGGCAAAAAAACAAAGCAAAAACAAAACAAAAAATATATATATCGAAAAAACCAAAAAATATATATATATCGAAAAAACCAAAAAAAAGATATATATCGAAAAAACCAAAAAAAAAATATATCGAAAAAACCAAAAAAAAGATATACCGAAAAACAAAAAAAAAGATATATCGAAAAAATCAAAAAAAATATATATCGAAAAAACCAAAAAAAATATATATATCGAAAAAAACAAAAAAAAAAAAATATATCGAAAAAACCAAAAAAAATATATATATCGAAAAAAACAAAAAAAAAAAATATATCGAAAAAACCAAAAAAAAGATATACCGAAAAACAAAAAAAAGATATATCGACAAAACAAAAAAAACGATATAGAAACAAAAAAAAAATAATAAATAAGTGGCTTCAGCATAAATTATATATGACCCTATTTCAGCGTTACCTAAAGGTAAATATCCCATTACATTACCGTTTTTTGAACCTTCCCTTTTGTGTCATTTTTTCCCCTATCATAAAGGATGAATTCTGAAGACAAAGAAAAATATTAAGCATAAAATAAACAGTTATAGTCACATGCATCATTAAAGTACTCGGTTTCGCGTACTACAGTTGATACAGTATACATCTAAATAGTTACTTGCATCATTGCAAATATTCAAAGAATGTATAAATACAAATGGAAGAGGAAACTACCGGAAGTAATGTAAAAGAAGAATAAAATAAAAAAAAAAAAATAGTATTCACAGTTTCTCCTTACCGTTACGTCAGCATTTTGCGAAAATTTTGTGATTGCCTGTTTGTGAAAAGATAGGTCCGTAATCTGAGGAAGGAAATGTGGTGTGGTTGAGTGGTGTAATATAATAAAATCTAGAAAGGTGTAAAAAGCACATTTTTGGAGTTGACGATAGTACAAGCTATTTTTTTTTTTTTTTTTAAACTTTGGTGTGATACATTAAGTGCATCACTTCACCTTTTTAGGCACTTGTTGCTTTTAACGCCCTACCTGCTGGTTTAAGTCGCGTATAATTTGTTGTTTTTCCTGTATGATTTTTTTTTTTTCTTCAACCTTAGCTTCATGATCGTACATTTTTTTCTTCTGACTTTCACATAATTTTTCATTTATAATTTCCACATTTCTAAGTTGCTGAAGGAGTTCGGCGTTTGTCTTAGCCTTGTCATGAAAAATATTAATTTTTTTTTTTATTTCTACTTTCAAATGTTGATTTTTTTCCTGTAAGATTTTTATTTCACTAAAACATTTGCTGGCTTCACTAGAATTGTCTTTGTGAATATTTTCATAATTTAATTTTAATTCGTAAATATATGATAAGAAATGATCTCTCTGGCTTTCCAATAATGCACTTAATAGTTGATTAAATTCGTATATATACATGATTATATTTTTTTTTTCAATTATTTCTTCCTTTTCATTCATGTGGATATTTCCTGTGTACATTTTTTTAAATTTTTTTTTTTCGTTTTTTAAATTTATTAATTTTTTTATGTACACATTACTGCTATAATCGAATACGGAATTTTTTGAAATATCAAAAAAATAATTGTGCATAGTTTCACAGAAATGGTCTTTTGCATGGTCAATAAGTTTTTTTTCCTCCCCTCTTTTTTCAAATGAATGTTTACACGTGTATCTGTCACTTCTTACAAGGTTGTATTTATTGAATGAATATCCTTCCGCTTTCCTTTTCCTTTTCCTTCTTTTGTTCTCGACTTTGTTACTACTGTTTTTTGTTTTTCTACCATGTGCCCAAGGTCTACTTGCTTTGTTTCTACTTCTTTTTGTGCATCCATCATTGATTCTACTTTCGCTTCTTTTGTTCTTATGGAAATTTTTATGTTGAGTTTTTATTTGATTGATTTTTTTTTCCTTCATTTTCTTTTCTTTATTGTTGCCTATTCCTATCATTTTTCTAAATGTGTGTAAAAAATTGAGTGAACAATATTTCACCATTTTTGACATATTTTCTTTTATCCCACGTTTCTGTATGTAAATGAAGTCTTTGGTGCAAGGATCCGACATTTTATCAACCATTTTGTTTTCTATACTCACGTATAATAAGGAATTTATGTCTTTATCCCTTCCATTTTGTGTTCTCAATATTGGATCGGTTTCATTTTTTTGTGCTGTGTTGGTTGTAAAGCATGAAAATTCATTTACCTTTCCCACTTCATATGAAACTCCTTCGACATGTTCCATGGAGTAACTATCCACAAATTGAGTTTTGGAAATTTTATCGTATTTATTTACATCTATCTGGGTGATATCATTCTCCATGTACTTTTTTTCATTTTTTTTCACTTCCAATGAGTCATTAAAATATGTTTTTCTTTTTTTTTCCTCTCCCATTGAAATATAATAATAATGCCACGCCTGGTCGGAATTTATAGCCCCGAAAGGAGATACGATAATATAATTATCTTTTTTTATAAAGAAATTGATAATTCGAAAAAAAATGTACTTAATAATTATTGTAATATGTTTTTTTTTTCTCAAAAGTCTTTTTTTTTCTTTTATCATTTGTTCTTTTAATTTATCTAATCTGTCATAATTAACAGAACATCCAATAAAACCACAAAATAAACAAATTTTCGAATTCTGATTTTTTTCACATATATCACAATTGGCTATCTGATAATTATATTGCTTATACCTACATATGGGACACGATGTAAAGCAACATTTTTTCAAACAGTTAGAATGAAATATGTGATTGCATAAGATATTTATACAAACATTACTAAAAATTGGTTTCCTATTCTTTTTTCTTTTTTTTTTAACTTCATTATTATGCCTTTTGAGCATGCTGTTAACAAAGCGAACAGTGGAAAAATGATAATTACAATCACAACTAGTGTAACTATCCATCGTCTTCAAGCAACAATGACTGTCTTTCATGTTACTGTTGAATGTTTTACCTCCGTAATGGCATTCTCCCTTACAAGAAATATTACCATTACCCTTGCTGCTATTATCACTACTACTATAGTCTTTCTTCCTACATAACTTATCATTTGGTTTATTCTTATCGTAATATATATCGTCATATAATGGAACGATTTCCTTATTCTTTGCAATCGTCTTTTCCTGGGGTAAGGAATCCTTTCGCAAAGGACCTACGTCAGTGCATTTCCTCTTTCTACTGCTGCTATTGACATTCCCACTATAGGCGTTGCTACCCTTTACCACTCCATTCTGTATCTTATTGATTTTAGCATAACTATCGCTGCAGTCCTTAATGAGCATGTCGTTTCTACTATTCTTGCTGGGCATGGGAGAATACTTTATGCTAGTAGTACTCCTTTTCTTTTGATTTTCAAAATTAAAATTGAAAATGTGTGAAATTATTTTGCTTAGATAATCCGAATACAATGGTTCCAAGCAAACTGCACAAGAAAGCTGAAATTTATTTTGTGAAATGAGACAAAGCGCATTAATAAATTTTCTTCTCCATGGTTTTCTAATTTTCTCATTTGTGATATGTAATTCTGATTCTTCTTTCTGCATGCAAAAATGAGGAACCTTCTTTTTTTTTTCTTCAAAAAATGCGTTTTCCTCTATGATCATACGTTGAGTATTCTTCTTTATTCTGGAAGTAACATTCATAGTGATATCTTTCACGATATACACTTTTAATCTTTTTTTTCTTTTCATATTAAAGAAAGTAACCGTTTTCATCTTTTTCATTATTTTCTTTGCATACACATTAAAGGTTAAAAAATATATCATATACTCTTCATTGCTTTTCTTGTTTAAAACTTTTAAAAAAAATATGAAATTGTCCAATGGGTATAGCAACTCTAAAAATTCTGAGGGGGACAAACAGTTTGATACGTTTACGCACAGTAAAACGGATATGACCACTTCACACAGCATTTGTTTACCCTTGTTCAACCCTTTATTCAAATTATAATTATTGTAACTTCCGGAATGACTACCATTAAAACTACTAGGATGACTACTGAGGTGGCTACTATTTTTACCAGTTTCAACCATTGCATTACTACTATTTTCCCTGTAAAAGTAGTAATCCTTGAAACAGCGAATATATCCCGTGATGGACTGAATTTTCGTATTACCACAGTTGTAATTAAATACGTAGTATTTTTCCCTCCTGTTTTTCTTGTCTTTCTTCTCCTTGATCAGTTGTGTTCCTTCTTCCTTTCTCATTTCACACAAGTCGGAAATTATTTTGTAATTTTTGGTTCTGATTTTAATTTTTTTTTTTTTTTTTTTTTTTTTTATTTTCCTTTTTAGGCTTAGAAACATATGCCCCTTAATCAATACATCATAAAAAATGTACTTTTCTTTTTCAAAAAATATATTTTTTGGGTACACATTACAATTATGATTCATATAATTGTTACAGTTCTTATAACTGTTATTCTTATTATTGTTGGCACTAATTCTTTTCTTGCTTATATCAATATATTGCACTTCTTTGTTTTTTTTTATATTCTTCCTTATACTTTTTCTACCATTCTTATTCGAATAATCAGTGTTAAAATTGTTCCTGTGATTGTTTGCAGTCGATGCAAAATAAATACCGTTAAATTTGTTTTTAATTTTGTCTATTTCTTTGCTTATATCATTTACAAATTCGTTTTTGCTGTCTTCTTTTTCCATAAACATATAAGACTTGGGATCAATATCAATATGTGGAAATAGAATACTTGTTTTTTCTTCTATACATTGTTCACCACTAAGCATTAGTAAATCGTTAATATCGTCACTATTCAATATGAGCTTCTTATTTTCCTCCTTTCTTACTTTCTTTGTAATGCTTACCATGGGCACGTTTTTTTTTTGCCTTGGATTTTCTTCATCTGTCTTGCCGCTTATATTATCACTCATGTTATTTGTTTTATCATTCATAGAATCTGAATTCAACCCATTTATAAATCTCCCCACATATGTGACATTTTCGAAACGTTCCTTTTTAATATTACAAGTTTCTGTGTTATTCTTATTTTCCTTTTCATTCACTACAAATTGGTTAGTGTGGTATACCGTTTTGACATTTTCATTTAAATTTTTTTCTCCTTTTTTCTCATCTTCACTAATCTGATCATTTTTCGTATTCGAATTGTTGTCATTATGACCGTTTGTGTTATATCCGATTCTTCTATTTGGTTCTCCCTCATTAAGCAAATCGTCGTTTTGGTCATATGCATTAAATGAGGAATTGTTTTCCTTTTTTTTTCCCTTGGATTTTTTCTTTTTTTGACGTTTTTTGCTCATTTGGAAGGTCGTAAATAAATAAATGAATAAAAGAGGTATAATCAGATAATCTTGCGTAGAGAAAGGGAGGAAAAAAAAAAAAAAAAAAAAGGAAGAAGAAAAATCAAAAAAGTGAATTACGAACTATAAAAAGGGAATAGGAAAGAACTTTATGTTTTGTTATTATGTGTTTGCTTTTCTAAACGAGTTTCGTTTATTAGTCGAACTCCGGGATGCGTAACAGCTGGTATAGAACATTTTGAAAGTATATACAAAAGTGTGATTCTTGCATGTATATAAGAAGCTGCGTTTTAATTTGATTTAAGGATCTACACATGTGTTAGAACTCTATATTTGTTTGTTCTTCAGAGCAACGGTTGCTTCATCTGGAACACAAAGATCTATTCAAGTAGCGGCAAGGACTATGTCAAAAGATTTAAAAGTTAAAAAAATATATATATATCTATAAATGTACATGTACATGCAAATTTTTTTTGATAAAAATCTCATGTATCTGCATTTAATTACATCACATAATAAAGAAGCAGAGTTGAAAAATGTACAATTATGGGGATCCATAAGTATCGGAGTGCTAACTTTTTATGACAAAAAAAAAAAAAAAAAAAAAAAAATGCGCACATTTCATAGGAATGAAAAAGTTCATATTTTCGCCATATGCATAGTGGACCAAACAATTACATTCTTACATTTAAAATAATATATTGGCAAAAAAAAAAAAAAAAAAAATTGTTCGGGAAAAAACTAAAAGCCGTATGAAAAAAAAGAAAAAAAAAAGAATGCATGTGTAAAATAAACCAATGGTGCTACATATAAATTAATAGAATGGAATAAATGAACCACTATTAACTCAAAGGAAAGGATGCTTGAAAGGAGAATTCCTATGATAACACTTTAATGGGAAAATGGATGGTGTTGTCATTCCTACAAATTCTTAAGCTATATAAAAGAACATGCAAACGTGTATTCTGAGTTGTTTAAAAGGGTACATATAACGATAAGGACGGAAATGTATATGGATATTATGAATTATCTATGCACACATATGATATTACAAAATTGTTGTAGCGAAATAAATATCTTTTTGTAAGACGTGAAGCTATATGCTTGTGTAATTTTTGAGAAAAAGAAATAAACACTTCTGTCAAATGTTACACATACATATTCACATTATTCCCCACTCATATATGCACTTAGTTTTAGTAGTCTTCTTTTTTCACACAAAAAAAAAAAAAAAAAGTATGCTCTGAAAAATTTAAGAAGATGAATACTGTCTATAATTGCAAAAAAAAACAAGCTTCCTAAAACATTAAACGAATGTTAATTAAGGAAAAATGTATTCATTTTGTTTGCTCATTTGTTTGCATATTTGTTTGCATATTTGTTTGCATATTTGTTTGCATATTTGTTTGCATATTTGTTTGCATATTTGTTTGCATATTTGTTTGCATATTTGTTTGCTTATTTGATCATTCATTTTTTATTTCCCTTACTATGCATTTTTAGTTTCATTTACTATAGGGATTAATGAAACATTGCTTAAGTATTGACAAGTTACGAATTGTACATAAAAAAAAAAAAAAAAAAAAAAAAAGAAAAGTAAAAACTACACAAATGTGATAAAATAAAAGTAGGAAGAATATATATATATATTACATTTTAAGCATAGTGCTTAAAAGAAGATTAGCTCACATATACCTTACTGCACTTAGAGGAGGAAAAATATGTCTAGTTTCATTGACTTATTTAAATTGGGGGAAATTTACATAAAAACATTTAATCGTATCCTGTTCGAATGAAAGTTAAAATTTATCACTCCCATGAAAAATGTAAAAAAACAAAAAGAAAGGGAAAATATTTGGGAGCTATTCGAGGTTTATTGGGGCGTAGCTATATGACGGGAAATTTAAAAATGTACAAAAACAAGAAAATGAGTAATCGTACAAAATAAAATAAACATATATATATACAACTTCAAAAATGCATAATATGTTTTTGTTTTACACAGTTTCACAGTTCTCTTTATTCCGTTTGATGTACATTTTCGCTTACGTATTTGCCCCTCGTTTATAACCCCCTTAGCTTAACTTTTAATTCGTCATATATTTGCATCAAAAACGTCTTGACATTATGCAATCTCATTTCTGTATCGTCTGTATACATCATCTGCAGCTTGGTTGGTATAGTTGCGTGTATGTCTATGGCCAGAAAGGAAAAATATTCCAAATATAACGAGGTGAAGAAATTTAAATCGTTATTTTTAAAATCGATGGATTTGTTTATGTTAAGAACACTTACATATTCATCAATTCTATCAGTGATTTTCTCAAGATGTTTAAATTTTTCATTTTCTTTCTTATCCCCAATTTTTTCAGTGTATTTGATTTTAAGTTCTAATATTTTGTCATACAAGTTCATAATAATTTTTTTATTCTCTTGTGTTAATTCAAAATTATTAAGTTTTTTATTATTATCAACAAACAGTTCAGCATTCACAAGAAAATCCGTGTTTGTAACATTATAACTGTTTATTTTAAATCGGTACAAATTTAAAACGGATATTTCTCCACTTTTGTCTAATAGGGATAAGTCTAACGGGTGTGCAAGAATTCCTATAGGAAACATATTGTGACTTATGGCAGCTTCGCTTGTATTTTTACCCTTATTGTCAACAAAAATCATAGCTACACAAACATTTTTGTTTGTTTTTATTTTTTTTAAAAATTGAACTTTTTCAATTTCCGAAAATTTAATTACTGTTCTCTCGCCTGGTAAGAGATTCGAATGTTCAGTAATTTTAGAAACAAAAACTGACAAATCAATATTTTTTCTTTCTCTCCATACAAGGAGAAAATTATAAATATTCAAAACATGATTGTTGTCATATACTTTATTTAGATACTTAATTTCATGTTCTTCTAATGTTTTTTCTGTGTCAAAAAATGATAAATCATTTTCATTCATTTTTTTGTCTATCTTATCTTTTATTATTTCTTCATTAACTTCGTTAATGTAATCATTACTGTCCCTTATTAATTTTAGAATTTCTTTTGTAAACCCCCCTGATGGTTTTAGCTGGGTTCCTATTATTGGCATTTTTAATTTTTTTATAATTTCATTCTTTTGATTTTCCATTTTTCCTGAAATTATTTCTTTTTCCAATTGATTGTTAACATCATAATCAAACACATTCTCTTTCAAGGTTTCTTTGTTTATAGATTCTGCTGGTTGTTCATTAGCATTTTCTATTCTATCTGATGCCGTAATATTAATTTCCCCGTTTTTCATTACTGTATTATTATCATCCTTAAACAAATTTCCACTTATACTTTCTCTTAGTACGATTTTTCTTTTCTTCCTATCCCTAACGCCACAGTCCTGGGTAATGGTATAATTTGAATTACTCACATTTTCGTTTTTACTATATTTTAAGAAATGTTCTCCTAATTTATGTTTTTTTACACTTTCCCTTATTCCCTTTTTGTGTTTATACGGCATAAGAACCATATCATGATTTCCTAGATTAGCATTAAATGAGCCCAAGAAATTGTAATGTAAAGTACGTTTCGTCTTTTTACTTTTTGCAAGGTTCAAAAAGGTGAATAAAAGAAGAAGCAACTTGCTACTCTTTAACATAATCATTAAAGTGGGTTGCATATGTACCATTTAATTTTATCCTAATTCACATTCTTTGCATTTTTGTACATTATCCTCTTCAAAAATGAAAAAAAAGAAATGAAGAAATTTGCTTTTTTTTTTTTTTTTTTTTTTTTTTTTTTTGCAACAAAATGTTTACAATGTGCTGGCATATAGTATCATGTGGTCTTTAACTCAAAACAACGTGGTACTTGATAATGCTACACTGCTTTATGTATATACAAATATTGTTCACAAATGTGCCAATTCAAGCTTTTCCTTTATTCCACTTGATGCATCTCTGAAATGTTTTTTTGCTTTTCCCAACGTAACAATCATGCTTTTAAAAATTAGTGAAAATTGTAGCTCTTATTCTTACGCAAGCGTACCAAAAGTATGCTCCTTCAAAACCTTTTGGGATGGAAGGAAAAAAAAGAATAAATTCATCAAGAGTAAGAAAATAGCGTACAACTTCTGAATGTGTAACCCGAACAAGTGAAGCAAAAAAAAATAAAATAAAAAAATAAAATAAATAAAAAAAAAAAAAAATAAAATAAAATAAAAAAATATATATATATTTTTATCTCCACAGGTGGAGAAGAAAAATAAAGTGTAAAGGTGGTGATGATATACACCTAGATTAAAGAATTTCGTATACGCAAATGCACATAACATGTGAAAACGAATAAATATAGAAGAGAGTTATATTTTCATATTTGTCACTTATGCGTTTACATACTGTGCATTTTCATATAAAGGAAGGAAATCTTTTAAAAGATTACCCCTTTGAAGAAAAAAAAAAAAAAGTATGCATGAATCAGGAGAAGAAAATAGCTTAGTAAGTGATACCTAAAAAAAGAAAAAAAAAAAAAAAAATGTAAAATGATTTTTGGCCGTTTTTTTTTTTCCAGTATATCAAAGCAATGTAAACAGAAGAGCATTGTACTCCCCAGGAAAAAAGGGAGGTTGTTCTCAACAGAAAACAAGGCATTACTAAAGAAACGTAAGGGTTCTATGGAGGAGAAGGACATTGTTGCAAATTCACAACCACTTTATAAAAGCTATAAAGGGCACAATTTAAAAATAGTGTATGAAAATGATTTTTTCTTAGTGGTAAACAAGCCTTATGATATAAAATTGGAGAAGGGGAAGTTCGACGATATATACCCCTCTGTGGAAACCCTACTTCGTCAGAAGAAAAACTTGGATGTATTCAGGTAGGTAAAGCAGTCACAAATGTGTCCACTATTCTTATCATTATTTCATTATTTATTTATTATTTTATGATTTATTTATTATTTTATTTTTTTATGATTTATTTATTATTTTATTTTTTTATGATTTATTTATTATTTTATTTTTTTATGATTTATTTATTATTTTATTTTTTTATGATTTATTTATTATTATATTTTTTTTCTTTACTGCTTCGTTATTGTATTGGTCAACTTATTGGAAATGCCTACACTCACACATTTAATGCAGTATGCATGAGAACTAACAGCCCGTCTAATAAATTTCTTTTTATCCATGCAGAATTTGTGGACAACTTGACTACGCTACAAGCGGTCTTTTAATTATAGCCAAGGACAAACTGAGCTGCAATATCTTGAATTACAACATAGAAAGTAAGAATATAGGCAAAATATACTTGGCCATACTATATGGTCATTTACCCCTAGGTGTTGTGCACGTAAATACACCAATAAGTAAAGTGAAAAATGAATTTAAAATGAAATTATGTTATAACTATAATGATTATTATGATAATGGAAAATATTGTTACAGTTTAATTTATCCATATAAGCAATGTTACTTAAATAATGAAAAAGTAACCTTGTGTGAGCTTCGAACCGTCACGGGAAGAAGACACCAACTTAGGTTGCATGCACTTTCTTTAGGAAGTGCAATTGTGGGAGACGAAACATATTTCGAGGACATGATAAGTATCAAATATAAAATTGGTTGCTCTCTCTGCTCAAGTAGCCCAAGTGCTCAGGAAAATGACTTCATCGAGGAACGATCCGTTGAACATTTTTGGAGGGATACTCTTCAGAGTAACTCACAATACGAGGGGGTAAACGGAAGTCGAGACAGTAAAGGCAGTGAAGACAAATGTAATGGCCTAGAGCATCGAGGCAGTAGGAATACACCAGAGAAACCAATAACAAAAATAGACGTAGAACGGATGATGCTGCACTGTTGGATTGTACTACAGAACAATAAAGACAAAAAACAAAAACTGAAAAAAAGTGAAGATATAAACATGTTAGAAAAAAAGATATTTGATTGGGATTATATAATCTGTCAAGACGAAATAAGTAAATATGTTAATGAAGAAGAGAGAACATATGAACAATGCGTTTTAAAAAATAACGATTTAATAAATACTAATTTTATTAATTATAATGCTAAAAATATAAATAAAAATATCAAAAACATAGACAGAAAATTAAGCAAAGTGAAGTATGACCATTCATTGAATAATAATTTCGTATTAGAAAATTTAAATGGATTGAAGCATCCAAATTTGTTGAAACGTGAAAATGTAAGCCCAATTGGAAAAGGAGAAAATGAAGTAAAAAAGGATGACAGTAATAATAAAGACTGTTTGGTTGAGACACAAAGCGGGACACCTACAAAGGACCATAATGACCTGAATTTAAATCCCAACAAAGTGAAAACTATAGATGTGACGGATACCTTTATAAATGATCAAGAGATAGATAAAAACTCCATTTATTTGGTAAAAAATGGAAAGTATGAAAATCCGAATCATTTGTTCGACGATATTCATGACAATGTCAATAAATTTAACTGGGGATAAACTAGAAATGAAAAAAAAAAAATTTAAATATTTACTGTGCCAGTACTGCACTACTGCACCACGTTAGCTTTATGCGTGCATCGATATATCCTAATCTTTTGTATCGACCCTTTATCATTTCAGATATATTTCATTTTTTTTTTTTTTGTAAACTTCGCTTAAAATGAAGCAGTTTTAATCATTTTCCAAATTAAAAAATGGATTATCAAGCAATTCAAATTACGCAACTATCCATAAAATCGATATGTACATGTATATGCACATTTACATTTCTGTACATGTATGTAGTTGTGAACATTTCACGAGACAGGTATGAAAAGCTGTTTGATATGTAGCATTTTGGTTAAAAAAAAAATGAAACGTGTAATAAAGTACATCATTTATATGTGCATATATATTATATACTCATGCACACTTTACATGTGTCTATGGTAGAGATCCGATGGTCTATTCCCATTTACGAATAACAAAATATTTTGTATGTTCTCATGCCCATACATCCAAAAATTATTATTTTAAAATCATCTAGGACGGATAATTCTTCATTAATTTTTTTCCCTTTGCACTTTTTATGTACATCCTTATGTATTTTGTGGAGGTCTCTGCTTTTCCATTTACTTTGCCTTAATGTGTTCCTACTTTTTGCTATAGTTGTCTCAGTCGACTCATTACTTGAACACACCTCTTGTTCGTTTATGCTGCACTCTGAATAAGTTTCGTTAAAGCTCCTATGCTTCATTTTTTTTTTTTTTTTTATCACTTAGTTTTGGAAACTAATACTGCCTATGGGGAATTCAGTAAAAATATACGTAAATGCATGAGTATACATATGTATATTGTAATTTTTTTTTTTTTTTTTTTTTTGATTTTCCCTTTCGCAGGGACTTTTTACAACTGTTTAGATAATTTTTGTCTGCTGATCTTTAAAGAAAAATAAAAAAGTCGAAAAGTGAATTATCAAAACTTTTCTTAAATTATGTGTCTTTCGGCACACATATATAATGCTACATTTAACAAATAATGTTGCTGGAGCATTTTTTTTTTTATTTTTTTACATGTTTATAAGATTACAAAATGGAAGCTTATTTTTTGCTTTCCAAAAGAAAAAAAAAAAAAAAGGCTGACAATTGAAAAAAACTCAAATATGTCTAAAAAATTGTTCAAAAAGGTAGACATCCTGATGAAAAAATTTTCCCTTTTTTTTTTATTCACAACAATTAATGTTGTTTTTTATGCATGCTTAAAAAAAAAAAGAAGATTAACCATTATTTCAAACGTCAAGTGCGCTCTAATTTCTCGACTCTTTCAAAATACGTGAATGAGTAATATCTTCATATCGTAAAATATGCCTTTTTATTTATTTTTTTTTTTCAGTTTTTAAAGGTGAATAGTGAGAGCTGCTATATTTTGCAAAACTCTTTTAATAATGAAAGAAAATACTCAGTAAAACTTCCGCAGCATTGTTGATCATAAAAAATAAGAAAAAAACAGAACAGAATAGGAAAAAAAAAATTATGGGCTTGCAAAAAAAAAATAGATAAAATAAAATAAAAAATAAAAAGTAGTATGAATATATTCAGAATCGATAAATTTGGTCATTAAGAAAAATGTGGAATTCCCTTTTTAGGGGCTCTATATATAAAAAATGAAGAAAAAAAATGTTTCACTTTATGTTAAGGGCATATTATTTATTTTTTTTTTTTTTAGCGTCATTAAATAGTATAACAAAAAAGTACACACGTGAACATGTTAAGAACTGTCCTACATATATGTAAAAAAAAAAAAAGGAAAAAAAAAAAATTCAGAGAAGACAGATATTTTTTTGCCCACATTTGTGAATACTTCTTCATTTGCACCGTGGTATAACAAAGTGGTTAAGACGAGATAATATTAAGGCATTAGATCAAAAATGAAAAGAAAACGCTACTTATTAAAAATTTTTATTTTCCCCCCCCATTTTATGTGAACTTAATCACTTTAAAAATTAACATGAAGTGTAACTAAGTGCTAAGCACTGCTCACTGTGATGAGATGTAAACTGTTTTAAATAGGCACGGAACAAGTGAGAAAAATGTGAGTGTTTCCTTATGGCTAATCTGCATATAACGCATGTATTCATGTATGCATCTACGTGTGTGTAGCTTTTATTTTTTTGGTTAAGGGTAGTACTGTTATCCACCCTTACACTCATTTGACATATTTCTTAAAAAAAACAAATTTCGTTTTCTCAGAATAGAAATTGTTGCAACAAATGTTGACATCATTTTATGGGGATTTTTCTTAACTTTAGAGTAAGGTGAAAAATGTTTACATATTACATTTATACATGCGTATGTACACATTTCCTCTCTCCTCGTATGCTTATCAATCAATCCCTTAGAAGAAACGGCATCCACATGGAAACGTTCCATCGAACTAAATAAAAAAACGAATAATAGCAAAATATGAACACCCTAATACTTGCACATAAATCGATATTCGGAACAAATCATGGATTAGTTTTTTTCCGAACTTGTAAAAAATTCCCTCTGTAAAGCTATGTCGAAATGATTGAGATTAAAATGAAGGAAATAAAGAAGAGAAAAAGAAACAGTAAAATAAAATAACATCAGAGACTTGCCTAAATTTAACACTTCTCACTTTAAGGGAATTAGTTTTTTTTATAATATATCCATTTTGGTTAAAGAAAAAAAAAAAAATTCCCATTTTTGTAAAATATGCCATGTTAACAAGAAAACGGTTTTGTGCCAAAAAAATAAAATATAATTCCTGCATCTACATAGGTATATATTTTTTTCTACCTTTTTACTTGTGGAACGAGGGGGTACGCCTATTTCTTATTTTTATGCATAACACATATGCTATAGTTGTACTGTAATGTGTTACTTATGTGCCCCTAGAAAAAAAAAAAAAAAAAAAGAGATATATATTTACATGCTCAAAATTATTTACCATAATAATTGGCTTATCCCCCATGGATACATTTTGTTTTCACCTCATTTTTCCTTCTCTTCTTCAGCACACATTAAACTTATGCATGTGTATAAGATTTATAGGTATATATTTTGCATATTGTTCATATATGCTGTACGACGGTTTGGGAAAATAGCCCTATTTGACATCACTGTGAACCATGTCAGCCTTTGAAGAATTAGGTTTGCATAGCAACTTGTGCGAACTGCTAGAAAAAAATGGCATAGATTTACCAACTGCTATTCAACAAGAATCAATCCCACTAATTTTAGGTGGTGGGGATGTATGTGCATCTGCCGAAACGGGAACAGGTAAAACATTAAGTTTTATTATCTCATCCTTGCAAATAGTACATGAATTATTCAGGAATATAGGAACATTCGAATGTAATAATGAAAATTCGGTTTCAGCCAACAATGTAAGGGGAAATAAAGATAATGATGAAAGTACGATTGGAGTAGGAAATAAAAAGGGTCTAGTTATGAATATAATAAATAGAAGCAATTCGAGAGTGACACTAAATAATGCTCTTAATGAATGTATATGTAATAGTGATTATTCTAACTCTTTTGAAGAAGTAAAAGTAGAATGTGAAATTATCAAAGGGATGTATGCCTTTGAAGTTGAAATATTAGGAAGATGTTTTCTTAACGTTGGATTTTGCCCATCAGTACAAGAAACATTAAAATATAATTATACATACTGTAGTAATGGATGTAAGTATAACAATGGTAGACAAGAAAATTATGGCGATTTTTTTTCAACCAATGATATAATAACTTGCTTGATAAATAAAAATTCAAATATAATTGCTTTTAAAAAAAACGGGAAATTCTTAGGAAATGCTTTTAAAATATTTTATAAATATAATGATTTGCCTTTTTTCCCATACATATGTGGTAAATATTTTCACATCAAATTACATTTTGCAAATTTGAAATATGCAGATTCTTCATACAAAGATTTGAATGAAATTGTGAATTCAAGAGAAGAAAATGACACATGCGAAAGGAAAGTATACTACTCTAGTGGAACAGGATGTGAAACAAAATCAATGATACATGAAAATAAACATATATTAAGCATTCCGACTAGTACCCCGAAGACGGAAGAAATGAATAAAAAGAAATTGTATTGCATAGTCTTATGTCCTACGAGAGATTTAGCTATGCAAACTTATAACAATTACCTGACGTATGCAGAATCTTTTAGTAACGCTTCTATAAATATTGGATTATTAGTAGGGGGTGAACAGTTAAGTAGAGAAAAACGGAATGATCATCGTTACAATAATATCCTTGTGTGTACTTGTTTTAAACTTATGGAATGCATAAAAAAGAACACAATAAATATGAGTGATATAAGGATGCTAATTTTGGATGAAGCAGATGAACTTATAAATAATGATGAAAGGTCTGTTCTTGAAATAAAAGATACATGTATAAAACACAGTCATCATGTGCAGACATGTTTCTTTTCAGCCACATTACAAGATAAAAATGTAAAAGATTGTATAAGCAAAATTACAAACAAACCAATTTTCGTTGATCTAAAGTATGGAAAAAATAGCATTCCCTCACATATATATGTGTGCATATATTATGTAAACAATAAAAACACAAACATATGTTATAAAAAAGAAAATAGTAAAGAAAAAATTTATGATGATATAATTTTTAATGAGAAATTACACTCTATGAATTGCGAAACGTTATATGAATATACTGATAAAGTGCATTTATTAAGTACATCAAAAAATGAAAAAGAAAAAATTTCGCTTGATATTAAAATTAATAAATTAAAAAAATTAATTCATATAATTAACGTTTTTAATATGCAAAATGGTATAATTTTCTGTAGAACAAATTTAGACTGTGATAATTTATACAACTTTTTAAATCATGTTGGTGATGGGAAAGCATATAAAGGTACTGTCGAAACGATGAAGGAAAACAAATATTCTTGCGTTATTTTGAAAGGGAAAATGTCTAATGTAGAAAGAAAAAATAACTTGGATGCTTTTAAAAAAGGAGAAGTGCGTTTCTTAATTTGTACCGATGTTGCAGCTAGAGGTATTGACATTCAAAATTTAAGATATCTAATTATTCTTACTTTGTCTGAGAATATTAATGCTTTTTTTCACAAAATTGGAAGAGTAGGAAGAGATGGAAAAAATAGTTTATGTATTGTTTTAAGTTCAGAAAATCAGGAAGAAAAAGTCTGGTTTCATACATGCCAAAGCAGAGGAGTGAACTGCTTTAACAGAAATTTAAAAGAAAATAAAGGATGTACTGTCTATATAAAAGAATCTGAATATATTAATAGCATTAATAATATGTTGGAAATACCAATGCATGTGCTTGATCCTAAGTATTACTATGCAGAAAATGTTGTAGACCCATTGAATTATTTGAAAAATAATCCCGTTTCTAGCAAGAGTAGGAGAAATAAAAATCAAAATGCAAATACCATATTTTCTGAACCTGCCCATACGGATGTGATAGGGAGCTTTGCCTCAAATATAGAAAATATTAAAAAATTACAAAGTGTAATATGCTACAGGTATTACGAATCTGTCAACTTCACGCTATAAGGAAAGACATATCTCCTGTCTTACATAACCTTGTCAGTTGTTCCTTCTCCTAAATTTTTTCCCCCATATACAAATTCCATGCATGTGTTTTTATAATTTCCACATGTATGAAACACCTTTCCCGTCGGAAAATGTCGTCATTCATTAGGGATATAAATTGAAAGACGAAAAAGAATTTTCACTTCCATTTAGACGTTCATTTAGACGTTCATTTAGACGTTCATTTAGACGTTCATTTAGACGTTCATTTAGACGTTCATTTAGACGTTCATTTAGACGTTCATTTAGACGTTCATTTAGACGTTCATTTAGACGTTCATTTAGATGTTCATTTAGATGTTCATTTAGATGTTCATTCAAACGTTCATTTTAATTTTTGCTTTTTTTTTTTTTTTTTTCATGCGTATGTAACTAACAGCAAAGTTCATGCTCATTTGTGTAATCCCATTAATCGGCGTACTTCTCATGGCAGCATAGGAATTCATATGATATTGTGAAAAATGAAATAAACGTTAAAATGGTGAAAGAAAGAATTATAAAAAATATATATCAGCTGAAGAGAACATGCAAAGAAATGTTACTCAATTTTGTCCTAATTTTTTGCAAAGGTAAAACTTTTGCTGGTTAATAAAGCAGAATAAGATGTATTCGTATGTAGAAAAATGAATATTTGACACGTTCATTATTTTTTGTTTTGATCCCTGTTCAGTTTTATAATTATCCCTATAGAGTTCCTATTATTCTATGCTAATTGTACTGCGATTTCCCATTTGCATTACGATTGATGATGATGAACAACAACGTCTCTGACCTCCATACTTTATATCGTGATAGTTGAGCTTTTTGCGACAATTTTTTACAAAAATGTAATTTGGTATGATTCTGAATTATACTTACAAGTATTCTTTCATCTCGTCATTGTAACTAAAAAGCGTATTTTGCGATTGAGGGGGTTACCATAATTTGCATTCCAAAATTATATGCCCATTTTGTTTCCTCTTTTTTTTCGTTTTTTCCTTTTTTCCTTTTTCCTTTTTCCTTTTTCCTTTTTCCTTTTTTCTATTTTTTTTTTTTTTTTTCTTTTCACTATATGGGTGCTTTTTTTATAATTTTCCAAGAGTATTTCATTTCGATTTTTTCCAAGTTTCCTTTTGTTCTCCCAGGGGAAATATATTTATTTAATTCTACAATTTGGGAATATGCTTTTCATTCAGAATAGGGAAACAAGAATATTCACCTCATAGCAACTAGGGAGATATTTCTTTGAAGGACGAATGTGCCCATTTAAGTGTTTTTTTTTTTTTTTTTCCCTTTTGCCAGAATCCGAGCACATTTAACACACTTTACATGTATTTATTCAACCGCACGGTACATATACATTCACATACATACGAACACTACGAATGGATATGTTTTTATATTGCTTATATGACACCTATTTCAGGTATCATTTGATAAGTAGAACCTTTAGCACATAAAATACCACTATAACATACTGGAAATATACATGGTCAATGATGAATTCATTAGTTAACTCAAGGGGAGGCATAAAAAGCCTAGGACCCTTTAGGGCTACATTAAGCCATCACAGACAACTGTTTTTGAAATTCCAACAAGAGGCACAATTCTCATTATTTAATAATGAAGAAAAGAAACCCAAAATAAATAGTTCACATATTAGTAGCAATACAAATTTCATTGAATTATATCATAATTTGGTAAAAACAAACAAAATAGAAAGGGATCCCTTTCAGTACAAATTAGTTTTAATTCTCCAGGTACGTTTTTAGGAGTGATATGAAAATACAAATATGTAGGAAACCCATGTGAATTTTGATATCCAATACATTTTGTAAGTTCATCATCCTGCCTCATTCATCACGTGTTTAAAGCAGGTGTGTATTCTTCATTTTTATGCAAAAAGTAAAAGTCTTCTATTCGCACTTTTTCCTTACATAGCTATTTTTAACTTTCTTACACTATGGATATAATAATATGTACACACTTGGTATGCACATGGTGCATACCATAGACAAACACAAGACCTTTGCACTATCCAAAATTTATATCCTAAATAATTTTGTCCACTTTTTAACCCTAAAAATATGCAGTCCTTTGAAAATAATCTGAACAGTTACTATAACAATGTTGAAAAAAATCTAGCTAAAAAGGAAACTCCGAAGAAAAAGTTCTTTAGCTCATTTTTCGGAATGAAGAACATAATTCAAGAAAAGGATAAAGAAGGAAATAACCAAGTTATAGATGAAGAAGAAAATGTAGAAGAGTTTGCAGATGAAAGGGAGCTTGAGAATTTTGAGAATAGTGATAACTTTTTTATATATGAAGGAAACAGAAATAATGCTGAGGTAGAAAATCGACTGAAATATAGTAGTATACAAAATGAGGAATATTATCTCAGTAATAACAACATGTTAATTGAAGAAGAAAATATAAAATATATCAGAGGTTTATATGTTTATGGAAGTGTAGGAAGAGGTAAGACTTATTTTTTAAATTTGTTATTTGATAGAATAAAATTAGGAAAACTAAAAATGCATTACCACAATTTTATGCAAGAAATACATAAATGTTTTCATGAAGAAAAATTAAATAATTCAGAAGATGCTATAAAAAGTTTATCGATAAAAATGAGTAAGAAATATAAATTAATTTTTATTGATGAATTTCAAGTAGTACATATATCAGATGCTATGGTTATAAAGTCATTATTTAATCACTTATTTTATCGAGGAACTGTATTATTATGTTCTTCTAATAGGAATCCCATACACCTCTATCATAATGGATTAAATAGGGAAAGATTTATACCCTTTATAAAATTATTGTTTAAATTTAATTATATATTCGAAATTAACAAATATCACGATTTTAGACTAAGAAATAATGATACGGACAATCAGATTTACAACATCCCAACAAAAAAATTTGAAGATATTAAAAATATATGTACTGATATGTATTGTAAAATGAACAATAAAGATATGAACCATGTTAGGGAAATAGAAAAATTTAATGAAAAACTTTCCGTGTCTGATTTTAAAAAATGCATTGTACCGTATAGCTTGAATAATTATGCTATATTTTCTTTTCAAGAATTATGCGGTCAGAATATTAGTATAGAAGAATTTAATGCAATATCAAAAAAAAACCACACGTTATTTATTTATAATATTGAAAAAATGAATGAAGAAAGCAAAGGAAATGAAATGCGAAGATATATTTTATTAATAGATATCCTTTACGAAAAAAACACAAAAGTTTTTTTCTTCAGTAATATACCCATTTTCCAAATTTTTCAAATAACTTCTATTATTTCGTACTTCCAGACGCTCATTGAAAGAATGAAAAAAAAATACGACAGTTTTAATAGTTTAAAAAAATCTTTAAATGAGTACCTAAAGTCTGAAAGTTTTAACAAAGAAATTTTTATCAACATTGTGTTACATTTTGGAATGGACAAGGAGTCAGTTATTTCATTTTTTTACTTTCTCTTCTTTGTCTTCTTCATTAATATGTTTCATTACATCCTAATCCGTTTACTTTATTTTATTCTATTTCATTTTACTTTATTTTATTCTATTTTATTTCATTTTATTTTACTTTATTTTATTCTATTTTATTTCATTTTACTTTATTTTATTCTTTTTTTTTTTTTTTTCCTAATTAATTCATCCCTATTTACTTCTCACCTCCCCGATACACCTTACAGAATAGGCAAAAAGATATTCGATGCAATAAATTTCAACATTAACAAGGAATACATACCTATAGAATATTTAAGGTACATATATTTTTGAGCCTTCTTTGAGGAGAAATAAAGAGGTGTATATTATATTAAGCCATACACTAACACTCACCGTGCACCACAAAATGCACATGTGATGCAAAAGATGCGAATCTATACGTGAACAGAAAATTCGTACATCCAAACGTCACTATGAAAATGTTTGTGCTCATGCAAAAATTTATATTTCCTACCAACTGCAGACACATTTTGGCATTTCACATCACAAATTATGAAGTTGACGTAAAGAAACATCTGAAATATGTGGAAGACAAAAATGTCAAGTTGGAACCAATCCCTTACATGCTATTCGAGTAATAAAAATAAAAGCTACCTATTTTGTACCCCATCCAATAACTCATAATCACTATCCACACATACACATCCACATGATGATGATTTTTCTTTACAGTGAAAATGAGATTGACACATCTCAGGAAAATTCATTTGCTTCAATGAGGACATTGTCTAGGTATGTGTGCACGATTATGTGCGATAAATCTGCCCGTTCATCGAAAAGTCTGTTGGATATTAGCTAATTTTTTTTAGGATCTAAGAAAGTAGCTCGTAAAACAGGAACATTAGATGGACATGGTGAAAGAATCACTGCTTTGATCATATTTACTTTCTTTTTCTGAACCTTTGGAAATCTTTTTTTTTTTTTTTTTTTTTTTCTTTTTCATTTCGGTAGAATGAAGCATATGAGCACTGTAGCATACTTGGAGAAACACAAGAAAATATATGAACATAATAAGTAAAATAAAAAAAAGCACATATACATGTGCATTTTCTTAAAACTGCTTAAACGCAAAAAAAATTTTAAAATTCCATATACAATGGTGTGTACCATAATAATACTACATATCCCGTATTTATCAGTGTGTTTTTTCGCATTATTGTTTCAAGAAGTTATAAAGATCATTTGATTTCCAATTTGTATTTTTTCCCTGAATTTATGTTTAAAGTTGAAAGCCTTTTTTTGGTAGAAGTTTTGAGGACAATTTTTGGGATTTTTTTTTTTTTTTTTTTTTTTTTTTTCACTGCTTTCCTCACATACATGAATGCATTCCTTAAGAAAACATTTTCCTTTTTAATTTAAAAAAAGAAGACATTGTTATAAATCATATCAGTGCTTATACTCAATATAATCACATCTTTTTGTGTGTAACTCCATATTTTAATAAGAACTTTGTAATAATGAAAAATGTACATCTGTAGCAACAAAATGGCATAACGGATATTGTATTTAATTTTTTTGGCCACTTGATATTTTTTTTCATATATGTCCCCTTGCTCCGTTCCCCTTGTCTACCTTACTTTTGTCACCTTTTTTTCCGTGTTGTACTGGAAGTCAAACAAAGACAGGGATGAAAAGGGATGTTGAAAAAACTCAAGTAATAAACAGTGAGGAAGCGTGATGTCTTAGAAATCTCACATCTGCCATGTTCTTATGATCTATTAGCTGTTTCTGCACTTTTGCACGGGGGGAAATAGTGGAACTCCCGGTTGTAGTAGTGGCTGTGGTAGTGACATCCATGTCGAGATCACTGAGCTAACTAATACGTTTCCTTTCATCTTAGCGCAAAGTGGAGGTGGAAAAATTATAATCCATGTTTTTATCCCCATTTTTACGAGTTTTATCAAAAATATTTGTCCAGAATGAGATGAAATTTTTTTTTTTTTTTTTTTTTTCTTCATTTTTGTACAAAATCAGGGAAGGTGCACAAAGGAGAATTCCAAATGATACAAAAAAAAGGAAAACAAAAAGGATAGTAAAAAGGTAAACAAAAAAGAACGAAATGAATCGGACAAAAAAGGAAACAAAGGATTACGTTACATTGTTAAGTTAGACTCAGAAGAAGAAAATAGTAATAAGAATAATACAAATAGAGAGAAATATAAACATACAAAAAAAAGAAGCAACAAAAGACGAAGCTTATCTGTGCTCACACCTAATTATGAAAAAGACATCATAAATAATATAAAACTTGCTGATAAGTTGTACAAATTAACGGTAAATCAGAGCTCAGGAGAATCGGAAGATGAAAATAATAAGAAAAGAAAAAATTCGAAAAAAGAAAAAAAAAATGATTGGAAAAATAAAAAAAGCAAAAATAGGAGAAGCTTAAGTTGTGATAATTACTACTCGGATCGTGCGAGCAATAAAGAGAAAAATAAAAAGGTTGATATAAACATTAATGAAGTTCAGACAAATTACAAAAATAAAAACATAAAAATTATTTATGACCATGGGAATTCAAAGAGAATAATCGTAAGAGGAAATAGAAAGAAGGGCGGCAGGTGTGACAGAGCAACCGATGAAATCGCAAGTGAACACCATAGCGAAAATGAACTTGGTGATGAAAGCGAAGTGGAAGAGGAAAGCGAAATGGAAGGTGAAGACGAAATGGAAGAGGAAAGCGAAATGGAAGAGGAAAGCGAAATGGAAGAGGAAAGCGAAATGGAAGAGGAAAGCGAAATGGAAGAGGAAAGCGAAATGGAAGAGGAAAGCGAAATGGAAGAGGAAAGCGAAATGGAAGAGGAAAGCGAAATGGTAGGTGAAGACGAAATGGAAGAGGAAAGCGAAGTGGAAGAGGAAAACGAAATTGATGACGAGGACCATTACAAAAGAAAACGAGGTAATAAGTATAATGATCGAGTGAGAAACAAGTCAGATAATCGCAACCATCTAATACACACAAAAAAAAATTGCATAGATAGAAGAGAGCGAAAAAAAGGAATGAAAAATGCCAAAGAGAAAAGAACAAAATGTGTAAAGAGTAACTTCACAACGCTAAGTGATAGCTATTGCAATGAAAATACGAAAAAATATATCAGAAAAGTAAGAAGAAAACTTTCTACCCCTAAATTCGTGAGAGACAGAAACAGAAAGGAGAGTAGGGAACCGACTGAAAGAAAAAACAAAAAGGAGAAGATCTATGAGAGAAGTGTAAAAAAGGAATATTATCCCATAATGTATGAAAGAAAATATAGTGAAAATAAAAAAAATTTTGATGACACAGAATCTTTTAATAAAGGAATGGATAGAAGTAGTAAAATGTTAACATACCAATTTTTAAGCACAAGGAATGACGAAATGAAAACTAATTTTTTTCTTACTATTAAGGATATTGTATTTAAGGTGCATCTAAACTTACAAAATATTAAAGAAATATTAAAGAATAAAAATGATTACATAACAAGTATAGTAGATTCATCATACCGTAACATAATAGAAAATCTAAAACGGAATGAAATAAAAAAAGACAATTTCTACAAAATAGTTTTTTATGACTTGTTTAATTTGTTGAATGAATTCATTATGGTAGATGATTATACCAAAAAATTTTTTTTCAGCATTGAAACAGATGTTAGGAAGAGATGTTTAGAAAATATTAAAAACGAGTTTTACAATTTTATCAACAGATATTTGCCCCCAGGTGAGATTAAGAGTGCATACAATTCGACTAGAACTAACGAAATGAATTCGCAGGACATGCACAAGCGCATCATGAGCAATCATGAATCCGTAAATAAAGAGGAAAAAAATCTCTACACTTCCTTGTGTTCTTACAATAATGGGGAACGTTTCGACATGGTAGGCAACAATTGTGATACTTTCAGTGGTTGTGGATTCAATCGCAGTAGCAGCAATATGGTGTATAACACGGGATCGAATAGAAAAAACTGGTTACACCTAAATAACTTGCAACATAACGAAAATGAAAGAAACGAATTCATAAAAATAGAAGGAGTGGGAAACGATCTCGTACTTAAACTAAAGAAGTCAAGCATTCTGCAAAATAACAAAGAACAGGATGATATTGTGGAATATTTAAAGAATATTGTAAAAAATGAAAAAGAAAAAAATATGAAATTAGAATTAGAGTATGATGAACTAAAACAAAAATATGAATTGTTGAAAAAGAAAAGAGAAGAAGATATTCTTAAGGAAATGAATACATCTAAGAATAGTGTAAAGGATGAAGAAAATTTTTTTAAAAAATTTTATCAGAGTCAGTCAATTATAAAATTAGAAGATAAAATACTCGAGGACTCGTCTAAAAGAATTGTGGATGAAAATTTAAAGCTGATCAAAATAAAAGAAATAAACGAACAAAACAAAAAGGAAATAGAGAAAGACATGCACGACGCCGACGTGAAGAAAAAGGAAATAGAAAAAGACCTAAAAGACATCGAAGTGAAGAAAAAGGAAATAGAGAAAGACCTAAAAGACATCGAAGTGAAGAAAAAAGAAATAGAAATAAACATGGACACACTAGAAATCAAAAAAAAAGAGATTGAACTTGAAAACGAGATGCTAAAAAAAAAAAAAAATCAAGTAGAAGTTGAAAATGAATTAATAGAACAGAAGAAGAAACAACTTGAGGACGAAAATTCTACGCTCGATGATAATAGAAGAGAAGTCGATAGACAAAATGATTTGATTAAAGAGAAGAAAACGGATTTAGAAGAAGCAAACAAATTGTTGGAGGAAAGGCAGAAACGGATGGAAGAAGCAGACAAACTGTTGGAGGAAAAGCAGAAACGGATGGAAGAAGCAGACAAATTGTTGGAGGAAAAGCAGAAACAGATGGAAGAAGCAGACAAATTGTTGGAGGAAAGGCAGAAACGGATGGAAGAAGCAGACAAATTGTTGGAGGAAAGGCAGAAACGGATGGAAGAAGCAGACAAATTGTTGGAGGAAAGGCAGAAACGGATGGAAGAAGCAGACAAATTGTTGGAGGAAAGGCAGAAACGGATGGAAGAAGCAGACAAATTGTTGGAGGAAAGGCAGAAACGGATGGAAGAAGCAGACAAATTGTTGGAGGAAAGGCAGAAACGGATGGAAGAAGCAGACAAATTGTTGGAGGAAAGAGAGAGACGGGTGGAAGAAGCAGACAAATTGTTGCATGAAAAGCAGAAACTGGTGAACGTGGAAGACATATTACTGAACGAGAAACAAAGAACGATGCAAAGGAAGTGCACTATAATGGAAGACAAATTAAATCAAATGACACAAGAATGCATAACATTAGGGGAAAAAGGTTTTCAGTTGCATATGGATAATATAGAATTGAAGTCTAATGAGGTAAAAAGTGATATAGACAAGGATCAGAAGGACGCCATTAAGACAGATCAGAAGGATGGAATCAGAGATGATCCCACAAGAAGGGAACATGAAGATAGTCAGGTGCCATCTATACAAAATAATAATTATAACCATATACAAGATAGGGAATATGGCATGAATAAACGTAGTATTTCCACGCTAGATAGATCATCAATAGAAAATATTGAAAAGGAAAAAAGTCGTAATAACACTAGTATCGAAATGGAAAAAAAAAGAAACAGTGTTTTGTCTTATTTAGGAAGTACGAAATTTTCTTTGAAAGATATTTCAAAAAGGGAAGAAAATGTATTTTCGACAATTAATACTTCCCCAAATGCCCCCCACTATGGCACTGCTACTATAAGCACAAATGATGATCATCTTATATTAAACGATAAAGACTATTTAATGAAGAATAATGAAATTATAGAACGAGAACAATACCTTTTAAATATAGAAGAAAAATTAAATAAAGAACGAGAGCAAATTTCCCAACAGATTAATGAATTAAATGTATTAAAAGATGATATTTCCAATCGAATGGAAGCATTGAAAATACGGGAAGACGAAATTTGCAAAAAAGAGGAAGAATTAAAAATGAAAGAAACATACTTGCGAAACCTGCAGAAGAAAAACGAGGACAACACAGAACAGACAGGACTATCAATCATACATTCGAAAAAAGAAACCCTCTCCTGTAATTCAGAACAGATAAACATATCAGACATAAATATACAGCAACAGTGCAATTCATTGCATTGTGGTACTAATTCTGATGAAATAAAAAATCCGAAAATTATTTATGAGAAAATGACCCAACTTGAAAATTATAACAGAATAAACAATCAAGCGTATTGCGAAGAAGATGAATTAAACGAATTAACAAAAATTGAGAATAGCAAAAATTTGGAAAGTAATAATTCTTCACATGATAAAGATAATAAGAACAGTAACCTCGTTAAACTAGGAACTTTTCCTTCATCATATGATCATAATTCGCAAAAAGACTGCACTAGTAAGAACCTAGAAGAAATTAAAAGCAATCTAAATAACGATTCGAATGAAATAGAAAAATGTAAACGCTTTTTAAAAAGTAGAGATTCAGAATATGCTTCAATAATGCTGGAATTGGAAAAGCAAGAAAATGAAGAAAAATGGAACGGAGGTGTTATATACGAAATGAGTAATTCACAATATAATTCAAAAAATGAAGATTTTGTTTCTAATAATGATAATACCCATGTTGCTGGATTAAGTGAGAAAAACGATAATTCTTCCTTGTCGCACGGCTCTGGAAATGATGCTATGGGTTCTCTGCCAAGAAATGGCAGCATAAAGGAGTCGATCTTGTTTTCAGGCGTCTCGTCTGAGCACAATAAGGTATTATGCATTGGAAATACATAAAAATAGGGAAAGTAAAAAAAAAAAAAAAAATTAAAAAAACGTGTAACGAAAAACAGAGAATAACATTATAACTTAATACTTAAAGTGTAAATTTACGAATGAATAGAAAATCTTATATGAACTCAAAAATATTAACAAATATAAAGTATTAAATATAGGGAGCACATAAATAGTTATAAAAGTAGAATCAAATAAATAGGCAACTAGAAAAAGAAAAAAAAAGACAGTGCTTAATTTGAACGCAGATATATTCCATGGGGGAATAATGGGAAAATAGGAGCACTGATTATTCCGTTCTATATTTGGAATAATAAATGTGCTTCCCAGTGGATCTCCCTATGTTTATAAATGAATAACTAGGTGTTTGTACATGTACATATATATATATATATATATATATATATATATATATATATTTAATGACACCATGTTTTGACCTTCGAATGTACTCCAAAACACATTGGTGTTCATCTTTTTTTTTTACAGAATAACTCAGACGTGAGTGAATTAAATACACAAAAAACGATGAAAAATGTTATTAGCAGAGAGATGATAATGTTATACAGGGAAATAAGCAAAATAAAGGAGGAATATAACAAAAGTATCCTTAAAAAAAATGAATTTATAGGAGGCCTGTTGCATAACTTGTAAGTATATTGTACATACACATATGTATTACACGTACATATGCGTGTACTTTTTTCCTTTTTTTTTCTCCTTCCGTTATACATGCTATATAGTAAAAATTCCTTGAGTTAAATGGGAAGATTTTGCATGAACCTGTTAACCCATGCCAAGCTATAATATGCCAAACGTACAACAGGGATTTTCCTACACATGCTTATTTACACGTGTACTCATGATAGAGATAAAAATGGGGAAGGAAATTATGTGCCCTACCTGAGTCTTTGTTTTTTTTTTAAATTAACCTATGTAGCACATAATGTTATGCCTAATGGAATGCTTGATTTAAAAGGAGAAAAAAAAAAAAAAAAAAATTCCTATATTTCGACTGCTGAACACATGCAATATGAAAAATATAAAAGAAATGCTTACCAATTTGCCCTCTCAGTTTTAACGAAATGCGAAACAACTACAAGTTCAAAGAAAATTTGTACCTGAAGGAATCGAGTAAATATCAAAACCTTATTAACGATAAAGAATGCTACATAAAGGAACTTAAGTAAATATATATCTTCTCGTTTTCACCCATTAATTGCTTTTATCATATATGATTTTCCCGTGTTTCCCTCTGGCTAGCATATATATAAACGTGATATTTGGCTTATAAGCATTTATCCACATTCAACCATTCAAAAAAGAACATTCATTTATTTATCTACACTCTTTCCCTTATTTTAATTCATCTTCTCCTTCTTGTACAAGAAGGGCACGAATTAATAATGCATCACGTTAACAAAAGTTAAATGCTGAAACCTCGCTTCTTACATTTTTTTCTCCCACGTGTTTTCTGTTTACCGTTTTTTTTTTTTTTTTTTTTTTTTTCCAAATAGAAACGCGTTACAGGAAAAAAAAGCGAAAGAGGTGTCTTACAAAAAGATGCTATTAAAAATGAATCAAATAAATGACGCTTATAAATTGAAAAATAAAAGAAGTTTATCAACTGTAGAGATGTTGAAACAAGACATAAAGCTTTTAAATCAGGATGTTTTAAAGAAAAAGGAAATGGTAAGCTTTGTATAATTGTGGCTATATTTTTGTATACGTGCTTATGTAAATATGTGCACACCTGATAATAAAAAGAAAAAATAAAATAAAGTAAAATAAAATAGCATACATATTTGACCCTATGAGGAAGAGAACATATCCATTATATGTAGAATCATAATATATGCATGTAGACCACATTTGCATGCATGAATACTCAAGCACATGCGTGAATTAAATATTCCCTATGGGAACACTCAAAATGCATGTACACATATGCATAGTATGAACGCAAGTATATACTATCCCTAACATATACTTGCGAAAAAAATGGCGTCTTTGATATATATCACATGAATTTTTTTTACGTGTGTTTACGAACATATCGCTGTGTATATGTACACATATATATATATATAATCATACTTACATATATGCTTAATATGCTTACTTTTTCTTTAAGATTAAAAAATTTGAAGTTGCTCAGTAATTTGGTGGAACTTAAAAAAAAAAAAAAAATCGTGATTTTTAAAAACATGCAAAGGGCGTAAGCTAAAATAACCATACACTTGAAGGCTGAACTTAAAAAAAATGCATTTAATTTCAATTCAGTTTTAATTCAAGATAATTCGATTCAATTCAAATTAATTCAACTTAATACAATTAAATTCAATTCACGTTGTTTCCCTTTAATTCAATTCACGTTATTTCATTTTACTACAATTCACGTTATTTCATTTTACTACAATTCACGTTATTTCATTTTACTACAATTCACATAATTTCATTTTACTACAATTCACATAATTTCATTTTACTACAATTCACATAATTTCATTTTACGTCAATTCACGTTATTTCATTTTACTTCAATTCATGTTATTTCATTTTACTTCAATTCATGTTATTTCATTTTTACTTCATTTCATGTTATTTCATTTTACTTTATTTCATGTTAATTCACTCTATTTCACGATAATCCAAAATACTTTATTTCATTTTAATACAACGTACTTTATTTTTAAACAATTCAACTTAATTCCATTTAAAGCAATTTAACGTGCATCAATTCACCCTACATCAACTCATCACATATCAATTTCATCCAATTCAAATTAAATTAAAATATTACCGATTTGTGTGAGCTTACAAAACTTGAGTTTTCCAAATTATCACGCCTATCAAACAAACAATCAATATATTGCGTATCATTTTGAAGTGAAGAAACATAGCTGCATTTTTTTAAATTTATACAGTGCAAACATACTTATGTACAAGGAATTATTTGTACATAGGCTTGAATAGAGAATCATCGAATTTTCAAGCACACTTCAGTTTTATATATCTTACGTTCGCATCCCCACCCCCAGTAATATACATTCACACACATATATATATGTACATTTACAACACATAGCATCGGCTATTCCTTTTTGGAAAATGTAAAATAAAAAATAAACTGTTTTTACCCATATGCACGCCTTTCAATGAATAGAAACAAAACAAAAAACATATTTGTTTTAAAAAAATGAAAAAAAAATAAGTCTACATCACATATTACCCATATTTGTACACATAAATGCCATATATAACATGTTCTGGAGTGGAGGATATTTCATCTTTCAAACGAATATTTATTTTTGTATTTATAATAAAATAAAAGGCTAGTTGTTTAGAGCCTAACTGTTTTCCTTTTTTTTTTTTTTTTTTTTTTTTTTTTTTTTTTTTTTTTTTTTTTCTTTCCCTCTTTTTTATAAAAAAAAAAAAAAAAAAAAAAAAAAAAAAAAAAAAAATTTAAAAAAAAAAAAAAAAAAAAAAAAAAAAAAAAAAAAAAAAAAAAAAAAAAAAAAAATTTTTTTTTTTTTTTTTTTTTTTTTTTTTTTTTTTTTTTTTTTTTTTAATTATTTCTCGCTTTTTTTAAAAAAAAAAAAAAAAAAAAAAAAAAAAAAAAAAAAAAGAGTTTTACATGTATAAACAAACCAAATGGGTAAAAATAATAACAAAAACCAAAAGAATATTCATCATGTTGCCAACACACAATTAAAAAATACACCGTCCTTAAAAGTAATACACTCTCAATAAAACAGAAAAAATATGTCAGGAAATTAAGACATCTGCATTATAAATCAAAATGCAATTATTATATATGACTATCAATTACAACATAACCAAATTTTTTCGTTTATTTTTTTTGATTTAAAATTCACTTATCCATCTCAACTACAACAAAAGTGCCTACTTTTTTCGCTATAAAAAAAAAACAAACAAAAAAAACAAACAAAAATAATAATAAAAAAAAAAATCCTATAAAACTACTTGAGCTACCACTTGAAAACTTTTATTTTCCTCCCTCGTTTTTCTTATTAGTGGCGTTTAATTAAAAAAGAAGCTAATTTCTTTGATAAGGCGTTTGAAGAAAACCTAATAAATGTAAAATTGCACACTTATGTACATGTGCAGCGCCTCCTGCATAGATAAGCACATTGATAAGCCAACATATGAGGATATAAACATAGGAGCAGTAGAACGTGTCTATATCTATATCTATATATATGCACTTTTACATACATAAACACTAATATGCATATAAGCATATACGTATACGTACAGATATATACGAACGCGCAAGTTGTCCTAAACTGTCATGAAGTTAATGGATTCGGCGCTTAAACCTGAACCATTAAGTAGATCACCATAAGTTTTATTTTTATTTTCCCTTTTAATTTTTAAACAGTTCCAAAAAATGTCTTTAAATCAAGATGACTGTTCATCAAAAAAAGAAGATAATGTAGAAGAAAAAATTATACGAACATGTAAAAAGTTTAAAAAAAGAAAAAAAAAGCGAAAGGTAAAGCCAATGCATAAGAAGAAATATATTAAAAAAAAAAAACTTTCGCATCTTTTTTTTTTCTTTTTTTTTAAATCACTACACCACACAATATTCTTTGTAATTAGAGCGAATATTTATTTAAACATATGTTCGTATAAATTCACATTTTGTTTCGAAACATTACATTTATGAAAACGTTATATTATGTAGTTCGATATATATTGCAATTTTAATTAAACTCAAATAAAAGTATTGTTTTTGTTTATTAGTTTGTTCACATTATTATGGTTATATTTCACATGAGTCATTTTATCAACTTCTGGCATATGACATGTAAAACACACATACTGTGTGTAATTGGAATAGTGCGTAATCTGGCTCTATATTTATTGCTTTTTTTCTTATTTTATCACGTTGGAAAATATATTTTCTTTTTGTTCCACCTTTTCGAAAAAACAAATATAAGATTCATAGATTCGAACTCTGGTCTTACATTTATCTAACACATCACATTGTTCACAGCTACCTTTACACGAATACTTATGTACATACTGGTGTATTTACTTAAGCACTTTATTTAACCACACATAACAAGCTCTTTTTTCTTTTTTTCTTTTTAGGTTAAGGGGAAACTGGGAAAGACCTTTAAAAAAGGGAAAAAAAGAAATTTTACAAGAGGATGAACTTATTTTGAATATTTGAGATTATTTTATTTTCTTCCGCCTCCTTTTTTTTTTTTTTTTTTTTTTTTTTTGTTCAAAGATTCATAAATATGTTATATTTTACTACTTGTAGTTTGCTGTCATATTTCCTTATCTGGTGCATTTTTAAGCATGTTTTTCAGTTTCAGTACTTTAAAAATATGAATTAAAAAATAAAGTGCATTTTAATTTTAGCTTTCTCTTTATTCTACAAAATTATTCTGCACATTTCACACATCATTTTGCACACTTTACACATCATTTTGCACATTTCGCACATCATTCTGCACACTGCACACATCATTCTGCGCACTTCATACACCCTTTTGCAAATTTTATATATCAGTCTACTCTTAATTATTATGTTAATTTTATATATAATTATGTGCCTAACTTTAAACTTAAAATTAATACTAAATGAACTTATTAATCCACGATTTATCATGAAAGCGTAGTTAAAAAAATAAATACAAAAAAAAAAAAAAAAAAAAGCCGTTAATGGGTACTTTCCCAGAACAGCTCATAAAAGTATAAGAAAAAAAAAATTTAGCAAGAGGTTGAAGTGGCGTGGTGCATGTTTATTAAGTACATAAAGATATACAGGCGAATGTTGGTACATTTATAGAAGTGCATGTGTGAACTTGAATAAAGGGACATTCCCACATATACATGGGGTATACATTTACATTTAAGGTTAAATGAGCACGTATTGTTACATGAACTGAACAGTGATTTCCAGTTCATTAAACAAACTCGTTAACAAATTTAAGCCTTCTCTACCGTTGGCATACCTAATGCACAACTTGGCATTACTTTTGCGTCTGTTACATAGAAAATCATATTCGGGTTGGTAGGAAACTACATATGCCCCGCTCTTCTTTACGGCTTGTTTTATTTGATCATCTGATACAGAATCTTTAATGTTATGCAGAAATAAAACAGCTACTTCTACCTTATTGCATTCATCTAAATTGTAGCTAATATCATCCTGTAACATTGATTGCAAATGCACCCTAAGGGAAGCTCTGGTGCCCTTCTGTATTGCTTCTTGGAGAATTTTTTTTCTTTCATTGTCATATACATCATTATAAAAATGTGATTTTCTCTTAAAATTTGCCTTTTCATAAGATTCTAAATAATCGGATGGTTTAGTTGATGGATCTGAATATTTTCTGCTATTTATAGGACAATACATCCAATTACAGTTTAAAGTAGTTGGCATGATTTTCTCACAATGAACATTTTGATTAATGTCTGGAGTTTTTCTACCAAATAGATCACTATACAAAGGATTTAGTTTTCTTTTTTCTTCTTTTTCATTATCTAAATTGGTTTCATCTTTTTTACTTCTATACAGTGTGATATCATCTGTTGTATCTTTATTTTTTTCCAAATAGCTTTGTTCTGTTTTATTATCATAACAATCAAATATATGACTTGAATTCATATAATGTCTTCTTTCTTCTAATGTAATATCTGCATTATTTTTATTATATGTATTTATATAATTAAAATTTGTAGGATATATTTTTTCTAAGCATGGTGGTTTGTTTTCTCTATTTCTCCCATTTTCATTTTTCATGTCATTAGATAGATGAAATGGATAAACATCTGGTAAAACATTTTTAGTTTTTTCTGGCAATTTAGTTAGATCTAATTTCATTTTGTTCGCAGCCAAAATTGTTATACTATCATTGCCTGCAAGACTATTAAAATGAATTTCTTTAGCTGACAAATTATTATATTTTGGAACAAAAGTATTAGTCTTATCTTTTGGCTTAAGCATTTTAATTTCATCATTTTCTACATAATCAAATATCTTTGTATGACTAAATGCTCTTTCTCTATTCATGTGAAAATGTTCATACCTTTTGTCTATATCGCCATTCTGCATATTCAATCTATTTCCTTCATTATTGTTTTGTATTTGATTTTTTGAAGAACCATCGCTTAGTGCATCTGGATGTGTAGCACTTATTTTCCCGTGACCGTTTGTTTGTTCTACGTTTTCTATATCCTCCTTTGATACTCCACATATTGATTCCTTATTATTGCCTAAACGAAACTTTCCTAGGTTATCCGGATCCCATCTTGATTCCTCCTGAATCTCATTTGACACACCTCTTCCGGATTTGTCACACTCGCTATGATGTTGTATTTTTTTTTCCTGTGGTAAACCTTTACCATTATCTTTGTTCTCTGTAAGGTTTCCATAATCATAGTGCCTATTAGAATTGTCCGTATGATCATTGTTATATGCATTCAGGAAAAACATATTACTATTAGATGTCGTGTTATTATCATAGAAAGTGCTTTTTTTTTTATTATATTTTGTCCTTTCTTTATAAGTTTGTTCCTGATGTTGTGTATTACCAACTACACTGGTTTTAGACTTTTCTGGTAAGAAGTCATTGCTACAAGTTTTTACATTTAACTGGTATATTTCATATGTATCATCATTGTTATGATTTCTCGAAACAGAAGTGTCATTTAAATTATTTGATATAAAAAAATCTGGGGGATATATTTCATTATTAGGGTTACTACTTCTAGTACTATCACTGCAACTGTTATGTGCAGGCTTATTCTGAAAATTCATCTCTTTACCAATGTTGCAAAATTGCATAGAATCTTTTATTGTGTCATTATTTTGTGTAATTTTCCCCGTGTTACTATTACCGGGGTTGGGATATTCATGACCCACGTTTGGAGAAAAACATGGCCCATTGATGTTTACATTTGACATTTTTAACAGCTTGATGTGTTTCGTTCTTTAGTTTTTCTTTTTTCTTTAGCTATTTGATACCTTTTGTTCTATATTTGCTTTCTTTTTTGGCCCCCTCTTTTTTTTTTTTTTTTTTTTTTCTACAATGTATCCAGCAGCTTCTTTTCTATTTGTTAATGAAAGGTGAGCAACTCGATGATGCAAGTTTTTTTTTTTTTTCTTTTTTTTTTTCGATATTTACTATTTTCCTTATTTAGACAACATAAATGCTAATAAAATTTATATTTATTCTCCCCCTATGTAAATATTACTAGTCCGTAACAATATTAACGCAAAAAATGTGTGGACAATGAATTTTTCTTTTTTCACTTAAAAGGACAAAAAAAAAAAAAAAAATTTCTTTTCTTTTCGGAAAAAAAAAATACAATAACGCTAATACTGGGGGAGTTAAATCGTGAAAAAAATTTTTTTTTTTTTTCTTATTCGTTTTTTCCTTATTTTTTAAATAATAATTCTTTCCATGGTTGTATAAGGCGGGATTTACAAAGATTTATTGTACATGAAAAAAATGTAATCACATGTGTGTATCCATTTTTGTTTGTTTGTTTTTTTTTTTTTTTCGTCTGTTTTAATTTGTTCTACTATAATTTTCTTTTTTAACCGAATAGGTTATCAAATGAGTAATTCCTTTAAAAATTTGTACACATATATATATATATATAGATATACCTATCAACGCGTGTAATGTGCACAATGTAAGTGATACATTTACTGCATTTGACAAATGTGCACAGGTTTAAAGGTTAAATAAAATTCCTATTCTGTGATGAAAAATCTACTAATAGCTAAGGAAAACGGAAAAAGGAAAGGAAAAGTGGAAAATAGCTTTTTTACCTTAAATAACTGTTCTTTCATGTAAGGTGTGCAGTGTATAATGTACAGTTCGTGCATTGTACGTTGTGCACAATTGTTTTTTTTTTTTTTTTTTTACCAAAAAAATATTATGAAACAAAAGCTTTAAGAACAACTGGGAAAAGACTCGTTAAATTAAAAACAAACGTGTTCTTGAATAGAGTGAAAATATAGAACGTTGAAAATCATTTCATGGTTTAACCCCGCTGTTAGTGTGACGTATGGGCTCTCCTTTATTTGGATATGTCCCATTTATTTTAAAAAAGGAAAAATATATTAAACTTCTTAATCTCCCATTTTATATATAACTTATATCTAATTTCTTTTTAGTGAAGTAAAAAAAAAAAAAAAAAAAATTCTTTAAAAACATGGTTAATCCACAAAAATGTTGTTCCAAAAATGAGGAAAAACAGAATGAAAAAAGAATAAAAAGGATAACTAATAAGTCTCACCAGGCAAATCTGATTTTTTTACAATTAAGTTCCAATAAAATGAAAAACGAAGAAAAAATTTTAAGTATATATAAAGAGTGAAAGAAAAGGGGGAAAATAAAAAGTACGGAAAAGGCAATAAAAAGGAGTTACGGGAATTTTAAAAACACACCTAAGTAAAGCTTCATTTTTTTTTTTTTCATTGAATCAAATCATGTTAAAGGCTATGGATTTATGGAAAGCGAAACGTTAAATGAAAATGATTTTTTCGCCCTTTTGGCAAAAGGTTTTTCTTTTTTTATTCACTTTGAGAAAAGCCGTATATACATCATTATTAACTTTATGTACACTTTCATTTTTCTAAATTATTTATTTTGAATATTTTTGATAATCCCTATTGCTGTTTTATTTGGTAACTGAAAGATATGACAAGTTTTAGCTATTAATTTTTTTTTTTTTTTTTTTTTTTTTTACTCCCAATTTAAACTAAGGAAAAGAAGGGAAATAAATTTTTATTTTCACATGGAAATGCTTGGCTATGCAAAGTTTTTAACAATGGATGACAACTTCGTAAGCGAAAAAGATGAACAGTTGCTGAAATTGCTACTGAAAAATAGACCAATGGTAATACATTATTTCCCTAAATTGTTTTTAGTCTTCTATGGGAAGTCTAAACATGTGAACGTTTACGACACACCGATATGTATGCATGTATATATATATACGTAGTTCATGTTCGTTTTTTACGCATGCTTAAGAAAATGATATACTTGTGGTTGTGCATTAAACTACACATTTTGTTTTATTTTTATCCCCATTTCTTACCCATATAAAGTTCAGCGAAGAATTGATTGATTACTACCTTTCGTATAGTGGGTGCAGCGTTACGGAAAAATCTTCACTAAGATTAATTTCCCTGATTTTACATAAATCGTTAGACAATGTAAATAAAAAGGAAATTAATAAAAAATAACATGAAAGCAAAAAATTCAATCATACAAAATTACAATATTTACCAATCTGAAAAAGGATTATTTATGCATAACATATTTTCTTGTAGTTAGTAGACCAGTCCACAGTTTTGGTTCCCCAACAAACATCCACTGATAAAGATAAGCATAAGGATAAAGAAAAAAAAAGCGAATTTACGGTACATAATACACAAATACATAAAAAATGAGATAAAAGATTAATGTATTTTCATAATTGAACTAACAACTACACGAAAAGGAAAAATTGTACTCCGTTATCCCATACACACACAAACACAATCTTACCGCTAATCCATAAATATGTTAGCACATAACTCTTATATGCACTCAAATTTTTCACGTGTTTATTTTATAGAAGGAGCTGAGCTGTAAAAAACTCATAAAGACATTAGATGAATTTGAAAAAAATTATGAAAGTGAAGAAATCATCAAAAAATTCAACCTATTTAAGCAATAGAAATGAATTAAATAAAAAAAAAATTTGCTCATTCCCTCCCCCCCCCCCCTATTTACATGTGCACAAGGCATTGTAAATTTGCAGTCTGTTAATAATTCTTGAAAAAGTCGTTTTCATATGTTGTTCTTTTAAATGGTCACAACACATACATTCGAATTTGGCTTATTTTTTGCACACATTTTTTTTCGGTTGCTTATCATAGTATTTTACTTTACTATTAGTATTACTACTTTCTTTTTTCTTTTTTTTTTTATAATTCCCATGTTAGAAATAAGTTATTATGAATATTTTTTGAGTTAAACAACACTGGCAAATTTGCCTGGAAAAACAACAAATAAGATACAAATAAAGAGCAAACAAAATTTGAGTAAAAGTTTTTGAGAAGAAAAAAAAAAAATAAAAAAAAAAAAAAAAAAAACGTACACAAAGTACAGTAAATATAACTGAAATAAAAATATCTGAATTTGTTCAAAACTTCCCTTTCCTCTTCCTTCCAGTATATTTGCTATCCCTCTTCACATCGAGCCCCTAAAAAAGACAAAGTGAAAAAGAAATAAATGAATCTATAGACATTAACAAAATTATATAATATCGATGCGTAAAATGACAAGCAGCCTGATTATATAATTCGAAAGGGGGTGGAGGGGGATTATATAATCCTTTCACTTACTTTCATTCTTCTCTGATTCTTTTTCTTCAAAATCCACTCCTTATTTTTTTTTATTTTCTTTTTAGTTCCCTTATTATTTCTGTGTTAGGATGATGATTAAAATAAGTGTGCAGATTGGTATTTTATTTCTTGTACGATTTTTATGACACATTAATATGTACAAAAAAAAAAAAAAAAAAAAGAAAGAAAAAGGAACTGTCTCTCTCAAACATAGGCACAGACGTGATATATATACATATATATATTACGCATGGCCCCTTTTCATATATTAATTTCTTCTTTTTCGTATTATTACCTCCTCGCTGTGTTCGAATTATAATTTTCTTCCTCATGTTCCAAGGGCTCCGGAAGATGGGAAACAACCGCAGATCCTGTCCATAAGCACAAATAGTACCTAAGTTATAAAAATAAGAACAGTGAGAAATATAAAAAATACTTGCACTGTGTTAGAGATTCGTGGAAAGTTGTTTAAAAATGGGAATGCATGAATTAGCACTATGTGGGGTGTTAAAAAAGAAATATATATATGTATATATTTGTTAAAAAGAAGTGAAATTTTGTCACTTTTTCGATTTAGCCGAATTTGGATAATCAACAACAACACCGCCACCAAAACCCGCTTTCATAGCAAAGCTTGTTAGGGTCTCAATTTGTTCTGCCGAGTCTGGATAAAATTGAAACACCTGTAAAAATAAGAATGTCAAAAAGATGGAAAAGTATATATATATATATATATATATATATATATATATATATCAGTGTAAATATACACATGCGTTCAAAATTTTAACACTGGTTAGAAACAACTTTATGTTTATATTTCGTAAAAGGAACGTTTATGCAATTTGCAAAAAACACATATTATCATATCGTGACATGCCTACAAATACACTGTATTCGAGTTCGTGCTTACCGCTCTGGCTCCTCTTTTCATGCAGTTATATAACCACTTAAAGAATGTGCTAATTCTCAATTTTGGATTTTCATCCTTTTTGTCCCAATTGCATAACCACTGCAGAGCAGATATGCTGAAAAACGGGTAATACAAATATTAATAAAAAACTGTGTTTGATAAAATATTAGGATGTAATCAAGTTTTCTTCATTTCCACTAGCATGTATCTGCACTAATGAGAAGAATCGACGAATTTTAAAATGTTTGACTTGAAAAACGATTTTCCTACCTGACCACTCCGTCAAAAATACACGATTGGAACCTCATTACTAGATGTTTATAGAAAAAATAGGGATATGATGAAAATGTGAAGCGACGAAATTGTGAAGAAACAAAAAATAGTGGAACATTAAAATTATGATGCAGTGCAATCATTATTTAGACGCACAAGGCATGTTTAATTAAGTACGACGAACTGTGATGATGTCAATTTTCAGTCGTATTGTTTTTCCTTTTTTCAAATATGAACTTAATTAAAATTTACATTTTCCCATGTCTGCTAAAATCATATCCCCTCCGTGATGGGCTTCATTCTGCAAACCTGCTTCTGAAAATGCGAAAAAAGAAGTTATTACTTTGTCATATATCTTCATAAGTAAATGTTTGCATTCGTAACTTGCTATGCATCATCAAAATAACGAGAAAAAAAAAAAAAAAAAAGATAAAGTAAAGTGTACTTATCATATGAATGCTAATGTCTATTCCTATCCAAAAATGATCGAATTCATTCAGAGTCATTCCGCTTATTCCTGAGCCACATCCAATGTCTAACAGTAAGCATGGATTCTTTGAGAGAAAAACGAAAATTTGGAGGAAAATGAAGAAATGGAAAATATGTGGAAAGACATAAGAAACTTCACATGAATCATCTAAAACATTTAAAAAGGAAAATTCTGTAATTCTACAATATGGCTTACATCTGGAAGCACAAGCAGTTCAACTGCTCGTTCAGTCATTTGAGACTGAATATCCCTTATTCTCGAATTTCTTACATATTTTTTGGCTTCATCTTCGTTATAAAACTGTAATGAGGCGTTATTATACATATAAAAAAATGTTTGAATTTTATATAAAATATATGTCTATATGTATGTATATCTTCATAAAGAAACAAAATATATACATATATGAGCTAATATAATGCCATCTATCGGTATGGCTAGCGTTTTATTCTATTTTGCATTATTCGTAATTACAATATCAGGGGGGGAAGAATACTCAGGCCTAACCATTTCGTATATTATATTTTAAGCTTATGTCTTAAGTACATTCATTAATTATATATTTGTTTGTTTTTAATTTTACATTAAATTTTTAAAGGCCTTAGTTACGACGGAAAGAAGAGGCCATTATATATAGTGAAAAAATAGGTCAATAAAAGCAAATGGGTCTCAATTTATATTATTGCATTTTTTTATCCTGCATTAGAGCTTACGTGGGAGATTGCTTTTCTGGTAATTTGATGTAGCTTTTATAAATTTGTAAGCATGTGTTTTCATTTAAAGAATTAGTGCATTTACAACTTATCGGATACCATTTTTTGTATATAAGTTTGAAAACAAATTTACAAAAGGTGGAAATGAAAAAAATATTTTAGTGATCTCTGAAAAAAAAAGGCTCTATATATATTCATTTATTCTATATTTTGAGGTTACGGCATGTATGCGTAATTTGGGTGCAAAAAAAAAAAAAAAAATGATAAAATAATGTAGCTATATTTTTTTCCCTGCCTTTCAGCACATTTATGTGGATTTATGTTTTAATTGTGCTTGAAAATTATAATTTTTAATCTTTTATTAAACGTTAAATGAGTTCAACTGATTTAACATATTTAGTATGTTAAATATATGATTTTTGTTCCCTTTTTTGCGATTTTTTATTTTATATTTTTATTCCTTGTTGATCTCTGTTCTTATCTGAGTCAATTTTATTGCGTTTTCATATTTTATTTTTAAGTTAGGGAAAAAGTGTAAAATTTTTGAAACAACGTTTACAGGCTATTTTATCTTTGTTTTATTTCACTTCGTTTTAATTTATTTTTTTATTCCTTTTTTTCATTACTTTTTTTTATTACGTTTTTTTATTACTTTTTTTTTATCACTTTTTTTTTTTTTTACTTTTTTTCATTATTTTTTTTCATTACTTTTTTTTATTACCTTTTTTCTCTACTTTTTTTTATCTTTTAAAAATAACCTTATTGTGTTGTGAAACCTATGAATTACAAATCAACAATGGTTGTTGAAAAGCAGCATTACAAAATGATAAAACACATAGGGATGTATCTTCCTTGTTCGTCCTTTTCTACCTTAAAAAAGTGGCACAATGTTAAACGAACTGGGTGTATTTGAGTTGATATATTTTTTCCGTTTTCTTTTCATTTAAGTGAGGACTCGTTAGTTTTCTGTTTTAGGGCAAAATATGTGGTTAGGAAAAATTATAAAAGGTGAAAACTTTCCCTTCTTATAGCTATAGAAATGACATATTTAAAAAATTGTCTTTGATTATTATTATACCATTAAAAAAAAAAAAAAAAAAAAAAATGCAATAAAAATTATATCCTGAAGATACATAAGTATGAAACCGTGTGAAAAAATATAACGATGAAAGAGTTAAAAATAAATTCAAGCCATTAACCATAAATGAATGCACAAAGGTAGCACATATTCTCCCACCCAGCCCCAGACTTATTACACATATCTCTTTACATTAGTAGTATCCTTTTTATTTCAGGAAACAAGTAAATAAAGTGTACATATGTGTTTACATTTATGAATATGTATCAAAATGATCTTACCTGATTTTATTTTGTGCCCATAAAATGCAAATTTTGTATTTTAAATTTACTCTGAAATTACGCATTGCACATTTTTCATGAATTTTTTATAAATAATTATTTCCGTTTTGTACAAAAAATTTGAACAGAGCACAAGGAAAAAATTTATTTGTGCGCATATACAATAATCGTGGAAATTAATCATAGGAGAGGAAATAAAAAATGTTTATTCTATCGACTCTTTTTTATTTATATGCTATAAAAATTTTATTAAAGCATGCTTTTTATTTTTTTTATTTTTTTACTTCATTTTATTTCATTTTTTTTAGTTTGTCCATTTTACTATTCAGCAACCTTTTGCAATGTTTAGTAAAGTTTATTAATGTTTAGTAAATTTTAGTAGTGTTTAGTAACTTTTAGTAGTGTTTAGGTATATTTAAAAACATTAAAAAATATTACAAACGTTCAAGTGATATTTTTCCACTTTGTACTATTTTGTCGCATGAAATACGCATAACTCCGTTTTTTTTTATGCAATGCCTGATTTGAATTTCCATTTTTGTGTAATTTGTTTTAGCTTCGTCGTATTTTTCATTATTTCATTTTATATTTTTTTAAATCTTCATTCATTTTACCCTTGCACACATATTTTTTAGTCTTTCCACTTTTATTCAATTTGTTTTTAAGGCATGTTTTGTTGTGTTTATATGTACAACATGTACACACAAAAACTTATTTTCATGTGTCTCCTTACCCTAGCACAATTTTCCGAACTGTATGCATTAACAACATATGTATATTTTTTATGCATATTTGTGAAGTGTATTTTTTTGTGTGAATTTTTTCATTTTTTTTTTTGTTCTATATTTTTGGAATATCAAAGGATTTCATAGGTTTTTTTTTTTTCCCCCAAATTTATGACATAAATTATTTTCTTTTTTCAAGAACACCTTACAAGTTACCTATGTCATTGTATACTTGTGAAATGGATTGTGAATCTGAATAAACCATGTAAGGCTAGAATATTCAAAGAAAATGAAAAAATTAAATGCAAAAAGAAGGGAAAAATATATGTAGAAAAGGATGAAATTATGCGTACTATTAAACGTCTAATGCATTTGATCAGTTTTTTATTCTTTATACTTTTTTAACAATTTTGAAAATATTCGTCCACATGGTGGTGCAGTTTTGCACTAAAATGAAAATGGCCCATAATAAATTATTTTTTTTCTTCTAGTCTTTTTAGTATAAATTAGGTTCCAAAGAAGAAATACAAACAATTAAAATTGTGCACGTTAGGTTGTCAATACATGATTATACTCATGTTAAATGCGAATAGCATTCTTCTAGTGACAACTGTGATCAGACTCTGTTTTGTTTTTCTTTATTTAAAGTGCATAATGCTCCATATGTATAAATATTAATATGTATAATAGACAGAGAGTGCTATATTGAAAGAATATTTCCAAATTATACTAGGAAAAAAATTTTGTTATTTTAACTGTATTTTATTATATTAATATTAGATGAACATTTGTATTAAGTTATGAAGACTTATGAATAAGTCCAGTTTTTTTTTTTTTTTTTACTTTTTTCCATCCCTCAGATAGATCATTTTAACATAATTTGTTGGAAAAATGAGTATGATTAAAAATATAATAAACCAATTTATTAAATTATTCGGACAAGAATATTTGGGAGATTGGGATGCTATACAAAATTTAACAATTAATTCTGTTACCTCACCAGAAGTATGTATTTTTTTAATACAATTATCGTAACTTTAAGGCATGTTGAATATGTGCAATTATATGCATAGGTTATCATTGTAACTATATATTAGTGTACATGCTCATATAATTGAGATAGGAGAGAAGAAACAACAATACAATATCCATGAATATTTTTATTTTCCTTCTTCTGCAGATCTTACTGAAGAATGTCCCATTTCCAGAAAAGTTATTCGAATTGGCAGAGCTACCTTTCGAAATAATTTATTCGAATATAAAAAGTCTGCGAATAAAATTTCATTGGTCATCTATTTTTTCAAACAATGTTAGCCCAATAAATATTTGTGCAAATGATCTTTTCCTTGTTATAAAATTTTCATACCCAAGTTTGTGGGATACTAACAAAATAATTAATCATCAGTATAAATTAAAAAAAAATAAATTAGACAAATGGGATAGTATTAATATATCTAAAGAAAAAAAGGAAGATAATTTTTTAAAATCATTACCTATAAAATTGGTGAACTCTTTAAGAATATTGGTGAAGAATATTAAAATCGTTTTTTTCGATAATTACATTCATAAAAATCCATTTACTTTTGAATTTTTCATAAAAAGTTTTAAAATTGACGAACTGAACAAGTATAACGTTAAACTAACAGAGGAGGAGAAGAAAAATATTAAAAAGAATTTACTAATTAACATATGGATAAGATTCATAGGACTACATATTCTTTTTAAGGAATACAAAAAAAAAATTAAATATAAGAAACAGCTTAAAAAAAAAAAAAATGAACAATTGTACAACAGCGAAAAGGCTGGACACAATGTGCCCAAATCGAAGGACGACAATATAGAGGGAAAAGGTAAAGGTGGGGATTAGCAAAGAATTATGAAAATATAAAAAAAAAAAAAAATAAAACGAAACAAAACAATAAAATAATAATATAATTAATAATAGTGTAATACATGATGAACAAATAAAAAATGTTTAAATAGAAAATAAAACAAAAAACATGTTACATCAATAGTGAAAACACGCATTCCCATCCAAAATTTTCTACTATAAACGTGAGCCCAAGCTCACGGATGGAGTTATCAACGATAAATATGTAATATATTATGCGAATACATTCAAGGTATTCCTTTTTTTTTTTTTTTTTTTAGAGGAATATTTCCTGACAGCTATTGAGAATCTGTTTAGTGAGAGCGGAAGTTCTGTTTATCGAAATAAGAAGAAGAACTGGAAGAAGGGAAAAAAAAAGACATCGTTTAATAGTCACGAATTTGTAAAAGGAGTTTTTTCATTCAGTGATTACGAAATTAATGAAAGGATAAAAGATGGATATTTAAAAAAAAGATCCAGGAGAAATATGCGCTCAGAGAAATTTGGAAAAAATATGTCACTAAAGAAATATGGAGGAAAACATAAAAAGAGTAGGAAAAAAAGTAAAAATAATTACAATTTTGAAATACCTAAACACGATTTAGGATTTAGGATAACATCGAAGGATGGGTTAGATATGCATGTTATTTTTAAAAAATATGATATAAAAGCATTAAACGAATTGAAAAGTGACATAAAATGTTTTAAGCATCTGGAGTTATCCTTGGTTAAGCATAACAAAGATGATACCGATGATGATATTTGTAATAATGTAAAAATGGAGGAAGAAGAAAATATCAAGGGGTCATGTTACTGCTATAACTATGGTAATAGTAACATTGAAGAAACAAAGAACGATTCATTTTTTATATCAAGTAAGACAAATGAGCATGAAGAGAATAATAATATTTGCAATAGCGAATTAAGAAATTACGATGAAATAATGGAAGAATGTTTTAGAAATGATTATCCTCCTATGTTCAATGATATTTCTACGTATGAAAATTTAAATATCTTTTTCACCACATCTGCTTTAGACGCATTTTATAATTTCATAAGGTATATAGAATTTTCTTTTCTCTACAAAGGTGGGTGTTCGAAAATTTTCAACATCATTCCGAGTATTGAGAATTGTATAAAATATTCAGAATACAGAAAGCTGCGAAATGAGAAAAATTACATATATAACGAAAATACTGAAGATTTTCTGAAAAAATTTGAATCCTCATGTCCAATTCATTTGCTTACAAAATTGAGGTTGCTATCTGATGAATGTATATATAGTAAGGAATATTTTAACAATGCCCATTTAAAAAAAAGAGAATGGAAAAAGTTATTATACAATTTTATTAAAAAGCAGAAAGGGGTTACATCATCCATTATTGATGAAAATTTAGACAAATTAGAAAAATGGTTTTCACACGATATGCTATTTAATTTTGTTATTCCACAGATTAATTTTACATATATTCCTATTAAATTTAATCATTTCAGCAATTCTAATGTGAAGAATTATAAATGCCTTTTATCATATAGTGTATCCTGCTCTTTTTTATTTAAACAGGAAAAATTTTCCACTATAAAAAAAAAAATTGGTATATATTTGCACAATATGAATATCAATTCCTTATTTGTGCTTTTTAAAAAAAATAATAAATGTACTATGAATAATAAAAAATATTGTATTAATTATGTAGAAAAATTACCGATAATAAATTCTTGCTTATATAATGAGCCCAATAATAATAGCATAACTTTTTATCATTACGATAAAGCAAATGTAGGAGATGATTATGAATATTCTGTCGAACGTATACATTCCAATGAGGAAAGGATAATAGCAAAAAATATTGCACATATGACAAATGGTATGACCACAGAAGTAGCATCACAAAGCAATGCACAGAAAGATGGTTGTGATTATTATATGAAAAATAGCGTATCTAGTTATTATAATAATGAAACGAGAGGTACAACTAATGGGAATACGTTTTCTAACAACACATTGCAAAGAAAAAATAACGGAAATCAAGATATCATAGCACAAAATGAACGAAATGATAATGAAAATAATGTCAAAACGTGTGGGAAAGATGAAAATGAAGTTTCAAAGGATTCTCATGACACAATAAAGGAACTTAATAATAATAGGTGCCAAAAGGATTTAAAAAATTATAATATGTGTAATATATTTGAGAGATATCAATTTCATAAAAATTCATTCGAAAAAGAAGAAATGGAAAAAATTAAAATCGAAAATCTAAGAAGCCTTGAAAATGAACATTTAAAGAATGAATGTGAAAAGGTAGAAAGCAATAACAACATTGATGATGTAGGAAATAATCGAAAAGGATTCTGGAAATTTATTCTTGGTAATCAGAAAAAGGAATCAACTAATAATATGAATAAAAATATTGTAAAATCAATTGATGACAACAATTTTGATCGAATAATCAATAATCAAATTGTTTTAATTCCAAATACTTTAATCATCCTTATTAATGATTATAGTAATAATATAAGAGAAATTGACATAACTGTTTCTAAATATATCATAAATGTTAATAATTTATTTCCCCTTATGAATTTCATTCCAACGAACAATATATGCCTAGAACTTTTTCTTAAATATGATAATTACATTGATAAGGATGTTATCGAATGTATTTGTTTATGCATTAGTAAAAGCGTAATGAAGAAAAAAATAGTACGAATTCACATGGACGAAGTGAAGTCTTATTTTTTTAATTCATTATATGTAGAGAATGAAATTGTAAATTTAAGAAATTTTCTCAATAAAACCAGAAGAAGGAAAAAAACAAGAGGTTCCCCATACTGTCATGAAAAATTTATTGAACATGACCTTCTGGTAGACCCTTTTAAATCTGTTGGAGATGATAACGAAGAAGAAATGAAAAAAATTAACAGAAATAAACATTTGGATTTATCCATCGAGAAAAATGATTATATAATAAATAATAACCCTCAATGCAGTAGTCAGAATAGTTATAACCAAAATGAAGAAGTGAATAACGATAGTATGAGTGATGACGTGACCTCGAGTACTTGCCAACATTCGGATAAGGAGCATGGACAAATGGCAATCTCATGTAGCCATGGAAATAAAATTTATAGAAACAAAAGCATGGAACATTTTGTATTAAATCAAGAAATGGACATAACAAATATGTACAATATTATATTTAATAACTTATTTGTTGCACAAACAAATGTATATCACACAAAAGTCAACAACACCTTTAGCTATTTAAGAAAACAAAATTTCCTATATTCTATTAGAAATAAATATTATATGTTTTTGAGACGGTATATCCAATATAATATCAATAGGAAAAAGGCCCAAAATGGAAATTTACTATCAATTGGCATTTTTTGTCATCTAAAGAATCTATTCTTGTTTCAAAACAAGATAGATTCGTTGTTATATCTCAGCGTACATGGGGTAGAAGTCGAACATTTGTTTCATCCTTCTTTCGTTGATTTAAGGAGTATCCATTCATATGAGTTTAAGAATGATGTAGAACAGAGTTCTCAGGCTTATGTGGACTCTCTATCATGTAAGAACAGCTATTATGCTACTAATTCAAAGGAAAATTGCAGCTCCATTAGTCTAATTGGAAGTAGTGAAAAGATCAACAATGAAAGCAAAAATCATTCGAGAAAAAGAAACAGAATAATTGAATATTCTAAAAATAAAAATATGCTAATTAGCATCAAATCGTTAAAACTTAAAAAAAATGAAAATGTATTATCCCTTAAAGTGAACATTTTGAACTGTAGCATAAATGAGATTTTCGTGTCTCTCTTCGGAATATGTAAGCATATAATACCGTTAGAACATATAGAATTGTTAAAGGCAAGAATAAATAAATTAAAAAGAATAAAACAACATCTTATAGCAAACAATAAAAATACCATGCATTTGAAAAATATCAATGTAACAAATGATTTATTATACAAAACGTTAAACAAATATAATCTAAGCAACCCTGTAAGAGATAAAGATACAAATAATGATAGTAATGTGGAGAATAATGAAAATGAATTGACTGTTAATAGAAATTATGAGAAATATATAAAAAAATTAGTTATCAAAATTTTAGATCATGAGAAAATATTATATAGTAAGGAAGATTTTGAAAAAATATTTTATATGATATTGAGAAAAAAGGTAACACGTCCAAATAATGGTAATAATAATCAATGTGATAAAAAAGAACTTCTACATAATTTGAGCATGGATGATAAAAAAGGGAAGATTATTCATCATAATTCAGATATGTTATATTCTTTTAGTAGTAATAACGACATTGTAGAAAATTATTACACACCTGAAAAGGAGGAATATGACAACCCAATTAGGAATTCTAAATGCATGGAAAAGGAATACTATACCTGTAAGGATGATACTATGTTAAGTAAGAAAGATTACAATGAAAATTGCAGTTCTCATAACAATTCAGATAACTTCAATATAATCATAGGAAGAAATTCTTATTCTACAGCTAACGAAATAGGTGATGATGATAAATACAAGATTGGCAGATTGAATGAAGGAAATAGAATCCAGGAAAAATTTATCGTGCAAGAACAAAATGTAAGTTCAAAGGATATCCATCTTGATAAGCCCTCAATTAAATACCTAAACGAACATTGCAAATATATGAACTTGAGAAATCTTTTCAATTATAATGATTTAATGATTGATACGATGAAAATAAATGAAAACGATGTTTTTATTCATAGTAGTATTTCTAATGATGGTGTAACCGAAATGGATTCTTCAAAAAATAATAAAATGCAAGAGAAAGATAAGTCTCCAAAAAGATCACGTTTATTTTTTTTATTAATAAACCAAATAAATATAGCTATTACAAATAAGAATGAAGGTTTATTCAAAATAGTGTGTAATGAATTTATGGGTGAGTTGACTAATATGACTACTGTTGTTAATATTTCCATAAAAACTAACACATTATACTTTTTTTATGTGATGACTGTTTTGAGTAGACATAAAGGTATGAATGTTACAAAGAAATGTAGCAAAAGATATCCCATTACATTTAAAAATGAAAATTCAGTTGATTCGATGGAGAATAATAATTGTAAAAAATATGTTATTTTAACAGATTCGATAAGCAATATGATAAGTGTTTCCAAATCAAACATGAAAAAGAAAAAAAAAGTTTGTAATTTCTTTAATGATTATATATGTATTTTAAAAAGAAAAAAATTCAAACTGTTTATAGATTATGACAAGAAAAAGAGGATAAATTCCCAACCGCAGATCCATTTAGATTTATATATAAACAAGGAGACCAATAAAAAAATTGTAAAATTATCTCTTACAAATTTTAATTTTTTTTATAGTTCTACCCTATTTGTCTTATTAAACAATGTAATTATAAATTTTTTTTTGACATATATTCAAGAGAAGGAAAAGGTAAGAATTCTCCTTTGTAGATTTGATTCTATCGTAAGAAATAGAGGTTCAGCCTATGTAACACTCGCTACTGTAAAACCTTTTTCCAGCTTGCGTAGTAAAGTAAACGATATAAATAATATCTCTGCTAAGTGCACAAAGAAGAAAGACAAAATTGTTGTTAATTCACTTGAGAAATGGGTAAGCAGCCATGAAGTTGTAGACACTTTATGCACATCTAATAATGAGAGTTTTTTGGATGAAACATACGCAGACAATCATATGAATTGTGGAACATGTGAATACAAAATTACGGGGAATGGTCTTCCGAATGCTGATGATGCCAATTTAACGAATAAGACCTTCTATTACGAATTTTCAGAAAATGAAAAAAATGTACAAAAGAATATACTACATCAAAATGGAATTTCCCAAAACACTTCATTTTCTGGTGTTACAGCGGCCAAGATGAAGGAAAATATTTCCAATAGTTTGTGGAATGGATTATATTATGGGGAAAAAATGTCCTCTCTAAGTAGGAGAAAAAATATCTTAGATGATAAAAATGAAATATGCGAAGAAAAAAAAAAATTTATTGATACCAGGAGCAGTGGGCATGGACTTATGCTGAATGTGAACTCTAACGATAACTTAAATTCTGCTATTAAAATTGATTCGCAAAAAGATAAAAAAAAAAGTCTCAACTTTTTAAATGAACACAAGAAAAAGGATGTGATTTGTAAAGATATTTCCTTTGCAAGTTTCAATTATACAGAAAGTGAAGAATGTAAAGAAATGGATGAAAAAAAGATGATAAAAAATGATGATAACAATATGGATGCTCATATTACTAGCGTACAGGATGAGGGTGCATCAAATAATACCTGTTCTTATAACTTGTCGAAAAGTTATCACACTCCTTTGAGTGCGAATAATTTGGATAAATACGAGAATTTTCATATAGAATCAAACAGAGAGAAAAATTCAATGAATCATAAAACTGTCAATGTATATAATAATGTAATTAATACGAACGTATTGAGAACGATTGTACCCACTGGTTCTGGTTCCAAATGTACTGAAAACCGAAAAGATGAGAATAAAACTACTGATAAAATTCGTGGTAAAAACGAAAAAATATGTAAACACATTTTGCATCATAAGAAGGAATTATCTATATCAAAGGCTAAAGAAATTCGGAAAGAGGATATTAGAAAGATAGAAGAATCCCACGAAAGTGAAGAGATTAGCCTTTTTGTTTGCTCTCAAAATGTGAATATATGCTATCTTGTCAATTACCATCGATTTAAGTATATGTACAAAGAGAACAATAAAGTGGATGCATACATGAATGATTATATGAACTTTATAGATAGTTGCTCGAACTATTGTAAATATAAAAATAAACAAGGAGAAAATTATGATCATGTTGGAATTATGAATAAAGATTTATATAATTTGAATTTAAATTTTTTATTTAAACTTGAGTATGCATGTTCGAAAAATAAAAAAAAGACCATTAATGCATTCTTCCCATTCCTCTATATTATACTAATGAAGAATTGTAATTATATTATTTCACATTTGACTATCGTGGATGTTAAATTTAGTGCACTTTTTTGGTGTAAAAGGGAAAAATGCATGAAAAAAAAAAAAAAAAAAAAAATTAATGTACAGAAAAAAAATAACTCACGAAATTGTGAAAATGCAACGTTGAATTATTTTCCTGAAGAACGAATGGTCTTTCCAGATCGCCACTTATGCACTCTTGACAACTGTAATGTGGACGTGGACAAATACACAAGGGAGGCGTTTACATACACTAAATCTAATAATTTAAAGAAAATTACAAGTCAACCTATGAAAAACTGTAATATAGTAAACAGATATGATAATTTTCACAATGATGAACCATGCTGCACGTATCCTAACAGTGAAAAGTCACATACTGACATGTGTGTAATACTACAGAATAAGAATAATAATATATCCATTAACAATATGATATCTCATAGTATAAACAAAAGATATGTAAAAAATTCCGACGTGTGCTGTGATCATATTATTAAAAAAGGGTCCTTAAGGAGTGAGAATAATTCAAAAACTGAAAGGAATAACGATAGTATTTGCAATGATAACAAATTACACAGTGACGGAGAAAGAAATCATAGTTCATACATTCATGGGGAAGATGTGAAAATGGGTTCTAGAGCTATCGAAGGGGGAGTAAGGAAGCAGAAATCTTATATGAAGTTTTTACTTAATAACAAAAAGAATGACATAGCTGAAAGTGGAAGCATTGATGAGAGAAGAAATGAATCTACAGTCTCCTATGGTACGAATAATGCGAGAATTGTCAATAGTGCTCATAATGTGAATAAACCAAATAACATTTTTCAAAGAAAAAACATACTTGGACGCATAAATTCCGTTATTAATTTTATGGGGAAAGGTAGAAGCAACTCGAAACCTATACTAAAGAGGGAAAAACAAAGCAGAAGGTCCCTAAGTCTTTTCAGCATCAAATCATTAGCATTTATGAACAAAAAGAATACACAATGGTATAGCAATACCTTGGATTCTCTACATATAAATGGTGATAATAAGAACACATCTTATGTTTTGGATAATAAAAAAGGTAAGTTGAATTTACAAACACTTGGATTCCTTGCCAACCAGAATGGGAAAAATGGGAATGATTCTGTAAATATTTATCATAGTAATAATGATAATATTGTGAAAATTTTGAGAGAGTATAGTTCTTACTATTCAGGGGATGAACAATTCAATGAAAATCGTCCAATCAGAAATAATGAAATGATACTGAAAAAGTGTAAAAATAAAGCTTCATTTGGTAGTAACTACATAAATATTGGAAAAGCGGAATTCAAGGAAAGAAGTAAAGAAAAAAAAAAAAAAAAAAAAAAAAAAAAAAAAAAAAAAAAATATTATTCTCATTCTGATGAGGTTACAAAAAATTTGCCATTGTGGGAATTATCTGGGTGCTCCATGTCTGTGTTTAGCATAAATTTATTTAGTTGCATATATTTGAGAAAATTTAAAAGAGGACGAGAATTTTATTTACAACCACTCATATATAATTATAAAAACTCAAATTGTTTAAGTCCTTTACATGTGAATAATAAGGAAAAGGAGTATTCTAGTTCCTTATTTATGCAAAACAATTTCGAAATGTATTCCACAATGAATAATAGTAATTGTAATAAAATTACAAAAAATAATTACATTATAGAAAATGAAATAAAATTTTTAGAATACATCAACCAATTATATAACCTAGAATGGTTTAATAAATTTAATGTTCATCATCTATATAATATAAATAAAATTCACTCAAGTGTTTCTAAATTTATGAATTTGAATAGTAAATGTACACTTGACAGTAGCCATGGTACTATTGTGTGTTGTTACATACCTATCTTTTATAAAAATATTTCCGAGTCTTATAGAAATATATACAAGTTTTTATTGTTAACCAGATATTACGAAAGTCTTCAATATTTACCCAAGATTTGTAAGAAGAGAAGACAAACAAAAAATATGTTTGAAGTAGAGAAAAGGAATAGAATCAGAACCAAGAAAGGAGATCATGATGGAACTAACTCCAGAATGACCCAATCCATCGAACACAGGAACAAACATTTTATTGAAAAAAATGCAGGTGGTATGTCGACTTATGAGAAAGATGCAAGAACGCGTGCATCTAGGAAAGAAAAAATGTGTAATGATATTATACCTATGCATAAAGGAAAAAGATCTAAAAAAAGAAAAAACTATTTGCTCAATGAAAGCAAAAGGAAGAATCATGCACTAAGGGATAATAGCACAAACTTCAAAAATTATCAAAGCATATATTTTGATGAAAATTTTAGTAAAATGAATAAAAACCTGGAAAATATCAATTGCTCAAATTTATCAAATAATAATGTAAAAGCATTCTATCACGATGATGCAAATGATTTGTTTCATGATGATACTCAGAAAACAATCCCTCCAGAAAAATACCCCATACCATATGAAAATCATTATATCAGCTTTAACAATTATTTAATATATAAAAGAGATTTTTTAAAATACAGTTCCTGGAAGGAAAACCATCTTTTCATATCCCTAAAGGATGTAGAATGTCATAACCATGTGAGGAAAAATGGGGCCAAAATTAAGAACAAAGGAGTGAAAAAAAATAGGAAGCTAAAAAAATGTTTCAATTTTTATATTCACATGCATGCGTCTAGCATTAACGTGGATCCATATTTCTTATCTGTGTACAATTTTTACTTAGTGAATAATTTAAACAAGAACTTAATCGCGTACGATATAAAAGAAACAAAAGATTATTTTATCCATAAATATAATCAAATGAAGCATTACTATAACCAGACACTTGGATCGAGTGAACTAAATGGTAACGTTGAAACTGATTCGACATTGAGCTGTTCTAAGGGTGAAGAAGAAGAAAGAAGTATAAAAAAAAAAAAACAGGGTAGAAAAAATAAAGAGAAAAATACTAAAAATAACAATTTCACAAGAGATATCCTTAAGTATGTGGATCAAAGGAAAAGGAATGAGGAAAAGAATATACAGAAACAATTACTTTCCCTTAATCTACCGAAAAAATTAAAATTATATAATCTTATAAATTCTCTTAGCACGGCTACATCAAAAATTAAAGCCAAACTAAAAAATAACAAAGTTTTAATTAATCTAGATATTAGAAATATAGATGTAAATGTACTTGATTGTTCATATATTCACGATAGTAACTATTTACTAATAGATCACGTACACCCTTTTTATAATAAGCGCTATATGTATATGTCAAAAGAAGAATACGAAAGAATCAAAAGGAAAAGTGGAAATCACTCAAACGATTTTTCACATTTTGAATCTGTTGAAAATAAACATTTTTCAAGCACTATAAACAAACTAGTTTTCAAAAGGTTTACAAATTATTATTATGATAACTCGTTCTACATAATTTCTATTAATGCAAATAAGGTGAAGAGAATATCAACACAATTATATTCTACTATTATAATGAACAATGTTATTCGACATGAAAATGTCAATGATGTGCTAACCATCATTGTTTATAATTATAGTATGAAATTCTCTAATTTAAAACTGAAAAAAATGAGAAACATAACAATGGATGGAAAAAATGATATACAAAAGGGTTTTGATGAAATATGCCGAGAAAAGAAACAAGACGAATCAAAAAAAATAAAAGAGGATAAAGAATATAGAAAAGGTGAAAAGAAAAAAAGGAACAATGTAAATTATTTTAATAATATACAAAAAGAAATTTCAGGCAATTATAATGGCAAGGTAAATGTGAAAAATTCTGTAAACAATTATAGTATGCTTAAAAACACGAAAAATTTAATTTATGATGATATGATAAGAAGCAATAATAATAAAAAAATCTTTACACAGTATATGAATGACCACATAGATAAAGAGTTAATGTCTATAAATACAAATTCATCTTCTTCATTATGGTCTTTCTCTGAACAAACTTCTTTTTCCGTATCTGAAACAGCATCTACCACAAGTTCTCACCCATCCGTATCGATTAACTCTCTCTTATCATATAACTCCAAAATTGAAAATGAAAATTTAAAAGTTCTTTCAGAAGCACAAATAAGAAGAAGACACAGATCGACTTGTGAACCGTTCAACCTAGTTAACAGAATCAAATTAAAAGATATGCATTTTGAAAGAATTAAAAGACATAAAAGAGATACTACCTATTTTTCTGATACTATATACACGAAACAATCCACATCGTTAAGGCAGTCATTTATGTCTAATAATGAAAATGAAGAAAGCATGAATATTCACAATTTTAAAACAAGAAGTAGACGTTATGAGAAGAACCATGTTGAGTATGAAGAGGGAATAAAAAAAAAAAAAATGAAAACTCGATTTTATAATCATGTTAAGAAGATATATAATAATATGGCTTCAAAAAATAAGAAAATAAAATTAGTTATAAATAGCATTGTTGAAAATAACAAGTGGTCAGTTCATGTGGAAAATCTGGTACTTTACTTACCCCATTATAGTATGGGATTTAAATTTTCTGTATACTTAAATAAGTTCATAATATATGATTACAATAAAATAAATATATGTAATAATATTTCTCAATTTCGATTATTCCTAAAGAACAATGCTCATAGAAAATATTTGCAATTGTGCAATAAAATAATTTGTACATTTAATTATTTACATAAAAATAAGGCATTATTGAAAGGAAATATAAGGAGAAAAATTGTTTTAGAAAACTTAAAGGACGAAATATATAATAATCAATTTTATATGATAGCAAATGAAAATGTGAAAAATATTGATTTCGTTGTAGATATTAAGAACACTAGATTTATCCTACATAACAAAACAATTATGGATTTAATAAACTATTTCACAGAATTGTCAAATAGTATTTATTCATTTGTTTATGTATATTCTATATATCCAGAAATATCCTTTGATAAATTTTATTATTTCAGCTCCTGCATAAATGTAGATAATTTCCAAAAGGGTCTATTACTATATAACAATCTTTTGAATAACTATATTGCTATGAGTAAAAATGGCAAGGTACCAAATGATTCACGAAAGGGAATCTCTTCACATAGTGATAATAAGAACATTAATTCATCTTCCATAAGTGAATATAACACGAGGGATACAGAAAATCATCTATTTGATCAGTACGATAATTCTGAAAATAGGGATCGGAGTGAGAGTAATAGTATAAATATCCTTCATGGTTCAGAAAAGGGGCTGAATAATCATTATGGAATCAAGGGAGAAAATGAAAGCGTAAAAAAAGGAAGAAACGTATACCAAAGGAAATATGATAAAAATGTTAACTGCTCAGATTATGAAAGCAAATTTATAGATGAAAGTGAACATGCGTCTGACATAAGTACAATAAATATTCTTATGGATAAAATATATACTCATAAAAACAAATTAATCTATAAATACTTAATTATGAACAAATTCGAATATCAAACAACATTTCATAATTCATTGAAAGAATTAAATGATAAAAATTACTACTTTTTAGCATTCATAAATAACAACTTGATTTTCTTCTTATATTTCTACACCAAATATAAGAGTATTTTAAATTACACATCCAGAGAAGATGTATTCAGGCTGAGACAGAACTATGAATATTCAATTAAAAAGATGAAACATAGCTCTTTAGTAAATGCTAAAAAGATATATGAAAACTTAAGGTCGAAGAAAAAATTTATAAATGTAAAGAATCCAAATGGTAGTAAAATTCATACACATAAGGAACAGCTGAAAGTTTCTACCTCCAAAATAATGGAAAAAAAAAAGAAAAAGAGGAAAATTAAAAAATATATCAAATATAATAATGAAGGTGTGCATAATGAAGGTGCGCATAATAAAAATAAAAAAATGTACTCTTCATTTGAAGCATGTACAAGTTCTCTCAAAAATAGAAAAAAATATGCAGATTCTCATTTTGATATAGAAATGAAAGGGAAAATGGAACTATCTGAAATAAAACATATTAAGAAGGAAGCACAACATATCCAAGAAAACACAAATAGTGATTATATAACAAATGAGTATGAAGGGATGATTCCATATTACAGTTTTGATATCATGAAAAATGAGAAGACTCTGGAAAAATCTGGATCAGTCATATATGACAAGTTGAACAATGATAAGGCAGAGGAATACAAGAAGAAAAAGGATAATAACAACACACACGTGGGAAAAGGCTTTTCTAGAAAATTAAAAACTACCATTCGAAATTTCTTTACTAGAAGAATATCATCTCATCTGTTAGGAAATAAAAACATAGACAGAGGTAACAAGAGAGGTAGTTTCTCAAACTCTTCTAATGGGTTATTTTCAACTGATTATAATAATTCCTTACATAAGAAGGACGACAAATCTGATATTAGCTCACCAAGTGATGATGTAATTGCGTTTAATAATTTAAGTAATTTGTACAAAAAATGCATTTCTTTTAAGATGAAAATAAATAAATTCGAATCGTGGGTTATTCAAGACGATTTGATGAATTCCAATAGTGCGAAAAATCGAAATGTAGAAATGAGTTCATTGTTAAAAAAAAAAGGAAATAAAAACATGTTTTTTCATTCTCCCTCTTCGGATAATCATAAATTGTCGAAAATAAAAAAGAAAACGAGAAATAGAAGACGCACAAGCATAAACATGATTAGCGAATCGAACAGCAATATGGATGATTATTTATGTGATGGAGTGAATGATGATAAAGAAATAAGTATAAAATCTTATAGTTCTACAAGTTCGAGTAGCAATTTAAACATATTGCATATTTTAGAAAACTCCAAGAATTATTTTAACACATATATGAATAAAAAAATTAACAAGCAGATCTTTTATCTAGCCAGAAGGAGAATATCCAAAAACGACTATGATGATTTCAGTGTAAATTCCAGATCTATAATTAGAAAGAAAAAAAATAATTTAATATGCAATGAGCTGAAAAAAAATGAGGTTAAACTAGGGACTCAAGATTCTGTCGATCCTATCGATTCATTTATTTGGGATGATCTATCTTCTTTTAGCGATTATACATATCGTAATGAAAAGGTACTGTCGCGCTTTCTAGGTAATTCCAGTAGTAATATGAATATATATGCTGACAGATATGTAGGAGAAAACAACCTTTTTAAAGCTTTAGCCAAAGAGAAAAGGAAAAAAATTAATGAGTATCACAAATGGAAGAAGAAAAGGCAGAAAAGGAAAAATATAAGAGACAATAATAGAAACATATGTTTGTCTATCATATTTAGCATTGACACTTATTATAAGGAGCAGGAAATAGTAGATTCCTCTAAATTTAAAATAGAAATTAAGAATTTGAACATCATGTTGGGGAAATGCTTTAATTTTAATGACATACATGACCATCTCAAGTTGTATAGGAGCAATAATAGTTTCAGGACATCTGTGTATACTTCTGCAATTATAGATTTAAATAATGAAGATGATACTAGTCAAAGGGAGAGAAATTACGAATACAGGAAAAATTCACCCAATCGAAATAATGAAGTTGTCAATTTAGAAATGGAATATGCCTTTTATGACAACACCAACTTTTATAATATCTACTATAGCGAGATGAAGAATATAAATAAGGTTAGGAAGATGATTAAATATAGAAGTGTGAGGAAAAATTTAGGGGATCAGGAGTTAGTTCAATATGGAAAAACTAGAAACTATTCAGAAATTGCAAATCACGAGAATCTGTCGAGTAATGACCTGAACATGGATGTAGAAAATACAGAATATAACAAGGCAATAAAAAGCATAACGTTTAGTTCCACGCATGAAGAGGAAATCAAAGATCGCTTTAAAAAACACAAAAATGATAAAAATGACAGAAGCGATAAAATCGATAAAAATGACAAAACGTTTAACAACAATAATGATGAATCATTGGGGATGGATAGGGATCTATTTTTACTGAAGCATAAGCACAAATTGGTATATAAAGACAAATTTAACATATTTTTGAACGAGAACAATAATATATTTATGCCAAATATTAAGGATGAAAATGATTGGTTATTAAGCATCAATAGTGTTTATTTGCATGTAAATTCATTAAGTGCTAAAAGAACTTTTAACATAAGCGTTCACGAACTCCTCATTAATTTAACCATAGATAATATAAAAGAATTGTACAAATTTTACAGAAATTTTAGTTACAATATTTACTATGCTTATTTTTATAAAAATTATCTTTCGTTTGTTAGAAACATATATGTTTTACCATTTTTGCATAAGGACAAAGCATGCATTGAAAAGTCTAATGAAAAACTGAAGATAAATGGAGTGTACCTAAATTGTATGAATAAACTGAAAATTTTAAATAAAAATATTTTTCATAACAAAGGAAAAATGGTTAATAGGAAGAACTCAACGGATAGAAAACTAGAGGAAAAAGAAAGAATTAAAGAAACGTGCAATAATTTGCACGCCTCGAATTTATCTAATAGTCGAAATAGTCAGATTGATACTAATGAAATGTATCATATTGTTGAAAGGAGAGATAAGAACCCGTGCAATGATAGAATATGTGAAGACATATTGGATGATATACCTATTAATAATGACCAAAGAATTATTGAATTAACTAAAAAAAGAGGAATAGTAATAAATGACCATCAAACATGCAGAAATAAATATATCAACATGAATGATACAAATGAAGTAATCCATGATATGCATGAGGAAGTAGATAGCAAATATACCCCACAAAATAGCGAACAAGGAGATGTATACAATCTGATTAAGGAAAAAACTATATTAATTCAAAATATGGAAGAAGATGAAATTTATAAAAGTAATAATATTACAACCGTGTATAATGTTCGTAAATATTTCTTAATTAAAAATTTTAATATATATAAAAATATGGTCCATTTTTATGGAAAAATGCAGACATTTATCGGTTTAGATAATAAAAATACCATATATTCTGAAATTATTCATGCATTGAAAGAAACATATATAATGGTAGAATTGTACAGAGAAAATCTATACTACTTGTATAGTCAACTATTTTCAATTATTAGAAATATTAATGATGAGAAAAATATAATATGTCATGATCTTGTGTTTGTAAGATTGTTAAACTGTTTGTATGCATATAATAATAAATACGTTGCTAATTTGTTTTATTATTTATTTGTTTTTTCGAAATATAATAAATTTTCCTATTATTTATGTAACATTCATAAATATTTTGATTACAAATATTTTACCTATTTTACAAATAAGATTACTAATATTATCACATGTCATGTTAGAGGAATGTTGAATAAGGAGTTCACAAGTTCGTTTAGTCACAACTACTTTGATGATTCTTACTCTTTAAAAAAGTCAAGTCATGAAAAGGACCTACCCATGTTACACAGCAAAGACAGTGGATCCATCATAAATGAAAATTTTGCTCTTCAGAAAGAATTAGACGAAAATATTAAAAAGGAGGAACTTATTAAGGAGAATGAAGTTATGAAAAAAAATTTATCATGCTTGATTATTTCGGCTCTACTTTATCTATACCGACCGTTCATGTACAAAAAAAAAAAAAATGTACAAATGACAAATAAAATGAATGAAAATTTTAAAAAAGTGTTAAAACGGGAGGAATATCCATCATATCTTTCTGGAGAAGATAACTTCTTACTACGACACGATAGCAATATTACACAAATGGACAACAATGATGCTTTTTTCGAAATTAATAGAGAAAGAAAAATGGATGATATAAACATTCATAATGAAAATAGTGGAGAAATAAGCACCAATCTGAGTAACACATACAAATTTGACAACCCTATGGAAGATACTATGTTGTCAGAGTTAGATTCAATAAATTCGGATAATGGTAATGGGACAGAAATCATGAAAAACAAGTCCTATATGTTTCATAAAAAAGGAATAAAAATAAAAATAAAAATTCGAGTAAATAATATATGTCTGAAAATTCATCAATTGAACAAAGAAAATATATTAACATTAGATTTGTATGATTTGAATTATTATCTGCTGACATGCCTTTATCGGTATCATTTTTTTTTCCACAATACAAATGATCATCTTAGTTTTTATCTCAACGACAAGGTAGAAAAAATTAAATTTGAGGATATATATGCAATAAAAGAAAAGAATAAAATGAAAAAAAATGTTAGCAATAACTTGTATATGGATAATGCGTGGTACGAATTATCAACAGGAGAATCGGCTATGCAGGATTACATGTATGTCACAAAGTGGGGAAATAAAAATAAGAAAAATAGGAAGAATTGTATTAAAATGAATTTTACTTTTAAAATAGGACTAAAAACTTATGACAATATGTACAATATACAAGATAACATAATAAATTCTATAACATTCAATTTTATAATAAACGAAAAGTTTAAATATTTTCCCACATTACATATTAATTTTTATGCAACAAGTATAAATTTAAACATCACGACCTCATTTCTATATTTGTATAAATATTTATATGCAAATTTAAATTTCAAAAAAGATTTTAACGATGTTAAAAATTCCAATATTGAAATATATAACGATCTTCATTCAGAAATTATAATATTTTATAAGACAAGAACGAAAAATAACAATTATAGATGGAAGTTAATTATTATAAACAAAAATGAATATTACCAATTTCCATGTGAATGCCTCTATTTTTGCATCAACAAAAAAAATGAAAAAATAAAAAATAATTCTGAATATCACGAAATGAATATGAATTCGGAAGATTTCACAATTACCAATGAACATGACCTAAATAATGTTTTTAGGGATATATGCAAAATTGGATTTAAAAAAAGAAATTTGCACAATTCTATCTCAAAGCATGAGAACCATTTGCTCTATGATAATACACAAAGTGTGTACGATATTTTGTATCAGTTTACATATCGGATGCCATTTCTCTATAAAAACTATGACAATCATAATAAAATAATAAACATAATAAAGAATAAACCTTCTTGGATATATATCGGAGTTCTGTATACGGATGATCTGTACTCTAGGGCATACAAAATTCCAAATGTAAGGAGGCAGAAATAGAATCAGTGAGAGGGTCTCAAAAAAAAAAAAAAAAATTGACCGAGTGTTTTTTTTTTTTTTTTTTTTTTTTTTTTTTATATTTCATCACTTTATTGCTTGTGAATATACATGTATGAACATATTACCAAGTGAGAAAATTCAAAATGATTGCTTAATAGAGATATTTTTGCAAATAATATATAAAGTATTGCATTTCTGGCAGTGATGATTAGTACTAGCATTTTATACAACGAGAGATATACATCAAATGTTCTCGTTTTTGTACCTATAATGATATATTTTGCTCCACGAAATTCTGATATGTGTGTTAATTATTCATATGCACAAAATGTTCATTTGTTTTTACCGTTTTTAATTTTTATACACACAATTAGGTGAAGCATAATTTGCTGGTCGAACCAGAGATAATACGAAATAAATGGTGTCTATCCATAGGGACATGCATACAAATAGAAAACAACTCTGGACTTTATTTTCGAATTTATAAAGAAGGTAAAACAAAATATTTTTCGAGAGTGAACTTCAAATGGAAGTTAAAGAAGAACAAAAAATGCAGTGGTAGATATTCCACGTGGGATGCAACTGATGGAGAAACAGGAAACCAAAAGCAAAATAGAAAATATAGAGAGAATTTAAAGCGTTATTCTCATCATAATAATAAAAACTTTATATCTTATATAGAAAAGAACAGGAAAAGGAATAGAGAAAGAAATGGAGGTTACATAAATATACTTCCATTCAGTAAGAGAGCCATTCCATTATTTTGGCTTTATGATTGTAGCTTGCCTTACATAAAAATTCTTAGAAAAAAAGAAAAAAAATATAATATGAAAAATTTAAGAAAAAGCAATAATGAAGAAGATTTAGATATTGAAGCTGTTCCATTTCATATATTGTACAAGCTTTTAAACAAATATTCATTAAGTAACAATAATATATACCAGAAAAAGTTGGATATATCTCCGTGTGAAATAACGTTTAAAGGCTTGCTTATGTTTCACTGTTTTGTCAAAGTAAAGGATGTACCAACACAGCATATAAAAGATACATCATACAACTACACAGTTGTTATTGAGCCCATGGTTACCATAAAGAATAATTTACCCAACCCAATTACTGTGATTGTGAGATTGAAAAAGGAAAAAAGATTATTTAGTATTTCTAACAAAAAATATGAAAATAAGGAAAATGAAAAAGTGATTTATAGGAAAAATTATCAAATAAATGATGATATTACCAAAATTTTGAAAAAACAAGAAATTTTTGCTCTTGTTCCACCGCATCATTATTGGTGTTTACCGATCTGCACTCAGGCATTTTATATGAAAGTATTTTATCATGGATTTCAAATAGAAAAAATGAATTTCATATATGACTATGCCAATGAGATTAAGGGTTACTATGATTTTAAGGATGTCAAACTCCCTGAATTGAATGAGTCCTTTTATGGCAGCAACATTAACAGTGCGATGAATAAGGGAGAAGGTGGTATCGCCAGGGATAGCAATAAAAAAGGGAATAGTAGCAATGATAGCACCCATAATAATGGCAATAATAGAAGCAATATCAACAAAGATATCAACAACACTATGAGCAACAATAACAACGAAAACAGTAGCAAGAACTATGACAACCCTTCATACATCAAGGAGGAATATAGAATGAACGTAAACTACTGGCAGAACAGAAATAGAGCTTCATCAAACGCTTCGAGAAATAGACAATTGATATACGACGAGATAATAAAAGAGTTTCAAAATAATAAGAGAAATGGAGACAATACGAGTTATAATGATCCGAATTCATATAGAAAAACTGTGTGCGATATTTTGTCAAAGAGCAATTTAAACAATATGGATATTTTCCTTCTGAATGAAGAAAATAATCATGAAGGAAGAAGTGCTTACAAATACAATTTCTTATATGCAACTGAAGGATTTTTTCCCATATATATGCCAACAACTGACACGATTACTTCAACGAAAGTGTTAAATCATAAATGTGGTTTAATTGGTAATATATTTTCATATGATGAATTAAAATTTATATATTTTGAAAATAAAGTGAGTCAAATGAATAAGAAAGTTTATGATAATTTACACATTTTTAAAAATATCACTATCTCTGCTGATGTATCTAGGAGAAAGATTGATTTTTATTTTCCCTTTTTTTTCGAGAACACAACAAATGTGTGTATATATGTGAATAATAAATTGTTACCACCTAATAGTCGATTATATATGACTGAGGAGGAAGCCAAAAGTGTAAGGATCAAATCTTATAAACATGATTATTTTAATAATTTAACATTATGTAGTAATGTTAGTAGCAAAATAGATTGTACGAAAACTAATATGATACGCCCATTAATCAATTTAGTATACAGAAAAATAAATAGAAAACAAAAAGTACGTTTTTGGGAAAAATATGAAGAAAAAAAAAAAAAAAATGACAATATAACAAATACACCATGTTTAGAAGACGAAGAAGAACACACTAACATTGATGAAATCGAAAAGGCAAGAACATCAAATAGCTTCAAATTAAATATATTAAAAGATGCAAATGATGATATGAAGAGGAAGCAGGATAATTTAATTAATATTTATAAGGACTTAATGCACAAAAAGGACGCGAATACTACCCTTGACGCAGATTCTAAAAATTGTCTTACTTATGATGAAAATATTGAAGAAAAAAAAAAAGAATTATGCAAAAGTATCCCAAATGAACTTATAGAAAAGACTGCAGATGTTAAACGCACAGACCATTTAACGGACAATTACTACATTCCCACTAATAAGAACGATTTAGATTATTCTAATTCAAAGGTGTCTGACTTGTCTGTTAATGCGCATGTGAAAAAGGAGTATAATACGAAAATGAAGAAAATACACAAGTATAAAAATGCAATTAAAAATATCCTGATGAGCAAAAGGACACTATTTAAGAAGATAAAAAAAATGGGTCAGAAACCATCAGTACCAATTGATAATTTTAAAAGAATTAAAAACTTTCGATTATTCAATAAAGGCTTAAAAAGAGATAAAATTCATCCAGAGAGAGAGGATGAGGAATATTTCGAACATGTGAATGAGAGGGGAGAATCCTATGACAATGATCGTAATGAAGATTCTGGAGATAGCAGCTATTACTATGGAAATGATAATGACAAAAAGTTAAAAAGAAAAAGTAAGAAAATAGGGAAAATGAGAAGGAAAAAATACAAATACTACAAAAGAAATAAAGGACATAAAAATTTCTTTAGTAAAAAATTGTATTCTTTAGGCAATTTTGATCAAAAGTATTTTAAAAAAGAAAAGGAGGAGAAGAAGAAGAAGAAAAAGAGGAAAAAAAAAAAAAAGGTATCATCTTCCAAGGGAGAAAGAGGAGGAAGTGCACATGATTCTTTCTCCTCTGAAAATGAAAAATCATATGAAACTTTACATACATCACAGTTAAGTTTTAGCATTTTTCATCTGTTTAAGGAAAAGGACGAAACATTAAATGGCGAAGAATTTGATGAAGATATCTCTGAAGATAATGCAAATGAGCAAATAGAAATTGGAAAGGATCTAGCAGAAGAGGAAGATGAGGAAGAAGATGAAGAAGCGGAGGAAGACCATGATGATATGTACAATTCAAATGAGAGAAAGACGATTAAATATGACAGTATTTTAAAATTTAGTCTAATGAACATGGGAAATAAAAAAGGAAAACAAAAAGAGAAAAATAACTTAAAACTTAAGAGAAATATAAAAAGGAAGAATAAGAAAAACCGATTTAATGTGACTCCTTTTTTTAGTACCATGGATAAGGGACATAAGGAGGAGCAGGAGGAGAAGAAGAAGAAGAATAAGAAAAAGAAAAAAAAAACACCCATTGGACTGTCCAAAATTAGGAAAAATGGAAAATCAAGTTTGATAAAATATAGTACGCGTAGCAATTCGTCAGATAGTGATAATATGAACATTGTTTCAAATAAAAGAAAAAAATTTGATGAAGAGAAAAATGAACATGATACAGATATAAAGGTAACTTTCCAGGAGAACGATCTGAATTCCAGTATGAATAAAAAAGATGTGCAGGAAGTAAATGAGGTTGACAAAATAAATATGAATGGAGATTGTTATGAGGTAGTGAATGAGGATATGAATGCAAAAGATAATGAACATGATAGGAAAAGAAGAATATCATTGAGAGATTTTCCCATAAGTAAGAAAGAAAGCAGAAAATCAAAAAATCAAAAAAAAAAAGATTATTATGATGGAGGATCCTTGTCTTTAGGAATATGTGTCAGATATGCAGAAGAGCCTTTTAATAAATCCAAAATTGTCACATTTGTCAATAGCTACATATTTATAAACAGATTACCGTTTGACATAAAAATTTCAACAGATTCGGTTAGAAAGTCGGCTAGTATTTTTGTAACCCAAAATGCAAACTTTCATCGAGATTTTAACCATACATATAAGGAATTTATACCAATGGAACCAATAAATACCAACAGAGGCGTAAATAACATTAAATCTATCAATAATTTATCAATGGAAAATGAAATATGCACAAATAATATGAACGATACTAATAGGGTTAAGGAAAATTCAAAACTCGAAATTTGCAAGGATCAAACAGTAGATATGGAATCCTTCAGAATTTCTGATAATAAAACGGAAAACTCTATCATAAAGAGTAATAGTAGAAAAACGTCCAATATAAATAACAGTAGTTTTCACGAAAGTGTGACATATAATGAAAATAAGAATAATGTCATTATAACAAATAGAAATTCCACAAATTATGAAAATAACGAAATACAAAATAAGGAGACTAATAAAACAGATCAGAATACAGGAAACAATAATAATAAAAATTTAAAGAACACCGACACAGCAAAAAAAAATGAGACTTTAATAAAAAGTGGAGAAATTACATCTTTCCACTATCATAGGAGTTATATAAAAATAAAGGACAGCAGTGAAGAGTACAGTTCATTGCCATTTTCATTAATTCCAAAAAATGTTCCTTCAAATTTTCAAATAGAATTATTTAATATTAATAAATCACAAATAAATAACACAAATAATTTATTAGTAGAAGTAAATGTATGTAGTGGAATTTTTGGAGATAAACAGCAATTGCCATATACATATAATGGCTATTTTTACATTCTGAGTTTACCAGTTAGACCACAATTTGAAATTATTAATGCCACGAAGTTTATAATAGCTTATGCAACTGATGTAAATAAATATACAAAAAAGTATATGAATAATTATGATTCTTATTTTGGTAGAAGCACAAAAAATGGAGATTTCCCTGTGAAAATGATTTATCCTTACAGTTCTATATACTACACACTGAGAAATAATAACGAAATTGAGTTATCTAAAATTGCTTTGAAAATTGTAGGGGTTCAGAAAAGCTCATGGTGCATTAATTCAATTAATTCCTTTATTGATAATGTTGTTTTGTTGCCTTATAGAGTATATGGGGAAAATAAGCTATCGTCCAAAAGAAAAGCAAAATCTAGAAAAAGTAGATACAAGAACAGAAATGATGCCTATATTTTAACAAATAGAAAAAATTCAGAAAAAACACCTTTGGAAAATTATGGTAGTAATGTTTTGACTAGATTCCACTCGAATGACAGCTTTTCAGATGCAGATAATGATAACGGGATTTTTAGTGAAGAGTTGGAAAAAGAAGAGGTTGGAAAGAGAAAGCAAAAAATCGAAAAGGATAATATTTTCTTAGGACATAATTTAGTAAATAAAAAATTATATTCCTTTTTAATTATAAGAGATAACGGAAGTAGAGCTATTGTTATTACAGAAAAGTATAATTTAGCACGAGAAATAGTAAGTACAAAAAATTTTAGCAAAATTCATAAATTGTTAGCTATAAGTAGTAGAAGGAAACTTTTATTATCAAATAAGCATATTAATAGAAAATATATGTTAGATTATAAAAAAATGAATTTTGTTTATTTTAATTTTCCAAATGTTCCTATAATATACAAAATTAATATTCCTAGATTGACAATTACATGGATTCATAGACAAGATGTGGTAATAGCTATTCATTTAACGAATTTAAAATATAGTGGTCATATATATCCTAAAGAAATAACAAACTATGACATAAATCACATGTTTACTCCTATCAACATTTTAAAAAAAAAAGAAGTAGAAGAATACGTACAATATGTTTTTCTAAATAGTTATATAGATTCCATTTTTCTAATTGAGCAAATACATATAGATCATTTTGTAAAAGGAGATATTCCTGTCATTTTGAAAAATACAAATATAGAAGAAAATGAAGATATATTCTTATACATACATGTAAAACAGTACTGTGTTGATTTGCTTAAACAAGCACCTATATATCAAGGCATAACGATAAAAATTTCCCCTATCAATGCAAATATTGAATTGTTGGTTATTGAACAATTAATAGAAATTATGGAAAAAGAAAAACAATTACTATTGCTGTATGAAAAGGAAGATAAATCGTTACCACCTCTCATTGCAACGTCTGAAACTGCAAAGGATGCTATAAATACCACTTTGAAAATATTTTCTGATACGAAATTTCTAAAAGCATTGTATATAGAAGATTATGTAAAACGAAAGACAGAGAATAATTTTATTTTGAGAAATAACCAAATTTTGAATAATAAAATAATTTTAAATGCTGCAAATAGAAATGAAAATAATTATAGAAGGATGCATAACTATAAGAAGAAAATTGTAAAGGAAAACGAGGCTCTTATGAAATCCAATGCATATTCTTACTATTTTAACTCTCAAAAGGCTAGAGTAACAGCACATAATAGAATGATAAATATTAACAACATAACAGAAAAAATGTGTTCAGAAGACTCGACCAATAGTTCCATATCTACCAATTTGACAAACAAAGATAAGAGTAACAATAATACTATACATAAAAAAATTTGCAAAGTGTTAGTTGGATATTATAAATATAAGAAAGTACATAATTTAATTAATAACACTTATTATGACATTAATAATATCAATGATGAACGTTTATTACCACTTAAAATTCAGTATTTTAAAAAACCCAAAATTTTTATGAATGCATTTTCATCTCATTTATTTTTACATCCAAATCCAAGATGGATTGACAGCAGGAGCAAACCAGTATATATCAGAGAATTTAAAATTAACCCAATTGAAATCATAGCATCTGTTAGAACATCAGAACATCGAATTTCAAGAAGAATATTACATATTGTAGATGCATTACCAGTTGATACTCCATCTATGCGTATACATTTGATATCACAGAAAAGGAATTATATTGTATGTACATGGGATGGATTATTTCAGTCTTTAAAAATATCTTATTTTAGACAACTGTTGAGACAATCATTACCAAGTGCATGGTTATCAAACCCCTTTGCATTTATTAAAGGATTTATTAAAGGAATTATTGCACTCTTTAAAGAAACTATAAGAGGTGTTAAAACAAGTTCTAACTGTTTTGATGGATTCATGTCAGGATTTAAGTGCGGTATAATCATACTTGTTGTTAACACAGTAGGAGGATTATTTCAATCATTAAGTCATATGTTAAATGTCTGTCATAAAATAATGGGGGGTTCAAGGCCCAGACCTCCAAGTATCTTGGATTCTATAATTCTCGGATTTGATGGATTGATCCTAGACACATTTTATAGACCTTGGGTTTCGCTATTCAATGAACCAAAAATTTCTCTTAACAAAGGAAATAGCAACCTAAAAACGGTATGTATTGTAATTGGTTGCATTCTTAGATGTCTATTTTCTCCAATTTTTGGCTTATTAAACCTTTTTGCATCCATAACGGAAGGATTTGCTAATACACTTATAGGAGATTTCGAGAGATTTTCCAGGGTTCAGGAGCGTGCGGAATTTGAAACAGAAAAGGTGCATAACAGAATTTCTTCCATGAAAAAGGGGAAAACATTTATGAAGAAGACTGTTAGATATGACAACAGAGTGTAATGTGCGTGAGCGTTGCATTGTGAAGATTACCACATTTCATACATGCGTTTCGTCATTTCAAGATGTATTGTCCCTCAGCAATGCATTTTTTCGTAAGGTAATTTATTGCAAAATGCCGATCTGTGTTCTTATGTAGCCACTTGATCATGAAAAATTACATATTTGTGGACCTAGTCACCTTCTTCGGTTTCAATGGAGCATTCCCTTTTATTTATTTATTTATTTTATTTTATTTTTTTTTTTTTTTTCTTATCATTAGAGTTATAGAGCTTCTCACTATCATCACAGAGAGAGTGCATGTTAGTTCTTCATTTCTCCGTCGTAAACAACACATGTCCTTATGCATATGTATATATATATATATATATATATATATATATATATATATATATATACAAACATATGCTTACTTATGTGTGCGCCATCCATCGTAGGGAAAAATTTTTTTTGTGCATCATTTTAAAACCCCATATTTATCGCATATAATTATGTATAAACAAACTTACTGTTTGCTATTTAATGATTTTTTTTACTTTCCTTTTGATCTTTAAGTTTTTGCTTCACATGTAGAAAAGATATGTTTCCAGAATGTATAGCTTTTTTTTTTTTTTTTTTTTTTGGTAATAAAGAATCGTTTCAGTACAGCTATTGATGGTGGATTAAATCGGCATAGAAAAAAAAAAAAAAGTTTCATTTGAATTTTTTTTAGTCTTTTTGTGTAGATTCCATGTTACACCCATTGCTATGCTGTGTCTTTGTGCATAAATATATATATATATATACATGCATTTTTATTTTATTTTTTTAATTCCGTTTAAAACATCTTGTATTCTTTTACCAACACAACGAACACAATTTAGCAACATTATTTATAAAAAAATAAATTTTAACAAAATTTTTTCCTCGCCAAAAACAAAAGTATGGTTATTCCTCAATGCAGAAGACCTCCTTTTGTGTGTAACATTAATCTTTTTAATGTTTACTTTTAGTGTTCCGTTTTGTTTATTACGGTTGACTTAAATTATTGATGGATTTCCGCACAAACCATCTTATCAGTCATCTTCATTTTTAAGCAAAAAAGGGGAAAATGTGTGCCCTTATGAAAGATATAGCCAATCCTGCTTTTTTTTTTTTTTTTTTTTTTTTCTAGAACTCTTATTTATCAGTAATGTTGATTATGCATTCATCTAAAAACACACATATGCAATAAAGTTCTCATCTTTTTAAGGGAACCTTTAACAATTATGAAATCAGAAAAATTGAGAGATTGTGCTTATAAAGTATTTAATAATTCTAATACGAATTTTTTGTTTTTTACATTAAATTAGTTTAACCTGTTTTTTTTAACTGAGTTTATCGTATTCCTTTTTTTTTTTTTTTTTTTTTTTTCTTATTTTTCCCTGATGCCTTTATATATCGACGAATTTGCTACATCTCGAAGTGTTTGTTCCACCCCACAAGGTTTTTACAGCTTTCCCAACATTTTGCGTTATGAATGAAAAACTATGGTTCCATTCTTCCCTTTTCGCGTAACATGAACAAATGAAGGTTTATGTAATATATTTTTTTCTGTACAAAATCCTACTGGCTTATGTGTTAAAACAGAATATGTCAGGAGATAATATAATAAATAGAAGTAGCTTTAAAACCATTTTAAATAAAAGAACCAACAAATTACTGGCACATACCAACAAGAATTTCAGGAAATTGGGAAGAGACAGAGCGCAAAGAAGAGCGCTGCTTAGAGCCCTAACTACCAGTGTATATTTCATATGACAAATTTTTAGCCATTTCAGTCTTCATTCTTTTATAAAATTCTCACATATTACATATATATGCAAGTACACAAAATATACACAAATACAAGCATGTGTTTTTGCATATACAAATACGAAACGTGCTAATAGGCGAACCTTTTATTTCCCCCCATTACAACAGCTTCTGAGACACGGTAAAATAGTAACAACCGAAGCAAAGGCTAAAGAAGCCAGAAGGAAAGTTGACAGAATAATAACCTATGCAAAGAAGCACGATGACAACAGGCAATATGCATACCGATTAATAGCAAATTACGTATATGACAGAGAATTGGCTCTTAACATTGTTAAGCAGGTATTGTGCAAACATGTTGTATGTTATAAGAATTCATCAAAAATTCATATTTTTTACTTTATTTTTTTTTTTTTTTTTTTATATTTTTTTGTATTTTCATTTTATGGCGCTATAGTATACTCCATCTTATTGCTAGCTATACTATATATGTATATGTCTTTTCCTCCTTTCCCACTTTTGTCCTAAAGGCCCCTGTTAGATATAAAGAACGAAACGGAGGGTATACAAGAATAAAGCTTTTACCGAAAAGCCGAAAAGGAGATGCAGCAAGGATGGCTTCATTGGAACTTTTGTAAATGTTATGTATCTGTTTTTCCTCTTTTTTTTTTTTTTTTTGTTGCCTTATTTTTTTATACGACAATATTTACAAGGAGAAGAAATTTATTAACGCAGAATATGACCTTTTCTTTCTTTGAAAATAGTTGTGTGGAAATGTGCATGGGGGGGAGAGTATTCATTCAATAAGCTTGGTCTTTTATAAATAAAATCTTAAAACCTTTTAAATATATGTATATTTTGAAAACATAAAATATAACATGGAACAAATGGTATGTTGTTCTCTATTAGTAGAGACATGTTGCTTAGATTCAGGAAGCTTGTTGCACAAATATTTATCACGTAATTTATACGAAAAGGGATAAGAACCATTTGAATTATATTTCTCAATTTAAAAAAAATAATGTCAATTAGCATACATTGTGGTGTTTCACTCTAGTATAAGTATGGTGTGGCTTTTTACCACAACAATAGGGTTTAAAATTATGTATATGCTTTTGTTCCATTTGTTATGCTAAAGTGGAGGGAACCAATTTATGGAGCTGTAGATTTTGGCACATAGTGTTTATTCAAAATTTTAGAGGCTGTAAAAATATAAAATAGCAAGATAAAAATGGGAGATAATTGAGAACTGGGATATATATATATATATATATATATATATGTATATTGTAATTGATAGTGCTAAATACGATAACTAGGTGTGTGAGTGAGCTTTCCCTTATATCAAAATTACATAAGAGCGGAAATGTTATGACAGATGAACACAAAGTATATTTTTTATTTGAGAGATTTACAAATTCGTTTATTATTTTTCATGACAAAGTGAAAAATGTATTTGATATGCGAATCTTTGTATTGCACATACTTGTGATACATCGGAACAGATTTTACTTACGCCCCATTTCGTTTTATTTTATTTATTTTTTTCTTTTTTCCCTCACTTCTTTTTGTTAGTGTATGTTGTGAATCCGTCGTTAAATAATTTTCTTGAAATAAACACATTTGCATAAACATGTAGAAATTTGGAAAATATAGAAAAACATTTTTTTTTTTTATGTTACTTTTAATTTGCAACAATTTTTTAAAAAATGTGCCAATTTGGAAACATGCAAAAAGAGAGTGATGCAATTTTTATTAGTTTCTACTTTTTCCCCATTTCCTATTTTTTATTTTCTCTTTTTGTTGATACAACACAATGTTCTACGTATAACTTTTCTCTTATACAATTGGAGGATATACTTCATTTACTTGGTCTATCCACAAACTTGCAGGTATGAAAAGGTAAACACACTTATAGGAAAAAGTTTGTATGTGTAGTTGTTATATTTTTGATGTTTCCCAAAGTATAAATTATTTCACAAAATGGTAAAAAGTGTATAGGACAAAAACATGAAAAACTATGCAAAAGAAAACGAAATCGAATAAAGCCAAGTCAAAAGAGGGGTAGTCAAAAAAGACAAAAAATAAATCGAGCTCGCCATTTCCAAAATATGAATTAGCATTTTTTTGTTACGTTAGACAAGATCACACACATTCACAATTATGTGTATCAAACTAAAAAAAAGGAAGGAAAAAAGTTAAATTAAAGCTAAAATTAAATAATAAGGTTGGATATGCAAAACACTTTATCTTCTTGTTCCGTTACATTTTTAGACAATTTAGCTGTTATCTTTTTGTTAACATTGAGTGAAAAAATGAAGTTAAAAAATGTACATAATAAAATGTGCGGGAAAATGCAAGAAAGAAGGCAAGAACGAATTCCAAAAAAAAAAAAAAAAAAAAATACAAAATAAATGAGAACGGAAAACACAACCAATGTTATATATGTATATCATTTCGAATACATATCAGTTTTATTACTAAAATTGACAAAATCGTAAAGACATTTGAACGCTTAAAAAGCTATAGCATTTTGCCTCACATAAAGAAAAAAAAAAAAATAAAATACGTATTTTTTTATACGAATATTTTTCACATAACCAAAGGGAAAAAGAAAAAAAAAAAAAAAAAAATAGAAATAGTTAGCAGTAGAAGAACAAAAAAATAAAATAAGATAAACAAATTGGGCAAAAAAACAAATTATTCATTTTGGCATCAAAGTCAATGAAATCTATGAAATTTCGAAAACCCTTATGAGGAAATACATATTTATAAACATATGCAATAAAATACACGTTTTTATTCATACATTTTTTTCTGCGCAGTTTTGAAAGCAGCAAAGTTTTATTAATTTTTAACGCACAATTAATAAAATTTGAATAACCACTCACAATTTTTAGAAAATTCATTTTGTAAAAAAAAAAAAAAAAAAAAAAAAAAAAATAGAAAATTTTATTTTTATCGCATCTTGCCCAATTGATAAAAAGACAATTTTTTACATGCACTTTATAGGAAACAATAACATTACACACATATATATCCGAGTATGTAATATATCATGAATGATAAAGCTAGTTGGCACAAAATAAATATGCAATTGCAAGTAAATGAAGGGAAAGTGCACCTTTCGTAAATTTTTTTGTAATATATACGAAAAACATTGAGGAATTTTAAATATATGCCCTGATTTATCTTAGCGTGATAATAAAGAAAACAAGGAAAAACGCATGTAAAAAAGTGCAGCGGTGTGTTTGTATATCCATACGTATATTTCTCATTTGTGTGTAAATGTACATATACAGAAATATAAGCATATATACACATATATAGGCATATATATATATATAGACACATCACATACTCACACGCGTTTCCATTGGTACATTCAGGTAAAAAGACGTAGAGGGGGGCAAGTTCCATTATCAAAATTACATTAGGGAAGAGAAGGCAAAAACGACTTTGCCTTGTATGTTTGTACATACCAGTACGTATACACATATATATACACCTACACCAGTGAGCACGTTTATGTATACGATAGCGCATATATGCGTACTACTCGAAGGTACACGGGAAAATAAACAGTTTAAGGAACCTACGACAGAATGGGCATGCTTCACCTGGAAAAAATACACCAAATGGACAGTATGATGAGCTTAATAATGGGAATATTTCTAACCGTAATAGGGTCTATATTTATGGCTATAGCAAACACGTTTATGAAGTTAGGCCTAAGCGACACAAAGAAGAAGAAATACATGTTCACTAACTACTCTTGTGATATGAAATGGTACATTGGATTTGTTATATATTGTTTCGGATCCTTCTTACACATAATTGCACTCGGGTTTGCCCCTGCCAGTACTCTAGCACCCATGAATTCATTTGGCTTAATTGCAAATGCAATTGTAGCGAATATTTATCTAAATGAGAAGTTAGGGAAAATTGAGATAATATCCACTTTAGGAATATTTTTTGGAATTAGCATTTGTGCATGCGCTTCTTTCTTATGTGACACGAAGGAAAAAGTACATTTTAACCCTATTAACATAATTGAAAGCTGGAAAAACCCATGGTATATTTTTTATATTTTTGTTTCCATATTTTTATCATTTTTTACATTAATTTATTTAAATCATCAAGAAAATAAAATTATATCAGAAAATGAAGAAATATATGCAACCAAGAGATACGTGGAATTAAATGCGTATGATGAAAAAAAGGAAGATATTGAAAATGGAAATAATTTAAACAGTTCAATAGATGCTAAAAGATTGAGTGAAACTGTAAATACATACCCCAAAACAATAGGATTATCCTATGGATTTTTAGCTGGGTTGATAGGATCACAATGTGTTTTAGAAATTAAAGAAATTGTGGCATTTTTGAATATCGGGTTGACAAATAAACATATATACAAAACACCACTACCACATCTATGTTTTGTTTTTCTATTGATATCTATTTATCTACAAATACATTTTTTAAATTTGGGATTGACAAGAGGAGATGCAACTCTAGTTGTACCCACTTATTACGTATTTTGGACATTTTTTGGAACATTAGGTGGTTTGGTAAAATTTAATGAAATTGAAAATTTTAATTTTAATTCCATATTATTATTTTTAGTTGGTTTTGTGTTAACCGTTTTATTTATATCTATTCTGGCCGTGCAAGAAATTGCATTTTTACGTAAATATGTCGATAAAGAAGTACCTGATATATCTCTAGACAATTTAGATATTCATGCGCAAGTTTTACAAAATAAAAAATTATCAAAACAAGTTATATTAAACATGGGATTATTTCCCGTTTCCTTACTTGGTACAACAGTTGGCAGAAAAAGGTTTCGTCCATTATATGAGCGATTCAGAAGAACTAGAAGCATTCTATCAGATACCCATATAGGAGATCAGCATTGTGAATATTCCATGGATACTAATATATACAATGCTTATACATTGCCATATGATATATACAATACCAATAAGGACAGCTTTCACACCAAGAAGAAATTAAGAAATACAGATAGCGTGGAAAATACGTATGTATTTTGACGCGAAACATTGACAAAGGAAAGCAAACGAACATATCCATGACTATTGCAGTTGTCCCGTGCCATCAGCACGTAGTACTATAAAATTCTTTTCTTTTTTTTTTTTCGTACAAATGAAATAAGCTAATCTTATCTGAATTAACAGCAATTTAACCTACCTGGAGATATGACCACTCTGTCCTTCAGAAACACTAGTCGCGCTTCTAAGAGTCTGTTCGAGCCACGGTGGTGTGTATATGTTCTCGCGTATGTACCAACACATGTAGATACGCAATAATGTGCATGCATATATGCATATATATAAACGAGCACATACACATGTACATGTCGTTTCAACGCTCTACTATATACATCCGTGTGTAAATTAAAAGATACACTTCTCCCCACTTTGTTTCACCATTGCGTTAAATAATACTTATTTATCCATTAGTGAATCAGTAATATATCTACCAAGGTGGTTCTCATCTACCTATTTTTTTTTTCTTTTTTCACTTTTTTTGTTTTTCTCCCTCCCATTTTACATCATTGGCCAGCTCTTGTTCTTTTAAATATCTTTTAAATATTCGCATTTTTTCTCCTATTTATTTTCCCCAGTAGAAAATATACGTTTTCCTCATTCAACAACTGGATTGCTGTTCATTTGATTACTCATTTACTTGGGTGAGGAGTAACTATTTCCATTCAAATTTTTTCTTCTTGCTGTTTCGTGGCTCGTTCCATGGTCGACTGTTAGCCCATTCGTCCATGCATCATTTGATTATTGCTCTTTTTTTAAAAATTCATTACAAATTATTATGATATTTATTCCTTCATCTCTTTCCCCATCCAATGCATAAATGTCATATGATGGATTCAAGGAGTTACATATTAATGGTCACATTTTTGCAATTAATATGTAATCACACTTGAAACGTCCAGTTTACATTTTTTTTTTTTTTTTTTTTTTTTACCCCCTGAGGTTGTTAAAAATAGAACATTTTTAATAACGAAATAAAGTTGGCATTAATTAATTGCATTAATTATATACATGAGTTTTGGAAGTTCAAAGAATGTATACATAGATATGGCAAACAAAATTAGGGATTTCAAGTGTCAGGACTTAGACTTTTTGAGTAAATAGAAAAGTACATTAATAAACTGATGAATGATAAATTTGAACTTCATCTCTATGTCTCATTTTTTACACATATAAATAAAAAGTGCAAAAAACAAATTAAATTTTTTTTTTTTTTTTTTTGAAATCGGCGATTTCAAACTCATTTTTTAAAAGAATTATTATCAAGGTTACAAAATGATAGCGCAAACTTTTCTAGTCTGGTTTGTTTTGACAGTAACCAAACCAGTAGAAATAACAAATGCATTACGCTTAGCTATGTGTACATATTATATACAATCCCCAACCCAATTTTTTAATTATAAATACACAAATGGTAGTACATTCCATAGAAGAAAGCATGTGGACAGATTAAGCCTTGTTGACAAATCAATTAAAAGTATGGTTACTAATGTAAAATTAAAATTAAGAATTTTAAAAATAAATGGAAAAAAAAATAAAAATAAAATAATAATAAAATACTAAAACAAGAAGCGAAAAGAAAAATATCAAAATATGCATATTTCATTTTGCTATTTTACTTTATAGGTAACGAGCACATAATCAAATTAACAAATAACGCTCAAAAGAAAATCAAAGTAAAATAAAAATGCATTATTATGTTTAAAAAGTGTTTTTCTTTTCCATGTCATATGTAATAAATCCTTGTCGTGTTTAAATAGAAAGTAATATACATAACTGTTATCTTCCACATGAATAACTTCCTTTTTTTAGCAATTAGCAACAGAAACGGATGGAGACAGCTTAATATTAAAGTTATCTGTAAAAAATGGAGGATGTAAAGGTTTGCAGTACAAATTAAATCCTATCATGAAGGTATGAATGCAAATTCATTCAGCATAGTGAAAAAACAAGTTGAGGAAATACATTTTTTTTTTTTTTTTTCGCACTATTGAACTTTCCGTTATGATGCGTGAACTCGCACACACATCACTACACAATTTTTCCCTTCGTTAAGGACGAAATCGAAGAGGATGACTATATACAGCAATTCGAAGAATTGATGTTCATTTTATGCATAGATGCAACTAGCGTTATTTACATTTACAATAACATACTAGATTATAGCAACGATTTAATTAATGGTGGATTCAAGTACGTTTTTATAATAAAATATATATAACAATTTGTGCTTTTTTATCTGATAATTTTTTGTGTTTTTTCACAAAATATTCATTTTGCTAATATGTTTGAGGTTGATGTATCTATAAAAATCACCGTTTGGAGCAACATGTACGACTTTTATGCATTGTCTACTCTTTTTTTTTTTTTTTTTTATCATTTCCATTTTAGGTTTATAAATCCAAATGCCACTAAAAAATGCGGATGTGGAAAATCGTTTAATGTTTAACTTTTCAGTATAATGTAAATTTAGCTTATTATTTTATTTTATTTTTTTTTGTCCTATTTTTTAATAAGTAATATTGTTTATGTTTATTATTTGTTAACAAAAAATAGTATTTAAATTTCTGAAAAAAAAAAAAAAACTTGTCCTTTTTTTTTTAAATTAATCAAATTTTTTCATATATATTTACAAATAAAAATTAAAAATATAATGATAATCCTTTTTATTAAAGACAATAAAAAAAATAAATAATAATAAATAAAGGGGATAGAAAAAATAGCTTGAGGAAATATATAATGACATTTAAATTGTGCTTATTTGTCACCACTCGAACATCCCCTACATCCACAGTTTACGCACTGCAAAACCTACAAGGGTGTAAAAAAGGGTATGATGGAGGCAATGTACTAGTAAATGTATTATTCAAAATATATTTAATGATATTATGTCGTCTCAGTATGGTAATGGGGTGTAAATATATGAATATGTAGAAACACATGTGTAAACATATGTATATAGATGAGCAACAGTTTTTATCTCTTGGAAACATTACCCTGTCTCCCAAGTTATTTTTTGGTACTCTACAAATGCAAGTATTTCTAAAGTTGCTGTCAGATGACTGAATACACTTGAGACAACATAAATTTTCATATCCCTGCTTCCTCCATTTAGATATAAGAGCACCGTCTACATATTTTTCTTGAACTAAATAGTCATATAATTCCCCTGAGAATGGGTAAACGAATTGTGTGTATGTGTAAATGCTTGTACATACATATATGCAACATGTACAATTATTCTGAATTATAAGAAGCAATAAACGATATATTATATAAATAAAGTAAAATGAATGGAGTTGCCATATAAGGGAGTGATAACGTACTTGATATTTCTTTCCTTTTGTAGTATAATTCGTATATATAGCGAGACGTTTGATGATTTATTTGAAATATAGGCCACATAATTTCATTCTTTCTTTTCTTGGATGTATCTTCATTTTCCAAACTCCTCATCTTTGTGTTCATTTCATCTAAAAATGATTCTACTTTGTTCCACCCGTCAGGTGGCTTTCTTGAATTCATGGTCCTGATGCGAGGCATTTTAGCCAAAGAATGTTTGACGAGCAAGTTGTTGCATTACTATTATTAGCGTGTTGCTGTTTTATATGTAATTTTCGTTAAAAAAATTATTTATTAGAAAAGCGTTTTTTTTTTTTTTTTTTTTTTTTTTTTAAATGTTAAATTTAAAAACAAGAGTAATATTTATAATTGCTTTTAAGGGAAAAATGAACCCGGATTTTTTTCCCGAACTGAAAAATCTAACGTTCATTTTTGTAACTCTGTTATGAAATCCCCATTTTGCTGTAACAAGAATTTTTTAATTGCTCTATATACGCTTTTCAGAAATAAAAAAAAAAAAATGATTTTTCTTTTATTTTAAAAATTTACTTTGTAAATCAGTATGAACAACTCTAAACGATAAAAAAAGAAAAGAAGAGAAAGAAAAAGGTATATTAAGCTTTATTCAGAACGGATTTCAAATTTCAGCCTTTAAAAAAGTAGGGGAAATTTGTATGCATCACAATTACGTAGGAATATAAAAATTGTATGTCTCCTAGGACGTTTATTTTCAACATTTTTTAATACCTAAAAATTAATGTATCTAATGTAACCCCTCTTTGTTTAAGTCCCTTATAATTATTCAAATAAAAAGGCATCATAATATCTGACAATACAAGTATACATTTTTTAACCCTTAACATATCCCCGTGACTTATTTCAGCATACAAAAAATAAAATATACAGATAAAACGAAACAAAATGAATAAATCTTTCAAAAGAAAGCAAAAAGAAAAAATGTGATCATAATAAATAATCGTTCAAACCCTACTGTCTTATATTAAAATTCCCATTCAACAATAAGTTGGTGTTCTTATACAACATGTTCTAGGGTTTACGAAGAAATATCAAAGTACTATTAAAAGTTGTACACAACAACGTGCTCATCAATTGAAATGAACAAAGGAACGATACTGCCTAAATACAAAAAATGTATTTTTTTTCAAAATAGTACGTATCAAAAATAGATAGAATTTGACACTTTATGCATTTCTACTTATTTGTAGCACATCTTTCCAAAAAAAAAAAAAAAAGTTATCAAGAACAGAAAAACATTTTTCTTGAATAAAAATAGTCCTGCATATATGCTAACTCGTTTTTAAGAATATATTCACAGTACTGTAATAGAATATCACAAAAATTTTGCTTTCAAATGGTCTACTTTAAAGGATTGCCTTCTATATGAACAAACAGAGGGATCGAATTTGTTATGTAAGGAAGTAGCCTTCTCCTTTTTTTCTATTTCAATTTTTAAAGCTAATAAATATTAATGTTAAAATACGACGAATTTATTGGACTTCTCTCATAGTAAATTATACAGTAGCATGAACAAATATGTGATTCATTTTTTTTTTCGCTGAAGCCAAAGAAAATGCATTTACATATACACTTCATAAATGCAAAGTGTTTTTAAAAAAGGAACAATGGATGCTTAAAATTATATTTATATATATCATTGATTATGTGTACAAAATGAAGTTTTCCCTTTGGTTGTGAAAAAAAAAAAAAAATAATAAATCATTCATTCCATGCTTTAGAAAATTTTCTATTCAAAGTAATCATGACGTTGTGAAGGAAATATTTAAATGAATATATGCATATATACATATTCACTGGGGTGAATAAAAGATAAGTACACAGGCATTACGAATTTTTTGTCGCGCTATAAAGCACATCGTTGAAACAAAAACAGGAATAAAGCGTCTTTGAATAAATGTGCTAATGGTACATATTGTTAAAGTGTGTACATTACGGATTAACGGTTTCACTGTTTTTGTATATGGTTAGCAATATTGTGAACGAAAACAAAGCAAAAACGTATTTCATGTATACCTTCAAAATGTATGCACATATAAGTATGTGTAATGGTGGAACTCATAAAATGTTTATGTGTTGCATATGTATTAACTCATATTTTATTTTGTTTTATTTTTTTTTTTTACTTTCATTTTTTAAAACAGCACTCAAATCTTTAAAATAACACAAATGTACGCGAATTTCTTGTAACCATGTTCATATATATAATTCTGCAACTAAATAGTAATTACAGACGAATAATGCTCATTCAAGAGGGGAAAAAAAAAAAAAATATATAACGTCCATTTAATGGAAAAGAGGGTTTGCCTTTAATCCTCAAATTGATCAAAGTGTCGAAAAATAGACCTCTTTAAAAGCAGAAAGAATTTTGTCACCTTGTTGGAAGGTTATTTGGTTAGATTTTTATTTATTTATATTTTTTAATTTTTTTTTTTTTTTTTTTTTTATTTCCTTCTAGCTATAAAATTGGCTAAGTTTTTGTGTTCAGATAGCTAAGATCAGGGCACAAAAAAAAAAAAAAAGTGATGTCATTGTCATATTTTTTTTTCCACTTTTTTTTTTTTTTTTTTTTTTTTTTTTTTTCATGTTTCTTTTCCACACCCTTTTTGCAATTTGTGAAAAAAATGTGCAAATCATATATTTATAATTAGTTATATTAAAAATTATAAAAACATCCATTGTATAAAATAATTACATTTTATTAATTTGAAACAAAAAAGAACGTTAAAAATTTACTTAAAATTAGAACTAAATAGATGATATCTATGAAAATAATTAAAACAGGAAAATGATATTTTTGTATAATCTTACACTTCATTATAACTTTGTATTTCCATTTATTTACATATTTATTCTATTTTATTTTCCTTTTTTTTTTTTTTTTTTTTCAAAAGGTGTTCTTGTTATTTTAAAATACTAGTGTCCTTTATTTTTTCTTTTCACTTTTTCGTTTACTAATTTTATTATGTGGGAAAACATATTCCTACGATGTTCATACAATTCTATGAATTTCACTCACTTTTTATTAGCATTTATACAACACGTAGATATACACATATACGAAGAAAAATATTAATATTTTGTTCATACATTTTTGTACATAGCATTTATATAAGCATTTTCTCGTAACATATTTACATATCCTTGTTTTTACAAATCATGTACACACGTATGTATATTTATGCGTAATATTTATATATGCTTATATTTACACCTGTGTTTTTACACGTAAACTTACACATACTATTTTTCTACACCCTCTTTACCCAAAATTTATTTGCATATGTATATATACAGGTATATATTTATATGCATGTGTATATGTTTACCTTTTTCACTCGTGTGGAGTCAGCAAAAAAAAATAACAGCATTAGTTACACCATACAAAGGTGTGCGCATGCTTATTTAACTAACATCACAATTTAAACAAAAATAGAGAAGCAAGTATATAATATGTATATGCACATTTTTTATATAAATATTCATACACAAATATAAAAAAAGAAAAAAAAAATTTATATACTTACAAAAATAGGCATCATTTCCCCCTTTTTTATTTTTTTATTTTTAATATACCCATCTGTGTTATGACAAAGTTTACAAATATTTTAAGCAACCTTTTTTTTTTTTTTTTTTTTTTTTTTCCCCTGTACCCTTGCATGTTTACACACACCATTTGTCAAAACTTTTACATTGTTGGTTGTATAAAGGATGAAGTTATAGAGAAAGTATAGAATAGTATGCACATGTTTATGAAAAGAATTTATACATAAGTATATAAATATAATGTTCATGTTTTGTGAAAACTCTTGTTCTAACATAAAAAAAAAATAATATATTACATTTTCTTTTTCTGTGCAAAAAGCAAAAGGGAAGGAAATCAAAGAAATAGTCCTGATTTATTCAACAAGTATGAATTATTTTCATGAAAACACAATTAACCTTACAACACATAGATACCTTTATAAATGGGTGTTTGATTTAAATATATTTTGTGCTACTTGTCTGATTTGCAAATTTATACATACATAGTTCATGATGGGATGTATCTAAATTGCATATAATATACTATTTTGTAATTAGCAAAAACATGTACATGTGCATACCCAACTTATATGAAAATACATAGGTACATATATAATATGCAAACTTATGCATATTTATAAGCAAATGTGTATACACGTATATACCCAATGCGAATTTACCCATTTACATATATAAATTTAAAGGAATCACTTAAAAAAGTATCTCATTTTTATATTCTTACCTTTATGCAAAAGTAAATATGTGTAAAATTGCTTGTTCACAAATATTGATTGAAGTGGACGAAAGTATTGATCATTTTTGTATTTTTATTACACGTATATAAATTCATTTAATTCACGCATATGATTTATGTGCACAGTAGTCACCTTGTATATTAGGATAATATACTAGAAATGTCACTTCTATAATTAAATATATATATACACGTGTATATTTATATGTACATGCATATATGTCATACATATACACATGTCCACACATACATTTGCCCCTATACATATACAAAGTAATTAAACCTGCAGTTACACCATTTTCACATTTCTCTCTACACAAAATATTACCCAATTAAAATAATGGAGTGTGTGTCATATGACAACAGGGATTCAAACAACGCATTGTACAATAATGAATTAATAAATGGGAATGTAGAAATCCACAACACGTGCGCAAATAATAATAATAATTGTAAATCAATTGAAATAAACACATATAAGAATGTATTTGAGAAAGGTTTTAACTGTAAACAATATGGGAAATCGGAAATTAGAACAAATAACAGAAAAAATGAAGAAAAAAAAGGGAATCATACGAAAAATTGTATTGATGACGACATGATTGACAATTTTAAAGTGGGACAAACTCATTTAGACTCCAATCAAAAAATTAGAAAAAATGTGCGATCAAAAAATTTTCCAAAAAATAAAGGGGAGTCCAATCATTTATTATATGAAGATAAATATATGAATGATCACTGTATGGAAAAAGGGAAACGCTTAGACAATTATTATACAAATGGAAATACAGGAAATAAGAAATTTAACGATTTTCGAATAAAAAAGGGTATTGTATTCGACAATGGTGACAACAATAATAACAGTAGTTACAATAAGAACGAAAACTTTGGAAAAAATAATCCAGACTCAAATATTAACATGTTAGAGGTTACCGAGGAAAAGTGCGTCAAAAATATGATTAATAATAATCGTAATAATATAGTGACAACCTCTGAAAAAGTAAACATTAGCACGGAAATAAATAGAAATAGAAGAAGATATCGATATCAAGAAAAACAAAGATTTAACTTTACGAATAAACGGGAAGAAAGCGGAATTTATAATGATAAAAATAGAAAAATTGAATGTGTTAGTAATGATGATAATATCGTTTCACAAAATTTTGACATAAATGATGGGAGATTATGTGGTGCTGTAGATGACTTTAATGATGGTGTGCATGATATCGTAAATTATAACATGAATTATAATTACCTAAGCCACGAAAATAACGGTAGTAGTAGAAGCGTACACAATAAAAAATGTAGCTTCGTGCGGAAAAGTAAATCTTTGAACAGAAGTAACATTTATGAAAAGGAAGAAAACGTTAGTCCATTTGTATCTATTACGAATAGAGAAATTTTAGAAGAGAGGGAGGATTATACAAATGTATCAAAGAAAACATGTTCAAATAATGAACTAAAATTTAAAGAAAGAAAAAAAGATACATCTAATTCCACAAGTAGAGAAGCAAATTACGATTTTAAGAGTGCATTAAATGTTCAATTTTGTAAGACCAAGATGTGCCCATATATGAACACTAAAGAAAAGTGCAAAAGATTTTTAAATAGTATGTGTCCGTATGCACATGACCAAAGTGAACTAAAACCATTTCCTGATTTGTACAAAACGGCAATGTGTCGTAACTTTATGAAAAATTTATGTAATAAAACGAAGATAGAATGTAATTTTGCGCATAATGTGGAAGAACTTCGATCAACCGACGAATTTTACAAAACAACATTATGTAAGTTTTTTCTTAATGGATATTGTAAAGCGGATGCAAATTGTAGACATGCTCATGGACATAAAGAGCTAAAATATAGACCCCTCAGTAATGTGTCTCAGGAGAATTGCAAGGATAGCGCAGAAAAAGAAATTAACATTATTGAAGAGAGTAATGAAAATAATTTAGAAGATAATGATGAGAAGACCGATGCGGAAAGGAGAGGAAATATACTAAATAAGGATTCAATGAATAAGTTTAAATCGTCGGAAAGTTGTAACATGATCGAAGGTAAGGATATAAGGACAATAAGGGTAGAGGAAATTGCAGAAGAGGGGGGAATGTTTGAAGCAGAAGTTATTAAAGGGGATGATGCTACTGCAAAGGAAAATGTTGATGAGGAAAAGGGAAGCATATTAAGCATGGGCAATATGAAAAAAAATGATAATAAAAAGAAGAAAGAAAAGTTTTATAACATATCACGTAAGCTCATGTCAGTTAGCACGAAGGACACTTGTTGCTTTTTATCAAATGTATTCTCCAAAAATATAGGATCCTCAGAAAATTGTGATGATGAAAACGAGAGTGTAAGGACGAATGAAGATTCCACTATAGCCCATAGTAATGGTGACTCTAAAATTAAAAGCCTCGACAACGGAAATAAACATTTTAAAGGGGACATGGCACATTCTGATTTTCCATTAAAATCTGACGAAACTATGGACCAAAATGAAATAAAAAATGAAGGAGTTAATAATTCTTGTAACGTTATTGTGAAGGAAAGCATGAATAGAAGTGACACTAATAAGGAGCCCAATTCAGTAGAAAATATTAAATCGGTTCGGAATGAACATATTGGAGAAGATATTGAGAGTGACAAAATTGATGTGAAACTTGAACGGAACAATAAAAATTCCTCTTATTCGAGTACAGACAAAGGTAGGAACTTAACGTTGAATGAAAATTTCGTTTTTAAAAAAGAAAACAGAAAATTATTCCTCGATGATAATATGTATCTACATAAAAATAAACTGAACAATGGTGTAGATAAAGGTTCGAACGAATTTATCATTCATACAAAATTTGACAGAAAAAAAATTAGCAAAGGGCATGCGAACACGAATTTCCCCTTACTGAATTATAAGGATGATACAAAAAATTTTAAGGAAAATATAACAAATGAAAAATTCAAATCAAGGGCAAACATGGGTGATTCTGTCGATATTAATAACGAATTATGTCCCAAAAATTCATCACATTTTCCCAGATTATGTAATACTAGTATGTGTAATTATAATGAAGACATGAAACATACTGAAAATAACACTTGGGAACACAAGAGTCATGGTTGCAGAGTTAGCAATGCGTATAGCCAGCAAATAGGAGAGAATTGCAATGGTGAATATAACAAAATCAGTTATAAAAATAAGAAATTTTACAATACCAACAAGAGCAGTTTTAAAGACATCAAAGGTAGTGTTAGTAACAACAATTTTAATGGAATTCATGGTAATAATGTGGACAATTATTACACCAGTATGAATAAGAATTATGGAAATAGCAAAAGATTAAATGGCGCAAACGGGGTATATGGCAGTGGAATGTACAATAATCACAATGTTAGTATAGACAACAGCAATAACAATGTGATGAATGGCGACATGATGAATAACGTAGTGACGAGAAACGATTTACGGAATAACCATGGAAGAAATTTCACCAGAAATAGCGTTAGAAACATGAAAAACAATGCAAGAAACAACAACTGGAGGAATAACTACATTTCGAATTATGGAATTTACAATAATGAGATGAACCCTAACGATGTTATGGATAACAATTTCGATGAAAATAATAACCTACATACGATGAATACTGAAAATATGAACAACTATAACAACAGCTTCAGCTGCTACAATATCAGCGACATAAACGTAAATAAGTCTATAGACATGAATAATGACCATCACAAAAATGTAACTCAGAGCAGTAACTGCAATGTGGTCTATGGAGAAACCAGCATGCACGGCCATAACAGTTATGATAGTAATTATAACAACGGTAATGGCAATCATATTATGATCAATCAGAGCGCTAATCACAGTGGCAACTACGGTGGCAAAAATAGCAACAAAAACAGCGGCAAAAACAGCGACAAAAACAGTGGTAAAAACAGTGGTAGCAATAACAATCCGTGTTTTTTGCAGGACTATGCCCCTTCCAACCCTAACAATATAACAAAACCTAATAAAAATTATAGAGGTAAAAATAAAAACATGCAGCACAACATGTTATATGAAACTAGCAACAACAACAACCTTGATAATAACAATGGATATGATAATAATAATAACATATATGGCCTAAGGACTATGCAACTGAATGGTAATTACAACACAAATGGCTTTAACTTAGATGGCCCAGTAAACAAGGTAATTAATCATAACGTAGATGATAATATTTATGGAGATTTGTATATCAATAATGGTACCACGAATAATCATCCTGGTAGTATCAGTAGCAACTATAATAGTGATGTTTTTAACAATTATTCTCCATATAACTACGATGTTTGTAGTCCACATATGATGAATGTATCTATGGAAAAATGTGGAATTATGCATAGCATCGGCATTGAACCAAGTGTACGCAATAATAATATGTACAATATAACAAGCATGAATATGTTTAGCGAGGTACATAACGGCGTGCTTAACGACCCCCAATATGACACACTTAGTAGTTTAGATCATAATGACAAAAAAGTGCATGATAATGTACATGGAAGTAGAAATAAGAAATGCTTTATGAACAGTAATGTTTATAATGAAACGTCGTATAAAAGTAGTGATGAAAATTGTAGAAAGGCAGGGAACATGAAAAATTTGACACAACCATTTGTATGTAATTATAATATGAATGACGAAATGAGTGTAACAAAAGACAATTTATTATATAGGGAGCCAAAAGGAGGATACCCCTTAAAAAATTTTAAAAATGGACAAATGATAGAATCAGAGGAACTGAAAAGAAATAATTATGACGATATTAATTTAGGTACAAAGAAATTTGATTACATTTGTAAGAATGAAAAAGAGTACAAGGAAAAGGATCGTGGCAATAAAAATAATTCAAGTGAAATAAAAGGGACTACTTACTGCACCAATTTTAAAAAGAAAAATAGTATGAAGGCATTAGAGGAAAATCATGCATTTTATGACAATGGAAACAGAAGCCGTAATGATTATAATGGCACTAATGGCCACAGTAATAGCAGCAACTGTAGAAGTAGTAATCGTCATACTATACGTGATCGTAATGAAAGCGTGAAACAAAGCACTTTGAAGACACAATTGACTTCTTATGTCACCCCTGTGAACACACTAGCAGGATTTTCATCGTGCAGTGATGAGAATTTAAAAGAATATGTCCCTTTGGGAAAAGTGAAAGTCCAAAATTATGTTTCAAAAAATGTATTTTTGAAAAGTGCTAATTTGAAAAGTGGTAATGCGAAAAATAAGTTTTCACATAGTAAGGGGTCACAAAGTAAGATATCACAAAATAGGGGATCGCAAAATAAAAGAACACAAAATGGGGAACCACAATTCCGGGTGGAGGAAAATGAAAAAGAAAAAAAAACAAAGGAGAAGCACCAGAACGAACCAGGTAGAGAAGGAGAAATAATAGACCAACAAAGTAATGTTCTTAGTAGAAATAAAAATATTGAAAAATATTTAATTGGCCAAGAACCCAAAACGTGTGTTTCATGCTATCAATATATGACAGAATCTACACCCGAGGACATTGTATCAACCGAACCATACTGTTTAACATGTGGACATGTTATAAAAAAATCACTATCTTTAATGATAATAGAATTACTACGGCCACAGGTAGAACACTTACTTTCAGATGCTAATTTTTATGTGCAAAACTATCATGATTAATGTTATTTTTTCCAAGCATGCACTGAACGTAATGAATTTATCGGTATGAAAATTACATATTAGATAGAAGCACAAACACAGGTAGAAGCATGATATCCTTTTAGTGGGGGAGAGATTGATGAATATATAGATTCACACAAAACTGATTAGTGAATCAAAAAAAAAAAAAAAAAAAAAAGCTATTTTACGTTATTATTCGTATCATGTTTTTTTTTTTTTTTGTTCCTTTTTTTATATTTTATTTTTTTTATTCTATATCTTATTCTTGCATCACATATTAACTGTATATCCCTTTTAAATTGTGAATTTAAAAGGAGTTTCATTGCTTTAAAATGTAAGATCAGACATATCCACTCCCACCCCCATGTAAATGAATCATACAATCATTTTTTTATTTTTTCTTTAAGTTTTATTATGTAGATCAGCATCTACAGTTTGGTGTACATCTACATGCATACATATACACACGTATACATACATAGATCCGCTTACATGATCTGTTTACGTCGTGCGCACGGATGCACCTTTTTCCCTATCTTCTTATATATTCGTTCATATACATTGGCCCATTCATTGATTATTCTGTTTTTTTAAACATTAGTGCTTCCAAGAAAAGTGGCAATGTGGAATTGCATATATATATATGGACGATTGTATATGTTCATATAGACAAAAATGCGCCTGCACACACACAATACACACGATTAAATATTACATGTACATTCGTCTTGAACGAGATACAATAAAAACCGTTAAGAAAATTGGAAAAACTTGATTAATTAAAAACTTTCAATATGATTATTCTATTTTTATTTAGATAACATCCTTTTTAAAACCATCATTTTGTGGTATCCCCCTCAACATGAAAGAATTTTAAATATAGTTTTAACCTAGAGCAATGAGAGGAGCTTGGATAGAAGATATGAAAAAGTCACATTAACTACACTTGTAGGTATTATTACGGTATGAAGATTAATATATCATTTTTTTAATTTTACAGATATGTTATATTAACATTCAATATTTTTAGATTGAAATAAAAACATACTCATAACTTGCTGAAATAGGCGTATATTTACGTATACCAAATAAAAATAGAGACAAAATTGCAAAACCGCAAAAATGCACAATTCCTTGCAGTAAAATTTTTTTAAAATGAGGGGCTATATTTTTTACTGATAAGATATTTCTAATGCCTATAATTCTTTGTAAATAATACGTTCCACGAAGTTTCTCTTAAACTGAATGTACATAATATGAATTCGTTTTTTATTTAGACACATAATTATCTAATTATAGCAGCATTAGCAGCATAAATATATATATGTTGCATTCGCCCCAAAATATAAAAGGAATACTTTTCCTCAACATTTAAGCGTGGGCAATTTCTTATGTGCCTTGTGTTTGGACAATAAGCACAATTTTTCCTTTGCCGAATATGAAAAATGTATAAAAGAAGAAAAAAAAAAAAAAGAAAAAAGTTCATACAAAAAACATTCTTATTTAATACATTATTAGGAAATAATTTACAGTCAAAATGGAGTCTCTTTTTCTTTTTTTTTTTTTAAACCTAAAGTAATTCAGTTTTTAGAGGCATTAAGACGGAATTGTTTTTATCATGTACTCACCCCACTATTGCATGCAGTTTTTTTTAATATTAAGAAAAAGTGGTAGAAGCCAAGTCCACTTAAAATTATTGTACACAAATTTTCTTATACTCATAATTCTTATCATAGTGGGTGGCTGTTGGAAACATAAAGTTACACAAAAGTTTTTAATGGTTCAAAACAAAAAAAAAAAAAAAAAAGAAGAAAATCAATAATATATGAAAGACTTATTTTTGAAAAAACTAAAATTGGAAAGTTTTGGGTGTGTCGAGCAAAAAAAAAAAATGCACAAATGTAAGCAATATATATATTTTATGTGCACATAATGATGTAGTACTTTTTATTTGTATATGTACGCATGTGCATGCTTGCTATCAAAGCTTGTCATTATAAATACTGTAAAGTAGGTATTATATCTATATTATGAACTGTTATTTTCTATGCGTATTTTTTTGTTTTTAGTTTATTTGAACGTTACATATAGGGTGGAAACCGGTGGGTTGCGGGGTATATACTATGGCACAAAAGTATGATATTCAACATTAGCTTGAAAAAGAGGCCAAATGAAAATTACATCCTATATGTATTATATATATATATATATATATATATATATATACAAATTTCTAAACCGATTTATTTTTATGTGGAGAGGTTTATATTTCTAACAAGGCGTGCACTGAACAAATCCCCTAAAATGTTTATTATATTGTATGTATAAGAATCATATGTACCATTTTATTATATAACAACAGTTGTTGCATATATTATTAAAAGTTTTTTTTTATACGCCTATTTTGAAAATGATATACATAACACCACAATGTTGTGAATAATATAATTTGTTAACACATAAAATATTCATATGACAATAGAATATATATATTTACGGTTACCCCAATCTCGTTTTCAATTTGAGTAAAGGAAAAAGGGCCCCGATTAATACGATTCTACAATTATTTTTTATACATAAAAAAAAAAATGGACTTTCGTTATTATGAGTGGCAATAAAAAAAAAAAAAAAGGAAAAAATTATATAAAAGAATTAAGAAATAAACAAAAAGAAACATTACGCACTTATTTTTATAGATCTTTTTGCATTTGGCAAATATATATAAGGGGTCAATAATGCAAAAAAAAAAAAATAAATAAATGGATTAAATTATTAAAACTTTGCACTAATAGTCATTATCATTATAGGATATGATGCGAAGGAAGAAAAAGAAGATAATAAAAAAGAAAGGCATACATATATATATAATATATATTATATATCGAAAAACATAACAGAAAAAGTGGCAGCAAAAAAGCAATCGTGCAGATGATAAAAAGATGCACGTGATTATTTTTAAATGTCGCAACTCTATAAAAAAAAAAAAAATGCTGTACATATTTTTTAACTTCATGCATATATATATACATATGCTTGAGCAAAATTTTATTGAGATGAATATTTTTTTTTTACCTTAAGCATTAAAAGAACATGACTAATTAATGTTTTTTGCTTTACTATACCTCACATACATATTTATATATATATATTATTATTACTTTTTTTTTTTTTTTTTTTTTTTTTTCTAAATACATTTTTTGTTATGTTTTGTTTTTTTCATATATATTTTTTATTATTTATGAATGCATTTTATTATATAGTAATAACTTTTTTTTTTAACAAGATTTATTAATTTAGAAAGCTATTAATGGTAACATCTGTTCTTGAATACCTATTTTTGATTGAATACTTAGGAAGAAATATTTACGACAGTACATAGATAAAACGCTCTATATTGTGTTTTTTTTTTTTTTTTTTTTTTTTTTTTTTTTTTTTATATAGAGTTTTTTTTTTTTTTTTTTTTTTTTTAAAAATTTTTTTTTTTTTTTTTTTTTTTTTTTTTTTTATATTTTTTTAAATTTTTTTTTTTTTTTTTTTTTTTTTTTTTTTTTTTTTTTTGGGTGTATTTTTCATTAAAACAAAAACCGACAAAAGAGAAAAAATGAGTACTACGTATATGAGAGTGCGTGTATCACATATGTGTATAATTTTTTTTTTTTTTTTTTTTTTTTTTTGCACATTTACTTAAAATATTAATATATTCTTTGTACACGTAGGTATAAATGCCTATCATACTACTCCATTTTTGAAAATATAAATTGTTTAAAAATTCTTTAAGAAAGAAAAAGAAAATAATAACTATTTCCTACACGTATAAAACTTTCTGTTTTTGAATTTAACACTTTTATGAGTATCCTTTTGATTGTAGTAGTTTATGTTTTTGTTTATTAGTGTATAACAATTGTATAAACACATGTATATATAGCAAAACTTGTTTACTTATATCTTCTTCGCATTTTAAATCCGATTCCTTTTTTTTTCCTTCCAACTCCTTGTTGTTTTGGAATTTATGGAATATTGATTTACATAACCGTTTCTATGTTGTAGAGTAGATATATATATATATACATGTATACATATATATGTATATATGCTTCTAAGTATTTCTTGTACATATTGGAGTAAGAACGTTGCATGGTTGTGTCTCATATATGCCAACTGAATATTCCAAAGCACACACTCGTTTCAGTCAGCTTGCATAGTAACCATTGAAAATGAAAAAACATCAAAGACAAGCTAAGGACAATGGTAGCGGTAGTAACAATCTGAGCATCAAAGATGAAGTAGAAAAGGAATTGAATAAAAAAGGGACATTTGAATTGTATAAGAAAATAAAAACACAGAATATTTCATTTTTTCTACCCTTTAAATGTTTACCATCAAGTCATAAGAAGTTATTAGGGGTATCTTTTGTGTGCGCCACTATATCAGGTGGTACGTTGCCATTTTTTGTATCAGTATTTGGTGTTATCATGAAAAATATGAACTTAGGAGAAAATGTAAATGATATTATATTTTCCCTAGTAGCAATTGGAATTGTTCAATTTATTTTATCATTTATTTCAAGTTTCTGTATGGATGTTGTAACAACCAAAATATTAAAAACGTTAAAAATTGAATTTTTAAAAAGTGTATTTTACCAAGATGGTCAATTTCATGACAATAATCCTGGTTCAAAATTGACATCTGATTTAGATTTTTATTTAGAACAAGTAAATGCAGGTATTGGTACTAAATTTATTACCATATTTACGTATGCAAGTGCTTTCTTGGGCTTATACCTATGGTCTTTATTTAAAAATGTTAGACTGACTTTATGTATTACTTGTGTATTCCCCTTGATATATATATGTGGAGTTATCTGTAACAAGAAGGTTAAAATTAATAAAAAAACATCTCTACTTTATAATAATAACACTATGTCTATCATTGAAGAAGCTTTAGTTGGCATTAGAACAGTTGTAAGTTATTGTGGTGAAAGTACTATACTGAAAAAATTTAATTTGTCAGAAAAATTATATAGTAAATATACTCTAAAAGCCAATTTAATGGAATCATTACACATTGGTATGATTAATGGATTTATTTTAGCCTCTTATGCATTTGGTTTCTGGTATGGAACAAGAATTATCATTTCAGATCTGAATAATCAACAACCAGATAACGATTTTCATGGTGGTTCAGTTATATCAATTTTGTTAGGGGTTCTCATTAGTATGTTTATGCTGACAATTATATTGCCCAATATAACGGAATATATGAAATCGTTAGAAGCAACCAATAATTTGTATGAAATTATTAATAGAAAGCCATTGGTAGAAAATAATAATGATGGGAAAAAATTGAAAGATATAAAAAAAATTGAATTCAGAAATGTCCGATTTCATTATGATGCAAGAAAAGATGTAGAAATTTACAAAGACCTCAATTTTACCCTAACTGAAGGAAAAACCTACGCATTCGTTGGTGAATCTGGATGTGGTAAATCAACTATTTTGAAATTAATTGAAAGACTTTATGATCCAACAGAAGGTGATATCATTATTAATGATTCTCATAATTTGAAAGATGTAAACTTAAAGTGGTGGAGATCTAAAATTGGAGTTGTGAGTCAAGATCCACTACTCTTTAGCAATTCAATAAAGAACAATATCAAGTATAGTTTATACAGTGTGAAAGATTTAGAATCACTTGCAGAAGAAGAAATGAACGAAGATGATTTCACATCACATAATGATAGTAGCAATAATGGCAATCATATGGGTTGTAGAGCCAAATGCGTCAGTGACATGAAAGATATGGCAAAAACCGCAGATTCGACTGAACTTTTAGAAGTGAGAAAAAATTATGAAACCATTATTGAAGACTCAGAAGTGGTAAATGTTTCGAAAAAAGTTTTGATCCACGATTTCGTTTCCGCACTTCCAGATAAATACAATACCTTGGTAGGTTCTAATGCATCTAAATTGTCAGGTGGACAGAAACAACGAATATCCATTGCAAGGGCCATTATTAGAAATCCGAAAATTTTGATTTTAGATGAAGCCACATCTTCTTTAGATAACAAATCTGAATACCTAGTCCAGAAAACCATAAACAACTTAAAAGGAAATGAAAACAGAATTACAATCATTATCGCACATAGATTGAGCACAATAAGATATGCCAACACTATTTTTGTATTGTCAAATCGAGGAAATGGTATTATACCCAGTATCGATGTGATTGAAGGAAATACCAACAATGGTTATAACAAAAATGAAGATAAGAATGACGATAAGAATGACGATAAGAATGACGATAAGAATGATGATAAGAATGATGATAAGAATGAGAACAATCGAATTAGCAATGCAGGAAGTTATATTATTGAGCAAGGAACACATGAGTCTTTGATGAAAAATAAGCAGGGTATTTACTATACCATGATTCATAATCAGAAGATATCTTCCAAAAGTTCAAACAATAATGATAATGACAATGAATCAGATATGAAAAGTAGTATTTACAAAGATTCCGAATCAGGCAGAGACATAAACGAAATGAATGATATGATGAAAGATGGAAATGAAAGTAAATCTGCAAATGATAATGAAAAAGTGAATGGAACAAGAAATAATGCTGCAGGAGGAGCAGATGCAAGTGGAAGATGGGCCTTCTTCAGAAATATGTTCAAAAGAAAACCTAAGGCACCAAGCAATCTTCGTGTCGTTTACAGAGAAATATTTGCATATAAAAAGGATATTATAATTATAGTATTGAGTATTATTGTAGCGGGAGGTTTATACCCATTATTTGCTCTTTTATATGCAAAGTATGTATCTACACTTTTCGATTTTGCTAATTTAGAAAAGAATTCTAATAAATATTCCCTGTATATCTTAGGAATTGCAATTGCAATGTTTATATCTGAAACGCTTAAGAATTATTATAACAATGTGATAGGAGAAAAAGTGGAAAAAACTATGAAGCTTCGATTATTTGAAAATATTTTATATCAAGAAATTAGTTTTTTTGATCAAGATATTCATGCTCCTGGTTTACTTTCATCACATATTAACAGAGATGTACATTTGTTAAAAACTGGTTTAGTAAACAACATTGTCATTTTTACGCATTTTATAGTACTGTTTATAGTTAGTATGATTATGTCATTTTATTTCTGTCCAATCGTAGCAGCAGTTTTAACAGGAACATATTTTATATTCATGAGAGTTTTTGCAATTAGAGCACGCTTATCAGCTAATAAAAATGTAGAAAAGAAAAGAGTTAATGAACCAGGTACTATATTTGTATATAATAATGATGAAGAAATTTTTAAGGATCCAAATTTTTTAATTCAAGAAGCCTTTTATAATATGAATACAGTTGTTATCTACGGTTTAGAAGATTATTTTTGTACAATTATTGAAAAAGCTATTGACTATTCTAATAAAGGACAAAAGAGAAAAACTTTAATAAATTCTATGTTATGGGGTTTTAGTCAAAGTGCACAATTATTTATCAACAGTTTTGCTTATTGGTTTGGTTCTTTCTTAATTAGAAGAGGTACTATAAACGTTGATGATTTTATGAAATCATTGTTTACTTTTTTATTTACTGGAAGTTATGCCGGAAAGTTAATGTCTCTCAAGGGAGATTCTGAAAATGCAAAATTGTCATTTGAAAAATACTATCCATTAATTGTTAGAAAGTCCAATATAGATGTACGTGATAACAGCGGTATTAAAATTAAAAAAAGTACGGATATAAAAGGAAAAATAGAAATACAAGATGTTAATTTTAGGTATATTTCTAGACCAAATGTACCGATTTATAAAGATTTAACATTTTCTTGTGACAGTAAAAAAACAACTGCCATTGTTGGAGAAACCGGTAGTGGAAAATCAACCGTTATGAGCTTATTATTGCGATTTTATGATTTAAAAAATGATCATCATATTGTTTTCAAAAATGGTAATAATAAGAATTCTGACAAAAATGAAGAGGAGAATAATGAGGAGGCAGACGAAGAACAAAATGTGGGTATGAAAAATGTGAACGAATTCGGTTTGAATAACAATAATAACAATGAAGGAGAAAATTTTACCGTATTTAAAAATAGTGGAAAAATATTACTCGATGGGGTTGATATATGCGACTATAATTTAAAAGATTTAAGAAAGTTATTTTCAATAGTGAGTCAAGAACCTATGTTGTTTAATATGTCGATTTATGAAAATATCAAATTTGGAAAAGATGATGCAACAAGAGAAGATGTAAAACGTGCATGCAAATTTGCTGCAATTGATGAATTTATTGAATCATTACCTAACAAATATGATACAAATGTTGGACCATATGGAAAAAGTTTATCTGGTGGTCAAAAGCAAAGAATAGCTATTGCAAGAGCATTGTTGAGAGAACCAAAAATTCTATTATTAGATGAAGCAACATCATCTCTTGATTCCAATTCGGAAAAATTGATTGAAAAAACTATTGTAGATATAAAGGACAAGGCGGATAAAACCATTATTACCATTGCTCACAGAATTGCATCTATTAAAAGATCAGATAAAATTGTTGTCTTCAATAACCCAGATAGAAATGGCTCATTTGTGCAAGCCCAGGGAACACATGATGAGCTTCTTTCGGTGCAAGATGGTATATATAAAAAGTACGTGAAGTTGGCTAAGTAAATATGGAAAAAATGAGGAGAGATATATTTATGTGTTCTGTGTGATGTGTGGAAAAGCGAGAGAGATGAGGAGGAGGAGGGGGGTGTAGCCTTCGTTTTCCTAGTGCTGGTTCAGGGTAGTAATGATTTTTTTTTTTTTTCGTTACGTTTTTATAGTATGGAATTTTATTCTATACACTCTGCCCCATCCCACACCTTACCATATGAATTATCTACATGCATATTATTCTACACATTCTGTCTATGGCTAGAAAAAAAATCACATCCGCATACGCACCCATGTACATATATGAACACACGATGCGTAAAGATATTCCTGCGCCAAAATTGAGTGTAAAATTGTGCGTAAAATTGTGCGTAAAATTGTGCGTAAAATTGAGCGTAAAATTGTGCGTAAAATTGAGCGTAAAATTGTGCGTAAAATTGTGCGTAAAATTGTGCGTAAAATTGTGCGTAAAATTGTGCGTAAAATTGTTTTAAAATAAAATACTCCGCATATTGTTTCTAATCTTTTAAATTTTCAACCATTTTCATTGATAATGTGTTCTGTCCGAAGCACTTAATATTTTTCATGTGTAAATATTATATTTTGCACATGTTTATTAATATGAGTGAAGAAACCATGTATATTTGTATATTAACTTGTATATATTTACATATGTATATACAAGTGTCTCTTTTTTTTTTTTTTTTTTTTTTTTTTTTTTTTTTTTTTGTTTATACTTTTTAACCGATTTTTTTTTTTTTTTTTTTTTTTTTTTTTTTTTTTTTTTTTTTTACGTATATACTGCTTAACCGAATTTTTTTTTATATTTGAGAATTTATTAATATTACCGCAATTTTGTATATATACACGTATTATGCTAAAGAAATTATGATAAAAATAAGAAACATATCCATAAATGAGACAAAAAAAAGGGTATTAAAGTAAGAATGTTTTTTTACATTTTTAACTTTAACAGCATAATGTTAAAATATCGAAGAAGAAAAAAGGTTAACATGGTTCTTCCACCCGTATACCAGTAGGGTTTAGTTTGTTCCAAAGTTGTGTTTTACATATAAAAGGTTGAACAAAAATCAGAAGGTAATAAATATGTTATAACATTTTCATAGTTTTTTCCATTTGCTTGGTTCATTTACAATGGTAAGATTTGTTAAGATTTTTTTATGTGGTGAGAGAGAAACTTTACAATTCGTGTAGAATTCAAAAATACACGAATCTTACTTCGCATGAATAGAACTAATTTGGAGAATTTTTTTACTTAAGATTAAAGTTTATATATATATATTCCGTTTTACTTATATTCTAAGTTAATATTTATGCCATGTGGTTAAAGCGAGGAAGAATGGCTGATATTGTGTAGTGGGGTAGAGGGGGGATGAAAAAGAAAGAAAAATAAAAAAATAAAAAACAATAAATAAAACAAATGAATAATTATACTTGTTGGAAATGATCAAATTTAAGAAGTCCATATTCGGTATTTTTTATTAAAGCATATTTATGTTTCTTTTTTTTTGCGCCTTATATTAAGTGTATTAGTTTTTTGAATCCACTTTAAAGCGTCATTACTCGTCTGTGTAAAAATATACACATACGTGTGTGTTTGCCTTGAAGTAATTAGATATGGACTTTATGATACGTACTTTGATATTTATTTAGTTGTGAAAAAAAAATACTATATATGGACTTCCATATAGGAGGCACGAAGTAGATATAATGATTTCAGCATCTGCACATATATTTATAATAGACGTAAATTTGTGTTATAACCGATGAGAAGGTCTATAAAGTATAAGGTACCTTTCATTTTCGATCGTGGGAATAGTTATATAATTTTTTTTTTTTTTTTATCCCAAAATTTTGCATATTTCATCGTAATGTGGAGAATGGTTAATATTTCCATAGACAACAACAGTTGGTTTCGTTTTCAAAAAGTGTCCAACAATTCTATTGATATCTTCTTTGTTTACTGCATCTATTGCATCACATAGCTGTTTTCCAGAAAGAACCCGATTCAGAATCATCATTTGTCTTGCTAAATCTTCCATTAAAATGGACTTATATTCTAAACTCATCCACATAAAACTTTTTAAACTTTTCTTTGCTCTATTTAACTCTTCATCCGTAACTTTATTCATTTTTTGAAATTCCAATGCCATAGCTTTTACTATGTCGTGTGTATTTTCTGGTTCCCCAGTAAAGTATAATCCAAATAAACCAGTATCTGAATGTTGAGTACTAAAAGCCATACAAGATTCTATGAAATTATAATTATTTAAAACATTTAGAAATAGTCTAGAATACATACCTTTTCCTGGACCCCCTGTTGAAAAAGAACCACCTCCACCCATTAGGGTTTGCAAAACAGTTAGAGTAATCATATCTGAAGTTTTCCAACCACCTTTTGTTTCATAAGCTATTGCAATATTTGTTTTTTTAACATTTTTATCTTCTACACTTACAAATCCACCAGTATATTTTGGAGTTACTTCTTTCTGATTTGTGTACGGAATAGAAACATAATCTTGGAATGCTCTGGATGTCCATTTTGTTAATTCATCATGATCTACATTAACGCCAACTAGGGTCATATTTTTGGGTGAAAAATGTTTAAGCATAAAATTCCTTAAATTACTTGAAGTATAATTTTCTATACTTGATTCACATACATATAATTTGTTTCCTAATGTATTGTTATGCCATGCAGTATTGTGTAACAATTCAGTAATGTATAATTCGTTATTTTCAAATAATTTCGTACGCATTGTATTTAAACGATTTACATTATTTTTCATTTCCCATGATAAAAATCGTGGAAATAAAACATTCCCTATTAATAAATTTGTCACTACTGGTAAATATTCCTTTAAGCATTCACATGTATAAACTATGTGTTCACGAAATGCATTACAGCTCACATTAGCTCCTATTTTCTCCAATGATTTTATTGTTCTCAAATGAGACAAATGGGCAGTGCTATGAAATGCCATATTCTCTATCATTACACTCATTCCCTGTTCATTCACCTTATCATTTATTTCTTCATACCTGGACCCGCACTTTACATATAACCCTGCAAAAGGGAGACAAATGATTCAAAAGTGTTTCGTGTCTTATTCCGTGGGTGTGAATTATGGATTCATATATATATATATAAATATATTAGTTGTGCTTGAAAGAAAAATATGTATGTGAAAAAATAATATGTACATGTGAAAACATGACCTGTATCTCATACGGGAATCACATGATACAATAAAAAAAAGGTATTATAACAATTACCCGTCAAATTTATATGTATGTATAGTCTCATACGAATTACATACCTATGGAACAAACGTTGTTATTCTTGTTTGTAGAAATAATTCTCAGGTCATTTTCCAAAATTGAAAAATGTAATTTTTCATCAACCTCCTTGAAAGGTGGCAATTCTGATTCTTTTATGACAGCAATATTGAGTGGAATATCTTTGTATGTATTTTTTTTTCCTTCATTAAAATAGTAGTAATCAAATTTTACTTCTTTAATTATGTCTTCGATTTTTTCTTTCTTAAAGGGAACTTTTTCCAAATTTTGCTTTTCTCCTGTATATAACTTTTCTAAGTTTGGATTTCTTTTTAGTTTTAAAGCTTCACTACTATACAGTTGTTTCCCTGGTCTGCTTTTACGCAGAATTATATTGAATTTCTGTATGTTTCCGTTCATTTTGTTAGACCTTTTTTATTGGAAAAAGGTGGAAAAAAAAAAAAATATAATAATAATAAATAAAATAATGTAAAAATAAATAAAATAATGTAAGCAGGTGTGGCTAGATGTGTATTCTTGAAGTGTTTCTCTGACTGCTATAATATATGGGTAAGAATGACTTCGAATATTATATGGTTCCTGGGAAAAATAGGGGATTTGAATTTTGTTGATGGTTGGTCCTAATGTATACACATGCGACAAATAGTTGCGTAGTTGTGAGATTATTTTCTCTTATGTTCCTTTGCATATACACATGTGCATCTTCTTATATGCATACATAATTTAATCTTATGCGAAATCCTTCGAAATATTCTAACGCATAATAAATATCAATTGATGGGAAATGAGTATTTTTGGAAGAAATATGCATGGAATTACACTTGCAACAAAAATTGGAGGAAAACTGAAAAAATTTATAACATTGTTTTTCTACAAAAGTCGTACAAGAATATGTTCACTTTTCCCCTTTTCTTTTTTTTTTTTTTTTTTTCTTTCCTGCTTCATTTTATTTATTTAATCGAACATGAATTATAAAGGAATCAATGAATGAATGAAGTCATATATATTGAGGGACATAAAAAAAAAAAAAAAAAGTGGGGGGAGGAGGAAACAAATTATTAGTACATTTTTTTTAATAGAGAAGTTCAAGCATAACTACTTTTTTTTTTTTTTTTTTTTTTTTTTTTTTTATATTGTGTAGCATTTTTATTTACATTTAGAACGTTTGTTCTTTGAGCAGGAATGTAAATATAAGTTTTATCACCTTTTTTTTTTTTTTTTTTCCTTCCAAAAGTGGGGGTGTAAAATTTTTTTTTTGTTTAACGAATAGGAGGAAATACATGCTTAGAAAAAAAGAAAAAGAAAAAAATAACATCACCGTCACGTGTAAGAAATGAACTGTGCATGCCTCAAGAGTTAAAAAGAGAAGAACATTATGGGAACCTACATAATGCTGCACATTCATGTATAATGAATAAATAAATATATATATATATATATAAATATACGTATGTATGAATTACGTTCATTTTTGTGTGCTCCTTTTGCTGTTATATGATTGCATAAAGAGGAATATAAATCAGGTTATATATGGCCCCAAACTAGTTTTAATATAGTTTCTTTGCAGTTTAATGGTTTTCAGGGAAACGTTTGAAACGTGCATAGAATTCGGGCGTTTCGTGGTATGATCATTTTGGAATTTAAACCTTTGCCCATATTTTATATAACAGAAGATATTACTACAAATGTTTGCCTTTTCTGTTCCATACAAATGTTTTTAACATCATTTGGTAGAATTAGTTTCAAAAGCAGCTCAAAATGTATGCACACTTAATATAAAGTGGATAAAAGTACATTCTTTCTAATTAGGGGGAATATAAAGCAAAAATAATCTTAGCAAAATAAAAAGGAGGGGGGGGTGAGATAGTATTACTGATGTGACTTTTTTCTCATGGATACAGTAACCTTATCATCTCTCTCGCTATATGAATGTACATACGTGCATGTATATATATATATATATATGCATATGTGTCTGTGTAGGGTGTATACCCAATACATGGACTCGCAGGTTTTCCAGTCTTTCCACATTTCCCTACCATTTCGAATGTTACATTATATACAATATGTTGTGCCTGAGGTGGACAAAGTGAAATACATATTCTACCTAACTTGCCGTTCTAGAAAGAAAGGAACAAGTAATAATGAGAATTGGAAAAAATGAATTGTTTCGTTGTAAGAATCGCATATTCTTTTATTTTAAGTTAACTTCATGTTTGAATGGTGTGTTCGAAGGAGGTTTAGATTGTCAAGGGACCCTTTTTTTAAGGAGGAGCAAAGGATGGAAATCCAAAACGGAAGTTGGTAAAAAGAACTTCTCCCATAATAGGGAAGGCGAAAATGGGCGACCAAATTTTAACAATGTAATTGTTGATTATTTAGGAATCCACAGAAATGAACAAAATGGAAAAGTTCAACAAAAAGTGCTAATTGGAGAAATGTTGAAAAACGCTCTGCTACATGTAAAAGGTAATAAAAGGGGAAATCAAAATGGAACTAGTCACAACACAGAAGGTGTTGTAGAACGTATTCTCAACAATAAGTTAATGATGGAAAACTTAAATATTATCCATTTTAATATGCTCTTAACTATAATAAGTAAGGGGGAAATAACATTGAGCAAAAAAATGCAGGATAGTATTATGCATTTATTACACAGACACATTTTTTTTTACAGAAATGATATTGACAATACAAATAACGCTTGGATTAATATAATCCATATTCTTTCTAACATTTGTAAAAATAATAAGACTATGTTATGTTTAATTAGAAAAAGGGGTTACTACTATTTAGGGAGTGAGAAAACACAAGAAAACACTTCACTTTCGTTTGTAGATAAATTTGTACATAGAATATGCAAACCAAATGACTGGAATTATTCGATAAGAGAAATTTCTTTGTTATTGCACAGTTGCTACTATTTAAATATTAGAAGTTATCTACTGTTTGATACAATTTTTGAAAAATTGCAAAAAAATGAGTATCATTTTAATTGTTTAGATACACACATTTTTGTTTATGCTGTCTATAAACTACAATTACAAAAGTATGTGCCATTTTTGGAAAAATTAAAAAAAAAAATTTTAAAAAATATATGTTATTTTTCAAGTGGTCAATTGGTAAACATATTATTAGCTTACACGCACGTCTACTACAAGGATAAGAATAAAAAATTTCATCTGAAGAAAGACCTTTTCATAAATAACATTTTTGAAAACTGTTGGAATATGATAAATAATTATTCGAATAGAGAATTTTGTAACTTTCTCAATTTTATTGTACAAAATGACATTAACCTAAACCATGAGCAACGGTCGGAGATTTTTATTATCATTTATTACTTGTTAAAAAATAAAGAATGCAAAAGATTAAAACTGAAACTTATGATTGATTTGGACATCTTCACGATTTTAAATTTTGTCTATAAGTATGGAAATCTAGATAACACCATAACTTATATTACGAAATTCTCCATTTCTAATATAAATGATTTAATTATTCAGTTAATTAAGAAGAAAAAATTTAAGCAAAATTTATTAGTATATATATTACACTTTTACAAACAAAGTGTGGCTAACCTTCATCCCATTAGTAATCATACTGTACTACACTTCATACAGCATATTTGTGCACACACACTGGAATTCAAAATGAAAGTTATCTTATTGACATCTTTAGAAAGGCACGTAACAGTAGTAGGAGATAATCACACAGAAGATACCCATAATTTTTCCATTAACAAATATTATTGCAATTTGATGAAATATATATATAATGACATATGTAAAGGAGAAAATGTTCTTATTTGTGAGAAGAAAAAGGAAAACATTTTGAATCCAAACGGTTGTCCAGAAGGGGTAGTAATATCTAGTACAGATATTAAGGAAATATTAAAATTGATTAAAAAGAGAACTCAAAATAGTTATTATAATTCTGAACAGTCTGGTAACTTATCACATACTGTTTCCCTAGAAAAGGAAACTTTAAAAGTGCAACAAATGCTTCTCAATGTTGCTAGTGACTATGTGACAAAAAATAAAATAGTGGAGTTATTCCCCCTTATTTTGATGAACAGAAATGTACCTACAGACATCTGCAACAAAGCAGAGAGTATTATATACAACATATTTGATAATTTAAATCAGCATTTGTTAGATCTTAAGAACGGAGTGAATATGAAAAATAAATATGAAAAAAACAAAACAACCTTTAATTTTTTCCATTCATTAAATTTGTGCAACGAATGCATTTTTAGTAACACTTGCATTAGTGGTGGTGGTGGTAATATGCAAAAATTTAAGAACAACAAAAATGCTATATTACAATGTATAGAGCTTATACCTATGAACGAAGAAAATAAAAAATATTATTTCCAGCTACATGTCCATATGCTCCTATTTGACATCAATAACAATTTACCTTTTTTTATAAATCATTTGTTAAGGAAAATTTCGGATTTTCTAGTGATGATCAATTCGAATTATAAACAATATATAGTAAATTTTGTTGATATATACTCATCTATAATTAAGGTTCACACAAGTTACTATGAAATTTACATAGAGAAGGTTTACAAGTATATGTACCCCCAAATATTTTCTCATTATGAAAACTTAAACTGTAAACATTTGTGTCTTTTATTTTATTCAAATTTAATTCATTTGTTTTTACATATATATGATCGAAAGAAATATTCCAATCACGTCACTTTATCTATTCGATTGATGTTAAAGCTGTTTAGTTATTTTTTAAACTCAATGGATGAAGGAACATACAATTTAATTCAGACCAATAGTATAGAAATATCCGAATATCATAAAAGGGATAAAAATATAAAAATAACTCCCTCATTAAACATACCTGTGAACGATTTAATTTACTTGTATAGAGTATTAACCATTTTTCATTTTACGAATTTGTATGCATACATGAATGTCTACGAGTTGAAATGCCTTTTCGTTTTTCACCAAATTTTGAATTTTAACATTTTTAAAGTGAACAATTTTTCCGTTACAGAGTTTATCCAGACGCATAAAGGTAAACGGGGGAGGCCTCTACGCGGGCTTGTGCCGATTGAGCTGACAAAAGAACGCGCCTTCACATGAACAAGCACATGCACACACGAATGCACGAACACACATACATATGCATGAATATACAAATGTATCTATTTGTTCTCCCCCTTTTAGGTGCCTCTAGCGTTCACATGGCCGTAGTGAAATCCTTAGATAGCCTTTTCATGGAAAATAAACGGGTAAAAATTATCTGCGAACAAATGGTATTCCCATTATTTATAATTGATATTTTAATTGATAAAGATTGAAAATTTGCATCCCTCATTTGTCCAATTTTTTTTTTTTTTTTAAATTAAAAAATAATTTTAAATTAATTTTTAATAAAACTTGAACCTTTGTGATGTTATCGTCATGTATTTGTTAGAAGTGAATACCTATTTAAATTTTATTTATTACATGGATAGGAACAACGACAAAAACACGAGAAAAAAAAAAAAAAAAAAAGTGAACAAAAAATTAAAACAAAAAATAAAACTCTTCAAATACACACATATATGAAGAGTTGCACATACTATTTTTCGTACATGTGAGAACATAAAGTTACAGTGGTAGTAACGTATGAATAAAATTCTGATAATTCTTCTTTCTGACATTTTTGTTTTCATGGTTTTCATTCCCCATTTTCATTTTGCTTAATTGTTACAGTTGCCTCCGTCTATATCGTTTTAATAAAAAATGTTTTTAGGCTTGTTATTTTGTTTTGTTTTAGTTTGTTTTGTAAGTTTTATATTGTTTTGTAAGTTTTATTTTGTTTTGTGTGTTTTATTTTGTTTCAGTTCTCTTCGTAAGCCTCATCGTAGGCTTCGTCCCACGTCCACTTGATTAGTGGCTGTTCAATAAATTGGTGGTTTGGCGCAGGTTTATCAATAACGTCATTCAAATAAAAGGACATGTAAGGGATAACTGTTCCATCTCGCATTCGTGTGTACATCTTGCTTAGTTGACTGTCCATTATTTTCAAAACTCTTCTTGCCATATCGTCCTTTTCCGAAAATCTGAGTTTCTAAAAAAAAACAGACATTGATTATTCATATAAATAAAGATGTATGCAAGCATGATCATGTGTCCCGTGAAAAAAAAAAGAAAAAGAAAAAAAAAGTATGCTGCAAAGAATTTTCAATGGTGGATTAGATAAATGCAAACTCTCCAAAATAAACGGGGCAAAAATAAAAGGGGAAGAATAGATATTATTATTTTTTCTAATTAAATACCGTAACTCTTCCTAGGCAAAAATTAGTTTCCTCAATGTACCTATTGGCATATATATAGGGATAAGGAGGAATTTTAGCATGTATCATATAATTATGGCATATGAATATATATTTATATTCTTATGTTTTTATATATGTTTCTTGTGCAGGTGCACTTTTCGCAAGTGTGGTTTCTAGTTCTTTACGAACAGTGTGTACATTCGCTCATTTTTAAGTTACCAGTTGTCATTCTTTTTAACCAATTCCTTGTCAGATATGTGCTTTCCTGTGTACCCACTGAAAGAACGTCTTGAACTTAGTATATAGTTCCATTTTATATTTCTTAACTTTGAAATTTTCATTATAAAAACATTTAGAGAAGGTGATTTGTGTAAGGGTAATGTAATTATTAAATATGTTGCTTTGTTTTAATTTATTTTCACGAAAATAGCTAAAACTGAAAAAAATATAATTCATTTTTAGTCATTTTTACATAATGCGATCATAAAAATAAAAAAAAAAAAAAAAAAAAAATTACCATAAAAGGGAGGAAAAAATATGCAGCAAACATGTAGCGACAAATTTAGGGTATTTTTTTAAATAAATGTATTTCCCCCTTTTTTTTAATTAAAATGGTGTAAAGGGGTGAATTTTTTTTTTTTTTTTTAAAGTTATATATATATATATATATATATATATATATATATATATATATATATATATGTATATACACATGCATATATATATGTTCTTGTATAGGGGCACACATGCCTAAAGAAAAGATTGCATTACACTAAGAATCAGTTATAAAGGTCTTTATATATTTTATGTACATGCTGTTTTTAAACTTAATGACAATTTTTTTATTTTGTGTAATAATGATATTACTGTGTTGAAAGTTAGTAGGAAAAATATACATATCTACCTGACATATGTATGTACCTTTTATGTGGTCGTGTACTCCTTAAACGATGAACTAATAATATTTATCCTTAAGAACAACATATCGCTGTGAAGATCTGTTCCTATCATACTTTTATATAAAATATTAAGTTAAAGAAAGGGGAAATGGTGTGCAAAATATGATATCTGTAATTTGTCATATGTTCACAAATTCAGGAAGCAAAGATAATGATATTAACACGTCCTTTTTTTTCTTCTTTTTGTTGCGCACATTTTTGTGTACATATTTATAAATGGTATTTAAAATGGGCACACATTCTTTTTATTTTGTGCCTCTACTAAATTGCTTTGTTTTATGAAGTTCAGGTGTGGGAATGAAATATTTCTCAAGTTCAAATGTTTCGAAACATTTATAATTTAGTTTTGGTTAGGGATATGGAAAAAAAAAGAAGTAGATGTGTGTGAACATAAAGTTGCAAAAAAAGGGACAAATAATTCGAATGGGGAGAAAAAATGAAAAGTGGAAAACAGAAATTGCCAAATGAAAATTAATAACTTGTAAAAAGGTAAAAATATTACTGCAATGATATCTATATTTCTCAAAAAAAAATGAAACATTGTGTTTCAAATATATATTGTTCAAGGGTGAAAAATAGTCTTACCAACTTAATTAAAAGCTAAATAAATAGCCCCAATTCGTAGTTTGATATAATTCATCATACCGCAACAGGAGGAAGAAGAAAAAAAAAAAAAAAAGACCACGCTTTTACTTTTCATGAGTTTCTTCTACTGTTCAATTAAATATTCAAAAATAAAGGTACCTATTTTAAACTCACTCATCCTTTTTTATTATTAAAACATATGTCGTGTATTCCAAAACATATATTTATTAATATTACAAGGTTTATTTTCGTTTCCCTCTTAATCTTTTTAATTTTTGCATGTTATGCAGCACACTTTGTGGGTACTTGTGTAGTGGAGTTTTTATGTTTTTTTTCTTTTTTTTTTTTTTTGTTTTTTTTTGTTTTTACATTCATTGATTTTATGTACTTCACCTGCTTTTTTTTTCATTTAAATTTTAATATTTAATTCCTTTACCTTTTTTTCCACATTTTTTTTTTTTTTTTTTTTTTTTTTTTTCCATAAAATTTTTTTTTTTTTTTTTTTTTTTTTTTTTTTTTTCTTTAAATTTTTTTTTTTTTTTTTTTCCATTTTTTTTTTTTTTTCTATTTTTTTTTTTTTAGGGAAAAAAAAAAAAAAAAAAAAAAAACAAGTAAAGAGTTTAGCAAAACCAAAAAAAAAAAAAAAAGTGAAAGAAAAAAAAACAGAAAACAAATAGCCATTATGAATAAATTTGTTTTAAATGAATTAAAAAAATATATATTATTTATAACAGCAGGAAATATACGACTTATAATCTGTTTTTGTTTCTCCACAAATATCACTTTATATATATATATATATATATATATATATATATATTATATACATACATCCTTAAGCACAACACTATACGAAAACTTGTAAAATGTTATACTGCTAAAAAGATTGTAGTTTAATTTTTTCATTTCATTCAAACTGAATTTTATTTTTTACCTTAGTATATTTTTGTTCTGCAGCTGGGTAAAATATACACAAACATTTTTCATCAGCATCAGGAAAAACGTTTCTGATAGTTGAATTTAATGTGTGACCCATTCATCAAATACCCACGCTCATACAAAAGTACAAATTCTTGCCCTTACACACCAAAACATATAACCACGTACAGAAACACATACACACCTTCGTGTATACATATGTGTAAACATATATGTACATATACATGTGAATCCTTCTTAACACTGAGGTAATTTTTTTTTTTTTTAAATGAATAACATAAGAAAAAGAAATGGTAAGTGTAAGCAAAAAAAAGAAAATAAAAGAAAAAAAAAAAAAAAAAAGGACAGTTTTATTATTGTGCCATGAGTAATGAGAGTTGATTTAATTTTCCCCTTAAAGAAAAGTAATCGTTTCCACGAACAATCCTATATTTATAATTTTTTTTTTTTTTTTCCCATCATATTGTGTAGATGCAAAAAATTATTACAAGTTTAAGGAAATGGAGGAAGTAAGCTTAAAAAATTCAATGTGTCTGTAGCACAGATGATGTTGTGTACAGAAAAATAACAGATTTACTTATGTACAAACGTGTATTTAATGTTATATGTATATATATCACAGTTTGACAGAAGGGAAAAAAGAAAAAAACAACAAAAAAAATCTTCTATTCACATGTATATGGATAAAAATAATAGCATATTTGTTATTATTTGGCAACTGAGAAAATGAATAATGCATATATATTTAAAAATATGTAAAATGTCTAACAACTTTTGTGCATTTAGTTACAAACTGAGTTTCCTATATAAAGACATACAATAAATAAAACATTGAGTATTTGTAATCAGGAGAGGGGACATATACATTCAATTTGCTTATTTATTTATAGTGACTTATGTGCAGCATGCTTTGAGCATAATATATATATATATATATATATATATACTTTATTTTCCTCTTTTCTTATTTTTGAAGGATAAGAGCACTAGTGAGAGCATGAACAAGTCACAAACGTATGGTAAATATGCATAAAAAAAAAAAAAAAAATACATTGGAGTATGGGACACTAACTTTTATCATATTCCCCTTGTTATATTGTTCCATCGAGTGTGTAGTACCACCTCTTATATAATATGCTCCTCTTTATTTTCACCTGCTTCCCCTTTCCTTCCCACGCATATATACACACACGCACACAGAAAATAGTCAGATAATCCCCAAATTCGACTATGAAAGTGATCGAGAAGAAAAAAACCTAATTAGTAACATATTCTCCACGAGGAAACCCAAACATGCAGGTGCCGGATTAGTGTCAGGATTAAAATCAGTAACAAAAGGAATAATTGTGGGAACAAGTTTTTTATTTATATCCCCTTATTTATGTGCTAAAGCTGAAGGTATTAATGGGTTTTTCAAGGGTATGTTTTTTGGCCTTCTAAGTGCAGTAGTTATTCCAATAATATCATTAGGTGTAGCAAGCTATCAAATTGGTAGGGGCATAATGAACACACCTGAATCGATAGCTCAGAGGGCATTAGGTAAAATATGGGATGACGAAAAAAGAGAATGGTATGATTTTTATTACAATTTAGATGAAGAAGCTAATAAAGTATTAAACGAAATTAATGATAATGCTAATGGCAACGATAACAATGGAAATAACAATAGCAACGGAAACTCGAAATATGAGAGGAAGAATGATGTAAATGATGATGAATATTATAACAAAAATGGAAATATAAAAGTTAAAAATGATGAATTTTATAAAATATTACAAGTACCTATCAATGCTACCCAAAATGAAATTAAGAGGCAATATTACAAACTAGCCAAAGAATATCATCCAGATAAATGTTCAGATTCTAAAGCAAAAGAACAATTTCAGAAAATAGGTGAAGCCTATCAAGTTTTAGGAGATGTAGAAAGAAGAAGAAGATATGACAAGGAAGGAAAAAATGCTATTAATAATATGCAGTTCATTGATTCAACGTTTTTCTTTACCCTACTATTTGGTAGTGAAAAATTAGATCCATATATTGGTAAACTAAGAATGGTAATGTATGTGGAATATGAACAGATATACAAAGATGAAGATGTACAAAGAATCATTGTTAAAGAACAAAATAAAAGAGAAGTTCAGTTAGCCTTACATTTGAGAGAAATGTTAAATAATTATATTCATGGAAATAAAGAGGAATATATTACAAAATTTCAAAATGAAATTAAAGATCTATGCCAAACTTCATTCGGACATGTAATTTTAGAAAATGTTGCATGGTCCTATGAGAATTGTGCCAACCAATTTTTAGGAGATAAATATAGTTTATTTGGAATTAGTGGAAAATATTATAAAATGCAACAAAAAAAAAGAGTTATAGGTACTGGTTTTAAATTTGTAAAGACTTTAATTAAAACTAGTTCCTTAGCTAGCCAAATCAAGAAAAAAGAAGATGAAGATATGTCCTTAGAAAAAACTGCCAAAGTTAATAAAAAAATTGAAGATTCCTTGCCAGCTATTGTGGAAACGATGCTAAATATTTGTTTAATTGACATTGATCAAACCATAAAAGGAGTGTGTAAGAAGGTATTTACCGACATGTCCGTCGATGAAAACATGCGAAAAACCAGAGCAGAGTCCCTTATTACTCTAGCAAAAATTATGAAAAAGGTTATTCAGGATTTTAAGAAAAACAACGAAGTAACGGATACTAAGAAGTTATTCGAAGATGCGTGCATGAGGTAATCTACACTAAACGTGTGCATATATCTATCTATCTATATATATATATATACATAAATAAACTGATGTACATGCTCATACTTACATCCATCCATACATCCGTACATACATGCGCTCGAGCTCTTTTTATGTACCAGTTTAAAAAAAAAAATTCTTTCCCCCCGTTTTTCTATTTTAGGGCATACCAGAGGCAGGACGACGAGTACAACTGAATTTGTCATGTCCATATAACATCCTCGTTTTAGTGAATCCTTTTTTTTTTCCCATTTTTTTTTTTTTTTTTTTTTTTAGTATCCAAAATAATTTTCAACAACTATATATTTTAAAATCATAGAAAATTGCAAGAATAATAGCATTTTTTTTTATCAAATAGACACTAAAATGTTTTTAAAGTGTTTGAATAAGCAAAAATATGTATAGGGTTTATGGATACAATTGTACATCTATGGATACGTATATATGTGTGCATATTAAAACTCATTGTGGGCCATTTTTTCTTATTCGTCTTTTTCTTATGCTTCATTTTCTCGTCGTAATCGTAAAATTGTTACCTTTATAAAAAAAGAAGTTTTTTTAATTATACACATAAAACTATCATTGTGTATAACGTTAAATATATATATATATATATATATATATATATATATATATATATATATATATACGTGTATGCATATATATACACATACATATAAATGTATGTATAACGTCCATTGTGTGCACATAATTTATATGAATGCGTGAGTTAAAGTTGAAATTGTGTTGCGAAAGATGAAGGGGACAAAAGGAATGCAAATAAATCAATGAGGAGGGTGAAGAAGACGAAGAAGATAATCAATATCTAGCGTTATCATATTATATACGTAAAATTATTACCCCTCTTTTTTTTTTTCTTTTTTTTGTAGAATAAGAGCACTTTAAATTTACATATATGATTTTACGCCATTATATATACACAAACATTATAACTATGTACACAAAAGTTTCACACATTTCTTATGTATCTTATATCTCGCTGTTTTATTATGTTTCTGTTAAACACGACTTCGCATATTAAAATATGTTTTATTCAAATTATTCATATATATTTTTTTTTTCTTTTACCTATTTCCATATTTTCTCTATATGTAAGCACACTTAGCCAGCTTGTGCTATTTTTAAAATATAGATATTAACATAACAAAGTAAGTTACAGTTTTTTATATCATTCGGCCAAGCTATTTGGAGGTACTCTGAAAAAAAAACAAAAAATTGGTCACGTAATTTTATGTCAAAAGGGTTGACTGTTTTTTCTTTTAATTTTATTTTAAGGATTATTTGGTTGCAAGTGTTTCTGTGTGTATGTATTTTTTTTTTTTTTTTTTTTTTTTTTCTTTTTTTTTGCTGTATATGACTATCTCCCTTGTCCCAGTAGGTTGATAATTTGAGAGATGTTTCGGTGTTCGTATTCTTTAAAATATAACAACTTACTGAAAGGGAGATCAAAACAAAGAAACAAAGATTTATATGATTAATGGTGAAAAAAAAAAAAATTCCTTAATAGAGTTATTAGTATGATGAAAGGTTTTTGTGAAGGCACAGCAACACAACACAAGTAGATGGATGTAAAGGGGAATTTTTTTCTTTTCTTTTTCCCACATTATAATGAGGAACGTGTGAGTAGTATATATTCTACTTTCTCAAAATAAATGCATGTCTACTTATATACTTCTGGGGTAACATTTTCGAGTACAAAAAATCCATGCATGTTTCACAAATGACATTTGACCATTGATTTATCTGAAGGCACAAAAAAATGTATGATAAAAAGTTGGGAAATAAAATTAAAATCAACCAATTGGGAAATAGTTAAAAGTCCTATTTAGCTATAGTAATGGGGGGTGGTGGAGCGTCTATTTTGTATTGCTGGAAAACAATTGGGCGTGTATCTTGTATTTTGATCATTTTACAACTGTAATGTGAATATTAGTTTATTATTTTACTTTTTAACTTTTTTTTTTTTTTTTTTTTTTTTTTTTCATTTTACTTCACTGTTGGAGTAAGATTTATTCCTCAAAACGTCTTATGTTTCAATAATAAAAAGTAGATGGTGCGTTGTAACATTAAGTATGTACATGTATAATAATGAAATATTTTTGTGGAATTTTTAGCGCAACTTGTCTGGGAATTTCATTTACGCATTTATCGTATTTTTCTTTTTCTCAAAATTTGCAATACCATCGACTATGGAATAAATTCGTTGTGTGCATTCCTTTTCTCTCGAATTCTGCTGAAAAATTGGTGAGATCAGAAAAACAAAATTAAATAATTTTGAATTTAAACATTTAAAAGGGATGAAGCAAAATTGATTCGTAAAATAAAGTGAGGTTTAGCGAAGAAGGAAAAAAAAAAAAAAAAAAGAAGGTATATAACATAATTTTCCATTTTGGGAATAACTATTGTATGGGGAATAAAAGAAACAACAAAGTTTTTTTTTCGTTGATAACAATTAAATCAATATTGAATGTCTTATAAACATTCCACCTTTTGGATTAATTAAAATACATATACGTGTTATATATAAAAAAGGACAGCAAAAAGAATAGAAAAGAGTATATAAAGAACACAAAAAAACATATGTTCCTCTTTCTTTTTTATTTATATCACTCTATTATAGAGAATATATATGCCTGAACACGTTAGATAACATTTGAAGACACTTTTGGCATCTTAGCAAGCATTCAAAGTTTAACAAATTTTTAATTAAATTACGTAATGTAAGTAACGTTTGTGTGTAGCAGTTATAAATATTATCCATATCGCGCTCCCTCCACTCCCCTTTCTCTTTTTATTTTTTTTTCTGTTTTTTTTATTACCATTTATCACTTCCTGCAATTTGTTTCCATTCTCGGAATTTTACTTCACCGATGCGCGCAAGTTTTTTGTTTTTTTTTTTTTTTTTTATCTTCTTTATTTTTGCGCTTAATATGACAATGTGTCATGCTTTACCCTAACACAAAGACTTTGATTTCTTTAAATGAAATTTGGTATTTATTTTCATTTCACTTTAAAATTTATTTTTAATTAACCCTGTAAAAAAACAGAATTCCAGTTAACGCAAAAATAGGGCTAAAAGAAAGGCGAAAAAAAAAAAAAAATAGCTAAACATAGGTAAAAAAATTTCCAAAACCATTTAGAAAAAATGTCAATAAAATCGCCTTGCTTGGAAATATTGCCATTTATATTCAGGGAAGAACAAATAAGTAATAGAATCCAAACATTCCCAACAGAAACTATGAAAAAAGCTTACCTAGAATTGAAGGGATATTTTGAACAATACAAAATTTACGCAACGTAATATTTGAAATATACTGCTTCGACATGATTTATCATAACATGATAAGAATACTTTGTTTTATCAGTGTAAATAATTCATTATGTATACGCTTCCCTTTTGCATCATGGTATTCATAGTATAGTTCTGCATAAAAAGATCTTTGTGTACATTTGTGGACTCTATTGTGTGTCTATGTATTCTCCCCTAACATAAATTTTTATTACTTCTCTCCACGTTTTAAGGAAATTAATTAACTTTAACGGATCGATGAATGATGAACATCAAAGGAAAGAAAAAATGACAATTAAACTGAGATGTGAATATTATGCTGTCCTCTTTTCACAGGCGTCTAAACTTTTAAATGAATACATGTTAAACTAAAAAATTATTAGAAATATGACAGAACTTATAATGAGATAGAGAATAATGTACATCATCAAAATTAATAAACCAAGTACACCATAGAATTTTTTTTTTTTTTTTTTTTTTTCTATGCTTCTTATAGAAATTTTAGAAACAGACTTATACTCGAATTAGCCATTAATGTAAATGGATTAATTAATTCTATACATCCAAATATAATACAAAGACTTAATGACGACGAAAAAAGGGAATTAGAAAGATGTTGTGAGGTACATAAAAAAAAAAAAAAAACACATTGTTTTACATCACGTTTAGTCATATAAGCGTGGTCCATGTAGAACACAAACGTGTGTAGTTGTTATTATTTTATACTATTGTATTATTATATTATTATATTTGTTATTATTTTATTTATTTTTTCTTCCACAGAACATCAGGAGTGAACGAATCAAATCGAAACTAGAAAATGTGAGACCCTCTTGCTTATGCAGCATTCACGTTTAAGGCAAATACATACGATGTGTATTCGGACAAAAATATGCGTCTTTTATTATGTTATTAAAAAAAAATATGTGTTAAAAATATTAAAAAAAAACACTATTCATCTGCGAAATTCCATTTAACGTAGTCGTGAAAAAAGAGAATAAAGAGCTACCACATTTTTTTTTTTTTTTTTTTTTTTTCTTACGACATAATAGAAATTTACTGTATGTTTTTTGAATGACCTAATTATAGAAGACTTAAATTATGAGGGAAATGAAAATGAAAACGTAGCTCGAAATGTTTTTTACGCGGCGGGATTAAAAGTTAGTGTTTTTGAAGATAAGGCACTAGATTTACAAAAATGTGAATGGGCTAGAATATTAAGGGATTAACATAAAAAGAGATATATAGACAGCATAACAAGATATACTCTACATGCAATAGTGTACATGTGTGATTAAATTACGAATGAATATAGATTCTTTGGTTTTTTCTTTTTTCTTTTTTTTCGTCCTTTTCCCCTTTTTTTTAGTTTAACTCTTTTTTTTAATAATTTATTATATATGTCAATGAATGCAGGGTACATCAATGCATCTATATGTATGTGCTACAAATTAACATAAATTTAACTCATTTTAAAGACAGCCTAATTAACAATTAATCAAAATTTAAGTCATTTTTGTGTAGTATAAGAGCAAGGCATAAATAAATCAGTTTAAAATGTCGTAAACGCATGTACTTTCATGCTTATATTGGTGTATGTAAACATAGTCCATTAAAAGGGCAGTGAAAAGGACAAGGATACTTATTCAGATATTTTATTTACCATGATGATATTTTTCGAAAAATATATATGTTTAATTAATAACTGCGCTCTCGTGTAATTTGTCGTGCATATATAATGTGGGACAAATTCATTTTATGTGTTTACTACTTCACACACTATTTCGTGCGAAAAAGTGAAATACAAAAATGACAGTGTGAACAAATTCTCCATACGAAGGAAAAATGTGTAACTAATTGTAACATGTAAGGAAAAGCTGAACATGGAATTAGATGAAAATATAATTTCTTCTTATGAAATAAAGGTATTGGTAATGTGAGATGAACAAACATCTATAGGGAGGGGATATTTACCCCCCTCTTTCTTAAAAGAAACGAAACAAAAGAACAAAAAAAAAAAAAAAAATTACTAAAAAAATATAAAAAAAGATAGCTGCTGATATATGTTAATATGTATAAAATATTAAACAAAACAAGGGATATGTGGACAAAAAAAAAAAAAAAAATTACTAAAAAAATATAAAAAAAGCTAGCTGTTCGTATATACGTTAATATGTATGAAATATTAAACAAAACAAGGGATGTGAGGACAAAAAAAAAAAAAAAAAAGAAAAAGCATCATACAAAATACATGCATAATTCGTCAATATCAATATGTTTGTAATTTTTTTTTTTTCTTTTTTGTAAGAGAAACAAATCTTCTTAAAATGTTTGAAGAAATTCTCATTTAGTTTTCATATATGGTTACAGTAACGCTATTAATAACGTTTATTATAATCATACTTTGTGTGCACATATAAATGTGTTCATCTAATTAAAATATGTACATGTATATGCATAAATATATAGCGTCCTTATATCTAGACAAAGGGAACCCCTCCTTCACAGATTATATTTACATTCCACTTTCGTATATTTTATTTTATTATTATTATTTTTTTTTTTACTGAATATTTTCATTCTTCTCACTGTAGTGATTACAAATTATGCTCTTGCATAGCTTTCCATTGTGTAGCGGTAAGTGTAATATGTTATAAAATTTGCTTAAAACCAAATGCTTAAAAATGTAACATGATTTATAATTGTAAAAATAGTTAAAAGAATCGAAGGATTTGTTTGGTATGTACTGTTTTGAATAATGACTAATTCCATCAATTTCGAATATTGTATTCGTGTTTTCATCATAAATATCTACAACAAAAAGTGCGTTGTTTTTATTTGTTATGTATTCGTTTTTTATGTGAAAACTTTCTTTCTTTCCATCTTTTTTCTTTTCGTAAATATATTTTATATAATCATATAGTTTTAAATGAGACTTCGAGCTTTTTATTTGTTTAAATGCTAGAAGGACCTGTTCCTCTACTTTTCTCAATTCGTTATCAAGGCTTGGGTTAAATATGTCTGGAAATACATGAGGGTGTTTTAAAAATAGGAAGATCTTTTTATTCATTTTTATTTCACTCTGATGAATTCTTTTTTGTATTAAAAAAAATATGCCTAAATTTTCTCTTGGTGAATAATTTTTATTGTTTATATTGTTAGAGTACAGTGGGAACTTGTTCATGCGGTTCTTACTAGTGCTTTGCGTGTAGACTTCTTCATTCAGGAAATTATCATTTGTCTGTGTCTTGTCGTTGTTCATCTTTTCCTTCACTTTTCCATTTCCCACTTGTGCAAGAAATTCACTATTTTCAAAATGGACCTGCTTAGAATCTTCAGTTTCACTTTCTCTGTGTAAAGAACTTTCCTCGTTTTGCTGAGAAAAAGACGAAATTAACTTTTCCAAGAAGTAAAACCCCTTTTTGGATATAGTAATGGAGCTTATAAATTTCTTTATAGTATTTCTATCATACTCTAAAGGTGTATTATTCATATTAATTTTTACGAATAAGTAAAAGGTATAGAATTTCATAATTATTTCTTCATTTTTAAAATGAGACAAAATATATTTTTTTATATTTCCTACATTTAAACTATATAATTTATAAAAATATTTTCTTAACAAAATGTTTGCAATGTTTATGTAAAAATAGACATGTTCACATTTGTCATTGTTCGTTTTTATGTTCTTTTGTATATTATTTGTTTTTCTTATGTTATGTGATATGTTTGTTATTATCAAAGATAAGCTATACATGCAAGTTAAGATGTCATCATGATTATTTTCCAATTCATGTAAATAATTATTACTACTATCCTCAGTGCATTCTAGGTAAGACATGTAGTAATTAATTAAAATCTTCAAGGTGAGACGGAGCTGGTTTAGAGTAATATTGTTATATATCGTTATTGGCAGTAACATTTTTTTTAAAAGGACAAGTTTATTTTTTATGTCCTTTTTATATAAAATATACAAATAGTTGTAATTAATTAAACTGAATAATGGCATAAGTGACATGCATGTGTGTGACGATGTCCAATTATAGATGGATAACACTCGTTCATTTATTTTTTCAAGAAAATTAAAAAATAATTCGGATCTTTCTGTGTTCCTGTAGGCATTGTAAAATACGTGATACAATTTGTAAAAATGTATAGATGAGTGTAAAACTATAGATTCGTTAATAATATTATTTTTATTTAAAGCATAGTTAATATTGCTTAAACAAACTAAATGTTCATAATTTTTTTGCAAAAAATCATCCATGTATTTTAAATTTGTGCACTTTTTGTCAAATGTGTGAACATGTTTTATTATTTTCTCTAAAATGGATATTAAAAGTTTGGTTAATTTTTCTCTTATCTTGTTTTCTAGATAAAATTCATCCATTATAGATGAATTGTATAGATATATGGACAAGTGTTGTAAGTTTAACGACGAGCTATACTTGTTATAGTTAATAACAAAAGGCAATTGGTCATTTTCACTTTCAAGTTTTATAATTAAATATTTTACAAGAACTTTTGTTAATTTTTTTATAATATATTCAATTGAATTTCTTTTACGACAATTTAATAGGGTTTCCTTTTCTCCGTATTCCTTCAAAAAGATATCCCCTTTTTTGTATAATGGATTATTTTTTGAGTATGGGTCTAGTTCTTCACTGAGCATGCATATGCATACCTCATTTTCTTTTTCTGCTGACTGAGAAAAAGTTCTAGGGTCACCCCAATTAGGCACTCCCTCGGAATTCGACTGGCTCCAATTTTGCACATTCCGAAGGATTTTGAAGATTATTGAATAGTGCTGATATGTGCATTTTTTCAAATGAACGAGGGCCAAAAGGAGGGAGCTTCTCAAGAAAGCATCATAGTCGAACGTAGGAAATTTTTCATTTCGTAGACAAAACGCATAGCTGCTATTACCTCCATTAGACACGTACGTTTGTCTCAATTTTTTTATTGGGTAAAAGGTACATATGGACTGAATAAAATTACATACATCTTTTTCATTTAATTTAAGAAAAATATATTTCCTATTTTGATGTATTATGTAATACATGAAATCGATGTAGATATTGTTAATTTTCAGTTTTGATATACTCCATAAAAAAATAAAAAATTCTTGAAAAAAATGTTCATTCTCATATTTGACATTTTCCGAATTAAATTGTACATTATATTTTTTTTCTTTTTCATTTAATTCTTCTGTATTTGATAAAAATCCTTTATAAAAAATATCCATATCATATTTTGCGTTACATTTTTTGTTAAAATGTGTAATTGCCTTGATACACATCCATCGACTTAGTAATAAAAACATAAAATTTATGTGGTCATGCTTTTTTCCCAAGTTTATATTTTTATCCGATAGTGTGTAATATTTATATACATAATTTTCATAGCATGTTGTAAAATCAATTGAATAATAATTAAAAAGTAATGCATATGAGTGTGTAATATTGGAGATTGCCTGAGATGACAAGTGAATATACATATTTGTTATATACTTTACATACACCATGTATGTTACTATATTGTAATATTTTAAATTGATAAGTGCAAATAACAAATTTGATAAATGTCGATACGTTAACTTTTTTATAAAGTAGTTTTTGTTCAATTTTTCCAACACGTACTGTAATATATCGTTTTTATAGTCAAAACAAAAGTTATCTAGTTCATACTGATTTGTTTCATAAGAACTAGGTTTTTTTTTGGTAAGACCGGTATGTTTTCCCCCTCTATCATGAATGTTGTTATTTGCAATACTCTCAATGCTTCTCCTTTCCATTGGTATGGACAACTTCTGATTCAGTTCCTCGTAATTGTTCACTTGGTCTAAGTCAGCCATTAGACCTAGTTGATCGATGTTTAATCCTACTATACTGTTATTTATATACATGTTATAGTTTACTATGCTACAATTTTTTTTTTTTGTCAACTTGTATATTTTATAAATGCATATTACATAATTTATAGGGACTAAGATGTCTTTGTTGTAGTAAATAAATTTGTATACTTCATTGAAATTTTGCATATTCCCTATTTTTTTTGTTAATACAATATTTAATTCATGAAAGTCTACATTTTTATTGTCTCTATTTTTTAAAAATATATATAATTCATTTTGTTTTTTGGAAATATTTTTCTTGGGCCAATTATTTGCCTTCATTATTCCATTTATATGATACCTACAGGAGTATGCAAAAAAAAAAAATTTAATACGTGCCTATTGTGTGTGCGTGGTGCGTTTATAAAAATGAGATATGTCAATCAATGTTAATTATACAAATAATGCACATATGTTAAAGTTTTGGTCTTGTGAGGTGAGAAATGGAAAACGAATACCTATGCACACGCTTGTGCATGTTTACCAATTTGTACGTTGGCATTTTCCTACGTCAATATACTTGCATATTATATTACACCAACACCCCACAAACCACATTTGTCTGCCTAACCTGGTGGCACTATCGGAATGATGCAGCTGTATGAACTTATCCTTACCGTTCAGGTTTTTGGGAACACCTTTTGATTTATGCTTACTTGAGTTGGAAAAAGCTTTCTTTAAATTTTTTCCACTTTGAAAAATTGTCCATATGACTAACTTTTCTTTTTTTCTTTCGCATATTTTTTTTGTTCCATTCAAAAACGACATCAAAATCATTTTCTTGTTATGATTAGTACATAGAGGGGGGGGCTATTTTGGGGATTTCAGGATCCCGTAGTTTACTGAACGGGATATGTATAAAGTAGCTTAAAAAGGGCAATCCCTTTCTTATTAGTATGCTGTTAAAATATATGGGGGAAAATATCTGCCTATAATATCTACTTACATGCCTACCTACCTATATATATATATATACATATATATACATATATAAGGTTGCTCATGGGAGTAATCACAGTGTGGAGAACGCATAAGCAACCTTTTTTTTCTTTTCTTTTTTTAAAAAAATGAAAAAAAAAAAACATTTTTTTTTCCAAACCGAATTTTGCCAACGGGTAATTAACTGTGAGCATGACTAAATCAATATGCATATATATATATATATATATATATGTATATTTCCGTCATAAAACGGGAGAGCCTATGCTTTTCACTGGGATGAGCACGGGCAATGATGAGGTAAAAATGGGAAAACCTTTTTGCACGTATTAATTACATATAGGAATCTGGAGAAAAGCCATTACAACATGAAGATATAGTGAATATTATCCTTCCCCTCCCCCTTGTTCTCACACACAATTACATATTCCAAATGAAGCATCTATCTGAATCAGTGTTGTCATAAATTTGCAATTGCCTTATAATAACAGCTTCATTTTAGCTTCTTCCCCTTGCGTGCCGTCATTTTTTGCAAATTAAAAATTACTTGCGTTTTGGTGTCGTTTGTGTAATATTGTTACAAGTCGTGATATCAGGTACTACAAACGTTGTTACATATATTTTGCAATGAGCTTACAACAAAATTTTCATTTTTTTTTTTTTTTCATTTTCTACAGCTCCGTTTTAGCGAGTGTAAGGTGACCCCCAGTCTCATTTGCCCCATATCGACCCCTAAAACTATTCTGTTTTAAGTATTCTCTTTCTTCCATTTTTATTTCCTACATTTTCATTTATTTTATGTTTAATTTCTCAGCTAATCATTATGACAATATAGAAAAGGAAAAAAAAAAAAAAAAAAAAAAAGAATCTTGAGAAAAAATGAACCGGGGAGAATAAATGTACATTCATAATTGCGTCAGCAAATCATTTTTTTCATTTTCGCAATATTTTATGTTGAGAGATATATTAAAAAGTGATGGGTAACCATTTTGTAACAGAAATGGAGAAAAAGTTATGCTCACTTTTTTCTAATAAAAGCAATGGGTATGTTTATAGCAATTTTATTTTTATCAAAAATACATACATGTGCATGTACTTTAAAAACTGGAAGAATCGCGCTTAAATGCCACACTTTTCTTTTTTTTTTTTTTTTTTTTTTTTTTAAAGCGTGTTTTAACAAAAATAAAAGCTGCGAAAAGCTGAACATGCAAAATGAAGAACTGCAAAAGCAGGATTTTATTCACACGTTTTTACCTAATCATTGTGTAATACTTACAAAGTACGGAGTGTTAAATCCTCTCAAAAAAGAACGACTCTCTCCCGATATTCAACCCCTTTGCCATATCCTCTGCTTTTCCATATTTTTTACTTTTCCATTTTTTCTACTTTTCCATTTTTTCTACTTTTCCATTTTTTCTGCTTTTCCTTTTTTCTACTTTTCCATATTTTTTACTTTTCCATTTTTTCTACTTTTCCATTTTTTCTACTTTTCCATTTTTTCTACTTTTCCATTTTCTCTACCGTTCTATTTTCTCTATTTCCCCATTATCTCATTTTCACGTCTCCACCTTTCACATATTAGCTTATTCCGCCCCCCTTTGATTAAGCAAGCAAAAAATTTAGTCAAGCATCCTTCTAAGCGTCTCAAAATTTTAGCAAAATAAATATAAATGTGCGATATACGTACGAGTATAAAATTGCGCCTTTTCGCGAGTCTACGCTTATATTATAGATACCCATTATCATCCATGGTGCCGTCAATTGAACAATAAGAAAAAATTTTGATCGATTTTTATTTTACATATATTATATACATATAATTGTAGGTATGCATAATGCAACAAATAAGTGTGTATTTTTATTATGCAACTAAATATATGCTTGCGTGTTTTCACCATGTTAAACGGTTCATTCCTAGGGCATGGAAACGCAAAATTTTACATTAATGGATTTATTCAGTAATTTTCCATTATGCCATTTCGACAATTTAATTGTTAAATAAACCTCCACTTGAAAAAAAGGGGCGTGTTCTGTCTCACCCACTGTGCCCCATACATTTTTTAATTTTTATAGAATCTCAAGTTCCTATGCATTTATTCATGCATCTACATATATTCATCCAATCACTCTCATCTACGTATTTATTGTATATATAAATATATACATATATATACTTAATTTACCTAATTCATCATCTACTTTTTGCCGTTTATTGTAAAATTTAATTATTATAAATTGATAGAAAAAAGGTATACATAGAAATTTTTATATGAATTAGGTACATGTAACAGAAATTATACATTCTAGTAGCACCAACATGGCATATTTATTTATTTATTTTTTTTTTAGTTTTAACAAAGTAGAATACATATATGGCAGCTATTATATATATAATAATAAAATATATGTATATAATATATACATATGAATATGATATATATATAAAATGAAGAAACTTTACGAAAACGTTAAATATTTTTTTCGATTTTTAGAAGTTCAAAATAATTAATAATAAAATAGTGAATAAATGGTATATATTTTATACATTTTTTTTAATTTTATGTATAAAAATAAAACACGAAAATTCTTCATTTTTGTTTCCGAGAAGACTCTATATCAATGAATATAATTTGAAAAGCTAGAATTTTTATAATATCATCATTATCATCCCTTTACAATCATTTTTTTTTTTATTTTATTTTTTTTTTTTTCCACGCACTACTTTTAGTTTAATTATTACTGCTGCTATATGTTCATATATATAATATATATATATATATGTACGCATATGTATATATATAACGCGAATGTACTTATGTTTATATGTTTTCTCATTAAATTTATGAAATAATAATCGCCCATATAAATGTACCAAGTTAAAACCATAAGAAATAATTATTATATAGTTTTATCACCTTAACTTGAATAAGTTAAATTTTTTTTTTTTTTTTTTTTTTTAGTCACATGAAAAATAATAGTAATGTTTTATATCTGTTGAGCCGAATTCGTTTAGTAATAATATTTTTTGAATGAATAATATTCCATTTTAAATTAGTTTGCTTTATTGTTTTATATATGGATATGATTGTACATACATATTAATAATATATGTATACTTGTATATGTATTGTAATATATATGTAGATAATACCTATATGTATATATGAACAATATATAGAAGAAATAGATGGATAACCCTCCACACCGTTATTTTTTTAACATACCTTTTAGCCATATACCCCACTATGTAAATGGCTAAATATTCGCAGAGATACATGGTCATGCAAATTCCTAGGGACTAGCGGTTCTGCAAGTCGGCAGATCGACAAACTAGAAAAATAGGAAAGCCTTACAATGTGACCATTTGAACAACATGCATGTGATCTTTTTGCAATCATTGCATGTTTCAAAAATTCTTTAAAACATCTTGTCACTAAGGGATAGTTATATATCCTATAGACGTAACCATGAATCCTACTTCCAGAAACTATCTAATTCATATCAAACCAGAACACGGTATATATATTTTTTTTTTATTATTTTATTTTATATTTCCATGTCTTCATATCATATCAATGTGGATAACCGTTGGATAGATTACTCTAATGGATTATTTTTATTTTTTTATTTAATATAAGAATGCTACCAAAAGTATATATTTCTATTAGGCTTAGTCATTACTATCCCCATCCTCCTCACACGTATATCTCATTTTATGAATAAATAAGTGTTAAACGCTTTTAATGATATATAGTTAGAATTTCCCCAACTACCAATATTACCTACCCACCCCTACTTTGCATGTTATATTATTTTTATTAAAAAGTGTATATTTTATTGTTGGTTGTGATTTCGAATGTTTGAAAGAGTGTTAGTTGTGTGTATGTGTGATATGCATATGTGTTAATTACAAAAATCGTACACAAATCTCAGAATGGTTATTTGATAATGTTTACCTATACATATGCTTATATATGTACATGTGTATATTTAACGAAGCAACGGGGGAGAGGTTGACACAATATACTAAGAAAAAGAAAAAACACGTGCGTGTATATATACATACATGTATGTCGTTCGATTCGAAGGGGACACATGCGGCTGCATGCATTGGTTAGTCCCATTAGGAGTAAATGACAGGACAGATTAGGTTGCTTACAAACTGAACAAATTATTCTACAAATAAAAGAGCAAACTTTGAGAGGTTGGTATTACAAGATTTTAACAGTGCACATTTATGAAACGTTTTCTCTCTGTCGGTTCCAAGAAAAAAGAAGAAGTAGCGTGAGAAATAAGCAGAGTGTCTAAGAAGTAGAGTGAGAAAGAACCAGGGAATTGGTCCAGGTGGTCTTAGCAAGGTGTAAATAGCCAAAATAGAAATCATCAAACAGACGTTTTCAATAAGACATAATCAAACAAACGAAAGTCAGCTTGGAGACTTCTCCAAATAGATCATTCCAAAGAGACATTGCAAAAAGGATTGCAACATCCATTATAGAACCACGTATACAAAGAAGACAATGAAATCAACACACGAGAATATCAACAGTTTAAGTGATTCAGGCAAGAATGACTGTATTAATAACAAGGGAATGAATCAATATAATAACCTGAACAGAGCACAACACATGAGAAACGTGCAAAATATACGAAACGAAAATTCGAGCAATGTATATAGCTATCGAATGAATGCGAAAAATAAAAGTGGAAGAGAAGAAAAGGATGTAGAAAATATAGGAGATCAGAGAATTGGAGGAGTAAAAGTATCAAAGTATGATGATTCGTATGATTCAATATATACAAAAAGAGATGTGTGTAATTTGGGGAAATTAAATAATGAGAAATCAAACATGAATAGTAATACTACATCTGACAATTATAAGGACGACGATTCAAGTGCTATAAATGCCGAAATGGATACGCCGAAGTCACATAATATGTATATAAAAAAATTAAACTCCACGTTATCCACTATGAATATTGAAGGGAATAATGATAATTATAAAGGAACAGAATTGATGCAGTTACAAAATGGGGATACAGAAATGGAACATTTTAATTATAATTACATAAATAAAAGAATAATCAAAAAGAAAATTAACAGGTTAGATGACAGGATTAATAATCATTTGAGCAATAAGCAATTTTGTAACGAACAAAGTGATAATAAAGAACCATTTGATAATTCTTTTTATCTATCGGATAATTCAGAAGAATTAAGCACAGATGAAAAGAATATCTCTTTTATTAAAAAACTGAAAATGTGTTTTAATTATTTTGGACCAGGTTGGATAGTAGCAATAGCTTATCTGGATCCAGGGAATTTATGCAGTAATTTAAATGTAGGATTAATAAGATCATCAGATGATAATATGAATAATGATATGGTAAAAGATTATACAGGCTATCATTTATTATGGATTTTAGCATATGGTCATATTCTTGGTTTTATATTTCAAGTATTATCAATGAAACTAGGACATGTAACTGGATTAGATTTAGCATCTATCTGCTACAAAGAATTTGATAAAAAATATTCGTACATTTTGTATATCTGTGTTCAGATAGCTATATGGGGTGCGCATATACAAGCAATTGTAGGGACTTTTGTAGCTATACATTTAATTTTTGGAATATCTGTCAAAGTTGCGATTTTATATACTTTGGTAGAAGCATTAATATATAGCTTTTTAGAAAATAAGAGTCTTAGTCTTTTAGAAAATGTGTTAAGTTTACTTATTGGATTATTAGCCCTTTGTTTTATTGTGAATGTTTTTATGATTCCTATTAATTACAAAGAAGTAGCTTACAGTATTATATATCCAAGAATACCAGCGGGGAAAGGATTTGATGCTATGGGATTGTTAGGGAGTATCATATCAGCACATGTATTTTATTTACATACAAATTTAACTTCAAAAAAGAAATCAGTAATATTTAATGATAGAATGTTAAAGAGATATAACACGTTAGGAACTGTGGAATCTGCTTGTTCTTTGTTTCTATCATGTGTTACAAATTGTATTATTGTACTAACCTTTGCAGAGGTTAATATAAATGCAAATGACAGAAGAGATGCATATAATCTTTTTACAGCATATGAAGTTATGAAAAAGTCATTTGGTAAAATATCTATGTATATATGGTCATTTGGTTTGCTAAGTAGTGGTAATAATTCAAGTTTTATGTGTGAATATGCGTCGAAATCTGTAGTGGAAGGATTTTTAAATAAACAAATTAATACCTTTTTACGAGTACTATCATTCCGATTTTTTCTTTTTTCAATTATGTATTTATTCTTATTATATGATAAATATAGCATTGATCAGTTAACAAATTTTATTAATGTTATCCAAATCCTTCTCTTACCGTTGGCGATTGTCCCGCTATACCGATTTAGTATTCATAAAAATGTTTTAGGAAAATTTGCCTTAACAAAGTTTTCAAAATTTTTTGTTTTCGTTATTGTTATTTCGATAATAATTGCAAACCTTATGTTAACAGTTTTTGATTTCATCCAAAAAGCGCCAAGCATATATACTGTTTGTTTTTCCATCATTTTTTCACTGCTTTATTTATCGTTCATTTACTTTTTTTTTAAATTACCAATTACCAAGACCTACTGTCGTCAGTTTTAAGAGAAGAGAGAAGGTCAAGTGTGTGTGTGGGTGGGTGGGGAGCAGTGCAAGAGTGCGCATGTGCACATGTATGGAACTGTATACATACATGCATATATGTCTGTACACCTATACATATGTATATATAGATGTATGTATGGACGTATATGTACGTATGTATACATGTATATGTATTAAATTAGATGGATGCGCCCTTTTTACCCACCCTTCTGTTCATTTGACGTGTGGGAATTTCACCACTTTGTTTCAGAGTGGAGGAGATCGCTTGTCCTCCACTCCCCTACCTCTTGTGCATTCATATCATCTGCCACACACACTTTTTGTACTTTTATATGTTCCTACACACTATGCCTTTATGTGATCTTCCATTTATGCTTTTATTTATTCATCCACGTGTGCCCATTATATACATCATTAACTTACCAATTTATAATATATTCACCACCACCATAGCCACTCCCCCCCCCCCCCCACACCCCTCAATTTTTCATCCATTTAATGCGTACACCATGGTAACTACGATCCATATCCATTTATCACTCAACAGGACTCATACATTTATGTACGTTTCATATTCGTATGTCACAAATTCTTTCACTTCATATCCATTTTGTGAATGCCTTTTCTAACATCCTTTTTACTTTTTAATGTACATATATATATATGTATATATTTTACTTTTTTTTTTTTTTCCCCCATTTCCCGGCATCCTCTTCATGAAACGCATGTCTTCACCTGAATTAACATTTGTAATTGTAACTTTAACAGCCAATCCGTATAATAATAAATTAACGTAATGGCTCCATACTCTTTACCCTTTTTAAACCTTTTAGATTTTTTAGACTTTTATTTTATTTTTTTTACGATTTTAGCACATTGAAAAATTGATGAATAGTGCATAGCTTAGAATTATTACAGATTATCACAGCATGTGGCTCGAACGTTTACATTTTTTGATTTTAAAAATTCTCTACCCTTTTTCACGATCAACCTATTTTTGAGCACATATTTTGATATGGAAAAGTGAGGATAACCCCCCTATGCACGTTTTTATCCGTTTTGTTGGGGAAATTCGAGAGACACCAAAAATGTTGCCTCTATAGATATTAACAAATTTTTTAAGAATTTATCCATCCCGGTAGAATAATGTAACATCAACTCCCGTACGTTTTTTTTTTTTTTTTTTTTTTTTTTTTAGACTTATATGAAATGATAAGGAAAAATAAAAACAACTATGAACATGTATATAATGTCCTACCTCCTCTATGACCGTTTAAGAGAAGATGTTGCCATGTAATGAAAAAAGAAGAAAATTTTAACTAAAAGGTGTGGAACATGCTGGTTTTGATCCATTTCTCTACCTTATCATTTTTTTTTTTTTTTTTTTTATTTCAAAATGTCCTACTCTGATGCGCATGCAAAGTTTTAAGGGTAGAAAACTATATGTAGTCATAGGGTACATTTTTTGTGCGCAAAATAAAAAATTTTATCGTTTTTCATATTTGGAGCACGCTGTGCTCAAATATAATTTAAAAAAATTTGTAAATTTTAATGCTACATTTGCATATGTGATGAACACGTATTTAATTGTGCACATAACGTGGGGAAGGTTGGTATAGTTAAAAATGTGTTGTCTTTGGTTGAAAAAAAGCTTTTAAATATGTGACATAATTGTAACAAAAAAAAGATGATTGCGTGGGTAATACATATGGCGCATTTGTAAAAAAAAGAAAAAAAGGGGTGGAGTGGCAAAAAAGGAAAAAAAAAAAAAAAAAAAGTAAATTAAAAATAGAACATCGGAAACGATTTAAAAAAAAAAATTGAAAAAAAAAGGCGACATTTCTTGTGATCACTTTAAAAAAAAGTCCCTTCATTGTAAAAGAGTGAAGGAACTCGAAAAATACGAAAAAATACAAAGAGGTGAGATTGGTCTGCGAGGCAAAAAGGCCTTTCTGTCTGCGCATATGTGTGCGCGTACATACATACATATGCACATGTACATAAACAAGGGCAGGAACAACAATACAAGCTGAGACATAAAAAATAAAAACAGCTAATTACTGCTTAGTAAAATGCATCAAACATTTTATATTTAAAAAAAAAAAAAAATCTTCTAAAAATATTTTTTCTTGCCGAATCGATTTCATTTTGTGTTAATGCAAGGTTATATGCGAACTGTATACGGGTAGTACACACATTGTACACACATTGTACACATATTGTACACACATTGTACACACATTGTACACATATTGTACACACATTGTACACACATTGTACACATATTGTATACACACCGTATACACATTGTATATACGATATAACTATCCCTTTTAAAATATTTTGTCTTCATAAAAAACTCACTAATTCATGATCGCTATTCTGCGTGTATCCAATATTGTAAAAATTTTCAAATTTTCTAACATGGTCATGCATAACAAAATCATGCCCATTCATTTCCAAATCGTAATGTTCATGATGATCTTCACATGTTTGTTCATCCATATGATTTGTTACTTTTTTATGTTTACAACATCGATGTAAATTTTTGGCCTTCAAAAGTTCATGAGCTCTATAATTTGAGCTTATTAAAAAAATGGCTGCTAATATGGCCATTGGAATGTGCATTTTTTTGAACAAATTATTTACACTGGAATTGTTAAAATTGATGTGTGCGTGCGAAAGCACAAACATGGCAAGCCCCACGAGCGTGAACAGTAGCAGTGGAACATTTCTTAGCTGAACAAAATTGTAAATGGTTGTCATCGAAATTATGGGTGTCATAATGTATAAGGCAACCTGCAGAGGGGACATTAGGGGGGGTTGCGTGTAACGGAGAATGGGTATAGTCACTGTGTGTGCAAATATGTGTGCAAATATGTGTGCAAATGTGTGTGCAAATGTGTGTGCAAATGCGTAGTAGTTTTTACATACTAGCGCAAGCATGCATTCTATTACCTTCTCCACTATTTCATGCCATCCATCAGGATGTGAATGCTCCGAATGATCCTCTATTGCGTGTCCATTTCCAGAACTGTTAACTACATTAAAGATAGATATCACAACAGTAATAAGAGGAATTAAAACACAATCGATTAGACAAATTATGCTTGCTATGGATGATATATTGTTCAAATTCGACTTTATATAAATGTATATCCTAGAAAAAGGTGCAAAATAGAAAAGGGAACATTTATTACTTGTGAAGCGCACAAATGTTCTGAAATGTATTTGCACAAAATGATACATAAAGAGGTGTTCCGCTTGAGTAAAAAGGGTTGAACAAGTGTATATATATATATATATATAGATAGATAGATAGATATATAGATATAGAGAGAGATAGATATATATTTACAGACAGAGTGCACTTTCTACACGGGTGAAAGTAAACATAAGAAACGTTAACTAGCAACAATGCCTATTTTTTGGCCTCCTTTGTGTTTACACATGTGGGGAAAATAGTTTGCGATTTGTTAACTGCCTTTATATACGTCTCACTATGGATTCACGACAACAGAAACATAATCACTATCTACATGAACAATTTATGGAAAGGATAAAATAAAAATATACATATATATATATCATTAAGGATTTTTAAACTTATTGGCCTATTTTACCTCTTCAATCGGTTCTTCATATTTCACAACCTGAATGTGTTTTATTGGTATAAGGTTTATCAATTCGGTAGGAATATGTATGTTTTTTTCATTTATATCATATAAATGAAAAAAAAAAAAAAAGGTTGAAAAGACTAAAACAAATCATAATAGATAAAAAAAAAAAAAAAAAAAGAAAAAGAAAAAAAGGGGAATAACTAAAAAATTCACATATATGATGTTCACATTTAACACATTTTTTTTGTTTTCTGTTTTTATTATTATACATTTATGTGTGAATATCCACATAACAAGAAAATAAAACAAAAAAAATAAGGTAAATTATATAATAATTGAATAAATGAGAACTGAGTATTTTTATATGTGCTAAACTATATTTTTGAACACCTGTTTTCTAAAGATTAAGAACAAAAAAAAAGGGTTAAGTTAAATAAATTTTTTTGTACAATTTTGGGGCCCCGTTCCCTCTTTTTAAAGTTGCAAGGTTCAACAAAAAAAGGAGGTAAAGGGTTTTAATATTCTAAGGAATAACAAATTTTTTATAATACATGCATTAACAAAAAAAAGGCATAAATGAGTATATATTCATATGTGCACCGAGGATCCATATATATTTATGTGCACATATATATGTATATATCTTCGAGCTCAAACATATACGCATACATAATATAAACCATGTATGATCCACATGTACGTGCGAGAAAGTACACAAATGGACCACACAGGGCTACTTTGTGAAAAACAAATTTACTTTAAGCCATTTTAAACACAGGAACAAACAAACAAATAAAAAAATAAAAAAAAGAAAAAAAAAAGAAAAAAAAAAAGAAAAAAAAAAAGAGCTTTATAATTTTTCAAAAATTTGCAAACAACTTTTGAATTCCAGTGGAGATAATGAGTGGTGTGTTTCGTTTTATCTATTTTTTCACGTTGGCGTTTCATTTATTTAAATATGAAAATATATGAAAGTAGAATAGGAGGGGAAAAAAAAGTAGTTTCACAAAGCTAGATTATGCATGCATGAGCACATATTCACGTGGCAATATGGATATTTAAACACGAGTAATTTTAGACGCTTAATTTTTTTGTTCGATGGCTGAATCCTTGCTTATTCACAGGCCATGATTTTGATTGGCACGATATGAAAAAATAGAGAAAAATTAAAAAGAAAAAGCATTAAAAAAATGATAAGGAGGCTAAAATATATGCAACTTGTAGGCATAAATGTAGTACATATTCATTGGGACATCTTTCTATATATGCACAACTAAAACAATTAATTTGAACATGCAATTTATCGTGCGAAGTAGGAAATATTATTAATATTTCTAAATGACGTGATGGAAATAAACTGTGTTTAATCAGTTTATCAATCATTCACAGCAGAATTTTGTACATTCAAAATGGTTAAAAAAGTTGAACAAAATAAGAAAAAAAAAAAAAAAAATTAGTGACAATTTTGACGGAACGAGCATGGAAAACACTAATAGCGAATTATAAGACCCTCTTTTAAAAAAATTCCGTGTTTGATAAAATTGCATTTTTTTTTCAGTATCAAAAGTTATTTTAGTAACACGATTCACCTTTATTCTCATATGTATGAGAAAATATAAACCAAAAGAAAAATTTGAAATATAATAAAAAAAGTTCAAACTTTCAAATATATATATGTAAGATATATGAACATGGCAGGTCATGTCCTTCCACCACTAACATTTACTCATACCATTCGCAACACACACGAGACACAACATCCACATCCGTGTACAAAACAAATGATCTCGTCGCATTCATATGCCCCCAAAAGGAAAGCAATATACATTTAGCACTTTCAACATGTGCACAAATAATAGTCTACCTGAAAAATATCCACAAATAATGTCGCAATCGTAACCATTTGAACTTTATGCATATGTACTTTCACCCTATTATTTTTCCCTTTACAAATTGGGGCAAATAAAAAAATAAGGAAATTGTTTCTTCTACCCATGAAAAAAAAAAAAAGAATAAATAAAATTACGACTGAATGAATTAGTGGATAAACGACTGAAAGAATGCCTATTAATGTGTATGAACATGCTTGTAAGGGAAAAAGGAAATAAAAATATTTTATGGTGATCTTGTTTCACTTTAAAAAAAGAAAAAAATGTATGAGAAGGAAACACTTAATGTGAAAATTTCATTTCGTCCAACAATTAACGTAATCGCGTGCTATGCCCTTTTTAAAATAATGTCAGTTATATGTAAGAACATGAGTAGCATACATATGCTTTACACAAATCCCCTGAAGGAGAACAGCGGACCTCAGCTTTTTCTTCAATAACCCATTCGAGTCAAATTTCTAAATTGGAGGCATAAATATGTACACGTCATAGATCCGCCAACGTAAGTTGTTCATTCATGTATTTCCAAAAAAGCACACTAACTGATATATATATTATATATGCAGCAATATGTATTTATTTATTCTATACACCCATTTGAACATATTAATATTTATGAACCCAAAAGGTACACCAAGCGTTGCATAAGTACATACCCCCCGTTACTTGTATGTATAAGGAACAGTACATTTATATGTGCATATGCATTAATTCACACATATACATATATATATATATATATATATATATCTACATGTGATACATATTCTCCATGCATATATATAATGTGCTGAAAATGGTTGTAAAAAAAAATATAAAAAAAAAAAAAACAGGGAAAATTTTCATATTCATTTGTTTAAATGATACAACCCAATTCTCGAAAAAACATTTATCGCATACTTTTTACACGTATTATTATTATATATCACCTGATCTTAATCACTGCTATTTTTTTTTTTTTTTTTTTTTTTTTTGCTATCGAATGGTGCGTACAAAGATTAGGGGGATAAAATAATGTACATAAATGGGTAGGGATGAAGCAAAAATAAGGCAAAATGAAAAAAAAAAATAAAGTACATATTGACACCTGTAAATGCGTACACCATGTAATAAAGCAGAATAAGAAGCTTCAAGTAGAAATACTGTAAGCTGTTAAAATTGCAAAAATGTATCACCTTAAAATTGCAAAAATGTATCATCTTAAAATTGCAAAAATGTAGCATCTTAAAATTGCAAAAATGTAGCATCTTAAAATTGCAAAAATGTAGCATCTTAAAATTGCAAAAATGTGGCATCTTAAAATTGCAAAAATGTAGCATCTTAAAATTCCAAAATATAAATAGCATATACAATATCGAAAATATATAGCTTCTAAAATTGCATAAAATAACAAAAAAAAAAAAAAAAAAGAAAAAGAGGAAAAAAAAAAAAAAAAACACACAGTAATCTTGCTCATCATATATAATGAGGGGCTTGTGCACAAGGGTTATACAGAAAATCCAAAAGTTCTGTTGAAATGTTCGCTCTCTTCCCTTTTAAAATATATACATTCCAACAAATAAGAAACAACTGTAAGTATACAAAATGATATAGCGTGTAAAATATGGAGAGAAAATAATAAATTGCCACAAGAGACGTTATAATCCATATATGCAATGCATGTGAGCATATATATACGTGTGATTATCCACATGAACTCAAAGTACCAAAAGTGACGCATAGCAAAATATATACATATATTTACGTATACATATTATATATGTAAAAATACTTTTATAAGGTTTATATAAAGATACAAATAAATATATTCACCAAGTGTAATTTTCAAGGCCCCTTCGGGTTTTCAACACAATATAAAAAACACCTTTTATTCTTTTGCCCCCCTAATTCTTTTATATATAATAATGTACGTTTGTTTTATTTTATTTTTTCTTTTTCTTTTTCTTTTTAACACCGTTACTACATATGAAAGGTTTTGTTTATATAATCTTCAAATTAATTTTTTTTTTTTTTTTTTTTTTTTTTTTTTATAGCTATGTATTTTACATAATTGAACTTAATTTATCCTTTTTATGCTTTGTACCTTCGCATCTTTGCACTTATAACACATTTATAGTGTATTCTTAAACTCCACCTTCCCCCCAATCCTTTTTCTATTCTTCCTTCTGTTTAAAAGCCTTTATATATATGCTTGTGTCATGTATAATTTTTTTTATATATATAGCAAAGTTTCCCTATTCAATATATTTTTTTTTTTTTTTTTTTTCTATCCTCATGAAATTTTTTTTTTTCCTTTTAATTGTTCTCTTTACAATTAAGCCCCCCCACCCACACAATGTCAATTATTGAACAAAATAGGGATTTAAAATAAATACAATATATAAACATATATATATATTTTTTTTTAATTGTTGGAGTGGTATCCAAATTGTATACGCAACACATTTTTGTTTCATAATTAAGGAAAGAATAATTATTTTCTCAACTGAGGAGTTTAATAAAAAAAAAAAAAAAAAAAAAAAAAAAAAGAATAAAATTCTTCAGGGAGGCACAAAAGGAGAACGTTATTAACATACATTTTTTCCATGTGAACAGAAAAAAAATATATATACATATGCATATAATATATATTATATACATATTTAAATGGATAATTGTATGTGCGCGTATACATTAATGCGCAACGAATAATCCTACAAACTCACGTACTCTCATCCCGTATGAACACTTTGTATTGTATATATAAGTTACGCACTGCATCATCATCATCATCAGCATTAAACACAATTCATTTAAAGAGCCGAGCGCTTCAGCCGATACAAAAGCAGCAGTGTAGTAAAAGCGACAAATCCCCACGCACATGCCTATATATTCATAGCAATATACTTACAAAAAAAAAACCGTTTTGTTTACATGCTTGTTGCAGTAGGAGGAAGAAACAATTTGTAATGCGTTAAAGGGAATCCGTTTCTACGCACCATTATTTCATATTTCTTGTTTCATATTTCATGTTTCGTATATCTTACCTTTTTATCTTTTTTTTTTTTTTTTTTTTTTTTTTTTTTTTTTTTTGCGGTAAGCGCCGTGTGTTTACCACCCAAGTCGTCGCATATATGTACCTTTTATCATAGAAGAAGATACGTGCCGATCTATAATCGGAGATAGCTGAAGAGCGAGCTAGCTAAACGTTTTTGAACGCAAGAGAGAGAAAGACCCCGTATACTGAGTGTCAGTTTATCTGTCGATCCATTATTAGAAAGTGATTGGAGGTCCCCCAACGAAAAGTTAAAAAGTTCGATAAAATAAGAAGTAATGGAAAAAATCGTGGAAATAATTGAGGGATTAAGCAGTTCTGATAGCCATGTACGAAATGAATGTGAAAACACATTAAACTATTATAAAAAGAATGACCTAAATAATACAGTGTTGTCCATTTTGAAATTGTTAAAAAGTCATAAGGATAGCCAGGTGAGGTTACAATGTGCTATATTAATAAGGAATATATTTCGTGCTTATATCAAAACATCAAATGTAGAAACAGGAGGGGAGAAAGAAAACAATGAGAATTCATTAGGAAATGGAGAAGAAGAAAATTATTGGGATTTATTACCAGAGAATTTAAAAAATATTGTAAAGTCAGAACTGATAAGTAATATAAGCACTGAAACAGATAAAATGGTAAGAAGTAATTTGTGTAATAACATAATTGATTTATCATCCAAATTACTTATAAACAAGCAGTGGCCTGAATTATTATCTGTCACATTGGGCTTTTGTAATTCTAATAACAACGATGTATTGATTAGTGGATTTAAAATATTGGGAGGCATTTTAAGTTGTATCCCAAATGAATTAGAATTAAAAAGAGAGTTAGTTTCATCTGTTTGTATGAAGGGGTTAAACTCATCAGATGTGCAAGTCAGAGGAGAATGCATAAATTTAATTTCATGCATAGTTGAAGATAATAGCCCCATATTAGTTAAAAGTGTACAACCATACATTCCTCAAATATTACAGTCTCTAAGTTTGATGGTTAAAAATAGTAGTTCAGATATATCTGTGTTAGAAGAATGTGAAAAAGTACTTCAAGCCATTGGAAAAATGATTGATTACAATGCAAAATTTTTTACAAAACATATTTCCACCCTTTGTGATATTTTGTTTAGTATATGTATGAAAGGAGAAAATGAATTAAATTACGATTTTGATAGTAGCTTAAAATCGCTAAGTATTGAAGCACTCATCACTATTCCTGAAAGAAGACCTAAAATGGCCTTATCAGTACCTCATTTTGTAGATAAAATTATTCACCTTTCAATGTTATTCATGCTTGACATAAATAATGATTCATTTAACGAATGGATGAATTCAATTAAAGAAGGAAAGGATGATAATCAAGAATTGTATGATATAGGAGAAGAATCTCTAGATCGAGTTGGAAAAGCATTTAGTGAAATTGAAGAAGCAGAATTTATTCATATTTTGTATAATAAAGTTTCAGAATTTTTAATGAAAAATACATGGGAACACAAATATGTTGCTATTATGGCTATAGCACAAACAATTGAATATTTGCCAGAAGATGAAATAGAAGATCAGTTAGAACATGTAATAAAAATGTTATTACAAGTTTTGCTAGATCAAGATGTTAGAGTTAGGTATGCTGCTTGTCAAGCGATTGGTCAGATCTCTCTAGATCATCAACCATATGTGCAAAAAGAATATCCTAGACAAATAATAACTGCTTTGATAACAACTATGAATGACGTTCACCTTCGAGTTCAATCTCACGCAACTGCAGCTTTTGTAAATTATGCAGAAGAATTAGACAAAATGGCATTACTACCTTTTGCAGATATGATAATTGATATTCTTTTACAGAAATTAAATTCATCCAATTATTTACTTGTAAGAGAACAGGCCGTAACCGCCATAGCAGTGATTGCAGGAGTCATTGAAGAAGATTTTTTAAAATATTATGCTACTGTTGTGCCCATGATGAAAGATATAATTCAGAAGGCTGTTTCAGAAGAAGAAAGGACATGTAGAGGTAAAGCTATTGAATGTATATCTATAATAGGATTATCTGTAGGAAAAGAAATATTTTTAGAAGATGCAAAAGAATGTATGAATGCATTACTTCAAATAAGTAGCACCAAAATGGATCCAGATGATACAGTTAAGGAATATATTCAAGAAGCTATTGGTCGAATATGCAGAGCTTTAGGAAATGATTTTTTCCCATATCTAAGCAGCATAGTTCCTACTATTTTATCCCTTTTAAGTGTGTTACCAAAACCTTTAACAGATGATGAAGAAGATTTAACTATCACAATGGTTTCGAACGGTCAATATGTTGGTCTAAAAACTTCCCTTTTAGAAGACCAAGAAAAAGCCTTAGATTTATTAATTATCATTATTGAAGTATTGAAGGAGAATTATAAAGATTACATAGAAGCAACTGCCACTGCTGTTTTACCAATGTTGAATTATGAATTGTCAGATGAAATAAAGCAGAAGGCTTTAACAGCAGTCAGCGAATTAATAGAAGCAGCAAGAATTTTATCAGAAAAAACGGACAATAACAAAACCATGTTACATGCAATTTTAACAGCCGCTGCAGAAAAGGTTCTTAAAAGCTTATCAGAAACAAAGTTAGATGATAATTATGAATATATTTTAGATGTAATGATAATAGAATCCAACGGATTGTACATGTGTTTACAAAAAGCTGGTGCAAATGTATTACCTGATAATACATTGAAACTATTTTTTAATCAAATATTCAAATTGTTACAATGTTCAACAGATAGGAGGTTAATATATAACCAGAAAAAAAATAATGATGATGTAGATGAAGATGAATTGCTAATTATTGATAGGGAAGAAGAATTAGAACAGAATTATAGAACCAATTTGTTAGATATACTTGGAGTATTAATAAAATACCATTCAACACAATTCTTAAATACTTGTTGTGATATTTGTATCACATTTATAAACACATATTTGAACTCTCCAAACTCTGAAGATGTTGCTTTAGCTTTATATGTATGTGATGATTTACTAGAGTTCTTACAAGAAAATAGTGTATGTCTTTGGGAATATTTTATGAATCCATTATTACTAAATATTAATCACACAGATGATAAGGTGAAACAAGCTGCATGTTATGGAGTTATACAAGCAACAAAAATTGAAGCATTCAGTAAGTATGCAAATATTGCTGTGGATTATTTGTTGAAATTAATTCATCAAAATACTTCAAATAAGAAGCCAAAGGAATTTATTTCAGCAATTGATAATGCTGTTGCTGCCTTGGGTGATATTGTTCTAATGCACACATCCAAATTTAACAATGCTGAAGAACTAATCAAATTGTGGTTAAATAATTTACCAATTAAAGAAGATGATGCTGAGGGAAGGCGAGTCCATAAAAATTTAATAGATCTCGTTTCTCAAAATCATCCTCTACTTTTTGGTAAGGATAATTCCAATACTGCAAAAATTATAGAAATATTTTTAACTATTTACGAGACAGATTTTTCGGATGCTGATTGTAACAAGAAAATTGCCTCCCTAATTAACTCCCTCGATCAGTCCTATTTAAGCAACTTGGCTTCCTCTGCCTTGACAAACAAGCAGGCCAAGAAACTGAATAATATTGTCAACACTAGCCGAAAATAGTGGTTTTTAAAAAGGGATAAGGAGAAGAAAATAGGTAAGTAGGTAGATAGGTAGGTAGATAGATAGATTGGTAGATAAATAGAGGGGAGAGAGGAGAGAGGAGAGAGGAGAGAGATATCTCGTAGGAAAGAGGGAAAACAGAAGAATATGAAGAGGAAAAAAACCCCGTGTGACACAACAAAATTGGAGAATATTGCGTGAGATGGATCTCTTACACATTCAATCAAAAGAGGTCAAGCTGGAAGTTACATCAAGTTCGGGAAGAATTATCCAATCGCCCTTGCCGGATTCACAACATTGGCAACATTGAAGTTTTTCCAAAAAATAGAGAAAGCAGAAAAAACACAAAAAATAAAAAAAACACAAAAAATAAAAAAAACACAAAAAGTACAAAAAATAAAAAAAACACAAAAAATACAAAAATTTACAAAAAACACAAAAAATGCAAAAATTTACAAAAATATAAATAATTGAATAATTTCAAAAAAAGAAAAAATCATAATATAAAAAAAAGTAATCCCCAAAAGAATAAATTTTACACATAGTGTAGAAGCGCAGCTCATTGACCTTCACCAAATTGCATTTGCACGACTGCAAGCATATATTTGCGCTAGCTCCTTGTTAGCATGCTCATGAAGAAATGAACACGATACCAGAAACAAGATATCCATTCACATACAAGGCATATATCCACTATGTGTAAACTTTTTTTTTTTTTTTTTTTTTTTTTTTCTTTATTCCATAGTCAAAATTTCTACAGTTAAAATTTCCACAGTTAATATATCCACAGTTAATATATCCACAGGTAAAAATTCCACAGTTATATTATGCCCATATACGTTTTATATACAGTTATATATAAACTCTACTCGATTTTATTATATATTAGCTACATATAATAACCCTGTTTTATTGCGTTTCCATTTTTCCCCTATTCATCGCATGCTAATTAAATAGTTTTCACCCTTACCTACATTTTTACTTTCATCTATGTGCACCAAAGTAAACGTAGAAGCATATATATTTTCCAACAAGTACATATGACATACTCCAATTTTACATGTATGCAATGTGCTATATCCAAGAATTAACATCAACCCCTTATGCTTGCACGTTAATTTTGTGAAATTTAAGTTTATGCTTACGTGCTCGTATATATATATATATATACTTATACATATTTATATATATATGTTTTCATATGCACATGCGAACAGTGCATATGTATATGTTCCATATCGTTTTAGCTTAAACAATTTTAAACAAACATATAAAACTATATTTTTAATCTTTACAAGTTTTTGAATTTCGCTGCTATTTGCAGCCCCCCGGGGGTGGTGATAGTGGGTCACTACTAACCCCCGCACGCAAAACTGACACATATATACATGTACATATGCATATATATATATATATATAGGGAGAGAAAGAGGAGAGATACAGATATACTGATATATCTGTACCCTCAGTATAAGGCGGTAAATAAATTAATTTTTTTTTTTTTTTTTTTATCACTGTCCGATATCCGTTGAAGTGTCAATTTTTTGTTATAAAAAAGTTGCCCATATAACATGCTGTAGAGGTAGATATTCTTATCTGCACGTCCAAGGTGTTTCTTTTGAAAAAAGAAAGGAAAAATGTTCCACATTCTCCTTATGAAATCAACAAGTTTTCAAAGAATTTGTCTTTTTCCAAGGAAATATGAAAATGTGGTTCAAAAAAAAAAAAAAAAAAAAAAAAAACTTCATGAATGTAGAAGTATCCACATGTTCATTAAATAACATTCTAAGGTTAATTTTGTGCTATCTCCAACATTTTGATTATAGGAAATAATATGTATATACATATATATAGTTAAAACTTCTCGTTTCCCCAAGTTTAAGCTTTACAATATTTTTAAAAAGCTTTATATACCCTTATTGGAAATCAAGAGATTGCTTTTCTTTTTTCTTTTTTCTTTTTTTCCAATATACAATTTTTAGAGAAACTGATTTGTAACGAAACAGAATGTGATGAGGATCATCCGATAGATACTTCTAATTGTTCTCATGGCAGTATTTGAAAAACCTTATAAAATGGAACAAATCTGTACGTAATTTTTCTGTATTTTGGAAAAAGCATGTCATCTATAAAGGGATGTGTTCCTCCCTTGAACAGTTTGTGCTTGTGGTGTCATCGAATGTATGCGAAGTTTTTGAAGAGACACCTATTATGTTATGAGATCTGCCAATGGTTGGATCGCTAATTATTGGATCCCTAATGATTGAACTGCTAATGGTGTGCATATTCTTTACTTCATAAGGAAGAGAAGTAAAATTAAAAAAAGAAAAAAAAAATTCCATTTACATGAACCAAGTGGGTCTAGGGGGATGTTAATATTGGAGAAACATACTTTTCTTTCATAAACAAAAAGTGAGGAAAAGTGAGGAAAAGTGAGGAAAAGTGAGGAAAAGTGTGGAAAAGTGTGGAAAAGTGGTGATGAGTTTCCCATTTATCCATTTCGTTTTTAGCGGAGAAAATAAGGAAAGACGAACTTGTTTTTTAGTTTTTTTTTTTTTTTTTTCCAACGTACGAAAAGGGAACATAACCCATTAATATCTCATTTGGCACCTTTTGCCTGAACTTTTGTAAATATTTTTTTTTTTTTTTTTTTTTCCTCCCCTTTTACAATAAAATGAGTGAAAACAAAATTTAATGAAAAGCAAAACAATAGGGAATGATATTCTATATTTAATTTTGTGAACAGGATGGAGATGAGAAAGAGGAAAGAGACGAATTTAGCGAGATGTGAAATTTATGATTATTCCACTTCTTCTAGAAAGAAGTACGAACGCAAAGGAAAAATTGGAAAAATCGAAAAAGAGGTCAGAATTGAAGAATGTAACAATAATGGGAAAAGTTCAAGCGGAAGGAAAAAGGATGGGAATTCCAAATCTTCTCTTCCAATTGGAGATCAAAAGAGGGAAGATGACAGGTTAAGAGGAGAAACTTGTCAATTTACCATTTTTGATGAAGTAATAGAGGACACACTGAATGCAGAAATGAATAATAACTTTGAAGAGTTTCTCGAAAAGGAAAAGAGTAAACATAAGAAATGGAAAAAGAAAGAAAAACATCACATGTATGATCAGAAAATTAATCTGACTAATCATGGTAAGAAAGATAGTAGTAAGGGTTATGACAATACTATTAATAATGTTAAAAATAATTTAACTGATGAAGTGGGTTTTGAAAAACAGGTGCATTACACACATGACAATTTACTCGATGTGTCCACACCAAATGAAGAACACGACAGTGATTCTCTATATGAGGAACCTACTTATTCGAGAAAGAAGAAAAACAGAAAGGTAAGAGACAACGTGAAAGCATTAATTATGAAATCAGAACATACAAATGAAAAAAGGAAGAAGGTCAAAAACGAGATAAATGATAGAATTAAAAATTTCACTTATGAAGACAATATCAGTAATTATGATATGGATCTGTTTTATTACTTCAGTAGTTTAGGAAATGGGAAAAGTACCATGTATGATGGATCTGTCAAAACTATTAGTTCGCAGAACAGAAAAAGAGGATATGCCATTATAAGATCCATATTAGATGAACTTATAAAGATAAGTTATGAACAAGGAGAAAAAGAAAAAAATATCAAAGTGCAAAAAAGTACGAAATGTAGAAATGATTTTTATACATCTGCAACAGGTGTGGATATTGAAAATAAAAATAGCATAAGAGACAAAATATCTTTTGAACGGATAAAAAATTATGATGAAACAAATTTAAGAAACATGTTTTTTTTTGAAAATATTAATATAGACTTCAACGGAAAAAAGCTAGCTGTTTCCCCATTTAAAAGTACCATTATTGATGATATTGATGCAATAGATAATAATACAAAAAATTCATTAATTAGGAAAAAAAACTATTGCACGAAAAGGAAATTAAAACTACGTGATCATGTTAATTACAGTAACATCTTGACCTATGTTTGGATGGAGAAATTGAAAATATGGGTAGATTGTAAAAATGACAATTTGTTAAATTCTTACGTTTACATAAATGAATATTGCATTTCGTTAAATTCAGAGGTTACGCAGTTTTTGTATTTTCTTCTTTTTTGCAATTCTTTGTATGCGGATTCGGAGGGGGTTGGAAAAAAGACAAGTAAAAATGCGAGAGACAAAAAAGGGGGAGACCAAATCGAGGGAGGAGAAAAGGAGGGATGTGAAAACTATCAAGAGGTGGAGGAGGAGGATGAGAAGGATAAGGAAGACAATGAAGATTTGGTAGCAAGGGATGAACAAAATCGTCAAGGGTGGCATAAGCAAAACGATATAGATGCAACAGTGGAAGGAAGGAACAGTAAAGAACCCAGTGCATACTTTAACTTGAAGAAAATTGTGAAAAATATGGAACTAGAAATGGTAAAAACAGTGCAGGAGCAAAATATATTTTTGAGTCTTTGCGCCCCAATAATTCACTTAGACTTCAGCAGTAATATCAATTTTGTAAATTGTTTAAGGGATACCTTAGACTCATTATTTCCAAAAGGAGTAACCGATGTTCGTAATGATTATATAAATGGACAAAGAGAGAATAGTAGTACACTTCACACAAGGAGAGGAAAGAAAGCACAGAAGGAAGTTAAAGGAAGGGAGAGTGAAGAAAAGGAGAATGGAGAAGTGAAAAATGGAAAGAAGGAGAATGGAGAAGTGAAAAATGGAAAGAAGGAGAATGGAGAAGTGAAAAATGGAAAGAAGGAGAATGGAGAAGTGAAAAATGGAAAGAAGGAGAATGGAGAGGAGTTAATGCTACAGGAACTAATGAAGGGTCTACTAACAATATGTGAGAAAATGTTCGAAGGTAATTTTTTGGCTATCAGTACATGCAGTTATTTAAACAGTTACATGTTCTATAGCTCATCGAAAAGGAGTAGAAATTTTATTTTTATATATTTCTTATCTCAATATTATAGTAAGCCCATATTTTTTGATATCATTGAGGTTAGCCATATATGTAAGAAGCTAGAGTGGATAAAGTTTTTCGACAGGGTTGAAAATGGAAAAGAAAATGAAGAAACGTATATCTATCTGCTACTATGCCAAATTGGAAATGACATAAATATTTACAGCATTTCGAAACATAATTTTTTTGATAAATTATACGATTCTGTAATGAATGAACCCAATTCATTAGAACCAATTGATTATATAAGACAAAAAATTGAAAGCAAGAAATTTCAAAAAGTCTTTACGTACCATAATGAACAACCATTGAGTGACTTTTCATACTGCATTTGTATAAATGATAATCAAAGGTTTTTAAAAATTGCCTTAACGTTTAACAGCACCAAAATAAAAGTTGTAAGTGTTTACTTGAGAGAAATAAATAAAGCTACGAAGGTTAATCGTTTCATTGAAAGGGAACAGACAACAAATGCATCTATACACGCATGTGCAGATTATCTGCGTAGTCATTTTAAAGATCCTCCAGTTGAAATTATTGGTCAGGATAATGACCTTGCTGTTTATTATGATATGGAGACTGAAGCGGTTGAAGTAGTGGAAGCTGAGGAGGAGGATCTGCAAACAAATGCACAGCGTTACGCGATAGTAGTAAACAGGTATGAACTAAATAACCTAGGAGAAACATCGTATGATGTAGGTTTTTATGAAGATGTTTTATATTTACAACAAGGTATAATATCAGTGTGTTCATTTTTTCCATGCCTTAACTCGTACCTTCTTTGTATTAGCACGAAAGAGGGAGAAATGATAATAATAGACATAAGAAACAACAGAGAACTTTATTTTTTTAAAAGAAAAACAGAAACAATGACTCATATAAAATGGCATGAAAATGGTTGCATATCATTTGGACAAGAAAAAGGATGCATCATACATCTTTTTGAGAATAAATATTTTTTAAATATTGATAAACCGTGGAATGTCGAAACAGATATTGTATGTATACATAGTTCACTTATAAACGATATGTATCTATTTTTATTTGATGATGGTACAGTTCTTAAGGGGAAATTGAAGGGAAATTCATCTAAGGTTAAAATTAGTGAATTATTTTTGTGGAAAACATCAAATTTTCAGATGGATCCCGATGTATTATTAAGTATTACCTCAGAAGAGTGTGATGAAATTGAGTCTGTGTCACGTATATTGTTGTATGAATATTTATGGGGGTTACAGAATATTTTTAAAAATGGGATTATTATCAGGAGATCCAAATGTCTTGAGACAAATATAAACAAGAAAACGATAGCATTAACTCCCAAGTGGTAAGAGAAATATAGTTTAAAAAATGACGAAAAAAAGAGACAATACACAAATATTAACTTTATTTGTTAGTAATTTTTTTTTTTTTTTTTGGTGTATATGAAGAATATTTTTATTCATAATTACATGTATTAATAATTTTTTTTTTTTTTTTTTTGCAATCTTTCAGTGTATCAGTTGCTAACTTGGACAAAAATTACCTAATAGCGTATGGAAATGGCAGTGGTTTAATTCATTTATTTTTAAGGAAAAAAATCCAAGACACAAACATCAAAGGGGGGTGAAGGAGAGGAGCCTTGGGCGCGGTGGGTAGTCTTCAAATGGCAACATTGTAGTGACGAATCATCGCATGCTATTTTATTTTTTTTATCATAATGTAATATTCATTTGACACATGTCAATTTGGTTTTTCTCTCGTATCTTCGTTTAAAATGTAAATGAATGGCAATGAAAGAGTAGTGTGTGTATGCACATTTTTCCCTTTTTTTTCCTTAGCTCCCTTTTTGCCCTTTTTGTTTTTTTTGTCCTTTTTTTCCCTTTTTTTTTGCAAAATTTTCAAATGTTGCATTTCTCTGCGTGTTCCCATTTGAAGAACTTTTCTTTTTTTTTTTTTTTTTGTAAAGTTGCAAATAATTTTTTATCACAAGAATACTTCACTAATTGTATGAATTTATTTTGTTTTTTTGGAAGGTAGCAAAAGAGTTTGACATAGAACGTAAAGTGTGAACATTTATGAGATGTATGCACATGTGTGTGAAGGTACACATATGGAGAAACCTATTTACATAGGGTCATATTGTCTTTACTTATATGCACTCATTACTACGGTTTTTCATAGGCTGGTGTGAGTGGCCAATGTCCCTCTGATAAAAAACGCGTTGCCTCGAATGTAAATGTATACATGTACACGAACACATACATAGACACTAATTGGGGGGTGAGAGGGAAAAGGCGCTTGAAAATTGATTTGTTGCTCCTTTAAACTTCTATTTTAATAGACCCTGCTCGATTTTCCTTTTTTAAGATGCTTCTTGATAAATTCCAATAGGACTCGATGCATAGTGAGAAGAAATAGGCAAGTAGAAAAATGGACAGATAGGTAGAGTCTCTTACGAGATCGGGTTCTGATTTTCCGAATTCTGCTAATGTGGAGAAACAATGAAATGGGGAATAGATGATGGAATCAATTGAATGGCGAAGGACACAAAAAAAAAAAAAAAAAAAAAAAAACTGTCTTTGCATTACCTAATGTGAGATACAGTTGATTCGAAAAAAAAAGGAAGGCGTATGTGATTAAAAAGCATCCCAAGAAGCCTGAACGAAGGGGGTAGAATCTTACATGTGTTGGGCCATCAGAGAGAGAAACAAATGTATGTATATGTACATGTGTATGTATATACATGTAAGTGCGTTGAGACGTTTTGCAATTTGCACACTGTACATTTGTGAGTTTATTCATGTATATGGGTAGATTCCCCTCCATGCTGAACCCCCTTTCGTGCATAAATAATACCTTTTAAAGCATTTGCTATTGAATTTTTTGAATGTGAAAAAATGTTCAAGAAGAGATATGTAAAGCTCATTATCAAAAATGTGGAAAAGGGAACATATGGATTGTCCATTATATAGGTATTATCATATATATGATTTTCATAAGTTTTATAAAATTTTATAAATTCGTAAGCAACTAAAAGCACTCCTCCAACGGATGCTATCAGTTTATTTATTGCGTGAGAAAAGTTCATTGTTCTGAGTCTAAAAAATTTACTGAATAAAAAGGGGTGGTGGGGTTGATGTAGGTTGGCACGATAATAAAATCTTATTGGGGGTGATTACGTGTGTACGAATAATTTTCAAGTTTCAGGAGGTAGATAAAGCACACATTAAACAAATGTCTGAATATATATGATCTCCTGTTAATCAATGCTAATATCACAATTTTCACCCGTAACAAGGATTTGACTTACATTTTGATAACAATGTTCTATAAGGATCAATAGACTTTTTCTTAGATTTCGATTAATGTAGAGTTATAAGCTTAAGAGCAGTTTTTTTTTTTTTTTGGAACTGAAGGAATATGAATTAATTCCCTTTTATTGTGGACAAAATGGATATATCTTTGTTAATTACAAGTATATGAATTGAACATATCTATGCATGCAAATGAATATTTGAAGCCACTTTTGCTTACATCATGAAGTGGGTAAAAAAGAGGATTTTCCTTCTTTCGGTTGTACTCGAATATGAATTACTTTTTCTTTTTTTTTTTTTGCTTTTGCTTTTGCTTTTGTTTTTTCTTTTTTTTTTTTTTTTTGTTGCTAAGGTCTTTCAGTCGATCCTGGTTATTCCTTTCGTATAAATGGAAAAGGAGAGGTGTGAATTGGTGTGAACATATAAAGAACAAATCGTAAAACAAACGTGGACAAGGGTTGAAACATTACTTTTTAAGCACTCCTTTTTAGGCACTACTTTTTAGGCACTCCTTTTTAGGCACTCCTTTTTAAGCATTCCTTTTTAGGCACTCCTTTTTAAGCATTCCTTTTTAGGCATTCCTTCATAATCATTCTTTTTCTTTTTTCTTTTTTTTTTTCCATTGCACCATTTACACCCATGCAACAATCATTAAGTATTATGAAAAAAAAAAAAATTCCCCATTTTTAACTGTTCGCTACGGAACGTCCATCAATTTAGAAATAATAACAAAGTTTTACAAAAAATATTTTGCATGACTTTTTTTTTAAAAACATAAACGTGTCACATCATATTATCTTTTTCTTTTTCTTTTTTTTTTTTTTTTTTTTCCTTGTTACATAGGCATGCTAACGTGTCTTTGCTCTTAAACGCATAGATTTACGAGATAGCATGGTTGAGAAGTAGAAAAACTTGGACAAATAATATGCATGCACAAATGTTCGTTCGTGCACACGTTCCTAGATTCATGTTCAGAACAAACAAGAGTGGACTCTTAAGATTTGTTATTTCTACTATATATGTGCTTTTAAAAAGTTTGCAATTTTCGAAAGCTTTAATTCTCAGGACTTTATTTGTTTGTTCTTGCGAAAATATGGAAAAAAAAAAAAAAAAAAAAAAAAAGGGAAAAAGCATGCAATCTCACATAACTACATATACATGCAAATATGTGTAACATGTTACAATTCATATGTTTACAACTCGTTAAAGATAATCCATATTTTTACGAGTTAAAAAATTTACAACTGAGAAATGAATAAAAATTCTGTGTTCATGTGATGCTGGTCTTTATTAGTCCCTTTTCTTTTATATATTGTACAATATTTAGTTGGTAAAAAACCTACAGCATTTTTCTCCAATTCTACGCAAAAAAAATACAAAAAAGATAAGTGTCGCATTAGCGGGGGACCCCATGGGTGAAAAATTGCCTTCAAATTAACATTCAAAAGAAGTGGGAAAAGTAGTGTGATTGAAAATATAAACAATCGAAATGCGAAAAAATGAGATTAAAAAGAGGAACAATACCATGATAATTACGGGGACAATTATGAAAACATATAAGAGAATGATTATGAAAAAAAAAAAAAAAAAAAAAAAAGGATCTCACACTTTTTAGTCCTCATCAATTTCGCAAAAATACTGCTGCAGTTCGAAAATTATATCTTCTGCTTTTTTTCTCCTTGCCGAATCGCTCGTGCAATTTTTATTTTCAATTTTTGCTAATTTTATTTTTTCGACAATCTTGTTAAAGTTTTCCATGAACAAGTCTTCCTTTTTTCCTTCAGAAATCTTGGCACATTTTTTATCTGTAATAATTTCCCCATTTTGTGCAAATTTTTTATCTGTAATAATCTCCCCATTTTGTGCACATTTTTTATCTGTAATAATCTCCCCATTTTGTGCACATTTTTCATCCGTAGTAATTTCCCCATGTTGTGCACATTTTTCATCCTTAGTAATCTCCCCATTTTGTGAACACTTTTCAATTTTAGGCAGTTCCCCCATAGGGAAATTTCCCTTCTGAATTATTAACCTGTCACGTGTGATTTGCAAACCCTTCCACATATGGCAGTGAAGAGCTTCTACCAACCTTTTATCGTTGTCTTCTTCTTCTTCTTCTTCAAATTCGTGGAATTGACTTTTTTTTCTTTCTTTTACTTTTTTGTTTTCCTTGTCGATCTCATTTGTTCCCTGCAGCATTTGGATATTTTCTGTCGAAAAATCGGATTCATAATTTATGTACAAACATTCAATAAAATAGTCACTAAAAAAACTGACAATATCTCTTTTGTCTTTTTCAAGAAATAAAGGGAAAATGGAAATTTTTATACCCACATCTTTATAAAAATTGGAAAAATCAAAATTTTCATTTCGTATGATTTTTTGACTATTATTGGGGTCTTTTATATATTCAACACATTCTTCATCATAATTCCTAAATGGGTTTTCATTAATAAGTTTTTTTTCTTTTTCACTAAAATCGTTAAACAAAAATATAACGCTTTCACAAAGTATGTCCTTTGCATTTAATTCTTTATTTCTGGGGATATCACATGTATGATTCTGTGTTTCAGGATTTCTCTCTCCTCTTGACTTAACTTGTGATACATGTAACTGTTCATGAATATCAAGTCCTTTTAATTCAACTACACAAGAAGAAATAATAACTTGAGCACTGTAGTACTTATTCACAATGCGCACCTTTACAATCTGCTTAAAAACAAAAGAACAATTAATGTCACTAGAGATATTCTTGTGGTCAAACATGACCTCATACTTATCTGAATTTTCATACCATTCTATTACTTCAAATACTTGTGTCAAGTATGAAACGAATTTATTTATCTTTTGTTCTTCATAGGATAATATAACGATATGAGGTATAGTGGCCATTATGTAGTTTTATTTATACTGATATTATCATAAGAAAAGAAAAAGTTTTTTTTTTCTATTTTTCTCAAAGTAGTCGTATAGTATATACTAGCAATGTAACAGCAATGTTCTAGTAACACACTAGTTATGCAAAAGGCTACTTATTCAACACAGATTTGTAGTTAATTATGAACTTCAAATGGCATGGATGAAAATGTGCATATACACTACTGTGGGGGACAAAAAAAAAAAAAAAAAAAAAAAATTGCGTTATGTCATTTAACCACAAATATGTGTATAATAGGAATTAAATGCTAACATCTTGTGAAGTATCTCTGCATCCATAAATCAAAAAAAAAAAAAAAAAAAAAAAAAAAAAAAAAAAAAAAAAATGACCCATCTATTTATTTCTTTACTCTGGAGATACATTTTGGCCACTTAAAAAATATTCGGATATTTTCCCGACTCCCCATAATCTCAACCTATCTTGATATGAATCCTTTTTTATTTTTTATATCCCTTTCAAAATGGAAAAGGGGGTAATACAAAGTCGCCATTGTGTAACAATTATGAAAAATATATTTGTGATTCAAATAAAATTGATAAGAATTTATTGAACTAGTCTCGCATTGCATGTAGAACGCTCCACAAGTGCACATTTATCATGGGAGAAATTTTACAACATCACTAAAATTTTGCTTTTTCTTTTCTTTTCTTTTCTTTTCTTTTCTTTTCTTTTCTTTTTTTTTTTTTTTTTTTTTTTTTTTTCACATCCTACCGCATTTCAAGCAAATTCCAATTTTAAAATTATAAAAGGATGAGACATACCATTTGATATGTGCAGATGGTAATAGAGTAGAAAAATAAGAAATATTCTTATTGAGTCTTTTATAACTCTTTGTCGAAAATATATGCAATTATTTTATACCTTTGCATCAATTTCTTTTTCTAACCTATGGAATTATTGTGTAAACTGAAACGTCTCCTGTTCACCATCCAAGCATTTAAAAATTTAAACTGAAGATACTTTTTTAGCATTCAAAAAAATTGTTCATAACTTGATAGGGTAGTTTTCACATTATAATGGAATTTTTTTTTTTTGTTAAAATTGTAATAAAGTTTTGAAAATTGCACTTGTGCAGGAGAAGGCGGACAGGCTATTTAATGTTTTAAAAAAAATTAAATTTATATAAAGAAAAGCAAGTAAAGGCACGGAAAAGCAAAGAAAAAAGCAAGGCAAACAAAATATGAATTAAATTAGTAATTCTGATATAAGTCTTATATAAGTCTGATATAAGTCTGATATAAGTCTGATGTACGTCTGATGTACGTCTGATGTACGTCTGATGTACGTCTGATGTACGTCTGATATACGTCTGATAAACATTTATAAACAATCCTTTGCCCGTAAGCTATTATTGTCAAGGTGAGTAACCCATGGACAGGTTTGAAACAAAAAGAGAGCACCCGAATATGTATGCGAGATGGAAGAGTGGCAGCCAAAAAAAAAAAATACATTAAAAAAAAAAAAAAAAAAAAAAAAAAAAAAATCATCAAATTGGGGGAAACGAATCAAATATCTTCTATTCCCTGTGTAATTTATAATGGACAAAATAAAAGAAATGATACAAAATAAGGAAGTGTCTAATCACAAATTTGGAGACATGCCTGCTATCCAATTATCTTTCCAATGAAAAATGCATACATATTGCGTGCATAACAAAATAAAACATTTGTCACAGTTGCAAAAAAAAAAAAAATAAAAAAAATAATATCGCTCTGTTTTTCTAATTCGTAAGTTGTTCTGCCCCCAAAGTAGTCGAATGTGAAATTAGACATACCTGCACGGGTTATGTTTCATTTTTTCACCAATTGCACAACATCTTCATCATTCAAGTCATGATCTTTTCCAACCCTCTGGGGATTATGTTTTACGGATTTCCCCCAAACTAAGGCATATTTCAATTGATTAACTAAGGATCTATGTATTTTTTTACAAAAGTGTTCAACCTTTGATCTTTCTTTTTTTAAAATAACTGGTGATTCATAATCTGGTATTTGACCTTTTGGTTTTGTATATATCCGAACAAGATCTAGATAATTCCAAATGGCTTCTAAAAGTCCATCTAGGTTCCATTCTAAGTGTGCAGAAATTGGAACATTATGAGGTAAGCGTGTAACTAAATTTAACTCTTCCAAAGTGATTTGATCGACTTTATTTAAAACATATATACATGGAACATATAATCTATTTCCTTCTATGACATCAATAATATCATCTACAGTTGCCTCACATCGTATGGATATGTTTGCACTCATAATTCTATATTCATGACAAATGGATTTTATCATATCTTCATCTAAATTATTCAGTGGAACTGTGTGAGTTATGTTTATTCCTCCTTTATCTTTTTTTTGAAAAATAATATTTGGTGGTTTTTTATTTAATCGAATTCCAAATCCTTCTAATTCTTTTTCTATAATTTTTTTGTATGTTAATGGTTTTAATACGTCCAAGACAATTAAAATTAAAGAACAGCTTTTTGCTACAGCAATAACTTGTTTTCCTCTACCTTTTCCATCTTTTGCCCCTTCAATAATTCCAGGTAAATCTAATAATTGCATTTTTGCTCCTTTATATTTAAAAATTCCAGGTACACATGTCAAAGTTGTAAATTCGTATGAAGCTACTTCTGAAAATGTTCCTGTTAATTTGTTTAATAATGTCGATTTTCCTACAGATGGAAAACCAACAAGACCTATTCTTGCATCTCCAGTTTTTGAGACATCAAACCCTTCTCCTTCTCCTCCACCACCTTTGCTTCCACCTTCAATTAGCTGAGCCTTTAATTTTGATAATTTTGCTTTTAACAACCCAAGATGGTAATTCGTTGCTTTATTCTTTTGTGTCTTGGCCATTTCGGCCTCGATATCAGCTATTTTTTGCAGGATCGACATTGTGCCAAGAAAAAAAAAAAAAAAAAAAAAATAGAGAGGTGGGGAAAATGAGGGAATGTTGGAGAAAAATGTGTTGTTTGAACCAAACAAAATTGGATAAATGTTTCTACAGAGTTATTTTTCTCAAAAATTCTACTTTCCACAGTGAAAATGTTACTTGAAAAATTTCCACTCTTTTTAACTTGTTCCTGTTAATAAAAAAGTATAAATAAGTTTTATTCTTCTTTTGTATGTAGCTTGTGAATGGAGCACGTGATTAAGTGGAACAGAGTTTCTTTTTCTTTTTTTTTTTTTTTTTGGTGTATGATGTGTAGCTTTATTTTGCTGATTAATATATGTTGGCTTCATATGCTTCAGTGAGTACGGGATTGTGAAATCTCCACGACTGCTGATAGACATGAAGGGAAAATAGTTTCCCTTATGGTCAATTATATCTTTTTGCTTATTTGTTATACTACTTCTCAATGCCTTGAGAGTTATTTTGAAAAGTATCAGTAGTTGCTATGAGGGTACATATCTTTTATACTATTACACAAGTTGAAGTAAAAAGTTGATGAAATCTCCTTTTAGTTCATCTTTTCTTTTGGATGCTTAAAATTGGCAAATTTGCCTTTACTGTAGGCTACTTAATTGTGCTTCGTGTACTTTACAAATGCTATGCAGAGAAAGTGGTCGAAAGGAAAAAAATAGAGAATAAAATGGAGAATAAAATGGAGAATAAAATGGAGAAAAAATGGAGAAAAAATGGAGAAAAAATGGAAAAAAAAATAGAGAAAAAAGTAGAGAAAGAAGTAGAGAAAAAAGTAGAGAAAAAAGTAGAAAAAAAAAATAGGGAAAAAAAAGAGTTATCTTTTAAAAACTGAAAAATAAATTGTGTACAAAAGGGTAAGGGGAAGAAGAATACATAATGAGATTGCCTTTAAAATATTTGAAGAAAAAACATTACTCCTCATGAGTAAGTCATCCGCTCACACGTTTAAGGTTCATTAAATTGGGAAATGCCTAAATGGTGAAATGACGACGCGATGTAATAGTAATGCTCCTCAGGAAAAAAAAAAAAGAAAAAACCTATATGTACCAAACATGCATTCAATTCAGGTTTTAAATTTCTTCCACTTTTTTTTCGTGAAATAAAAGGAAGAGTAAAAATGGATATAAATTCATTTCCTTTCATCACATGCGCACTTAAATGAGGTATGCAATATATATATATATATATATATCTAAAGGCACTACATATGTGTGTTAAGCACTACGTTTTTTTTTTTATATACAATAACCTCTTTCCTTGTTAAGCATGGAGAGAAAACACGTAATGCTGTATCATACCTAAATCTTCACATACAAAAAGTTCAGTGCAATTCTTGTATAATATATATAATCTCTCAAGGGAACTTCCTTCAAGTACAACTAATGGACTTCTCAAAATCCACATGTTAATTAAGAATCATCTATTCTACTTCTTACATTTTAGTTAACAAACATTTTTATATCATGAAATAAAAAGTACGCAACACACTGTTCCTCTTTGGGAGTTCTTCAATACAACATTATTCACTGCAGAGAAATAAGATAAGTTAATTTATCAGAAATATCCTTTTTTTTTTCTTTTTTTTATACTCCCCATTTTTTTGGGAACAGTTGATTTGTTTTTGCCAAATGTGAACATTTAGCTAATTTTTTTTTTTTTTTTTTTTTTTCGATACATTTGTCGTCGTTTTGTCCCCATAAGTAAATACATAACTTTTTCTCTATTGGTTCCTATAAGCTTTGAACCTAATTTTTTTTGAAAATGATTTTTTTTCATAAAAAATAAGACCGTTTCGTTCATCATTTGTAACCATAATTGGGATGTACATATATATGAGTAATTCTTTTTTTTTTTTTTTTTTTTTTTTTTCTATTTTATTTATTCTGTTTGTGTTTTGTATCCACCTATAATGATGTTTCATGAGCAGTGAATAAAATTGGCAACTTTTACAAGTCCTCATTTCAAACGTCGTAATTATGATTTATGTTTAAAAAAATAAACATATGTGTGAAAAAGTAAAAACACATGAAAACAAATTTCTTTTCTTATTAAATATCAGAAATTATAATGAAACGGTATAGAAAGACAAAAACGAAATAGGGAAATAGAATAAAAGGATGAGAGAAGCAGATCTTCAAGATATTTCATTTCTACGTTATAACAAATTCCCGCCGATGCTTCAGAGTTATGTGTTTTCAAAATTTGTATAGTTGTTCAATTGTATAATGTTATGCTTCAAGCAAATTTTAATGTTTGTAATTTTTTTTTTTTTCTTTTTTTTTTCGTTTGTATATATGTAGACAAGTATAAAAGTTGGCACCTTCATGTTAGCGAGGTGCACAAATAACCATTATTCAAAGGGGACAAAAAAAAAAAAAAACTGAAGATTAACAGTGATTGAAGTGAGATTACCAATACAGCTGTAACGCAAACCAACACCACCGAACACTCTTTTGGAGTTGAAAAAATATGCATAAAAGTGGGTTCTCAGTGTAAGCAGTATTTTATTTAAAAAAAAAAATAAAAAAAGAGAGAAAAAGTTATTTTTATAAAATTTAATAATATAAAACAGAAGAGATTGAAGAGAGGTATACTTTTTTTTCTGTTTACACTACACTTTCTAATGTGTTAAAAAAAAAAAAAAAGAAAACATGGAGACCAGAATACCATCAAATTTTCCTACCAGTTTCCCAATGAGCGCCCCAAGTATGCTACAGAAAAACAACGGAGAAGACAAACAGGCGCAGGAGAATGTATCACTTTTTGAGATTTCAAGCGAAGAGAATTTAAAGATGAACATTATAAATGACCAGAAAGATATGGTATATTATTATACCAATGTACTCGCAAATAAAGGAATACGAACTGTTAAATATTTTGATATCGACATAACAGAAGATGTGGATGATATTAACGATGCATTTTGCGATCCAATAAGACTAAACGATGACCACTATGAAGAAGATTATTTGGAATTCAAAATTAAAAAATTTATGTCATCATGTAATAAAAACTCGTATGCGAAGAAAATTTTGTTAAACGATATGAACATTACTGTACCGCACATCACCAGTAGAAAAAATCCTCAATGGGAGATATGTAACCAAGATGGAAAAACTTTTTCTAGTAACAAAGTTGAACCTTACTGATTGGGGACCTTCTACAAATGTGAGGGAACAACTAAAACCTCCGTTTCCAAATCAGTTTTCCGTTCCATACTTTTGTCCCTTTATTCTCTTTATATAATATAAACGAAGAATAGGGAGAAGAAGAAAAGGATGAAATAGTTCTTATGGACACTAAGCAATGTCTTAAATCATAATTTAAAAAAAAAAAAGAAAATCATAAATATAATTACACCTAATCGAGTCTTAACAAAATATATCCTGTAAAATGCACCAAAGTAAAAAAAAAAAAAAAAAAAAAAAAAATTGTTAAATATTCCCTATACATATTTTCAAGAAATAAGTCTCCTTTAATAAATTCTTTTCTTGCTAAAGGCAATTGCTAATTTTTTTAGTAGTGTAATACATATATGTGTAGTTCACATGTAAGCCAAAGGTTTTTTTTTTTTATTTTACTATTTTTTTCAATGTCACAGTATCATTGTGATACTGAATACGTCGTAATTACAATCCACTTTTGCAACAATGCGAAGATTGTTCCATTTTTTTTTTTTTTTCTTCTTTTGGCAATTATATATTGTGTATATCATCGGGTAACGCTTTTTTTTTTTTTTTTTTTTTTTTTTTTCTCAAAAATGGTACAGAACGGTGGAAGAGAAAAAACACTCTTGCCGCAGTAAAAATTAAAAAAAAAAAAAAAAAAAAAATGTTTTAAATTTATACAACTACCTTTTTATGTTCATTTTGTCATTGTTTCGTTTTTCCCGGAATGGGTATCAGGTAGCAGCTTTAGGAAGGTAAAAAAAAAAAAAAAAAAAAAAAAAAAAAAAAAAAAAAAAAAAAAAAAAATTTTTAAATTTTTTAAATTTTTTTTTTTTTTTTTTTTTTTTTTTTTTTTTTTTTTTCCGGAATGGGTTTTAGTAGAAATTTTGGAAAGTAAAAAAAAAAAAAAAAAAAAAAAAAAAAAAAAAGGGACATGTATAAACAAATTCTTATGAAAACATACCCATGAATACATACTCATATACACACGCTCATATATACGTATATACATATATACATTTGGGTAAGAATGTATTGCCTTTCATCCTATACGTGTGTACGTGATCTTTCTTGAAATATATAACATGATAAGGAAAACTTAGTTTATTAGTCAAATGTTTCACTCTGCCTTTGAGGAAAACTAGGAAATTGAGCATATAATATTAAGAGGGTGAAGTGGGACCAAAGTGTGGATTGTTATGCAAAAAAAAGGGAAAGAGGAAGATGAAAAAGAAAGATGAATTAAAAAGGATGAAATAGAAAGATGAAATAGAAAGATGAAATAGAAAGATGAAGATAAAGTGCATTTTGATAATTGTGTAAAACCGATTGGTGACTAACGAAGCTGTACGTAACTTCACAAGTTTTCAGTCATTGAACCATTTTGCTATTTCTACAGATTGACGGCCTTTTTTTCTGTATATGTATTTATTACACACAAGCATAAGCATACACACACAAATACACACATACACGCACACCTTTGAAAATCAACTTGGTTTAAACCATCGCCATTTTTGTAAAGGGGAATCCTGCAACAATAGAGACCACTTAACACCGAACGGGGTAAAAAAGAAAAGCAAAAAAAAAAAAAAGAAAGCCTAAATGTAAATTGTAAATGTAAAACGAAAAAGTAAATTGTAAATCATAAAGCATAAATTGTAAAACGTACGGATCATCTCAAGTGTGCACTTTTACGAAGGACATTGCCATTTGAAAATACTTCACTTGCACTACTTGTGCATGTACTCATGAATCTTCCTTTGATCGATTAATAATAGCGCAACTGAATTGAGGAAGTTTGTACAGATATGTATGTATATATATATATATATATATATATATATATATATATATATACATACATATATTTTTATGCTCACTCTTAGCAATAGGCGGAAAAGAAAGAAAGGCCTTGAAAAATGCTTAATTTTTGAAGAATGAATAAAAAATTGGACAAAAATATATCCAAAGAGTTCGACGTGAAGAGAACGGAATTGCTTTATCAACGTCCAAGAGAAATTAACAGGAAGATCGTTTGGATCCTCTGCATTACATATATATTAACATATTGCATACAAGGGATTACATGTTTTATGCTTTTGAAAAAGCAAGAAAAATTTAGTTACATCTATCTTATACATAATGAAAAAAGTATAAATGATAACCATCGTAGAAAAAATTATTTAAATTATAAAAATAGAATAATTTTAAAAAAAAATGGCTTTAATAAAAAACAAAAGTTTGCTTTAAAAAGTGAAAAGGTAAATAAAATTATTCAAAGTTTAAAAGAGCTAACATTATTAGAAGCAAGTGAATTAGTGAAACAAATTGAAGCTACATTTTCGGTTGACACGAGACAAAATATAGGTGTATCTAGCAGTGATCAGGAAAATAAAAAAAATGCAGAAGATGCAAACGCTAATGAGGAAGAGGACGACGAAAATAAGGTATACGATTTGATTCTAGAAAATATAGAACCCAATAAAAAAATACCCATAATTAAAATCGTTAAGGAGATTAAAAAGGACCTCAATTTAAAGCAGGCTAAGGAAATAGTGGACAACTTACCTCAAACTCTTTTCGAAAAAATTAACAAAGAAACGGCTGACAAATGGAAAGCCAAGCTCACAGAGGCTGGGGCCACCGTTAAGTTGAAATAAACCTTGCATCGCTAAAAATTTCTCAGCGCGTCTTGCATACGCATACGTACATGCACACACATATATATATAACGCTCATTCACTCCTCTCCTTTTAACCTTCAATTTGCTTTTTTTTTTTTTTTTTTTTTTTTTCGTCGCCAACACATTCGACACTTATTTTTTCCTACGCACCTAGCCTTTGTTACGCACGAAGTTTATGCTTTATTAAAAATACAAGAAAAAAAAAAAAAAGGAAGCATATTTGCAATTAGTTTATGTTCAGAATAATTACATTCATCTCAGTACAGCATGTAAACACTTTGACCAATTATCATAACAAAGTTTTACCATTTGATATAAATATGTATATACAAGAATGTGTAGGTCAATGTTCTTGTTCCTATATGTGTAGACAAGTACACATTCGCCTACATTGTTGTTTATTTATTTATTTATCTATTTATTTATTATATATATATTTATTTTTTGCACAATTGAAACTCTTTCACCACATTTTGAAGCCTTATATTTTCGCATTTATTATACCTCCAAATTGTTATACTACTCCCTTTTTATACATGTTTTCTTTAAAAATTGCTCTTTTTTTTTTTTTTTCAGTTCATTTTTGAAAAATAAAAATGTTTACAACAAAACAGTACTTCATTTTATTTCCTTTAATTTCAGTTCAAGCTCATTTCCTTTTTTTTTTTTTTTTTTTAAATGCATTTTTTTGTTAATTAAAAAGAATGTTTTATGCGCTACAATAGGTGGGCATTAAAAAATTGAGAAATTTTATGGTTACGAAGTTTAGACGTTGACAAGTGTTCAATTGTGCAATTATGCAGTTATACAAATACTCAAAATTAAAAACTTCAAAATTGAAGCCTTCAATGTTAAAAGCTTTCAAAATTAGGGAAACCACTTTTTGAGCCAAAGGGGAAAAGGAGCAAATGAAAAAAATATAGGGAAAAAAAAATGTGCCTAAAATAACGCAGCACTAGCAGCGTTGTAATATTCACGGGCATGTATACATATATGTGGATGTATATATATATATATATATATATATATATATATATATATGTGTAATTATTTAAAATGGCCCACACAATTGGTTGTAAAACAAAGGAAAAAGCGAGTGAAACAGAAAAGGGTAAATAATTTAAACTCATGCAAAGAGATATTTTCTTCTAATTCATTGGGTTAACTTGATATGTGGAGACTATTTTAAAAGGTTTGATTGGGTTTATTTTATTTTATTATTTATTTTTTTTTTTTTTTTTTGAAATTCACATTATGAGTTTACCCCTTACTTGGGAATTCCAATATTGGGCACCAGTTCTGTTTTACACCACATGGTTCTTCTTAATACTCATCACTCCTCACCCCCGCCCAAAAAAATATACAATACCTTTTTCTCTCTGGTAGCAACTGCGAGATATGTAAATATATTCGTTCCATTTTTTACATGATACGTATTTTTTATCCTTTCTAAATTTTTCAGTTCAACTGTGGCACATTGGCTGCCTGCTGAGCCTGTAAAAACTGCGCTTGCATTTCAAATAATTGACATTCTTTCTCATACTGAAAAGCAATTGGTGTTACCAAGACAACAACAGATACACCAGCTACCCAAACCACCCAAGATGTTGTTTTAAATCCTTTTTTTATAATATTATTTATTCTATTTTTTAATAATTTTAATTTATGCTTAAGACGAATTGAATCTTTTCTTTTAAAATTTAGTAAATTATTTTTCGAAAGTAATAATCGACCTTCTTCATTATTTGACGCAATTTTGGAAAGTATAGCTCCCATTTTATGATATGTCACAAATAGGTATAAATTATATGAGTCTACAAGTGATATATCTTGCTGGAAGGTGTTATAATATGTCCTGTGATATATATGATACAAATACATATATAAAGTTAGCAAGAAATGGAAGGAAAAAATTTGATCATGTGGTCGACGAGGGTGGGTAATAAGGTAAGAAGGGTTCATATATGTGAACTGCCGTTCTGATTTACCAATGTCTTAGAATGAATTCTTGGTCACTGTCATTGAATACGTATTTTTTTGCTGTCTACGTGAGAGCTAGGTGGGGGAAGTAAATACGTCTTGGATATGTAATATTTATATGTACTTATCTCTCATTGCTATAGGGAAGTAAACTTGAAGAACCTAACTCATAACATTTTCACAAGTAGGAAGCGAAGAACCATCGTTATGCTAAAATTTTTTACGTAGATTAATTATATATGCCAAGCTATAAAGGGTGTAGGGGGAAGGTGTCGGGGGAGAAAATAAATGAATCCAGAAAAAAAAAAAAAATGAAAAAACTTATTCCATTTGAGGAAATTATATTTTGTTCGAAAAATCATTTTAATTAAAAAGATGGTAAAATTAAACAGTTGCTTTTTTCTGCATTTGTTTTATTAATAATATTCTTTCTTACCCATCCCTTTTTCTATGCATATATTTTGACTCCAAAATGGTGGGAATCACGGGAAAAAAAAAAAAATATATATATATATATATATACTATAGTATAATATAATGAAGTAAAAATAAAGTAAAATTTGTTCCAACAACAGTTATAAACTGAACTGAACAAGTGTTTGGGGAGGAGGCTGTGATTTAAATTATGTTTTATGAGATTCCAGGAAATTTTTAAGTACATGTATCCACTGTCATTATGTATGTATGCACTTAATATGTATTTATTATGTATATATTTATGTATGTATTTATGTATGTATTTATGTATGATTTTTTTTTTTTTTTTTTTTTTTTTTAACTTGTTCCAAACGAAAAATTTGCGCCTTAGCAAATTGAAAATACTATTCATGTGCATATAAAATTTTTCTACATAATAAAATGCACAGTGCTGTTCAGCTATATGTCCCCTCCCCCACTTGTAAGTAGCGTTTCGTCACGTAAGATATAGGCACAAAATTGTATGGGGTCACACATATATACACATATACGTTTTACATATCTTAAACAAAAGGAACATGTTTTTAGCGATCTACTTTTTAGAACGTGTTTTATAAGGGATATTCGGAAGGATCATCGAGGGTTGGAAATTATGAACCCCATCCGATTGATGTTGTTATAAGCGTTGTGCCTTTTTGTAATTGCATAATTATTTTAATTACAAGAAAAAAAAAAGGGGGAGAACGAGGGATGGGGGAGGGGGGGAGGAAAAGCTTTGTTTAATATGTAAAGAGAATTTTTTTCCTATAACTCAATTTCAATTTTATTGTTTCTTTTTTTTTTTTTTTCTTTCACTTTTTGTTTTTTGTGAATTATTCTATGATGAAAATTTAAAAAAAAAAAAAAAAAAAAAGAGAAATAGTAAATGAGTAGAAATAGGGATACGGAAGGGATACAAAGAATTATAGTTAATAAAATGTGTTACACAAAAAAATAGTAAAGCTAAAAACTCTGTCGTTCATATTTGCAGTAAAAAATGCGCTGTAGTTTTCTGAAATTTGGGTAAGGAATATAATAACGCCAGAGGTGATAAAATTTCTAATGTTGTAAAAATACGAACAAGTGGCGAGCGAAGGTTGAGATTATTTTAGTATTTTACTTTTTTTTTTTTTTTTTTTTTTTTTTTGTTATTATTTTATTTTATTAACTTTTTGCCTGCATATTCAGAACATTTTTTACCCATTTTAGTAAACATTATTTTGTCTTTTATTTTATAACCAAATGTAGCGAAACATGCCTCATAATAAATATTGCATAAAATTTATTTCCAATGTTTTAATCAATTTTTCCCTAAATTTTTCTAAACCATTGTTCTATATCGTTTTATTAAAAATGAAAAAAAAAAAAAAAAAAAAAAAAAAAAGTTCATACCACATAAAGCACAAATGTATTTATGCTCTCCATTCTACCTACTTTCACAATAATGTAATAACACCTTGCTGTTCATGTAGCACAAACAAAAATGTGTGACGAAACTGAAATGCTTTTTCGTGTGCAGCAAAATGGGTCATAAGGGGACAAAAAAATGAAATAAAATAAAATAAAACGAAATAAAGTAAAATGAATAATCATATGTATGTATTTGCTAACAAAGGAAGGTGGGGGAAAAATGGATGTGCTCGAGTGTTGTAAAAAATACACTCAATGGATACACACAGATAAGGACAAAATCGAACGTCCTATATTTTTGATGACCTACGAGATTTGTTATCCCTCGTTGGTGAATGTAAACGTATAGAAAGGAAATAAAATTTCCTATACGTTCATATTTTCATTTATAATGGTAAAGGACTCTTGTTTATCCTTATTATGAAAAAACATTAAGTGATCTAAGTAGGTGTTTCTGTACATATTCGTTTTACAAAGTGTACAATTAACAGATTTGGATCCACAATATTTTTCATGTTCCGTATGATTGATATATTTTATAAAATATGAAAAATTTGTATGTAATAGATGAATATAATAATTAACCGATTTTGCAATAAAATTTTCTTTATGATCAAATTTGTCCAAAAAATTCGCCAAAATATAATCTTCATTATACATATTTGTACAAGACATGGTAAATATGTTACAATACGAACAGAAAATAATTTTCTTCGGGCAAAATAACGCTTGATGAAAAATAAACTGTTTTTTATAAAAATATTTCTGACACACGCATTTTATTTTTGTATGCCATGTATGATTATGTTTATCCACATCGGATACATTTAAACCTTCATTACATATTCCACAATGCGTATGATTAAGAATGTCTTTTTTTAAAAAACTCTTTTTACATATATTACATATGGAAATATTTTTTAAGCAATGAATCTGATGCATATTCATATTATTTTCTAAAATATCTTTTAAGCAATTATTGCATTTAATAAATGTTTGATTATTGTTACAATTTGGTATAGGGTTTATAGCTGTGCAGTTCATCGTGTTTGAATTGTTTATAGTAGATGAATATTTAAAATTATCTCTTGCTTTTTCTTCTTTCATAATTTCTGTTTCATCATTTGAATGAACCTTCAATGAAAGGCTGTATTGCAACTCTTTTTCTTCCGTGCTAGAAATGGCAATATACATTATGTGCGGGAAGAACTGATCGAGTATGTATTCTAAAAACGGGTCGTCATTCTGAGGCATAATTAATACACCATTTTCTTGAAGTGCTATTTCTGTACTTTTCTCTTCTAGTTGCTTCGCGAAACATGCAAAGTGCAACATCAGGGATTTTCTTATAACGTCCTTATTTATCTTGATTTCTTTACTAAAATCATCGATATGCAAATGATGCAATACATTCGAAACAGAATCATATGGGGGAAAGGAAATATACATGTCAAAATTGTTATTTGTATTATCACTAGGATTTATGAAAATATGGATTTGAACCTTGTCCTTCTTGAGTAATTCTAATATACTGTAATGAAAAATGTACTTATATTTTTTCATACCTTTTTTAATAATGCTATTTATTGTTACATCTGTGGTGTTGATAGGTTCATAAAAGTCGTTTACTGAATTTGATAAAGTGTTTTTTTTATATTCACTAAAACTTGAGCCTTCACATATATCAACAGTGATATCAGTGTTTATTAACGATACAGCATTATCTGGTTCTAACTCACTTATATAAAAACTTAAATTATTAATATGAACATAATCACCTAGAGTCAAAGTACTATAATTTAAACTTAACTCATTTTGCAACAAATTTTTCATTAACTTGATGTTATTCGTGTTTTCATTTAATGGTTCAAATTTTATAAAATCACATTTTGGTACATTTGCATATGTTACTAATAATCGAACAATTCCATTATTTTCTTTTATACCTAAATTCTCTTTTACATTTTCCGAAACGTGTATAATTCCTTCGTTGGAACTGAATTCCAAAACGCATACATGAGTGATGTAATTATTTTGTACATTTTTCAGGCTAAACGTGTATGGAAATTCCACTTCGTTTCTGTAAAATCCCTTCTCGAGAATTTTTAGGATGGACACTGGCTGTACATAGAGAGGTCATAGGAAATATATATAAATTGTTCGTGCTCATTCTAGCACTCGTGCTTGCATTACTGTTGTGATAATGTTCACTGTGCAAAGGGGTATGCGGCACATACATGCAGAAGTACATATGTGCCTGTGCATGTTTATACAAAAAACTGTACATTTTCTCTCCTCCATACATAAAAACACAAAAAGGAAAACAGAAAAATGCACGTATATTCCAAAGATGTACGTTTATGCGTGATATTAATTACATCAACTATTTAGGTAATTAAAGAGCTATTTATAAACGCCCAAAAATTGATCAAAAGCAAAGGGGAGGAGAAGTCAAAAATATATATATATATATGTGTACATATATAATATACACGAGCTATGTGTACATATAAAAATCTACATGTATACATAAAAAAAAAAAAAATTAACAATCTCTCTTCCCATTCCCTTTTGTAA